TTTGAGGCGAAGCCTTGCTTCTTACTTTTTAATTTATTAAAAAGAGTGAAACTTCGTTTCACTAAAAAGAATAAATTCTTTTTTTATTTAATAAAAAGACTTAAAGGGGGATAAACCCCCAGTTTATAGCTCCTTTTAGTCGCTAAATATAAATCAAAGATTTATATTTTCAAGGACTTAAAGAAAAAAAAAATAATTTGTTTTTGTTTTTTGATATATAAAAAGAAATTATAGATTATAAAAAATTTATTAAATTTTTTTAATCACTATATTAATAGTTAACCCTCACTGTCAACATTACCAGTTCATTGGTCTCTGTGTATAACGGAGTCCAGGTCGCTTGGTTATACTTGCTAGGTCTAGAGTTGGAAAAGAAAGCATATCATGATATCAACAAACTGGATCAACGTGTAATCTGCAGCATACAAGCATGCGGCAAGAAGGGATACAAACTTGAGAGATAGTGTCGGTCTCGAATTACGGACTTGTAAGATGAATCTGCTCCGCCATAAGTTGTATAATGTTACAGGACTTGTTGCGCCGGTCACTGCAGAAAATTGAGCAATGGATCCAGAATACTTTGCAACAAAGCCATCCAATGTTGGTTTTTTCGTGGTATCAATGAATTGCATCAGCTCTGTCAAAAATGTGAGTGTCAAATAGAATGGTCAAAAAAAATTTCAAGCTGAAACCAACCTTTAGCTCTAAAAAACATGTACTGTCCGTGGGGATTGTGGTTGTCATGGTATAGATCAGACGGTAACCAAGGTGACAATTCGTGAGCAAAGCAGGTTTATGCGTAAGGAGTTTTTGGTCTGACCTCGCGTATCCAATACAAAATTAAATCACCGCACATCATGGAAATTTGTCCAAGTAGGTCCACCATCACACTGTGAAGTAAAGCTGTCTTGACTAAATTGCTTTATTCTGTCGTTTGATCCATCACAACGTGGCCATATTATCTATAGCAGAAAACGAGCTTGTCTTGGTCCAGATTGACTAGGCTCAAATAGTGGCTATCGTCTTCACAGCCGACACGGTCGTGTGCAGGGAATGTTTTGTGCTCTGCAAGCTGCGCCTCCATGGTAACGGCAGCAGATTCCCCAGTATCCTCCACGGAACTATCATTAATCGACTCGTTAACGTACCCTCATGAGTGCTTGGCGTTGCAGGAGTAGCTTTTATCAGCTCGTTGATGCGCTAATACATAAAAGTGTCGGTTTATCGATGCAAAAGATGTATATGGCGTTAATACTTACATTCTGTAAGTTGTGCTTCTCTTTCCGTAAATCTTTTTGATTTTTTTGCATGGAGATCAAAGCGTGCCAGGAAATGCGCCGTTCTCGTACTGCATTTTTTAGTGTCAGACTGTGCTTCTTTTCGACTTTTCCTTTGGTCTTCTTGACACCCTCCTTGGCTTTCTCGTACTGCTTCCTTGCAGAAGCAAACATCTTTCTGAGTCGCTGTGACGAATCCTTTACTGATCCAACTCACTGTCAAGCACGCTGACCTTGTCCTCTAAATCATCGACATCAAGACCAGGATTGCTCGCCGTTGCTTTCGAATCCGAGCTTCCTTGGCATTTTTTCTTTTTCTTTAACCTCTCTTCGTAAGCTGAGACAGTCGGCGTGTATCCCGATTTGATCTTGCCCAAGATAGAGGCCGTCTTGTCATCTCTGATTATAACCCAGTCGACAAAGACAATACTGTGTTTGTCATATACGGACTTAATCTTGGAAACATTGAAGACCGACTTGATAATCGCTTCGAGTTTTCGCCAAGCCTCGTCGATGGGCGTGACAGCCTTCGAATCTCCAGAAGCCGTAACTTCAAAGGGCCTTGATCGAACGATACTAAAACTTTGTAGGTAGTGGTAAGACTCAACAGTATGCTGTGGATATGGGAAGGGCTGACGTCGGGAGATATTGGGTGGACGAGATCTGGGGATCCCAATACCGAAAACAGCGCGTTCCCAAGAAGAATAAACGGTAGCTCGGTAAGCATGGTTGATATCTCAGAGTTTGGTATATACGTACCCTACCATTTGATAGCGGGTTCTTCGAGTGCAATGTTAAGTTCGGCCAAACGATCTTCCTCATTGAAAGCGAGGCATTCACAAATATAGACGCATTTATCGATCCAATGTTGAGCTGCGGTAGGACCATCATTGCTAAAGATGTGAGGACGGGTATGACGACGGCGAGCAATGATCGTAGGGATAAGAGGTAAGGTCACCTTGTGGGTGTCTTTTTGTCGTCGCATGGTAGGCAATGGTGTAACCGTAGGATCGATGTTGAAGGATTCGAATTGCGAGTAAGAGCAGCTTTCGACTCGGCGATGTGAAGCTGCATCTGAGATAGATGAGACAAAGCGGACGGATCAGCGTCTCCTTGGGGGAAAATAGGGTCGAGGGTGTGGTTGGCTGAAGATGGACAAAAACAAAAGTAAGTTCCGTGATATCTTTATTGGAATGGCAATGGTGAAGTGAATAGTGTCGCAGTTGTTAAGAACTGGTAGAATTGATAGAGGGCGTACAGGGGTCTTTCCTTCATGTTGTATGATGTAGACCTGCCTACATCTTGGATAGCCGCTACGATGCATTATCGCCGCAATGGTTTATCCATGTTTCTGTCCTGTCATATGTATCTTCGCTCATACGGTGTAATATCAGACCGTTTAGAAGATTTACTGTGTAAGTACTGCTAATGATGATGTCCGACCGATCAATTTATGTTTAAGACGAATGTTTGGATCTGCCATGTCAATATGGTTGGTTCACCACACCTAGTATTTCGTGTAACGACTTATGCCCCATATGCTTATGCCAAATACGACAGGAGGCCATTTTCATATTGATATATTCGAATAACACACTTGGCAATATCATGCAGAATAACAGATGACGTCAAGTATTTGCCACAATCACTTTCAAGATGTATATATTTAGATAAAATAAATATATTAAATAATCGATTAGTTAAGAAAAGACTACGTATACCAATGGACCTCTCGAAGAATGACTTTAAATGCTCAATTTATCCATAACAGTCCGCTGGGTAGCTATTTACGTATACTCTATTTCATATGTAATGCAACTTGTCAATACATCCTCAGCAGTGAGAGCTAAACGCCTCAATTTTGACGAAAACAACTCGACAAGGTTAAGAGCTGATGCCCAATATCACAATTAGCTATAAGACTCTGTACTTGCGACTCCTCAAGATTGCCTCTTGAGCATTTGTTGCCCTCACCGTTAGGTACGTAGTCATCTTAGCTCTCGCCTACCTAATAGCCTGTTGGAACTTCATGACAAGGTGAACCATACCTTCGCTCGTAATAGTACGCAAAATCATAGCAATAAGTCATGTCATGATGCTTTGGAATCGCCACTCTTACAAATACCTTCATCATTCGGATTGTCCAGAATTTCTTTTGATATAAAGATTGAGCCGGCCATCGTCGATAAAAACGCATCTGTGATAGACAATCCTGGTTGAGATGGTCTACATATAGCCCATTCTGTTCATTTTGCCGAAAACGCTTGAGATTAATCACCCAGGTTGAAGATGAAGTGCCCGCAATGACACATACAGATATGTTTAATACTATGAGATTAGCACATATAAAATGTAAGGGGAAAGGATCCATTTCAGAATTTACAAATACAAAATCACAGACAGGTCTATCTTCCAACATTTTTGAAGGCCAGTGAGAAAACGGGTTTTTCATACGTTAAGTTAGCAACGGCGTAAAAAGAAAAAGTAAGTTACAAGCATCCTTTTGCTAGCACAACGATCAAACATACCCAGCTCAGTGAACACCCGCACAACGTCGTTCATGCCATCGCTACTCATAAGATTCCACATGGCTGCAATGCAATTCATGCTTTCTCATACTTTCACTCGGGACGTCCTTCTTTCAATCAAAGAACTACCATATGAATGCGGTGCAAACAAGTGGATTCCCTAAGCAACATATTTTAGATGAGAGGGAATATTTGAACACGCAGCATCCCACTCGATTTAACGTTAAAAATTACGTCACAGTTTACTTCCAGTCGCAAGAGGTTTCAGTTTGTAATTTTTTCTGACTCACATTTTTGACAGAGCTGAAGCATTACATTGGTACCACTACCCCCACAAATCAACAGTAATGCAAGAGTAATCCCTCTGCATCTCTTTGCCTTTCTTCCCTTCGGTGTCTGCTTTTCGTCAGTTTTTCTTTTTTTAAATATAAAGTTGAACTTTTATATTGGTGGAAAACAAGTGAGGTGCATAATTTTTGGTATGGCCGCTGTGATTGTTTTAAAACGTCCGCCAAGCGTTAAATTCACAGGCGCCATAAAGTAAAATATATAACCCGCCAATGAAACGATTCTTACCCGCCAACAAAAAAATTATTGGCCGCCAAGTTGAATAAGAATAGTCCGCCATGTTACAGGAAAAATCCAATACCCAAGTGATCTACATACTATTTGTTGCTATGTGCAACACCAACTAAACCGCTCGACTAAAGCTAAGATATAGCTTATTGTATACAGCAAAGCGCTGTGTGCACCTCAAAACGTGTTCCAGGAAACTAAATAAAGGAAAACCTGGTAAAAACCATATGCACAGCACCTACGCAGAAATAATCGAGAGACTTTGACAGATCTGCAGATCATCATCACGGCCCTGCAGTCGAGCTAACGGTAACGTCTGCACATTACGAAAAAAAAACTCTTCGGGTTTCTGCATCCCCTATTGAACGATGATGATGGCTCGACTGGTTTGTGGGTGATGCAGCATGATAGTATACATAGTAAAGTGGATTGTATAAAGTTACCGTCACCTCCTATCTTCTCACCTGGAATAGGTGTCCGTTCGTCCAGTCGAAACAACGCAATTTCCTTATTGACTAACCAAAAGTGTGCGATGTTGCCAAGCAAGACAAAAATAGTGAAACCTCTTGTCAATCGTAGCGTTTGATTGGCACGGGCCATGTCTGGGTGGTGTTACCACGGACCTGTACTCGTTTTTGTCGTTTTAACTCTTTCTCTCTCGGCCCCTTCCCTTGCTCTTCCTTCTTCTTAAATTTTTGCTTGTTTAGACTAACTTCCTCCACCTCCCCTTCAGCCTTCTTGATTATTGCAGCATAACTATTATGACTGGACCCTATGGCGGATCAGAGGGAGCAGATCAAACCGCTCCAACTAGCAACACCGCGGCTGATAGTCCTTGGTCAGATGGACGTAAGTTTTTTTTCTCTTCTGAAACACGTACACGCACGTTCCCCCTCTCTTATTAATTGAAAGACGATCCCTTCATTATTATTACTTTCTTTTAGCTGGGCGTCGACAAAGCTCCAGTAGCTCATCCGATACAGAAAGCAAAACCCAGAACGGTAACGCACTACTGCCATCTCCTCCACCACAACAACAAGAACAACAACAACAACAACAACAGCAACAGCAACAGCAACAGCAACAGCAACAGCAACAGCAACAGCAACAGCAGCAGCAGCATCGCCCACCGTTTACGTCCAACGACACAGACGAACCAGGCACGCGATATTCTACCGATGATGAATCGGCAACGTTGCACGGTTCGATTCCGCCCGACGAAATCCCGTTAGAAGCACTGGCAGGTAATTAAATAAAAGGATTCAGTATTCTGAACACACCATAAATCGTCATCAGATCTGAAAGTTATATTCTTTTATTGACATGTACTGTTTTTGGTATAATTTTTATAGGCAAAGGGCTGGTAACAAATTACGCTGATGATCAATTCGACTGGGCAGGAGGCGATGAAGAGGATGAAGACGAAATAGTAGACAAGAACAAGCGCAAGAAGCAATCGGGGATCATTTTGTGCTTATCACGCAACTCATCGTATATTGCATGGTCGCTTCTTATCCTGGTGGCGCTTATCTTCATTGCTGTGGATGTGGCGGTCTTTGTTGTTTACCGAGACAACGTGTCCATGGTGTCATATAACCTGCAGCTCTGGTTTACTTGGGCGGCGTTCATGTGGTGCTTAAGCATGCTGCTGCAAGTGGTAGTGGAGCTCGTGCCTTGGGCTATCAAACGTCTTGTAGGCATCTTGAGACCGCAGTCTACCGAAGTATTACGTATGCGCTTGGCTGTAAGTAGTGATTGACTAGAGGGGAGAGACGTTTTAAAGAACACCAAGATTGCTAAGTCCCACCTCAAATAGTACTACATGGCCTTACGACTCTACATCAAGTTTTTGATGATTTCGGCATGGAATTGGGGCTCCTGGGCATTTATTCGGGACCAAATCGCACTACCGGCGGAACAAGCAGGCCCGCCGAACTACGTGAATGTCCTATTCAATATTTGGGAATGCGTTTTCTTTTTGGCGCTTCTGCTTTTTATTGAAAAATTTCTCCTGCAATTGATTGGTAATGCTGTTTAACTTTTTTTGGGGTATGCGGAAGTGGAGAGAATAAGAGTGTGTGTGCGTGTAGAACTGAATTAAGGAAAAAGGAACCAATGAGCACTAACTTAGCTAAACTTCTTTAGTGACCTCTTTCCACAAGTAAGAATTTCTACTTTCTCACACACTCACAAGCATAGTCAGAACTTACGAAACTTACATATTAACTTGGCCTAATTTAGGAAAGCATATGGCTCGCGTATCGACGAAAATGATCATGCGCTGAAGATTTTAGACAAGCTCAAGAAAAGCACGACAAAGCGCAAGATGCCCCAAGAATTCATCTTAAAACGGATTCGGCGGAATAAGCAGGACAAATCGTCCAGCAAACCCAGCCGAAATGCAACGATGGATGATGGCAAGCAACAACAAGGGCAACAACAACAGGATGGCAGCAAGACTCAGTCAATCATGCGTCCTGACGAACACGCCAGCAGCAACAACAATGCAGCGCGAGCTGCTGGAGTACATTTTCCTTCTTCCGAAAAGATGGATACATTGATCGCTATACCTCCAGTCGATGATCGATATGAGGGAGCTGACGACGAGAAGCATCGTGAAGTGATCGCAGAGGCCGAAAATGTGATGCCGGAGCGGCAACAAGGACAACGTCCTAATTTTAAAGATCAACGAAGAGGCTCGTCTAATGATTTTTTCAAAAACTTGACACGCCATTTACGAGATGTCAGCAAGTCAGATAATAAGCAGCAGCAGCACCATCTGGAAAGAGAATTTCATAACCAGGATGCTGCTTCTCCTCCAACTTTAAGCCCTCCTCGATCTGGCACCACCACACCTCGTCCAGGATTCTCGCGCAGCAGCACTTGGGCATCCACTATCACCAAAAACATCAATGACAAAAAGGCGTTTATGAAAAAGAAGAACCAGCCGCCTCAAGCACATCATGGACGATCGCACCAGGCGAAAGCTCTGGCGAAAAAGATTTATCACAATATAGTTGGCACGTCGGGGCGCGAAGACATTACAGAAGTGGATTTCTATCCTTATTTTCGTACAAATCAAGAAGCCGCAGACGCTTTCCGGATGTTTGACCGTGATGGCAATGGCACCATCAGCAAAGCCGAATTGCGTTCCACGTGTGTTAGAATTTACCGGGAACGCAAGAACCTAGCGACTTCGATGCGCGATCTTTCCCAAGCTACGGGAAAACTTGATATTATTTTGATCGTCATTTTTACGCTTATCTGGGTAAGTGTATTTATGCATGCACACTGGCTGTATTTACAGGTTACAAAGAAAACAAAAGAAAGCTGAACCTTAAAATTCTGTACACAATAACGATAATCTTCAGTTGATCGTTGTTTGTGCCGCTTTCGGTGTGAATGTCGGTACAGATCTAATGCCCTTATGGAGTGCCTTCATTGCGGCCAGTTTCGTGTTTGGTAATAGCGCAAAAGACGCCTTTGAATCGATCATTTTCATTTTTGTCACGGTAGGTTCACTCTCTTTTATTGCATTGGTATCCCGTAAGGCCTAATTCATACGTATCTGTCTTTAGCATCCGTTTGACGCTGGAGATCGCGTCCTTATTGGTCCAGAAAACTGGGTAGTCGATCGTGTCGGCCTTCTTGTCTCAACCTTTATGTAAGTTTTCTTATAGCATTCTAGCCAGACATGCATATCTAAAATATTCTCGAAACGATAGAAATTGGGATGGCTCTATTGTTTACGCCAAAAATTCTGTGCTTTCAACACAATATATCATCAATGTACGACGTACTGGCCCCATGGGCGAATCTCTCCGTAAGTAAAGTGGCTTACTCTTTTTGTTTATGACTACTATCATCACAATTCAAGTTAATCCATGAAACAATCACAACTTCGATGCATTTACTGCAATTATTAGAAATTCATATTGCATTTACCACACCGTCCTGGAAGATCCACCGTCTTCGAGAACACATGCAGCAATGGGCCAACCAATATCCTGCGTTGTACCGGGTCAACTCGACATCCGCCAATATTTTAACATTTGAAAACCAGAACCGACTGACCATGTCCTTCTACTTTGAGCATACGCGAAACTGGCAGGATCCAGGAGGTCGTTGGTTGCGTCATAATAACTTTATGATGGAGCTCAAGGAAGAATGCGAACGACTTGAAATCAGCTATGTGCTACCATCGCAGCCATTCGAAAGTAACAAGGAACATCAAGATGTATCCGACAAGTACAACATCAACATCAATGACGATGACGACGATGCTGATGATGACGATAATCAGTCTTCAGGAGGTTCCAAAGGTTCCGCAGCAAATCGTTTGCATATGAGGCGTCAAAATGCTGAAGGCGCTGTCCGTGGCCCAACCACATCAGGTGGTGCAGCATCAGGTGGAGGAAATGGCACAGGAAATGCTGCAGGAGCAGCAGCTGGTGCGGCTGCAACTGTTGCATTCACAACTGGATTCATGTGAAAAGCAAGAGAACCTCACTAAAAATAATAATACTATCCATGTTTATTATGTCTTCTGCATTGTATATCATATTCTTATCCCCGTATTAACTTTTAATAACTAAAACCGAATGGAGGCAATACATTTCTGCTACCTATATATAATGCTGCTACCTCTACTATCATGATAGCTGAATGGTGAGGCACGTCATAGTTAAAGAATTATTCAGGAAATGCATAAGCATATATAGAAGATGAAGAAGATGACTAGTTGTCTACGCATAGCCGAAATACATTGAACGAACATGGGGCTCATGCTGCTATTAGTAGCTGCACCAGTAAACTGACGATTGTGCTGATGACGATGGAGTCTTCCCTTCTCTATTGCTGTATACAGCAGTAACATCTTGCGGTGAAGGCCATAATCGAAACTGCGGCATCGCTCACGTGATTGATTTATCAGAGATCAATCTATCTACTTTATATGAATCGATCCACAGAAAGAGTATCAAGTTCTCGATATTGCCAACGTTGCAGACCTAATCTTTTTGGCGACAGGACACTAGTAGAGAAAACTTAGTATTAATTATAACCAGTAATGTTAATTAAAGACTCCCTTCAACCATAATGACCTTAGATTAAAATGTGCGGGTGGAAGATAGGCATCACGATCATTCTAACCATCGGATGAAATTCCAAGATTTAGCGGGGAAGCGGCGAGAAGATCGCTGTATATGATAGTGCTTGTGTTACGATCATTAAGGAAATGATATACTCCTTTTGCTTGTACCACCGCTCCACTCACATCACATAAGATACCCTGCTTTTCGGGTGTGGGCGAGCAGCGTAGACCAAAGGCAAATAATGCATTAAAATGATACGTACTTTTCCCTTTGAGTGTGTCCATTTTGCATGATGGTTTCATCCTTCAAAACTGCTTACTGATATTGCTACAATATGAAGAGGTGTTGAATACGTTTCTTTGAATGCTAATTAGTGATTATCAAGAGAAAAAAGTCAACAAGAAAAACTAGAAATATTGAACACGCTAGCGTATATGTATCATATGAAAGAGTGCCTGTTTTTTTGTTCATACGCAACAAGTATTGTAGAGTGTATAGAGCACCCTCATCTTCTTCACCATCCGCTTACTAAGAAAGAGAGAAAGAGATCAGATATGTGTGTGCCATTATATCCAACAAACATGATATAAGATTATACCAGAAGTTATCAGATCATTTCGGGCTTTTCTTGGATTTTGCTTCGCTCAATGTCTCCAGCCCGCCCTATAATTCAATGCAGAGATTTCATTCGCGGCCCCCGCCTTTGACGACAAGGTTGTATTGTTGTAGACACCAAAATATAGAAATCAGATCTTTGTTTCTCTTATATCTCCAGAAAACAAAAACCCTGCATCTTATCGTCTAATACGTGGGGAAATGCATCATCTAGATCTTCTGCTACACAAAATGTAAATTTAATCGCGTGAGGTATCCTGAGATTCCCTTTGTCTCCACCATCCTTTAATATGTAGAATAAAACAAAATACCAACAACGTACGAGTATGGTCCGAATGGAGCAGATACGTAACGAGAGCGTAAGGGAGAGAGAAAGAGGGGGCCATGAACAAATTGAAACAGTACTACAAAACGCGTTTGCTGTATTAGTACTGTACTGCTTTTTAATCACGATGATGATCTGATAACTTTTTAAAGAGAAGAAGAAAAAAGGTTTCGCCACAGTATCCAAATGACATCAAAGATTTACGCTTGGTCTAGTTGATCAACGTTGAGCGTTCACGCCATAAATAACGAACCCTTAATATGAAATCTGATTGTATGGAACTCGCCCAGCTCCCTAATATCTTCTTAACAACAAATCTCCAACAGCAAAAAAAAAGATTTTATCAGATCCCTGGCGGAGAAACAAAGATCTGATAACATAATAAGCAAATCTCTTTCCATTATATAAATTCATGTATAAAAAGGTTACTTTCGCGTCCTTTTCATCTCTTTCTCTTCTCATACGCATACTCCTGCCTTTTATTACTTACTAGTCCCACTTAATATATATATATACCATGCAGCATTCAACACCATTATCTACATCATCATATTCCAACTCCAACTGCGAATCATCATACAAACACAGTCATCATTCTGAACATGAAGAGCAGCAACAAAATGAGAAACCAGCAGCCGATCTACCCACTCCTCCACCATCACCTATCGGATCGCCACATCATCACTCTATGGCTGCTACACTTGAAGCCAATGGTCGAATCCTGGCAGCAAAACGTGAAGGCAACCTAAAGGCGGTCATGTCCGAATTCTGCACTATGAAGAAACAGCAAATTTTATTGACACATCATACCTATAATCTAGTTCTCGACGCACATGCCAATTTGCGTCGAGAAGGAGCGCCGTTGACCAGTATTCTCAAAAGTATGTTATATTCTACATATATATAACATATATATATATATTAAGCACAGAATGCAAACTGAACAGCAAATTTAACTCTTTCTGTTTCAGTTTACGACGAAATGATCCGAGCACACATTCCGCCCAGTGGTTACACATACACGGTCTTGCTCCGCGTGTTATGTAAGCGGGATGTCGAAGTTCAAAAGACAGTTGCGATGCTTAAACGACAGTCCGCACGCACTGGTATTGGTATGGATGATATTGGCCAGCTGGAAGCCGAAGGCAACTTGGGACGCGCTCTAGAGTTGTTTCGAACGGCTGCCGAACAACGCGTGCACGAGGAATTCGAGGTCGAAATTTACAATCAATTGTTACGCGTTTTGTCACACTATGGTAACACCGTAGATGCACAATTCGTGTACGACCAGCTGCAACATTCGCCACATGCTCAACCGAATTCCGCCACCTATGCTGCACTGATCAACTTGATGGGCCGTGCCGGTCAGATTCAGTCTGCATTGGATACGTTTGGTCACTATACCGCTCTCAAACACACCTTGGGCCAGCATGACGCATCGTACGTATACAATGCATTGGTGGATGCCTATCTCAAGTGCGGCCAATTGGACAAGGCATTGCAAGTGCTGGAAAAGGACATGGTCAGCGATGGCGTCAAGGTTACAGTGATTCCATACAACTCGATCATTCGACATTACTGCGCGCAAGGTGACATGGAACGGGCCAGGGAAATCATTGACAAGCTCCAGAACAATGCAGACTTGCCGGTCGCAGATGCAAGCAGCTATGGTCCTATCCTTTCCGCCTACTGTCAATCTGGCCGTTGGCAGCCGGCGTCCGAAATTTATGCACAATTGGTCAAGACGGATATTGCCAAGGCTTACGGCAATTTGGCTAACTATGCATTGTTATGCATTGCGCACGCGCACGGACATCAGGCAGTGGAGGTGATCAAGGACATGCACAAAGCAGGATTAGAACCAGATCCGATACTTAGTACGCGCGTGGTACTGTTTTTCTCTGGTGTGCCCGAAGCGACCGATGCCCTGTCCGCCGTGTTACAAGCCATGTCACCTCGCACCATCATCAAAGGATCCTCACTGCTGCTACAAACGGTGCTCAAGATTATGCAAGGTGCGCCGTTGGTGCAAGCATTGGCCCTGGTGCGTGTGGTGGTCGGACCACTTGGATTCCCTACCACTTTGGCGAGTGCTCTGGTCGAGTGCTGGAGTAACGACAACAAAGAGCAAATCCATCAAACCGATCCACATGAAGACGATGATGTGGATTACGCCCCCTTGGTCGAAGCTGCATTGATGCTACCTGCCGAATTCTGCCTCGGCGACGTAGTAATCGATCTTCTCGAGAATCGTCAATTCACTCCACCTGCTCATCAGTTTGCACGTGTTCTGGCGCGTCTCCAGCAACTCAAGTTTGTCGAAGCCGAGACCAAGTGGAAGGCAGCGGTGGCAACCACGGACGAATCCGAGACACTGTCAAACCAAGTACTTAAGGCGGCGATGCGGGGTCATGCGGACGAGGCACTCAGGGTCCTGGAACAGCAAATTTTGAAACGTGGTTTGACGCCATTGCCGGAACCCGCGCGAGACGCTATAGCTTTGATTGGCAAACAAGGTCATTTGGATGCTGCTTTGCGCCTGTTCCAGCTGTCCATGGAGGCGTTCAAGGATGACGATGCCCGAGCTAAATACTTGGTGATGAATAGTATACTCATTGTGTACGCACAACAAGGCGACATGGTGCCTGCCAAGCAGTACTATGATCAGATCAAGCAGATCGGCTTTTTCCCCGACGGCAACGCCTATGCATCGTTATTGCTCGGAAGCGCCAAGTGTGCCACGGACGAAGCCACCGATGCGTTGACCATTTACGATGAAGCCAAGCGCCACAATGTCAAGCCTACGACATTCTTCTACAATGTGGTTATCTCTAAGCTCGCCAAGGCCCGCAAGCTTGAGCCCGCTCTGCGTCTGTTTGACGAGATGCAGCAGTTCAAGATCGTGCCCAATTGTATCACATACGGTGCTATCATTTCTGCTTGCGTTCGTGCTGGATCCGAATTGCAAGCCCGGCGTTTGTTCGGCGAAATGTTGTCGGCGCCATCGTATCAGCCGCGTGTGGGTCCTTTCAACAACATGATTCAGTTCTATGTGCGTCAGCAACCAAGTCGCGAGCGAGCTCTAGAATATATCATGGAAATGCGTCGTCGCCGTATCAAGCCCTCTGCACACACATACAAGCTCCTTATGGAAGCCTACTCGACTATCGCACCTTATGACATGCCTACAGCTCATCGCATGCTCAGTGATATGGAAAAGCGGGACAGGATTCGTCCTCAAGCTACCCACTATGCCACATTGATTTACTCGTACGGATCGCTCCAACGGGATGTCAAGAGCGCCGAGCAGGTGTTTGCCGAAATGAACAAGGCCAAGGTTGTTCCCGATGAAGCTGTGTACCAAGCCATGCTCGATACACTGATCAGCAACGACAAAATGGAGCGTGCTGAAGAACTATACCATGAAATGCTCCAGAACATCCGGAAGAGCTGCTCGCCCTATATCGAGAACTTGTTCATCCGCGGATACGGCCAAAAGGGAATGTTAGACAAAGCCGAGGCCCTGTTTGCAGCCATGTCGGACAATCGATTGCTGCGGTCATCGAATAGCAACGAAAAATACGTTGTTGTTCGTGAGCCCAGCACATATGAAGCCATGGTTCGTGCTTTTCTTGATAACGATCTGATTACCAAAGCCAAGGGAGTACTCGATATGATGGTCAAGCGCGATTTCCCGGAGAAAGTCGTGGCTGCCGTTGCCGACTTGGTGCTAGAATAAGTAATCAGCGATCATCATTTTGATACACCAACGAAAATTAGAATTTATATAATCCTCTTTCACTCACTCCACACCACCATTTGTATATATTTATCGTCAACTTCTTATATGTATTTTACTAAGCCCTGTTCCTCATTAGTATACCATTTTTCTTTTGCCCTGTTTTATTATATGCTCTCTCAATTTCATATGTGCTCCTTAATCAATACTTGTTATTAAAAAAATTCTTTGCTATATTCGTATGCATGAGATTAATGACTAATGGATCAAGTCTGCTAGAAAAGCCGATAATGTATTGGTACGTGATACGCATTCATGGCAACTGTTCTGATTGCTGGGTTTAGAGAGGAGCAATTAAAAATGATGATAATGAGTGAAGTCATATGAAAGCGCATTAAGTGCTACATAGTTGGGGTTATGAGTTGGAAATGTCTAGAAAGGCTGCAATGAACCATTGTCGGCGGATTACATAAAATTTATGCTCTGGATGTGCTGCATTGATCTTCTAAGTGAAATGTTTCGGCGGAAAATATTAATCAGAAACTAACACCCCTCCTCCATCCAATCACAACAACCAAATATCCGGGTCGCTTCTTTTTCCTCTTTTTCTCCCTCTCTCCCTACACCCATGGCTCGAGAAACAAAGTATTACGACAGTTTGGGCGTCGACCCGAAAGCCTCAGAGAGTGAGCTGAAGAAAGCCTATCGTAAGCTTGCATTGAAATACCACCCAGACAAGGTATACCTGAAAAAAAGAATCGCGACGTACATGTACATACCACACGCAACCGCTTTTCAAAACGCATACTCATAAAACGAGCAAAAACGAAACTACAATACATAGAACCCGGATGCAGGCGACAAGTTTAAAGAAATCTCACACGCTTACGAAGTCTTATCCGACCCCGATAAGCGACGGATGTACGATCAGTTTGGTGAAGAAGGCCTGAGCGGTGCCGGCATGGGCGACACTATGGATGCAAACGATCTCTTTTCACAGCTGTTTGGGGGTGGTCTATTTGGCCAAGGCCAAGGTGGCCGATCGGGTCCACGACGAGGACGTGATATGGTGCACCATATGAAAGTGTCCTTGGAAGACTTTTACAATGGCCGAACCAGCAAGATCGCTGTGCAAAAGCACGTCATATGCAAAGACTGTGATGGCCGTGGTGGCAAAGAAGGCGCAGTCAAAGTGTGTGGAAAGTGCAAGGGTAATGGTTTTACAGTCTCGATGCGACAAATGGGTCCCATGGTCCAACAAGTCCAGCAGCCGTGTGCAGAGTGTCGTGGCCAAGGAGAAATCATTGATGAAAAGAACAAGTGCAAGACGTGCAATGGCAAAAAAGTTGTCGACGACCGTAAAGTGTTTGAGGTGCATATTGACAAAGGCATGCGCGATGGACAAAAGATCACATTTGCAGGTGAAGGTGACCAGACACCTGGCATTGAAGCTGGCGATATCGTGGTTGTGCTCAACCAGAAGCCTCATCCACACTTTGTACGAAAAGGGGACGATCTTGTTTATGAAGCTAAGATCGATTTACTTACGGCGCTTGCTGGAGGTCGATTTTCAATACCCCATTTGGATGATCGTGTCCTTGTTGTCACGATCCAGCCCGGTGAGGCAATCCGGTCAGGCCAGGTCAAGGTCATCGAGCACGAAGGCATGCCCACATATCGCCACCACGACAAGGGCAACATGGTCGTCAAGTTCACGATCGACTTCCCACCGCCCAATTGGACCGATCCCGACACTATTGCCAGATTGGAATCCATTTTGCCACCCCGAAGCAGCCTACCGCCATACGGTGATAAACATCCCGAGGAAGTTACTATGCAAGATGCAAACGAACAACAACAATCCAGAGCTAGTAACCAGCAGCAATTCATGGATGTCGATGAAGACGAAGAAGGTCAAGGGGGTCCGGGTGTCCAGTGTGCACAGCAGTAGAAAATTAAGAAGCAAAGCCCACACATTTAAAGAAAAAGAACCGTATATTATATTGATCCATCACTTTGTTCCTCTACAACAGCCTAATCTCCAGCATTAAGAAAGCTTTGCAGCCTAAAAGAAACCAAGAATAATAAAAACCATCAATATACTTTCTCTTGCTATTGCAACTTCGCATCTTTCGTTCTGCCTTTACCTTTTGGTACAAACTGGTAACAACTTTATCGACTTGCTTGAGAGTATCGATGGCAGTCTCATATGTTTTCTATTCATCCCTCAGTCAGTTACCATAGTCAACAGAACTAAAAAGAGATATTTTATATGTCCTGAGTGCTTACATCTTCCTCTGGTTCATCAAACACAATTAAGCATCCTGCTCCTTGGTCAAGGATGCCATGGAATGCCTTGTCCAGGATCATTTGTGATAACCTAAAACCCGACTCTCAGTTAGCATATCTATTCCCTACTTCTCTGTTTCTCCGAAACTTGACAGCACTAGACTGTACATACTTATTTTCGACTTGCTGTGTTGGGAGCTTAACGACATCGGCAATATGAGAAATCTCCACTCGAGAGAATGGTTCGATGATGCGGACAAGGTTCTGCTCAAGAAGGGTGTCATAGAGGGCAGCCAGCTGAGTGCGGATGATAGGGTCGTCGTTAAGTTCTAATCAATATATAAAAGATGTCAGTTTTCTCTTGAACTCTTCACTTATCTGGATCCATCTCTATCCGTACTCCTTTTTCAGTCACTTACCATTTGTGTAGGTTGCAAGGGCTGTTTCAAATTCTTGCAAGTTTCTGTTTTGATGTGCATTGGCAACTGCCTTCATTGCCTCGATATCTGCACCCGAGTATCGCAGTGCCATCTTGCCGCCAAGAATCGAATGGATATCCTCAGGCTACAAAGAACAATCGTTAATATGACTATCCAAACTTATAATCGCGCTCCCTCTCCTGCATACAATCAAGAGAAACGGTTGATAGCTATCGTACCAAGTTGAGCATGATTTTACACAGAAGCATGTACTTTAGTGCCAAAACAGCCTTGTTATCATCTTGGCTCGAGTATCCTTCAAATGCTTCGAAAAAGTACGAATACGCAGTCTTGTAATCCTTCTCCTCGGAATGCAAAACACCAGACTGCATATCCAAAGCAGCTTGTAAAAGTGGTGGACAATAGATGGCATTGGCCGACGTTCGTGCGGATGTGAGTGCTGCCTAAGATCGTTCACGTGTACACATACAGAGGCGAATTAGCTCACATATTATCCAAGCACAACTATTCTCCCTCGTTCATCACTTTAATCATCATCACCTAGATCAGAACATTACTTACTCTTGCTTTAGGCAGATTTCGCAGGGCATGGCATACTCTGCTTTCCAACAACTGAACTTCAACCAGCACCATTTTGTCGTCCAAACGCTTCAACTCCTTGAGCAGCTGGGAGATTAAGCTTAGCGATTCGTGGTACATTTTGTTATCGAGGTAGAGTGCAACGAGGCGTGTCTCCAACGACTGCTTTAGAAAGATACGCTTTTCCTCCACAGACCAGGCAATTGTTTCTTTGCATACGTCGATTTGAAGTGGCAAGCAGTTGGGTATGGCGCCGAAATGATCAATCATTGTTCGAACTATAAATGTGTGTGTATTTCCATAGATAATGCGTTAGCATAACATCTAATATAAGTGTCCTTTCCTTTCTCTTTTTATAAAACATCCCTCCCGTTCTCTTTCTCTTTTTTTCTTTGATACTTGCTCAACTTGGCTGTCTTTGCTTTAGCAATGGAACCCATAAAGGAACGCGATGAGCGAATTAAACCAGCAAGTTCCTGAGCCAAACTATTAATATGATTTTTTTTACAAGATTAGGTTTCTAGAATCTTAAAATGGTAACGCAGCTCAAATAAAAAACAAGGTATTGAAGATTTACCCAAGGTCGCGATAGAGCTGTCCGAGATGGACAAGAGCGTATTCTTGTTCCTTCAGTACTTCTTCGTTCGCGGATTGCTCTGACAAGACGGAATTGTACAAGGCAATGGCTTGTTCAATCTGTTTTGCATTCTTTAACTCTTCTGCTTGTCTGAGACGTTCTGTTGGTGGTTCAGCGTTCTTTTGTGTAGCCGTGACCATGGTGAAAATCGATTTGTTGAGCTGAATTTATAGAAAAGAAAACGGTGGATCGCAGAAAAGGTGTGTTCGTAACCACCCTCCACCCCTTTGAACATTACGCGTCTTTGGAAATCTCCGCTCACTGGCGCTGACAGTGGGTCGCCAGTGAAAAGTGTGTACTGCACAGGCATGATGATGGGTAGCATTTATCACTTTTTCTTTTATTGTTTTTCTTTTCTCAAACATGGCTTCTAGAGATTGCCCATTTTTGACTTAACGCCATGAATCGAGGTCTTCTGGATTGACATATACATTTTCTCCATTTTCTCGTATCGTTTCCCGCATCTTATCTCGGGCTAGCGGTTTTCGCATATCTAATTGGGAATATATAAGCAGACGATAAATGATCATGATTTTCCTCATGTAAGCGTCATAATAATTACTGGTTTAGAAGAGACAAAAAAGTCCTTACCATAAGCATCCTCATTTGTTGCTCCGGAGTAATAGTTCCGTACACGACGATATACTGAATAGCCAAATTTACGATACATGCCTATGGCCACTGCATTGGATACACGCACATATAGATCCACGAACCATCCATTGTATCTAAATTGAGAAAGTCATGTTAAGGTCTTCCTTGAACAGTGCAATAATATACGCTAGAATATCACATCTTTTGCTTACGTTTTCTCGGACACTTCTTCAAGCAGGTTCATCATGCCATCGGCCAAACCCAATCGACGATATTCAGGAGCAACTGTGATGGCCGTAACGTGCCCGTGCCAGTTCTTGCCAGTACCTTCAGCCTTACCCATCACTATTATTTAAAATACTTAGCATTCAGTGTTCTTTTTCCGTCGAGTAACAAGTAAGGTGATGGTTAAGAAAGGAATATATGCTATCTGTAGTCCTTCACTTACCATAACCCATGAGACGATCCTGTGGAGACATTTGTACACAGAATAGATCGGGCCATTGTGCGAGGTATTGCAGATAGAATGAGATGTTATACTACATCAAAAGAATGACGATAAGTCGCTCAGATAACCAAAAGAACGCGTGCCCTTTTTTTTCGAGGGAAACTCTAACTTACAGTTTCTGTCAAAACATCGAGATTGCTGCAAAGTGGAAGAGAAAGCAAGACGGAAACATGGTAAGCATGTGCAAAATACATATTTGAGGAGGACTTACACATTATTGAATTCAAAAAGATCGGTTGCTTTGAATCGTCGTAGTAAGCTCATGATTCTTGGAGGAGCGGCAAGTGCAGGAAGAAGGCTGGGTAACCCAATAATAAGCTGGCTTTTCAGACGAAATTGATATATGGATGTTCAACGTCAAGCAGAAAGCCTGTGGCACTGCATGATTTTGCCCACATCACACACAAGAAATAAACGACATATGAAGATAACGCAACCATTGATACTCGCCAAAACATATATACCAAAGGGCCTTACTTATGTAATCAACGCACGCTGCTTTATATCCGTACACGAGGTATTAAGCAAAAATGAAAAGGGCAGACTGAGAAACAAAATTTCTTTTCCCTCTATTCATAACTACTTATCACAATATGGTTCTATGTGCGATCTGTAACGATCAAGATAGCAAATACAAATGTCCAACATGCAAAGCACCATAGTACGTTTAGCCATTTATCTCCATTTGATTCTTACTTGAGAAATAATAAATGAATACATTCTGAACCAATGTGCAAAATCAGTTGCTCGATCGCGTGCTTCAAAAATCACAAGTGTAAGTTGCTCTTTCTCGTGTTACCTTACTACTTGAGCAAACCTGCTTATCTCCGAGCCTTTTAACATACATTAGTAGAACCGTGCCAGCCAGCACCAGCAACGGCACCTACATCATCATCTTTTTCAGCAGGTTCGCGATTTCTGGATTGTAGTTCGTGTCTCTTTAGCAGGAGTTACTAAAGGACGTGTATTACATTATCTTTTGATAGGTGGTGAAAGAAAGCAGTTGGCAATAGAAAATGCCGATGAAGACGACCCAAGTCGTTTAACAGAAAACCAGCTTACATCAATAGGTATGTATAACGCAATATATTAAAAAGAGAGGAGATATATACAAAAAGAAAAAAACAACTATGGCTGATAACCCATACAATATGTATAATAATAAAATAGCACATTCGTCCGACATAGCGAAATATCTTCAGGACCCTCAGTTACGTGACTGGGTCGCACGGATCGACCGGTCGACTGAGGCCGAGAAAGAGTTAGAAGATGCACGGGCAGCTGATCCAAAGCTTGAAGCATTCATCCAATTGCTTCTCAAGACAACGGGTCATGAGCGTAACACTAATTGATTCTTGACATAAATAAAAATATAAGATAAAAAACAACATTTTTCGGTTCAGACTGGTGTAAAGGGAAAGGGATAAGAAAAGTTTTTGTAAAGCATATTTTGAGGAAAGAAAAAGGGTTGGCCATAAGAAAAGAAAGGGGAACATAGCATCGTTCAGAAATAAGAGGTTTCAGAAAAGGAAAAAGAAGAATTGAAAGGGGAGAGATGGACATATGGTTAGTCAAAGGAAAAAGAAACATATGAAATAATGGAGATTGAAGAAGAAGAAGACCAAGAAGAGTAAGAAACGAGAGTAAGGACAAAGAATGTAGCCGAAAGAGAATCTAGTTATAGTCATCGTCATCGTCGTCTTCTTGACTGTGTAAAAGATCCTGCTGTGGCAATGACATGCTGTTTGCTGGCGGATATGGAGCTGGAGTGTACTGGCGTGCTGTTGGAATTGGTCGCTCGCTCACCAGCTTTGCCAACCCTCCTTCGCTCTTCTCTACGACTAAGGCCTTAAGCCACTTGATTTCACGCTCCAGGTCCTGAATATGAGCCTCCATCCGCTTGCTTTTTTCCGTCATCTCAAAAGCAGTTCGCTGGAGTGCCTGTTCACGCATCTTCTTCTTGATCCTAAAGCGAGCGCTTGCAGCTGTATTGCGCTTGCGTTTATCGTCTTTGGTTAGCTTTGGTTGGTGCTGTTGCTGCTCTTGAGCATGCTTGGGCTTGCTGTGGCGGTAATCATCCTCTGGACCGGTCGTTGTTTCAGAGAATAATGTCGTTGCCGTTGGTGACGATAACGCGCTGTTGCTATGGTGATGACTGATGGCGCTGCTGGTCGTATGATAGCAATACAGATTGCTACCGTTTCCATGGCTGTTATCACTACTATGGCAATCGTTACCCCAGCAACAGCTACCGTCCAAGACAGAAGCTGGCGGTACATCGTGCGAGAACTGCGTGTTGGCAAAGAAATCAAGGTCTTGCTGCATCTCTGATTCGGTCAGAAAAGAAATAGGATCCAATAGCAGGTTCAACGACTCGACGCCTTGCTGTTGTTGCTCTGCTAGCGGCGGTATTAGCGGAAAAGATTGGGATTGCATCGCTTATTGAGGCGATTGATTCATACAATTATTCTATAGGTGTTCTTTTAAAAACGGGTTTCTTTAAAATGATGAATGTAACGAGAGTGTGAGAGTGAGAAAGACTTAAGAAAGAGTGAGGAAGCGGAAAGAAAAAGGGGAAGAAACCGAAGAAAAAGAAACCACTAGACAATGGCAAGTTACCTTGAATTATATAATACAGCAAATAAAATAAAATACACACAATAACAACTGGAGCGAAAAAAGGAAGCCCAGAGTAAGTCGTAAACTTCAAAGTGAAAAACAAACAAGAAAGGCGAGTGGCAACAATATAAATATATGTGCTCCTGGAAGCCAGTCCATGGGACGACATCGGAGCGACACAACAACAAGAACGCAAGTATATACTTCCAAAAACGTCATCTGATAACTGTCTTGTTCGACCACGAAAAAAGGCGGCGATCTTTATGCTCACTCTTTTAATAGCAAGTGCACTGTACTTTAAAAAAAATATTGGGAGCAAGACTAGCGAATAACCATCCGTATCTACAGGGCAATCAATGCGACATCCACATTGCCAATCACGTCATTGATGCCATGGCTACGATTATTGGATCCCCGCGCGCCTACACTCTTTTACGAGCGTGTAATCCCCAAATCGGCCCGTTTGTCGCGAGGATTGCTTTCCCAAGAGAAAGAGACAGAAGAAGGGACAGAACTTGACGGCCATAACACCTTTCTCTCTGATCAAGGCCACCCTGTTTCGCTGGGCTACTATCATCAGGCCCGTTTACTGCGCCATTCTGGTAATATGAAAATCGTCTCATGCAAATTATCCACCACCAAGTGGGACCCCGCAGATCATTATCTCTGTCATTTGCGCTCGCGCAAGCCCCTCCCTCGTTCATCCTGCTTCTTTATTATCGTCATGCAAAAAGCAAATCTGCAAACAACTCATGCTATTAGCCCAGGTCTGACGGAAATCTCTAATACCTTTTATTCTAAATATCAGTAGCTAAGGGATTTTTAGTAGCGACAGGATCTTTTGATTCCAAAAAGGCGTATAATGTTGTCTGCTGGTCAAATAAACACAATCTGCAGTAGTCGCACATGACATTACCGATATAAAAACCATTAACAACAAAGCTATAGTATAGCGGAATGTTTTATGCTTCTTAAAAAAGTTTTCTTGTCCTCCGTGTCGCACAGGTACACTGCTGCTCCCGGAGACACTTTTAGATCCGAACCAACGTAAAGGAAAACCAAATACCTCTCGTGCGCTATGACCCAGTCAGGTTTAAGTATGTGTTTGCCGCTTTAAAAGAGCGTGCCAGAAAGGTGTGATCTGCAAATCTGCTCAATAGCCACATAATGTGTCTTACAAAATCGAAGCACCGCATCTCTTGTGAGGGTGACATATGTCCACATATAGCTGGACTACCAAGAAAAGGGTAATTTTGTTTGACATACACATACTGTCATATTCCATATGTAGATCTATAGAAATAGTGTCGGTGTACTGTTAAATTATGTATATGTGCATAATATAATAACAAAAATGCGTTCATTAGAAGCTGCTATATGTTTAAGAATGACAACGGCATATACTTTTAGCCGTTTGCATTATTGCTGCTTCGTGATCACGTGATACTTGTGCAAAAACCTTCTTAGAAACCTTGTCATATATGCATAGGTAATATGAATTTTTTTAGATACCGTGGTTGTGGAACTCGTATTACACTGCTCTGAAATGTCCATCATTAAAACCTATTTTGGACTTCGTCATGTATGATAAATGATAACGTTGGATGGTATATTGTTGCATCACGAACCTAACGATAGCTCCTTATTTAGGGTTTCTTTTGGATCCTATTGAACACAATATTATACATGACGGATGCGTACATACTGCTGGTAACTCCGAAGTGAGAATGCATATGATGACACCATCATACATATTGGGTTAGTGAGAGGCAATGGAATAATAAAATAACATTCGTATTACTATAGAGAACAGAAACACAGACTGTATCATTTTGCATTCGCGATATATATTTGCTGCGTACGGGTATGGCAAAATGATGCGCTACATATACGTTATGTCTTATTTAGGATATGATTATAGTCTACCAAAAAGCTATTATTTAGGCAATCGACACAGGTAGTAAAGTAAGCAGCTATAAAATAGCTACTACAGAAAGCGGTGAAGATGAGTACATTGGCCTCACCAAGAGTACCACATATCACTCAGAAATTCAGAAAAATCATCTCATATCGTAATTTGTATATTAGATGATGTGATCACTTATATACAATCACGAGCGCATATTGCAAAAGTAGGCATGTTATGTACTTCATGGCTTAGTTAGCGTAGCATATACAGTACAACACATGAATCATATAAGTAGAGGAAATGTGAATATGATATGTTTAAAATAAGTTTCAAAACGTACTTCATGGAGCAAAATGGTGTGTGTATTTATATAAGAGTAAAAGAACAAAAAATTAGCTCGACAGAGTAGAAAAGCTGATGCTACATATTGGCACTTCCAGTACCACCCATCATGGTTCGACGTTTGAAAGCTTGTGCAACACGCTTGCCACCATTGGATACGGATGGTGCACTAGGTAGCGACAAATGGCTGCCACTCCCAGATTTTTCTTGTCGCATCATCAACAATCCACCAGCAGCCTCACCAGCATGTGCCATACGACCTGTCGCTGGCCGCATTACTGTTGAAGACTGGTCTATCATCCAGCCATCACCATCTGCTGCCAAACGCGTGGACGACGACGAAGAACCTTGAGATATTGCCTGATGTAAATCGCCGTTGCTATGGTTGCGTCTGTCTCCATGCACTTCATCTGGCATACGGAAGGAATCTCTTGATCCATAGCATACTCTGACCTTGGGTGCAATCTTGACTTTACGTGATGCGGAATCCGGCGGCATGACCTCCGCTCCGGTGCTGTATACTGTATGCTTTTCTAAACTGCTGTTGCTGTCAGATCCTTGCGCGGTAGCGTCCACCAATTGCTGATGCTGTTGCTGCTGCTGTTGATCACGTAAAGGTGCTTGTGGAGATAAAAGACCGACAAGGTTACCTTGAGAACGTGCACGTTGTTGTCGCTGGGCAATCATGGTCGGTGGGTTACTGCTACTATTATTATTCTCGTTGTGAGGTCGAACATGTCGCCCATTCGTAGCGGTGGCATTGCTACTACTACTGCTTCCGTTTTGTTGCTCATCAATAGTTTGTGCTTGCATATCTTGAGCCAGCTTTTGAATATGTGTGGGTGCAGTCTGTATCCCCAATGACTGGGCTCGAGCTCGTGTAGTAGCTGTTGGTATTGGTTGTGGTGGGGCCATGTTCGAAGGTATATGTTTATCCTGGCCCTGTCGTCTCGCTGCCACAGCCGAGGCAGCAGCTTCTAAGGACAATAGCGTGTTTTCCGTAACCTGTTCCATCACGCCATCAGTCGGCTGTGGTTGCTGCTGCGTTTGCTGTGTTTGTGAAGATGAGGGTTCTGTCCCAGCAGCAGTAGTGGCTGCTGCCGAGATCTTGTGTGACTGCATGGCACTCTTCATATGGATGTCAGGATTATAGGGCTCGAGGTAAGGCTCGCCAGTGATGAAGGGATGATAGCGAGCTTCCAATGGACTCCATCGTTTCAATGGATTGAGCTGGAGCAGGCCTTCCAGAAAATTAATTAAAGCATGGCGCATCTGGAGATCTAAGAAATTTGCCAAAAGTGGGTTAATTTTCCTGTTTAGTTGTGTGCTTGAATCCGCATTCTGCAACCAGATCCAAAAAAAGTAAGTGTGCTATCGTGTGGGTGTCTGTGCCCTTGCCTAATTCTCATTACGTTACCTCGTTGCCTTTCTTGATCATCCACGCTCGTTGATGCAGGGTTACTAGTAGTGCTATTGTTGTTCCGAGATGACGATGATCGAGATCGATTATTGTATTCGAGGATCAGTGCAGGTAACTCCGTCTGTGGAAGATATTTTTTGCTGGGTAACTCGTTTTTATGCTGCTCTCGGCCATATTGTTCGCGACTCTTCATCCTAAAAACGTGTTTCCCGTTCGGAAGTGTCTCCCGGTTATAAAAATTTGATGCGGTCTTGCCTTGGTCCAGCATGTCCTGAGACGGTTGTCTATTACAGATATGCAAAAAGGATAATTTGATGAGATGGACAAGGGGCGGGGAAGGAGTTGCCAAGAACTATCATCACAATTTTTGCCCTTTCTCTTAATCTATCGCCACCCCTTATACTATTTACTTACCCTAGCATCTCCACAATTCGAAACAACTGATTATATTCTGAACTTCCCGGAAACAAAGGGATGCCGATGAATAACTCTGCAACAATACACCCTAGTGACCACATGTCGATGGCCGAAGTATATGGCAATCCGAGCAAGATTTCCGGTGATCGATAAAACCGAGACTGAATATAAGTATATACATGGTTGGATTCATGGCACGCGGATCCAAAATCAATTACTTTGATTGTGGGTGATTTGACGCTAATTATAACAGATACACAGTCATCATCTGTAAGTATGATCTACGCCAAATCTCTTCATCCATGGATTATCTTCCCCTACAATCCATCGTCGTCATGGATATCGCATTGTCTCTTACCTTTTAAGAAGCACGTTCTCCGGTTTGAGATCGCAATGAATGATCCGTGCCTTCTTTAACAATACTAACGAGTCCAATAACTGCAATGCGAACACGCGCACCAGATTCAATGAGAGCCCCTTGTAATTGTTCTGTTTGATGAGCTCGTAGAGATTGAACGACAAGAGCTCAAACACCAAACATAGATGGTTTTTGTAATTAAACGTATGCTCTAACTGCAATACATGATTGCTATCGTCCGCTCCGAGTTTCTGACTCAGCTGTAGTAGAGATGATGAAGGGAGGAAAAAGTCAATTTAATATAAGCAAAAATGATCAAGGTCATTAAACCTACTCGCTCTACTGAGTTGTTGTTACCTGCCTGTTTCAATATCTCAACCTCCATACGGCTTTGTATCCGATATGCACGCTTATTTTTGATAACTTTAACTGAGTACAACTGGCCCGTGCTTATGCGTACACATTTAACGACTTGACCAAAGGTGCCTTGGCCCAGCATGTCAATTACGCGATACTGATAATCCTTTTCGTCTCCCAGCACATCATTGACTCGTAGTATGTAGTCGCAATTTTCATTGTCGTAACCATCATTCATGGCTGGTTTGCTTGGCTTGGTCAATACTCGCTTAGGATTCGTCTTGTTGCCATCAAAGCAATATTTCGAGTCGCACCGTTGAAATGTCTCGGAAATTCGGACCGTCAGTGCATGCAATGGCTTGATCTTGTTATAATTTTTAACAAAGAGAGTCAGTTTACTCTCTATACCAAATAGATCCAGTGCTGCTAAGCGTGTGGTATCTACTCTGTGTGTCTGCTTTAATTAATTTGTAGATACCTGATCGGAGGAAGATGGACTAGACGTTGAGGACGGGGAAAGTGGAGATGAGCGAACTTTACGCTTTTGGCCCGGAATCACCTTTTGAAAACCACGTGGTGAGTGCTGTGGCCATTGTTCACCCAAGGACAATGTAGGCTCAACAAGAGTTGAATAGTATGGCGTGGTTCTGATCGTTGTTGGCACGGGACGATAAACGATGGTGGCTTCTCGGACTTGTGCCTGATCAAGCTCGGTGTCTGAGTCCCAACCTGGGTGGTCGCCGTCCATGCGTCCTTGCAGCTGCTGCTGTTGTGGCTGCCGCTCTTTAAAAAAAAAGAGGTTAAAAAGTTAAGTTTTGAAACAACTTGGAAGGTTCGAAATGAAGGCGATTATACGGAAGAAGTAGAGTACCTTTTCTTGAACGAGTGCTAGTTCTTGATGTGAGTGATTCGCTTCCTCGGTGTCGAGATGTTGTCTGCAATGGCGGCATTTCGCCACTTCCGGGACCTGCCAAGGCTGCTGTATAATACTGGTGTTGCTTGGAAGGGTAGGTATACATTAATATGTTATTTACAATAGAAGAAGAGAAAGAGAAAGAGCAGCAAAAAAAAGAGAGAAAGGGAAGAGAAAGAAAGAAAGAAAGAAATGGGATAGCGATGGGGCATACGCAAACACACGCACACAAAAAAAGCCTGTTTTCGGTTTACCATATCGGTAACATGTAAGAAAATTAAAGTATTTGGGATGGAGGATGATCAGCACCCTCACGCACATGTCGCATCATTCTGTGCAATCTCCAGAAAGAATTTAAGCCTTGTCTTCTTACATTTACACCGCGCATTTGTAAACTTTTAATAATACGTATTGCTAATAACCCCACTTTACCCTTTTGGACCAGGCTCTTTTTTGTGTTGATGATCAAGATTATTGTGCATATTCTCTTTCTTACATCCCACTTTATCAGATTTACATACGACACAATTAAAGCAAGTTACTGTTATCAGATCCGTCTTTAATAGTAATGAGGTGGTGGGAATAAATGTTGTGCTTGTTGCTGATGTTCTTGCTCATCGGGTACTTGCATGCCACTGTTGTTGTTGTTGCTGCTGCTACTGCTGCTGCTGCCACCCTGTGTTTCGTCGTAAGCCCGATGCATGGGCGCCAAATGCAGTTCCTCTCTGATTCGCAGATCGTCATCCATGTCCTGCAAAATATGTTCTTGAGACACGCTCGCCTCCTTGATCGACCCCAGACTGTCAGCTGTTCCCGAAGGTCGAAACAGGATGCGTCGCAGTAATCCAGAGGAGCGTCGTCGGTGTTGTTGTTGTTGTTGTTGTTCTTCATTATTATTATTGCTATGATTCTTATTACTACCACTATTGTTGCTAGTAACTAGGGCACCACTTCCATTTCCGCCACTTGATGCTGATGCTGACGATGTTATCACCGTAACCGTATTGTTGTCACTCACAAAATGATGATGATCTAGTATTCCTACATGCTTTTTCCTTGCTGACTCGGCTCGTCGCAATAGCCTGGCTAGATCATTGGCACTATGTCCTGGTGCTTTAATTGCTAGATGACTGCTTGAAAGTCGTTTTGATGGTGCCAGTGGTTTATGCTGCTCGCCATCTTTAATCGGTAACCAAAGCTGGGGTAGCACACCAATCAGGGCCGGGTTGCCATAGCGTTTCAGTCCAGTGTCAAGCACACCAGGGTTTAGCAGCATCGGTGGTTGGCGATAGTCTGTATGGTGATCCGGAATCGCTTCATAGTCGTCTTCGTCAAGTACCACTCGTCGGTGATGTCGATGTTTTGGACTTTGCGTAGATGATTTAGTAAATGAACCGGACATGGTAAATGCTGTAGCGAGTCGCCATCGACCTTTAGCTTGCTCTCGGTTGCTGGTATCATTCTCGCTACTATTGCTGCTCCCAGCGTTTTCGCTTCGACTACCCTCGCATTGCTGCTGTTGCTGATTTGCATTTCGATCTTCTTCGTCAAGTGGTACCGTATCCGAATCACTGCTACCGCACTCTTCGTTGTTGATGTCATCGTCATCCTTGATCTTTTGCTTTGCATCCGTACTGATAATGGTCGGTAGAGTATTCATATCTTCCCGTAATGTTGCCATGGGCAAGTTCCGACTGTTCTTTTGAAACGCAGCATCCATGGTAAGCTTGAACAATATGGTCATGATCATGAGGGGAATACACAGTATAGCCAGAGTGATGTACTTCTTCAGCACAAAGAGGCCGGCCATGGTAATCTGGAATAATAGCATGCCAACAATGACCCGTGGAAACACCATTGTCCAAGCAGATCCGATGGCGTCATAAGGACGGAAATAAACTGCGCAAACAAGGGTGTAGCTTAGTTCTCTGTCTCTTTCTATCCATACTAGTATCATGGCGATACTCATTCGTTCTACTCTGTCTTCTTCTACCGAGCGATCTTTACCATATAAAAACTGGTACTTGTATACCACATAGGTTATACAAAAGTATATAGTGCCAAACAGCAAAATAATCGGCGAGATTGTTGAGTATTCCAGAACAATTATAAAGATAAGCAGGGGCGGCGGGTACCCAGTTCCATAGTTGAATGACCATGGTGCACGGTTGGTAGCATGATCACGAGGCGTCTTGCAACAAAATAGATGGGTATATCCTCGGATAATCAAAGAACCAAACATAAGCAGACTCAGTGGCATTCTATTATTATTCAATTTACGCATTCATCAGATTAGATGCTCTACACATCTTCTCTTTCTTTTTTTCCAAGGAGCAAATGGACAGATGATATCAAAGCACTTACAAGAGCATCCCTTGGAGCAAAGTATAATTGATAAAGAAAGGTGCTACCTAAATATTTCAAATGTTCCAAATCAGTACGGTTTCTCTACCTTAGTTTTCTTTAGCACCTTTGATTACATACAGCCGGTAGGGTTGTGCCAAGTACGTTGGCAATTTCTGCTGGATGGTTTATCAATTGCTCAACAGTCTTGCTAATGGTGCTTGCAATAGTAAAGACCAGTAGCACGTTGAACATGAGGAAGAAAAAGTATTTGCTAAAGGTTGCATCAGCAATAGCACTGCGTGAGCGTAGCCCTTGCACTATACCCAAGGCTATGTTCATTTTTCAAAATCGTAGACTATCGTTGTTAGCACTTTTCACATGTATATCATTGCTGTTTGTTGCTGTCCAAATTTGAGAAAAAAAGAGTGTAAAAGGCACATCTATATTACCATCGAAAATCAAGGGCAAAATAGCCATAAAAATATTAACTGCGATGGTCGGTACAAGACCCTGAAGCAAATTTTGCACAAATACGGAATCTTGGGCTGCAGCCCCCAGTTTCGGAAATACATGGTCAATCGTCTCGAGACTTGTAAGGGTTGAAAACGCCGAGATAGGGACGATCCAGAAAAAGGAAAGCAGGAGCGTTACTGTCCACACCAGAAATTCCCGGACTAATCGTTCACGTCCTCTAACCGTAACGCTTTTCCACAGTACGTCTCGTGGTTCGTATGCCATTGCTGTTCGACAGTTGAATGGCTCGGGATTGATTGCAATTTGTGAAGCAATAAGCTTTATACAGCCCATGGTATTAGTAATGGAGAAAGGTAGTGTTTGGTACGCAACAGTATCCAAGCAAACAAAAACCGCGACCTTACCGAGCTGGACATGTTCTTGAACGTGACAAAGCCAACATTGGTCATTTCATAGTTTTCAGATTTGCTCCGGGCTTCCAATGCCTTTAAATCCAACTGCTCAAACTCTTCAGTGTAATATTCGATTGCATCCACCTTTTTGCCAAACAGACCCAGAAACCCAGTTCTGATTTGCGGTCGTCGAGACTTTTTGCCGCTAAACTGGGTGCCGAGTAAAAATGTTGCATTGTTATGCTCCTGCTGCTGCTTCTTCTCTGTGATAGCCGCTGCCTGCTGCTCCACGCGTTGGAACAAGTGTGCGTCATCCAAAATCCGGTCTGGGTCGTACGCCGGAATCTTGCACGGATTGCCCCAATATTGGACATATGCTTCCTCCAATTTCTGCAATGCGTGAGCTCGTTTCCTCAACAATGTACGCAGTTTTGGAATATGGCGTACTATCTCGGCGGAGTCAACTGTGCCGATACCGAGATTGTTGTAGTACTCTTCCAGTTTGGCATCCGAGCGCAGGGGCCGTGGGATGCCCGTTACAACCACTGTACGACACGATAATGTTTTTGACATCCGCAACAGGTACTCGGATCGGTTTGCGACAAAGGATCGAAAGTTTTGGTTCAAAAAGAAAAACGTCAAGAAGCAGAAAAAGTAGGTGAAAAACAGATAGGCGATCAAGAATGGCGATTCGTCTTGTAAAACGGTGATTGCTAGTTGATCCATTTGTCCCGACGTCACGTTGGTGGCGCTGTTGGTAACGTTTCCGGTAGTGACGCTGATAGGTACCAGGGTAGCAATGCCAAAGAACGAGCATATGCTGAATAGCTTAATGGCCATAGCGATGAATTGCAACATCTAGTATTACACATAGCGAATTGTTTGTATTACGTGTGAGTGATGGATTTTCCTTTTGTTTGTGTATCTGCGGATTTCCCTTATTTTGGTTCTTTCTTTATCAAACGCCGTATACGTGTCTGCTGATATGATACTTTACAACAACAGCGTCAAGACCGACGGTATCCATGATTTCTTGTTCATCGACTTTTATTAAAGGGATGATCCAGCCAAAAAGGGAATTTGGTAACGCTTTTGGCTTGTGTCTACATGAGATCGAACAGCCCCCAGTTAGTTATTGTTTTTATCTTTAAGCATTATAACTGCTATCATAATTTCAACTAGACGACTGGGACTTTGTTTTTACCAACCTTTTCATATTCATCCGCGGTGCAAATATAACTGTCCATCTGAGTTACCGTAAGAGCATTGTTTCGATTAGTAACAAGTAAAATAAATGAACTCGGTTATCGTATTCACTAGCAGGGGAATCTGGTGATAGTAAAAAGAGAGAAAATAGGCGCGTAGAGATCGATTGAAAAACATTCAGTTTTCAGGGTACCTGGTACGTAAAATACAAAACGTAAGAAAGCATAGTAAGCCTGTACCGGCGCAAACGATCAACTGCGTCGTAAGCCCGCTTTGATTTCGAGCGCTGTAGGATGATGTGCCGGGTACGTTTTCAAAGCCTCCATTGCCTATATCCAAGAAGGGAAAACCGCTAATGTGCTGTGGTCGCTGCTCTCCTCCTCCTTCAGAAGACATGGATTATTTTTCTGTATGTTAAAGGGAGCAAGAAGAAAAAAAAAGGGGGGGGAAGAGAAAGAGGGCTAAAAAATCAAATAACAGCAGAGGTTATGCATAAGCGCCTTGCATTAAAACGTCACATCGCAGATATCCATCTTGGATTTATAAAATCTGTTGCACGAGCCACGTGTGGTTTGGGGACGCTTCAGCGTGCTACCTACATGCTCGGTAACTGACAGCCTATCAACACAGGTTAATATATATTGAACCTAATACTACTTCATTTTAGGCTACTACTGTATGTAATATCGGTGGTGAATCGGAGCCTCATTGGAAGAAAACTACAAATCCAGGATTCCGGAGCTTTGATACTTCCGTTATTAAAGTAAACAAACGGAAAATTGTTATGCATCAACACAAACATGCAAAAGAAAAAAGATTGCATATATAAATCTTAGCAATATACGGTCCCTTTGATAAATCTAAAGCGTTTTTTCTTATCCACTGATCAAGGAAAAAATGCATTGGAAGCACGCTCTCGCTGGTCTGGCGGCCATGTTAACAGTCGCCCAGTCCAAAATAGTCGAATTGGATTGGGACATTACATACACTACCGCGAATCCCGACGGTTTGATGGAACGCCAAGTCGTTGGTGTGAACGGAAAGTGGCCGTAAGTTGCTAGAACATCTATATCTGTTAGTGAATGGAAACAGAAACCAAGTTTTAAACTTGTGTAAATCTGGCTATCCTTCTAAATTTGCACCATGTACATAGTATCCCTCCCATTGAGGCCAACACTGGTGATATTGTACGAATCAATGCGCACAACTCTTTGGACTGGGTCACCAGCTTGCACGCTCATGGGCTACACCAAAATGGAACGGTTGATCAAGACGGTGCACCCTTCGTTACAGAATGGTAAGTTATACATCATGAGTAACGAGGATGAGAAATTTATATAAAAGTCACTAAAATCGATTTTTGTAATGACATATTAGTGGTATCCCACCTGGAGATAGCCGCACCTATGAATATCATCTCGATCAATCCGGTACTTATTGGATTCATAGTCACGTCATGGTAAGCTTCGTTGTATTTTAGAGCTAGCATTTTTATCTATCATAAAAAACTTTCATTGAAATTGATGCTCACCGTAAAAAAACATATTAAATGTAGGGACAATACATGGATGGCCTACGCACACCATTCATTATACACAACACAGAAGATCCTTATCAAGGGAAATATGATGAGGACATCACCGTCACTGTTTCTGGTATGTACACAAGAAAAGCAATGTCAAATCAGAAATTTGACAACTTACATCTCACATGTCTCTCAATGTTTACTATATAGACTGGTACCACAACGATTCGCGTATCAATGCTGCTTGGTTCCTTAGCACTGCAAATCCTGATGCCGATGAGCCTATTCCGCGTAAGTTACATTTCGCTTGATGCTTACTGTCGAGGCAGCAACTACAGTTATCAGTAACTATGAGAAACATGTATCATGTGGCTTTTTGATTAATTTACTTGATTATTTCTCGTCGATTATATAGAATCTGCCGTTATTGGGGATCAACAAAATCCAAGCTATTCATTTGAGCCCGGAAAGACATACCGTTTGCGAGTGATCAACATGAGCGGCTTTTTAACTTTCTACTTTAGCATTGATGGTCATGACTTTGATATCATTGAGGTCGATGGTGTAAGTTGCATTTCGTTTTAGTGAATTCAAACTAGCATGATATGAGGAAGAGGCTCTTTCAGGTGCTAATAACAAGCCAATCATTTCTCAAATTTTAGGAATACACTCACCCTTATAACGCTAAGAACGTATACCTATCTGTTGCCCAGCGCATGTCGATCCTTGTCAAGGCTAAAGAAAGCACCAATCTGAACTACAACATGCACTTTGACATGGATTACACCCAAATGGACGACCCTCCCAAAGATCTCCAAGTTAGTAAGTATCTGTAGTAGAACATTTATATAAACTCTCGCTATATAGACAAAAATATGCTATTCTTCCCTTAAACCTTTTCTAACATGGCTGTGCCATATTTCAGATTATACTGCCCCTATATACTACGATCGATCGCACGATAAGTTTGCACCCAGTGAGGATATTGCTATCAAGAGCAAATTTGATGACTTCAATTTGCGATCGTTTTGGAATATGAATGCTGTTGATCCTGACTCACAATACAACATAACGATCGAGCAACAATTCACCACTGACGGACTGAACCGTGGTATGGTCAACCGCATTCCTTTCATTGGCTCGCCGACGCCTACGCTCTTCACTGAGCTTACAACTGGAGAGCTCGCCAACGACGCCAGGGTTTACGGTCCTCAAGGCAATGCATATATTACGAAGCATTTGGACATGGTCGAAATAGTTGTTAACAACTTTGACGGTGATGCTCATCCATGTGAGTTAAAAATCTATACATTTGTTCTTATATTACATATCATGGTTTCGGCTCCTTTGTGAGTAACAGCTGATAAATTGTTCTATGCACGCTTTTTCAGTCCATTTGCATGGCCACAAGTTTCAAATTGTTGCTCGCAGCACAGAGCAGAACCAGTGGTATGATGGCGTCAACAAGGTCGGCAAATGGAACACAGAGAGCCCTGTCCAGCGTGATACGATTCGTGTCCAGGGATACGGCTTTGCGGTGATCCGCTACCGCTCAGACAACCCAGGCACATGGCTTTTCCACTGCCATATCGACTGGCATTTCTTGTCGGGTATGGGTGTTGTGATGGTCGAGAATCCTGACCAAGCACAACAATCAATGCCAATTGATCCCAAGTTGGCCCAACAATGCATCCAGCAAGGTCTATTCGCTTCCGGAAACGCTGCTGGTAAGGAAGGTCTGGATCTTGCGGGCGCGCCCTCTGGAATATATCTCCCAAAGGATAAGCCATTGCTTACACCAGATGATTCTTAACCTGTCTTCGATCTGATATTTACAGTATGCTATCCAGTATATTCTTTTCCCTTTCCTCAATCTTCTTTCAATAAAAAAATGCACTATGTTATTAAACATTTTGCTGACATACGTTGCCTCACTTGTTAGAAATAGAGCTCAGATACTTCCCCAATTGGAGCACTTACCAAACTATTGCATTTTAGCCTAAAAGTAGATCATCATCAATCTAAGTTTCAAATTCTTGAAACTCTTTCCTAATCAGTCACTTCAAAAAACACATCTACGCAAAAAATCCAACTGAAACGATTCAGCGAAGCCGATGACAAAGAAAATTTGATAACTCTATATATACTCATAAAACATCAGATAAGCGAGGAAAAAGAAAAAGAGCGATCGAGCCATTTTTTTTTTATTTTTTCGCTTTTTGGTTACAGTTTCTTTTTTAGGTAACTTAACGCGTGGATTTCACCCGGCAGAAACCCAAACATTGGAGAGCAAGAGAAGAATTTTGAGTCGCCTTTTCCATTTCCTTTTATTTTACCGAAGAAAAGCAGGGTAAGAGAAACTATTGTTGCTTGCTAACTTTTAATTAGGAAAGGATTCTGTTGCTTCTGCTACTGCAGTTGTTTGCTGTACCTACTTACAAAACACACCTTTAGACAGCGTCCATCATGGAAAAGGACAGTGACCCGTTGCTTAAACAGCAGCAGCATCATGATGATAACGATCGATCGTCAACGCTTCCATCAACGACAACCCAGCCACAGCGGCAACAACAAAAATGTACGCGATTTGTACTGACTATACTTGCATCGCTCGCCGTTTTCTTCGTCTTGAAACTCTCACTTTCAACAAACAGCTTGTCGGATGAAACGCAATTGTCTCCCGAAAATGATGATGACGCATCGTCCCATCATACCACCACTACCAACGGAGACGGTCATGTAATCGTGCATAATTGGAATATCACTTATACGATGGCAAATCCAGACGGGAAATTCGAGCGTCAAGTGATCGGTGTCAATGGGAAATGGCCGTATGTTAAAGAACCCGATAAGCATTCTCTTGTTTGTGCCTTTCGTAAAGAGAATATTTCTAAGAAAGCTTCAGGCCACCTATTGTAGAGGCTCAGCTCGGTGATACAGTGGTTATTCATGCTCATAATGCGTTAGACTGGCCAACTTCATTGCATGCTCATGGCCTGTATCAAAATGGTACAGCACAACAAGATGGTGCATATTTAGTAACAGAATGGTACGTACGCGCACATTAACTATATCTAGGTGCAGTAAAGCCTTAATGTATGGAATCGGTTAAGCACAATCTGATCATGCTCCTTCACATTTAGTGGTATTCCACCAGGCGCATTACGTACTTACGAGTACAAGATAAAACAGGTCGGGACGTATTGGATCCACAGCCATGTGCAGGTAACCGATTTCATTTGCAAACTTTCATGCATGTTATTCTTTGCATAATTAAGTAACTGCGAAATTTAAATTTTGAGGCGCAATACTTGGATGGGCTGAGAACACCATTGATTATTCGTGATCCTAAGGATCCATACCGAAATCAATACGATGAAGAGATGATTATTACACTCTCAGGTAAGACGCCTACCGGTAATAATAGTATTCAACAGTCTCCGATTACTTACTTTGACCCACACGTTATCGCTATTATTAAATAATAGATTGGTACCATAACGATTCGCGCTCCAATGCAAAATGGTTTCTGAGCAAGGAAAACCCAGATGCCGACGAGCCTATTCCTCGTAAGTTCAACAGCAACAATTTTTTTTATCTTTGAGATACCATACAAGCTGGATTGAAACAAATTACATATCAACGTATGGTTAGAATCGGGTCTTATTGGCGACCGATTGGATCCTTCGTACCATTTTAAACCTGGAAAAACGTATCGTCTCCGGGTTATCAACATCAGCGGATTCATCACATACTATTTCAGTATTGATGGTCATGAGTTTGATATAATTGAAGTAGATGGGGTAGGTGTATGATATGTGATATAGAAACACGGTTATTCTCTTGTTTCCGGAACTAAAGTATTTTACAAAAACAAAAAGGCATACACCGAGCCTTATCGCGCAAAGAGCATCTATCTTACTGCTGCTCAGCGTATGTCCATACTTGTTAAGGCTAAAGAGACGACTGATCTGAATTATCTGATTCACGCTGATATGGATGCTACGCAACTTGATGATATTCCAGATGATCTTCAACTTAGTAAGTAATGTGACATGATATGCAACTTTTGCGTGTATGCTTTTCACTACAAAAAGCATTATAATACTACAACGTGAACACAGCATCATGATTTTAATAACTTGGTATCATTGTTATCAGATTTAACTGCTCGCATCTTTTATGATGAATCTCATAAGAGCTTTGCGCCAAGTGAAGATATCGGTCTCAAAAGCGTATTTGACGACTTCAACTTACGATCGTTGGATAATACCAAAGCAATCGAGCCAGATGCCATACTTAATATGACTGTAGAGCAGCAGATGGTTACCGATGGATTGAATCGTGGCATGATCAACCGTGTCCCATTTATCCACTCGCCGACACCTTCATTATTCACTGAGCTTACGATGGGAGCATTAGCTAACAACAGTAAGGTGTATGGACCTCAGGGCAACGCGTACGTCACTAGGCATTTGGACATGATCGAACTGGTTGTCAACAACTACGATGAAGATGCACATCCGTGTAAGTTGTAATTACAAGCGCCTGCGTCACACAATTGCAGAAGCCCATAAAATTTAAAATGTGTATAATAATGGAAGCGCTAACATAACCGCTTCATTAATGTACCAAGTTCATATGCATGGGCACAAGTTCCAAGTAGTCGCTCGAAGCACCAAAGAACGACAGTGGTATGATGGCGTAAATAGGGTTGGAAAGTGGAATTTGGACAAGCCGGTATACCGAGATACAATCCGGGTTCAAGGGCACGGATTCGCAGTGCTGCGCTACCGAGCGGATAACCCAGGAACCTGGCTTTTCCATTGTCACATTGACTGGCATTTCTTTTCCGGCATGGGTGTCGTGTTAATCGAAGCACCGGAGCAGGCACAACAGAGAATGTCTGTCGATCCAATTCTGGCTGAACAGTGTCGCCAGCAAGGCAAGTTTGCTTCTGGAAACGCAGCCGGTAAAATGAATTTGGATGTTTCTGGTGCTCCATCTGGTATTTATCTTCCCAAAGATAAACCGCTTATTCCACCAGAGGACGATGAAGATGAATAGTTTACTTATTTTTATCGATGCACGTACAACATCTATCAAAGTGCGTAATAGCGTGTAGTAACTTATAAATATGCTGATTCGTTGATATACATAGGTTTGAAGTGTTATATAAAATATTGTCACTCCATATTTGTATTGTAAGATATCCACAGTCAAAATCGATAAAGGGTTTTGAATCTTAAGAAAACTTTAATTCTCGTGCACATCGTTTTTTTAAAAAGGGAGTACGACAGTGAGAATCTCATGTCTACAGTATTGCACACTATATAGTTTTAATCACTACGTACTTATAGGACCGTAGAGCTACATCCGGCGTCAGGGCTTCCCGTGCATCAGCTTCCTCTATATCACTACGCATCCACCAGAAATCTACGTCTTTCAAAGCTTCACATTTGTCGGTACGCTTCATATCATTCAATGTCATACGCAGCCTGCCCATACGGAGTGTCTTCAATTGTGGATGTTGTGCAATGACTGCATTAAAGTTGCCCAGGTCGACAGTACAACTGTCTCATGGCCCTCCCCTTCCGCTACGGATAATAACATCATATATAGCTAAAGATATCGCTGCACATAAAGAGTGTCAGCAGTATGACGGTGCAAAGGGCATCAGGATCAGTCTGATTTTTGCGCGCACGTTACCCGATCAATAAAAATGCGAAATTGACGGATTACTCTCCATGCTTAATGCGAGTCCCATTTCATTGGGTAAGTTTCAAGCGCCGCAGAACAAGCATCATGATATGGGGTTCGCGTTGCAAAGTTGGCTCTTACTTCATCTCTTTTTGATTTAACTTTTTTTTAACCATGGTAAGAAAAAAGACACCGAAAGATGAAAGTGTCAGTGAAGCTTTGGCTCTAAACTCTTAATAATGGTCATGAATATTTAGGATGAAGAATACGATGTCATTGTTCTCGGTACTGGCTTGACCGAGTGTATCCTTTCTGGTCTTCTCTCCGTTGACGGCAAGAAGGTTTTACACATGGACCGCAACGACTACTATGGTGGTGAATCTGCATCGCTCAACTTGACCCAGGTATATACTTGTATAATTTTAAAGGAAAACAAGATGAGGGGATCAAGGAAGGAAGAAGAGGTTTTTGGGCTTGATTTATATTTATTTGCTAAATATCATCAATATGACGTATACGCATATAGCTTTACAACAAGTTCCGTCCTGGCCAGACTCCTCCCGAACAACTCGGTCGTGATCGCGACTGGAACATTGACCTTATCCCCAAGTTCATGATGGCCAACGGTGAAATTGTGCGTTTCTTGACACACACTGATGTCACAAAGTACCTTGAGTTCAAGCAGATTGCCGGCTCATATGTGTACCGTGATGGCAAGATTGCAAAGGTTCCTTCCAACGAGCGTGAAGCATTGGGCTCATCGTTGATGGGTATCTTTGAAAAGCGTCGTATGAAGAAGTTCTTGGAATGGGTGCAGAAGGTTAAAGATGAGGACCCCTCGACCCATCAAGGTAAAAAAAGGGAAAAAAAGAGGGGACACGCATAATAGAAATCTCAGGGCAATTCTATTATATGCAAACGTGTTCATGTGCTTTTTGTAAACAGTAATACTAATCATCACTATTATTAGGCATTAATGTAAACCAGGATACTATGACTTCTGTATATAAGAAGTTTGGTTTGGATGCTGGCACTCAAGACTTTATTGGTGAGTTTTCTGTTCTTTTTTAAAAGTACCGTAGAGGTTGGAATCCTGTGTATGCGTGTGTATGTATTAAACAGGCAATTCTATCTAGGTCATGCTATGGCTCTTCATCTTGACGATACCTACCTTGAGCAGCCTGCTCGTGATACCGTTGAGAAGATCAAGCTTTATGCTGCATCTGTTCTCCGCTACGGCAAGTCTCCCTATATCTACCCCATGTACGGTCTCGGTGACCTCCCTCAAGCTTTCGCTAGGTAAAATACAGCCCTCTTTTCTCAGATACCGCTCTGTAAAGAGAGTCGACAGTTTGGAGTAAATGCTTATCTGACCATATTGTCTATGATGATCTCAGATTGAGTGCTGTATATGGTGGCACTTACATGTTGGACAAGCCAATAAGCGAGTTTATCTATGATGAAAGCGGCAAAGTATCCGGTGTCAAGTCTGGCGACGAAGTTGTGCGCGCCAAGAAGGTCATTTGCGATCCTTCCTACGCCCCGGCTAAAGTCGAAAAGACCGGTTCCGTTGTCCGCGCCATTTGCTTGTTGACGCATCCTATTCCCAACACTGAAAATATCGACTCTGTCCAAATCGTCATCCCGCAAAACCAGGTTGGCCGCAAGCACGATGTCTATGTCGCCTGTGTCAGCAGCTCTCACATGGTTTGCGCCAAGGACTACTACCTTGCTATCGTCTCTACCATTGTCGAAACTGATAAGCCCGAGCAGGAGATCCAGAGTGGTCTCAACCTCCTGGGTCCTATCCATGACAAGTTTGTCTCGGTCAGCCCATTGGAGAAACCCGCTCAAGACGGTACCAACGACCAAGTATTTATCTCCAAGTCGTATGATGCTACGTCCCACTTTGAAACCGTTTGTGATGATGTTCATGATCTCTGGAAGCGTATCACTGGGGAGCCATTGGTACTCAAGAATCGCAGCGAGGAGGAAGCTGCTTAAAGAATCCCATCCACTATTCGTTTTAAAACACCTAGTCTTTGTAGCTTTCTCGCTCTGCCCTAAAAACAGAGAAAGCATTCGTTTCCACATTTTTTTCAATGAAAATATATTCCATCCTTTTTTTATCACATTTCACTGTGTAAAGATGTGTGTATGCTTGTGTGTGGACTTTGAAGTTTGAATTATCAAAGAAGTATATCTAAAAGGAAAAGTATGTCGTAGTGAAAAATCGCCAAAGGGTATAGATCTATTACTTTCACTCTTCTGCTTGGCTGCTGTTGCTGCTGCTATTAATGACAGTCCGTCTTCGTTTGTAGAAAAGAAGGTATGCTGCCTCAGTCTAGATATGTGGTTATTTATTTGTGAGCAACTTGTTAATGGTAAGCATGCAAGTAAGAGATAGCTTACCTTCACGCTGGATACGTCATGCACTGGAGATACATGCGAATCGTTGAATTTACACCATTCTCGGGTTTTTGAATTTTGCGCAAAGGCAGTATCTAGTCGTGTAAAAATATAATTTCAATAAGTACAGCTGTATGTGATGATATTTAAAAGATACGAAACTATACTCACAGTGACCACCACCCATCCCACCAAAGTGATTATCGACAGCATATAGATCGTATATGATACGGTCATCATCGGGATGATCGCCCATCTGTCGCTCTCTGTCTGCTGGGCTGCTCGCTACCCAATCTGTCATATCCAGCTCTTGTACTGGAAAGTCAATTAGTATATCAATCTTGTCGCGTAACATCCGCGTGCTGCTGAACCGTTTGAGATGGATGACCATGATTTCAGGTAGACACCACAAGTCAATTTTTTTCTGTGCGTGCTGATGCTTCTTGCACCGTGGACAATACCACAAATCCTGGTCTCCAAGCATTTCTTCCCTTGTAAATTCATCTAAACAGTGTGCCAACGTGATAGACTTGTCATTGCTATCATCTTCATCATCCATAGCATCATCGGGATGGTCGTCCTTGTCTATCTCCTCCCACCCGCGGGTATCGACCTCATCGAAACCGCCAAACATTTCTTGTGCCTTGCGTACTGGCCAAACGACCACAATGCCCTCGCCTTGTTTGATCAATGGTCTCGGAGAAGAAGCGGTGGTCCATGAAGTAGGGCTCGGTAAATTGGATGAGGGCTGGGTGGCACTGATGCTACTTTTCTTTCCATCAGTGGTAGTTGTCGAGAGTCCTGGCGATTGACCCTTATCATTATCCGAGCCGTCCTCGTCGCTCGCAGATTCTCGTCGGTATATCTTAGCATCGGTTGCCATAGGATCGTCCATATCGCCATCCTCCTGAGGCGTTGCCGAGGTGATCGCCATGCGACTGTCGTCATCTTCATTGTCCGAAACGCAGAACGGTAGCGGATCAGATTCTTCCTCTTGTGTAGGTAGAGGAGGACCAATAAAACTACTCGTCGTGCCTGTGGTTGAGGCACTGCTGCCGGATCCCCTATTAGTCAAATCAACAAGGCCTGCGCTGCTTAATGGCGCCGTCGTGGGCAAAATGTCGCTACTAGTACTAATTCCGCGATATGCGCTTTCCCAAAACAGTTTCATGGTAAACAAGTTCTTGATCGGCTTCATGAGTCGACCACCTGCTGCTGTCACTGCGGCAGAAGTATGGATCGACTTTTGTCCTTGAGGCGGGTCGGTTTCCATGGCTTCGTCACGTAGAGCATCCTTGACTTCTTCAAAAGGCTTGAGCATGGTGAATCGTGCGATATGTTCGGCAATTAGACGATACACGTTGTCGGTTGAACTAGCTTCGTCGGTCCGCATAGCCAGCACGATTGGCCCACCGAATTGCTTGAGTGGAGGACGGGTTGAATTACTCTTATTATCGGTAGATGCGGGAGTTGAAGCACAATAGACAGGGAAAATAACCCATTCTGCTTCATCATTCGCTTCATCGCTACTACTGCTACTACTGCTACCGTCTGCTCGTTTCGCTCTCTTTTTTCGAACAGGTTGGCCCGTCGGTACGGATGTTGGAAGTTGATAGACGTAAATGATGTCATTAGGTGCAATGCCGCTGACGGGCTCATAAGACGGGTACACTTTAAAGATGGCACGGTCGTAGATTTCAGCAACAAGCAACTATAATCATTAGTTTTGTAAAGAGTGAAGAACAAGACGGACGAATCGCGCCGAACGAAGGGAAGAAAAGACATATAAAAATATTTGTGGTTTGCATTTAAGAAGAGAAATTGTATGGGTGTTTATTGTTTGAATAATGACAAGAGACATTATAAATAGAGAGATATGTTTACTTACTGTAGTGGGATCCCTGACGCCTACTCGTTGAGCAACTTGTCCCTGGAGTTGTTCAATGCTTGCGTTGTTTTGGAACGTGAGCTTCATACGTCGTTGCCTTTGGGACGGGTCATACGGCACATAGATGACTGTCACTTGCGTCCTTTTTTGTACTGGAAGAGGCAAGGACAGATACATGAAAGGATCAAACATGATGGAGACCTACGTACGCATATATACTTATCAATCAAATGTTCTACAAATCTTTCAATCTCTCAAGTACAAACCTTTTCACACTCTTGGCAGACAAGACGACTCTTAAATTGGCCTTGGAACAGATCCACAATAACGGAATCGTTTCTTGCCTTGTGATACTCCCAACAACGCATCGCAACCTCTCCATCGGGCATATCGTCAAAATCTGGTAGTTCAACGTATGGTTTCTTTGTGATTCTGTTTAAATCTTCGTGTAATCCATCAAGAAGGAAAGATAAGAGCTCTTGGGAATCGTGTTGACGATATCCAAGAAAGGTTGAATTGAAGCGAGAAATCGTATACTACATAATGCGGTTTGAGGCACTTTATCCATTAGTCGATAAGTGTCAGGCTAATTTGAAAAGATTGTGCAAACTACCTTGAAACTTCTAGGTGCAATGCTTGCATGTCTACCACTCCACATATCCTTGATAAGGTCACCGTAGGCTTCAGCCAATTCACCATTCATGCCCAATGGATTATCTCGGTTAAGCTCCTTCTTGTACATCTCCTCTACAAACACAGAAAGGGTTAGTATACGATATATGCTTTAGATGGTCAGATGACAGATGTACGGAATAGCACCATTCTCATTATTACATACCTAGAAAATATCGAGTAAGTGCTGCAGTGTTGCTCAGGCATTGCAAGGCTGAGTTCATGTAGCACGTGTTTCCCATGTTAACCAAACCACAAAGTCCTTGTTCAAATTCTGGTTCTAGCTCCTTTTCATCATCACTACTGCATCCAGAAAGTTTGATCGGGTCCACGGACGAATAAGCGGGTGGTGGCTTGTTGTATGCCATTTCCTTTTCATTGGTTTGGGCGCTGACCATCATCGGCATCTTGTCAGGCGAAGAAGGAGCGGATGTTAGCGAGTGCAAGTTGTTGGCCGCTTCAAGCTCTTGATCGTTGTCATTGTCTTCTTGTTCGTAATCCGCGATGAGTTTGATAGCGCAGGGTGTATAGTCCAACTCCAATTCTGTCAGCCCGCGTGGATCATTGTCTCTTATGCGCGTACCCATAGCGAGTAATGAATCGTCGATAAATGGATCTTCATCGTTCTCTGGATCATCCTCAAGCTTCCAAAGTTGGTACCTCACATCCGCAGGAATAGCCAGACGTTCTTCGATAGCCTTCCTCAAATCCTTTGCAGTTGCTGTGTCTTTTAACTCGACAGACACCACATCAGATAATGAAAATTTAGCGGATGGAGATCGAACCACGTACACCCGGATTTCGCTAGGATATAAAGCTTCGAATCCTCCATCGGCAAGAACGGCTCTTGATAAGGGATTGGCATTTGCACCGTACCTTTAATTTTCAAATAAAAGTTTGCGCTGGATTAGCTTATATGGATCGTGAAAAGACCGCATGTTACAGCATTCTACAACTTCTTTCTTTCTGTTTGCTTTCACAATTGCCTTTGCCACCCTTTAAGCCATCAAAATCAATTTACCAAGCATGAAAAGCCTCCCATATCTCTTCAGGAAAAATTAGCACTTCGCTATTGATAGCTAAGCCCTCTCGTAAAGAGCCATCATAATCCATAAGTGAGAGCAAATCCATAGGGCCCGGATTTACTGCGTAGTCATCGTCTGGCATCATGCAGTACTCCTGCCATCGTTCGAACCATTCACCCGGTATAAGGTACCAAGTATCACCAGGCATCAAGCTGGAAGCTTTCTCTAGTTTTTTAATATACTCCAATTGCTTCTCTCGTGGTAGAGCCGCGAGCATCGATGGCTGTTCATAATCCATTCTTACGTCGCCAAAGTCGTTGTTAACGTTATTGTCGTTAGAAGTTGTCGTAGATGTCAGCAGCTCCACAGCACAGCCATACAGCTCTAGATCAAGCTCAGCAACTGATTTTGTAGCAGCATCTTGGTCGTTAATGAGCTCGGCATCCTTCAGCAAGGATGGGTCGATATACAGACTGGTTGTGTCCTCCGGGTTCGCTTCTAGCTTCCATAGCCTTACTTTCACGTCGAAAGGTAGTGATAAAGCTTCTTCAGCGTATCGCATTAATTCAGTAGGTAATGCCGCATCGGATATTGATATAGTGAGTACGTTTCGTGGTCCGTCAACTGCGTCGTGATCGTCGCGATTGACAACATAGATTTTGATGTTGATAGGATACAGAGTTTCGAACGTATTATCATAAAGAATTTTTCGTGGGATAGGTTCACCAAGTATTCCATAGCTAACCAGACAAAAAAAAAACAAAGACTTAAATTAATATCCCAACACGTCATCCTTATTGCTTTCTTTTTTTTTTCTCCTCCGTGATTTCTAATGTGTATTTTTACTTTGCTTCAAATAGTTTCCATGCATTTTCAGGTACAAAGACAAAATCCACCTTGTCTTTTAAGTTGGGTAACAAGCTGCCATCCGGTTTTATCATAGAGTTGTTGCTGACAGGACCTGGAGACTGACTATCGTTGCTGGTGGACGCGCAGAACAACTCCCACTGGCGAAACCACTCCATTGGAACGGCATACCATGTCTCGCCTGGAACAGGCTTTTTGGCACGTAGCTCGGCGATATACGCCACTTGTTCGTCCTGCGCTACTCTTGCTGGTAGTTTTGGAGCTGGCGGAGGTTGATCAGGTGGTAGCGTTCTACTTTTTTCAATGTCGTCGTCGTCGTCGTCGATTTCGTCAGCAGTTGTTGGTGCAGCTGTGGTAGTAGTAGTAGTGGCAACGGTGTCATTTTCCATATGAGTAGTTGAATCGGAATTAACTGAATCTTTTAATGGTGCACGCGTTTCAACGTCTTTTGCCAGCGTAACTGGATTTACGGGGGTTTGATTTTCGTGCTCCATGTGGCAGGAACTAGCAAAAAAAAGGTGGTTGAAAAAAAAAAGGGCAAACAAAAAAGTAGCGGAGTATGCGAGCGGAACTGACCGCGCAGTCAGCTTGAACCAAATATGGCATAGAGTGATGGCAAAGAAGCACTTCCATTATCAGCGTAAACAGTTTTCAAATGCTTACAAACGACTTGGAGACGAACTTTTTTCGAAAGAAGTTTGACAATAGCCTCTGCAGCTGGGATTGCAACAGATACCTCTTTTATTTTGCTTCTTCAATATAGACGCACTATACACCGCAGTACTACTGCGTGTCGTACTGTTGCTGACTACAAGTTTCTATTTTGAGAAGCATATCCGTCCGTTCAATGGGTCGTTTCGTTGTTGTCTTGGCTGCTTTGGCACGCAAAGCGAGAATGTGAATACATCAAGCAATATTTCATCAGCCAGTAGTATTAAATATGGTCTTAAATGCGCATGGGTTGCCCGTGAAAGGGGTGACGGGTAGCGTGGAAGTGCTTACGATGAAGTCACGGTGGTGTATAAACCAATCACTTAGTAGCTGCGATATCTCTCTTCCTTTCTTCTCTATCCATTTTTTTTCTCCCTCTCCTAACCCTCCCACATATACTCTCTCTCATATAAGACTCACACACCCATACATATATACACGCAAATCTTATATACACAGCATAGCAATTCGCTCTTTGGGTCTTGAATAAAGCCGATTTCCGTTTATTCAAGTTATCATTGACTCCCCCGCTCATTTATCTTTTATGGAACATCCCTCCAAGAAATTAAAGAGATCAGACAGCACCGGACGACGCTCTTCTTCTACTACCTTATCACAGCAACAACAGCGCCACAGCACCAGATCTAGTTTGCATCAACCCACCGAATCGCCAGCAGCATCTTCCTCTTCCGCGACTCAGCGGTATTCTTTGAGACAGAAAAAGAAGGCAACAAGACCAACCGGAAAGAAGGGAACCCAATCGTCGTCGTCTAATTCTACATCGGTTCAACAACCGCAGCAGCAACCGGCCAGCTTCACTACAACCAGCAGTCAAAGGTATCACAACAGAAGGTCCACCCCTTCTTCTTACTAATACACATAAAAGAGAAACATTGCTTTGCTGATTTCCTTTTTAGCAAAAGGCTTCCACAAAAACGTAAGCACCCACAGCAACAACAACCTGAACAGCAACCAGAGCCCGGATCTTCTTCGTCCAAGCGGCCTCGTCGACGCCAGAGTACTAGAAAAATGGATAATGCTCCAGAACAATCAACAGTAGAATCGGGAAACACTGCCACTACCACTATTACACAAGATAGAACACCCACACCAGCTGAAACTGCTGCGGGTGCGAAAGCAAAAAGTCGACAGCAACAGACAACATCCAAAAACAAAAAGGCGTCCGGTATTGACAAATCAAGCAAGAAAGGCAAAGCAAAGGCCGTAAAGTCAGATGCCGACAAGCAGCTTGATAGGTAATTTTGCACTCATCCATCAGTAATGATGGTCCGCATGATAACAATGATATCTATCAACTAAAATTATCCTATAGAGAGACTACAACTACAGCTACAACAACAACGTCAGTAGCAACAAAACGTCAGCCTGGCAGAAGAGCCAAGAAGCAAGCCGATCCAGAAGGACTGCAATCACATGAAACGGAGTCGGATACTGAGAATGCTCCAGTTTCATATTTCGGTTATTTTGAAGGCGGCGATGTTCAGGAAGAACACGAGACGAGCCATGTCACGTTTGACGACGAACCGCCAGAAGAATTTGGACATGGCGATGGATGGGATGACGAAGAGGAACGTTATGAAGGAGAGGACGATGATGAAGATGAAGACGACGAAGACGAAGGCGACAGGGATGGTGAAATGCTCGAAAGCATGGACGACGAAGATGACGAAGAAGAAGAAGAAGAGTTGGACAGAGTACGACGTAACTTGGGTCTGCATATGCAAAGTACATTTGGCGGCATGATGTCGGACATGAGCGGTCGGCTGCGTTCTATCCTCCAAAGTCTCAAGAACGACGATCCGACCATGCAGTTGGTGGCACTCCAAGAACTTGCAGAGATCCTGTCGGTGAGCAGCGAAGATAATCTGGCCGGGTACTTTGCAAGCGACAGTTTTGTCAAGGAGCTTGTGCGAATCATGAAGGGGCCCGGTGACCTGCTAGGACCCGGTGTTGATATGGATGATGACATGATGGTTGCCCTGGCTATGAGTGAAGATCTGGGCGGTGGGAATCCAGAGTTGACGTTGCTTGCGTGTCGGTGCATATCCAACTTGCTCGATGCTTTGCCTACGGCTGTCACCAGTGTGGTTTATCACGGAGCGATCGGTGTCCTTTGCCAGAAGCTAAAGTCGATTGAATACATTGACTTGGCCGAACAAGCCCTCTGCGTATGTGTTTGCATCTGTTATATCGAAAGATATAAAAGTAGTACCTTGTCACCAGTATGGCTTACTCCGTTCTGTTTGATCTGTTGTTTACAGGCACTGGAAAAAGTAGCAAGCCATCTCCCGCGTGCAGTCGTGCATGAAGAAGGTCTTGCAGCAGCTCTCATGTATTTCGACTTTTTCAGCATTCATTCCCAACGAACGGCTTTAAGAACGGCTGCAAACTGTATGCGAGGCGTTGACAATGATTCGTTCCCACAAGTGATGGAGATCATCCCCACTCTTCTTAACACTGTTTCATACCCTGATCGTACTGTTGTCGAACTTTCGTGCTTGTGTTGGGTCCGACTTGCTGAAAACTACCGTGGTAGTAGTGAGAACCTTGAAAAGGCTGTGTCCGTTAGCCTTCTGGAAAAGATGATGGCCCTCATACCCGTTCCTGGAAACACCAATTTGGTGCGGTCGTCTACTTTTACCGACATCCTCCGCACATTCCGTGTTGTCGCAAAAGGCTCCCCGACACTTGGCTTGGAATTGCTTAAGCTGAATGTTGTCGACAGCCTTTACCAAGTCTTGACTGGGTCATCCAAACCCGAAGAAGACGTTTCTGTCTTGACACACGTCTCTGTAGACAACAAATGGCGCGACTCAATATATGCAATCCTGCGAATCTTTGTGGACGTGCTTCCATCACTGCCAAGAGGTATGCACCCTACATGAAAGAGTGAAAGTTGTTTGATTGTTTATGTAATTCTATCAAGGACCGTCGCTTACTTCATTGGATTTTTTAAGATGACATGTTTAGTTCCAAGCGATTCAGAAACAACGACCCAGTATCAGCGCGTACACGATCGGCAAACGCCAACTCGGAAGAACTTCCGATTCTCAAGGAGAAAACATCCAGATCTGCACAAACAGACCCACGCGTCGATTTCTTGGAAAAGAATCCCGACTTGCTCAAACGCATCGATACACTTCTATTCCCTGTTCTCCTGGAGATTTACACGTCAACAGTCAACCTACGTGTTCGACAGCTCGTGTCACACTTGTTTGTCAAGACAACCCATTTTTCCAACGCTGATACGTTGCAGCAGGTGTTACGAGACATCCCTCTTTCAAGTTTCCTCGCTGGCATTCTTGCGCAGCAGGAACACGCTACCCTGGTCATCGATGCCTTGTTTGAAGTTGAACTGCTGCTTAAGAAGCTACCTGATGTCTACCGCTTCCTCTTTGAACGTGAAGGTGTACAGCACGAAGTCGAAACGCTTGCCAATACATCATACTCTGATGAATCACAGACCGACGATGCTAAAGATACAAGCAAAGATGCGGAAAGTTCGGGTGAGCCATCAAAGGACACATCGGAAGCCGCCACGTCATTGGAGATCCTGCGAAGCATGCAAGAAGCTATTCGTAACCATGCAACCGAAACCAACAGTGATGACGAAGAAGAGACCGAGAAACAAGATCACGAACAGCAGCAACAGAAGCAGACTAAAGCATCTGGGTCATCCGATACGTCCAGCGATTTTGCACAGCCCAACAAAGATCAACAGCAGCAAGAGCAACAGCGCGCGCAACAATACAGTAGTAGCAACACTAGTGCTGCGGATGGCGAGCGATTGTCACGCAAGCGCGTGCTGGATCGCAGCGAGCTACACGCATTGCTACGCAGCCGATTCGGTTCTGGACAGGTTTCATCCGGTGCCTCAGAAACCGAGAAGGGTATTGGCCGTGGATCGACACGCCGGTACGTCATCCGCTTGGCCCAAAACTTGCTACGAGAATGGCAAATGCAGGAACTGGAGGACATACAGAAGCCAGGCCGTGCGCTCGAAGAGATTCAGAATATCGCCCAAGAGCTAACCGGATCGTCCAAGGACCCATGTGCAGAGATACCTTTGGCAAACCTTATACAGTATCTGCAGAGCTCCACGATGGGTGTCAGCAGCTTTGAATTGATGAACTCGGGATTGTTGGATGCGCTGTTGGGTTACTTGACGATCGAACGAAAAGACAATAACTTTGCAAGCGATTTAGAGGACCGAAGAAAAGCATTCAGCAGTCTTTTGTTACGCGCCGACACTAGCGCACAATCTGGCACTATTAACCCAATCCGTGTGCTCGTGATGCGTCTACAAGAAATCGTCAGTCGGTTCGAGCCGTTTGAGGTTGTTACTCCCTTGGAGTCGTCATCTTTGGGTGATAATTTCCGTAATCCAACCAGTATGCTTGCCAAGCAGCTTCGTCTTCGCTTGACCGGCCGAGGAGATGACATTCCAACAGAATATCAGCATCTGATGGTTTCCACCCACGCAGTCGCCACCTTCAAGGTGTTAGAGGAGTATCTTTTGACCAGAATTGCTGCTGCCACTCTTTCATCTTCAAAGAGGAAATTTGTCAAGCGGACAAGCAAGAAAACGGCAACAACATCTTCGTTATCAGCAGGCGCGGGCGAATCATCCAGCACAGGTGAGGCAGATGCTCAATCTTTTATTGACAAGGAGTCACCGCCCCCTGAAGACGTTGATGTCGATAACGAAAAGGAAGAGAACGCTGTTGAACAGGTATATAATTATCTTTGGGAAACAACGTAGCGATATTTTTTTATCAATAATGTGAGATTTACACCTTCACCTCTATTTCTTTTCTCCCTCTTTTGCAGGCTGGGGGCGATGCTGGGCCAATGGATACTACTGATGAGAGCAAAGAACCTGCATCATCATCTTCTGCCCCCAAAACTGATGGCAAATGGGTCATTCGTTTCTATCTCAAGGACACTTTGATTTCTAATGACACGACTGTATATGGTGCTGTTCATCAATACGAGGCCACCAGCGGTAACAATAACAGTGGCAGTGATAGCCGATCTTCATCTGCAATCCGCAATATCTGGGTCATGTCCTATCCTGTCACATTCGAACGTGTGTGGATACCAAAGAAAGAACAGCAAGAGAACAACAATGAACAAGCTGTCCAGCAATCACAAAATGTCGAGCGACCATCCACTTTAAATGATGAGGCTGTATGCACTCATGCGTTTGAGCTATTGAAGACGATTGCATCACTCACACGACCATTCAATGCGTCTGAAACCACTATTCCAGCACAAGATTATGTGAATCGTAAACTGACTGCCAAGATGAACCGTCAGCTTGAGGAACCATTGATCGTTGCAAGCTCATGCCTCCCAACCTGGACCTACTGGTTGATGCAAGAGGCACCATACCTGTTCCCATTCGAAACCCGCTATCTGTTCATACAGTGCACATCGTTCGGATATTCACGACTTATCGCTCGTTGGCAGAGTCTCCAAACACGCAACAACGGTCAGCGAGACGATCAGCAACATCAGCAACCTATTCTAGGTCGCATGGAGCGACAAAAAGTGCGTATTGTTCGAGCACAAATGCTCGAATCGGCAATCAAGATTCTGGACTTGTTTGGCAGCGCACAGTCTGTCTTGGAAATCGAATACACGGGTGAAGAAGGCACTGGTTTGGGTCCAACGCTCGAATTTTACGCTGCCACGTCCCGCGAGTTCTGCAAAAAGTCGTTGAATATGTGGCGTGATGACGATGAAAAGGAGGGCGAGTACGTGGTGGCCAAGCAGGGTCTGTTTCCGAAACCGTTGGGCAAATTGAGTGAATCTAGCAGCACCAAGGTGATCAACTTGTTCAAGACTCTCGGTCAATTCATCGCCAAGGCAATGCTCGATTTCCGTATCATTGATTTCCCATTTAGCGAGGCACTTTTCAAGGTCGCGCTAGGAAAGGAAGTACCTAGCAAAACTCTGATCAATGTAAGTGGATTTCTTTATCACAGCAGTTGTGAAAGCTATTTGTTATAAAAATGACTCGTGGTGGGACGATATGATTATTTAATTGTTTAATGATCTTTAGGAAATTGATCCTGTTCTGGGCATGTCAATTGAAAACCTAGAAGCATTCATCCGGTGCAAACGCTCAATATATGCCGATACTTCTTTGGTACGTTACACAAGGATAGCGCAATTATGCTAATGCGCATGATAGAAATGCTGAGGAGATTCCTAACACTTAATACTATTCTTGCTGTAGTCCGCGGAACAAAAGAAGGATGCTATCAACGATATCCACGTACAAGATAGTCGAATAGACGATTTGTGCCTTGATTTCACGCTCCCAGGTGACACAAGTATTGAGCTCAAGGTAAACCATTCTCTCGATGTATTTTTATATTTTCACATAAGAGGGTTTGATGTTTACTAACTATTGGGCCTACGTAATTAGCCTGGTGGTGCAGATATCCCCGTGACGATCCATAACGTGGAAGAATTCCTTGAGTTGTTGAAGGACATGGTTGCTGGATCAGGTGTTACCAATCAGTTCGAGGCTTTCCGTCAAGGCTTCAACCAACTCTTTGCCATCGATGATCTCAAAGTCTTGACTTTTGCTGAACTAGTCTCGCTCTTTGGCGCATCCGCTGAAGACTGGACTTATGCGAGTGAGTAACTTTGTAATTATTCAGGCAAAATTTTGTTTCATCTAACATGATATATTTGTAGCGTTGGCTGATGCGATCAAGGCAGATCATGGATTTACAATGGAAAGCTCGTCATTCAAAAACTTGTTGAGTATCTTGTCTGAAATGAACGATCAAGAGCGACGCGAGTTCCTGCAGTTCACTACGGGTAGTCCAAGATTGCCTATTGGTGGTTAGTGTCAAATAATTCAATACATAATTATTTAAATGCAATGCACGAGTTATTTGATGGATATGCTGAAATTTTTCACTGTGTTGTTAGGCTGGAAAGCGATGCGTCCTGTCTTCACCGTTGTATGCAAAACATCTGATGCTCCACTTACTCCAGACGACTACCTGCCATCTGTCATGACATGTGCCAACTATCTCAAGATGCCAGACTACTCAAGCAAGGAGAAAATGCGAGTTAGATTGCTTACGTCCATGAAAGAGGGCAAGAACAGTTTCTTGCTCTCATAATATCCCCGCTCAACATGATACACACTTACACACATTTCTCTCTGTCACTTGATCTGCACACACACAGATAAAAAGCAGAGAAAAAACAGCTACCCCTACTCAATTATATTGCTCACTCGCACTTTTCACAACAAAGCACTCGCACTTTATTACCTCACCATTTTCTGGTACTGGAAACCCACTTTCCACAAACTACCCCCTTCACTCAATCGACACTTGTACACACACCACATCTCTTTTTGCTTTTTTTTTTTTCCAATTGAAAGATAAAAAAGTCACACAAAAATAGTTTAAGTTTTGACAGATCGCTTTTTGATGACAGCCAAGTTAGTAAACTGCTACGAGTAATTAGTTTATCATGTACACAGAAATGCATGCACATAGTTTCTACTGATATTTTTTTCTCTTTCATATATTTTCTCTCGCATCCACATATATGATCACCGCAACAATATACTATAAATGAATGTTTGTTCATGTTTCTGATGGGGATGGATTAAAAAAGATATACATCGTTAAGCGGAGGAAAAGGAAAAAGTCAGTTATAGCTTTTATTGGGTGGTTGTAGGAGTGATGGTAGTGTCATCTGTGGTGATTTTTTAACACATCCATGGTTGAAGAAGAGGAGGTCAATGCTTCGCTAGTATCTTTTGGCGTATCACCGAGGTGCTCGGTGTTAGACCTTTCTTTTCTGCAGAAGCGCGTTTGTGTGTTCCTCTTCGATTTCCTTTTCAGCGGTAACATAAGCATTATGTCGGTTGGTGCTTTTTAGAAATCCAAAATAAGAGTGGTGTCTCTAGATCTCTTTTGTATATTTTGCATGACATAACTTTATACTTTATCGATTTCTTAATAAGGAACTTGATACCGAGTTTCTTCAATGTCTCTTATAACGCTTTTTCATCTTGCTTCTTGACGTGAGTGCTCCAAGCTCCCATTGTCAAATACCATTCTGCTTGTATGCCAACCTTCCCACCCTGCCGCAGCATCTCTCCAGATTTGTCACGAGGATAGACGTCTTCCAGATACAACTCGCGCAATATGTTAAGCCAAAGACGTAGAATCTTGCCATTTTCCGGGTCGAGATTTATGTGTTATTCTATGTCTGTTTTGTCAAGCGCTCCAGTAGCAACGTTTGCATACATGTGCACTCACAGTTCGTCACCAGTGAACGGTATGTTTTGTAGGTTTCGCGTTGTTTTGGCCCACCCAAACCGGGCTGTGTCGCATATCTTCTTCCATGAGAGAGAGAGTGTGTCCTGATAATAGCAGCAAGTCCCATACTGGCTTGGGCAATCACGGGTAATTGCGAGGGTAAAAAAAATCTTGGAATATCAGGTCCCAATTTCCATGATAAGCTGTGGCTGTGGTAGGCCAAGAGAACGTGCTGGATGGAGATCTTTCTTTGTATCAGGCGTATATGTCGTCGTTGTTTTCCAGCATGTTGTTCTCGCTCGATTTACGTTTATTGGGTTTGTCAGTGGTTTGCTTGGCTATTTGTTATGATAGAGGCAATGGCAGCTAATCGATGTGTTGGACGTTCTAAAGACTGGCTTATAACAAAACAGGCAAGTAGTAAGGGAAGCGATACATGTTTCATGCTGCTTGCTTGAACTTAATCGCTACTCCAGCTTCTAGTGATCGTTACTTTTCCAAGTAATACTATCGTAAACATGCGTTTAGTTACCTGCAGAGCAGGAATTTCTCTTTAGATAAGTTTACATGCTGCTACCATGGGAGGCTCAAGTACGTTAAAAGCTGCTTCTTGTGCTATAAGGTCACGAAGACGCATGCTATTCATGTTGGCAGTACACATGTCAACGAAGGTATCGGGTAACAACGTTGCCGGCGCACGATCTTGTACACAATGCAGTATTTACAGGACATTGGGTGCTACTGAAGAATACAATGATCACATATATCTTTGCACTGTTATAATTGAAAAAGAACGAATAAATTTAATGTATCGAGTTCGCATTGTGCGATTATATTGCTTAGCATTAACGTGTATATTTGTTATTGAGAATGATGTAAACGACAACTCTATAACTATTAATGTCGACGCGCCATAAACAAATTATGAGTATGATACCCTTTCTTAAAGATCCTTTTTTTTCTGAGATTAGGTTTATTTGTGGGTAATAATTACAAGTGATCCCCCGCCTCGCTGTTAATACAAGGTTTTCACTTTTCACTATCATCCTATGTAGAAGAACGAAATAAAAAAAAAAAGCACATTTGCAATTGTAGTAGAAAATAATTTTATTTCCAAGAAAAGAAAGCGCCATTCAGATAATCAGACTGTAATAGTCTCTTCCGGAATCGACGAATTGTAACGACCCCTATGTTTGGGGGTTACTTGAAAAACCTTGAGCAATAATGACATGATGGGCCGAAAGTTCAGAGCCAAGAAGAACCCTTTGGTGCTGTGATAACACTCTCCTTCCTTTGAGCACACTCTCTTGAACACGCAAAAAAATGCGTGGGTTCTGGCCCTTACCTTCATGATGTTTGCAAAGTGTGCGCTCACTCTATGGAAATTAGTTATCCTAACAACAGGACTTTGGTTTAAAAAAAAAAGGTTCCTTTTAGGAGAAAAGAAGAAGGTTGCGACATGGGATATGATAGAATGCGCTTCACTTTACGCAGTCTAATGGTCTTGTTGTTGCTATGAAGAAAATGTCAATAAAACGGCAGTGAGACGCTTGATACTTTGTCTTTTGAGATTACAAGTTTTCTTTCAAATAGCCTAATTCAGTAACACGAGCGAAACTTCTTGGACACCCATTTTGTTCCGATCGGATGTAATAAATATTTTAAAGATGCTGAGCAAACGCGGGAGTTTGAAGGAAATGCGCTCGTTCGTTTGAAAGTATGAAATAAAGGTCCAGCTGTCAATTTGTTGAATGGTCTACATACGACTTTTTTTTTTTTTGGTATATCACGATAAACGTGTCACAAACATATGTTTCATAGTACTTCAAACGATTGTGCACTTGGTTTTGTCTATATGACGGAAATTTCCCAGGTAGAAGTACCTGTATGATGTAATTCTAAGGTGCCCGTCTGAGCGAGTTGCTTGGGTGCTTTAAAATATTGGGCCAAGTATAGTACACTAAGTTTAGTATCACTTAAAAGAGCAGTTAATTTTTAACAATATAAAGGTGACACTGTTGTATGTCGCAATCCTGTATCATAGAAAGCTGCTACGAGGTGAGAATGGAACGCTTGACCCCATATTTTTTACGTGGATCGTTGTTGTTGATACATCTTTATTGTATAGCGTAGTTGACAAACTATACTGTGCTCGCGCAAAGGTATCAAGGGGTATATTGCTTTTGTAGCTAGCGAGGAACTTGCAAAAAGTGTATAATATACTGCCTGTTGACATGCCCCCCTTTTGTAGTATGTACAACATCTATTACAAATGTGCGTCAAACCGCTGAGCAATACTTAGTACACCAAATGTTATGGGAACAGTTGTTTGTCAACACACAGATGACGATGCTTGCCGTTGCTCTACTAGATCGTATTTACCAAATTTAACTAAATGATATGGCTCCATACTTATATATATGTAACTAGTATAAGCCGGCATCATTGTCACACCCCATACAGTAGCATTAGTGATTGAGAGAAAGATAAATAACTGTCTATCTGTACGTTGTTCATCGAGTACAAAATGATCCAATAAACCGAGAGCATTTTTCCATTGTAGCTAGCTATTAGATAGCAAATAACCCATATACGCCACATCAGAAAGTATCTTAAAAGATACAAAAAGGCTGTATACATTTTATAGAGTGGCATCGAAAGCTCCATGATCACAGCGCTCAAAGATCGTTGTTGCATGGGCTATGTATATATGTTGAGTACCCCACTCAAGCGACTATACAAAGTCCCAGAAAAGTCAAGCAGATCAAACGACTTCAGACACGCTGGGTACAGCTTACGACCCTATGGTATGATATATCCTTTGGACGTCCTCATCCGTGTAACTATCAATCTAAGGCCTTACCATTCATCAAGTAAGGTAGTTGAGCAAAAAAAAAAAAAAAAGCCAAGGAGAAGCATGTTGTTGTGATTTCTAAATGTAACGACGTACACTATTGTGATGGTTTTGAACCTTTTTGCGTTAGGTTTGAAACCAACAGTGGAATCTTTGCTTTATCATATCAATTTGAAAATGAAAAACAACTCTAAATGACACATGTAAAGAAAAGGGGGCGATATCCAAACTGCACCATTAATCTGCGATTCTGCTATATCAATTGAGCAAAGACCACCATTGGTTTAAAAACTTACTAGAAGAAAGATGGAAGTTTCTTTCCTTCCAGTGTAGGTCAAGAAATGGTAGTGCAAAATTACTCAATAACTCGTAGTTGTGTATCTGGATTTAGTTGGTAATAAGAAGCATGTTTTTAGGGAACAATAGACATCGGCACACGCACCACGCACTCATACATGTACAAACAAAACGCTATTGAGAGATCGGACTCCTACATGGTTTCTACCCTTTAGCGTCGCTTGATGGGTTGCCTACATATCCGTGGGAAAGAGAACTAAGAAAGAAGAACATGAGCGATGGGTTATTACTAATATTAAACAACAATTTGTATCATCATCGCGTCTATGTAGAAAAACAAGAAACATGCCAAACACAAACTAAAAAAAAAGCCAGGATTGTGGTTGTTTGCTGTTTCCAGGTGTACATATTCCATCGGTTGTGAGAGCTCTCCGTCAATGTCTGGATCTATATACACTATCGCCAAGTCAATAGCTAGTGGTAAGAAGGTGACTGTTCCGATGATTATCTTTATCAAGCAGTTGTTGAAGGATGCACGGGCTTTCGAAACCCCTATTCGGTATCAGCAAATGTTACAAATACGGAGGTGATCATTGTGGATTCTATAACACAAAAAGTATGATTTGTTTGTCCCCACTCCCCCAACAAGAGTCATATGGGAGAGAAAGAGAACTCACCGAATCAGCTGTGTTTTCATTTATCCAACTGCTGCTGCTCCTTTTGATATAGTAGAGTGGGTAGTTCTTGGAAACAATCCGTGATAAAGATGGCTCTTATTTTACGTGCATATCATAGTAGGAGGCACTTGTGGGAGTTGGGCGGAGTTTATCTGCTGTCTGGCGGGTTGTGTGACACTGTGTGTGCGTGCAATGGCACAAGATAAGAAGCGTGTTTCTACATTGGATTCATGATTTCTATTTGCCTGTATGGTATATACATCAAAAAAAAAAGCTGCAGGTAATCCATCACTATTACTGTAATAGCAGCAACAAATCTATCAGATCATAGATTCAAATGCAGCAGTCTTATTTGGGTGGGTGGTGGGGGGGGAGGTATGTGATGAGAGTGTGTTCAAGAAAGGAGAGTGAAGGAGAAGGCTGCAGAAAGCGATCTTTAGTAGAGCAAAAGTACTGCATACAGTAGTACATACATATACCTAGAGTGGATCATTGGACATAGCAGAGCTTTTGAGAGAGAAAGAGAGAGAGAGAGAGAGTAAAAAAAGCGCGGTAAAAGGAGAGTCGATCTTTCACTCTCTACTATGCTCCAAGTGCAGGTTATGTGACACAGAAAAAAAAAAAGATGATCATTTCATTTCAGCGCATAGCCAATATGCGTACTTTTTTCTCTCTGTGGAGAAGAGTGGTGAGCGTAGTCGCTGCTTTCTCTACCTAGCTAGTAGTAGTAGTGTGCTTTAGAAAAGGAAGGATACCGTACCACGGCTTGGGTTGTCTTTTGAATGATGATATATATGAAAGGCTAATTCCGGCCCACAGCAGGGAATCAAGTTGGGGAAATGCAGATGTGACACCGCGCCAATGAAATGACTCCGGAGCGCGTTCATCAGTCAGTCAGTGACCGTGTGTACCGTTCAGCATGCTGCATTATTAACACACATTCAGAACCATTGTTGAATAAGAAGGAAGGAAGGAGAGACCGAATCGAAGGAGAAAAAAACGATCTCTCATTATCCACGTTGAGCATATTAGCGACAAGAAAGAAAGAAAGAAACAGTCCTTTGTACTGATGTGTGCTGGTCAACGGTGAATCGTGGGGGCAGTGTGAAGGAGAATATATACGTTAAGGAGCCTCTTTCTCTCTCTTTCCCTCGGGGCCATCCCCTGTTTGCTGCTAGACTCTTTGAATGCCACGTTTACAGCAACGAAAGAATATTACAGAATGACCATCATCATCATCATCATCATCATCATGGAGAGACAAGCAGCAGCACACTCGTGATTAGCATCCATCCGCTTGTTTACAACAACGAATGACTGCCCACTTTCCTTTTCTGGCCGTGGCCCGCGTCCAATGGATTATTATGGGGGAGGTGTATTTCTTCCCCTGTGCTGTTTGTAAAGACAGCTTGTTTGTTTATTCTTCTGTGCATGGAAATGACGGTAAACAGGTTCGGAAGGAAAGGTTGCTGAGATGGGGGGGTGGGTGGTTGGAGTATTGTAAAGGTGAGAGAGAGACGAAGATGAGCCAGTCCATGGCATCATCATCATCATCAACATCATCACACTGAACATTTGGGAAAAAGCCCTTCTTTCATTTTAAAACTAGCGTAAATGCCGGGAAACAGGAGACAAGTGTTTTGAGATAACAAAGGGAATAAAAAAAAAATACCCGCATGACCTTTTCTTTTTTCTTCTTTGCGCGACGCACACTGGACCCCGTGAGCACTGTAGCAGAGAGAGAGTGAGCCAAAGCTTATATCCATTCTCCGCCCTTGCTGCTTGCCCATCTTTTCTCTTTTTCTTTTTCATTTCTTTTTCTTTCCCTCTTCTTTTCTCACACTCGACCTTGCCTCCCTTCTTTTCTTTCTCTTCTTTGCACAGAAAGGCATGACAGGCTACTACTGCAACCATCCCCAGCAACGCGGCGCTTACTTTGCTTCATCAACCAAGCCATTCCACAACACCAAGAGACATCATACCACCCCAAGTAGTGGTGATCACAACACCACCACTACCCGCGGAGGTACTCCACGTACTCCACAACAACAACAACAACAACAACAACACCAACGCCAGCCATACCATCACCACCACCACCACCAGAACAACAGCAGTCATCATCATCATCATCATCACTACCAGCCACGGTATCGCTACTACCAACCATGCAGCGCCACTGATATTGACGATCTCATCTATGGTCCAGCAATCACAATGGCCCTGAGTGAGCGTAGTATCTTTGCTCCATTCGACCAAGGCCCTTCCACAATGTTGATCCACATACCCGCAAGTTCAAAAAAACCTTCTTCTTCTTCTTCTTCCTATTACTCCTCCTCCTCCTCTAGCTCCTGTCGTCGTAGCATGCGTCGTCTGTCTTCTTCAGCCTCTTCTATATCATCGCTGCTTTATGCGAGTCTGTATGATCCGCTAGAAACCACGACCAAAGAGCCTCTACAGCCAAACGACGATCCCATGACTGCCGTCAATAACAGCGACGATGGAGGCAGCAACAGCAGCAGTAGCAGTAGCAGCAGTAGTAGTCGAAGTAGTAGTGGCTCGTCCTTGTCCACAACCAAGGCCGTCAATCATCCGGCTACTACTACTACTACTATTACTAGTACTACACCTTTGCAAAGGTATTTGACAAAAGAAACTTCTTGTCCCCCCCCCTTTACCCCACCCCAATTCAATCACTCTTTTTTGTTGTAATGTTTCGATCCCAACTGACAAGGTGCGTTACTGATGTTAGACGTAGCACTACTACCACGCCGTTCAATACCTGTAGCAAGCCCGTGACCACCACCACCACCACCACTACTACTTCCAGCAACAACGCCACAACAACGGTCAATCACCATCACCCACAAGAATTATTCCAGCACCATCCTCATCCACTTCATCATCATCATCATCAGCAGCAGCAACAGCAATACCCGTGCTACTACCAACTTCCGCCTCCACCTCCGCAATACGCGTACTACCATCATCCTCATTACTATCATCCTTCTTACAGCTACCAGGTTCAACAACAACAACACGCACCCCATCCTCCACCACCCATGATGACCACAAGTCCTACTGCTTCGAGCGCATCATCTACCTCCGTAGCCGACCTGACATCGTCTGTTGCCACCACCACCGCCAGCGCAACCATTGCAACGATGACCAACACGGACCATCCGTATGCAAACAACGCGGGTCGCACAGACCCAGAAGAGTTGCTTGCGGATGACCTGCACCGTCGCGCATCTACAATCTCCGACGCTGTAACCACAGCCTCTTCTGCAGAAATATGTCGTCGCTTCAGTAACGGTAGCACCAGCAGCACCGCTGCTTCAAGTATGGTGACGTTACCTAGTGTGGAGGAGAAGCCGACGTGTGTTGCTTCACCTGCTGTTCTCAGTAGTTGTACGAGTACTAGTAGTACGGGTGGTAAGCTTGTTTTGGGGTCTATTGAATATTCTTAATTACTTTTTAAGAGTGCATCTATATGTATGTGAGTGTTAATCCAAATATTTCTGCATGGGGCTTGCAGCAGTAGCGGCGGCAGCAGTAGCTAATACTACAACAACTTCCGTTGTCAGTCCCTTGGTAACGCCGCCACCTCCGCAACCGCAAGAAGAAGAGGAGGAGCGTAAACAACAACAACAACAACAACAACCCGTTTCCTCAGCTGCGTCATCTTCACCATCACCTGATCCTGTTCATGATGCTATGATGGATGACGACGTTGAAACCGCCACTCCTCTTCCTACTACTAGCAGCACAACCTCCGAGCAAACAATGCCACGCGTGTCCGCTGAAAATGAAGGAGAAAACGACAAAGAGGTCGTCAAAGACAAGGATCTGTCAATAAAAGTGAATCAAGACGATGATGATGCTGTTACAGTCGAGGAAGACGACGACGACGACGAACTACCGATTTGGGCGGACCCCGACCGCGTACGCGAGAATCCGACACGCTACGCCTACGTCAAGACATACATGGACAAACACACTATTCCGAAAACATCCGCCATGCCATTGCCCAACGTCTGCACATTCTACTTTAGCGAGACGAATGCGAGCAAGGGCCAAAAGACGGCCAACTACATGTCGACGGTGCGGCCCTTGTTTGATTGCCAGACGGTGTGGGACTTTTCGTCGCGCTGGCGACACTACAAAATGCTGCAACGGCGTCGTCCGTCGCAAATGGCAAACAACCAGAACCTGTATTGTTTCGTAAAAGGCGTGGCACCCATGTGGGAAGACAGTGTCAATAGGGAGGGTGGCCGGTTGACGACGCTGTGTCCCAACAGGGCTGATCTGGACGACTTGTTTGATTGGGTGCTCGCCTCGTTTGTCGGTGGCAAGTTGACTAAAGACGGCATGGTCGGTCTGGTCTTGTCCAAGCGAAGCCGGGGTGATCGGATCGAGTTGTGGCTAGATGGCTCTGCGTCGGTGGATACGATGCCTGCACTCAAGTATGTGACACACAACCCATTGACTACTGTTACCCCATGTTGATCTATACTGACTTGTTTTCTCTCTTTCTCTCTCTCTCTCTCAGGGCCCAGCTGTGTCAATACCTGCCAGAGCATCTGTGCGCTTTGGTGAACGCATCTCGCTACAAAAAACACTTTGACAAGTAAAATACGTCGTATCATAGTCATTATTCCCCCCCACACCACACACCCCTTGTTCTTCTTCTCTGTCTTTACCTGTAAACAAACCATGTACAAAAGAAACCTTTCTCTTCGTAAATATATTCGTCAACCCAACAGAGTCATGCTATGCCATGTACTACATGCAGCAGCAGCAGCAGCAGCAAGGGCTGTGCTATCATGATTTGAATGCTGTTCTTTCACTCACTGCGGGATCCACGGGCACACACACATACATACAGGACATACATGCACTATCATTTACGCATCATAGTACACCATCCCATCGGGGCAACAAACAAGTGCGTGGGCGTATGCTACTTATTTAGCACAGGGCTCCATTACTACACACCAAAAGATGCAGAGAGCAACCTTATTCAATTTAAGCACATTGATATGCGCACACACACACACACACACACTCGAGTCCTGCAAGTAGGGTGGATATCTACACAGCAGCTTCTATATCTTGTCCAACAACAGGACATCAAAGACATAGATGCACATGCACTTTTGCATATCCATGACTGAACGTATCATGGATGAACGAATGACACAGATAAGTTCCAACTCTCCCAAAACGAAAGTATGGAGAAACCATTAATGGTGCTCTCGCCGCGCCAAAAAGGACGATGCTTGTATTATCAAGAAAGAAACAAAGCTTTGGTGTTGGTTGATATATTAAAAAAAAGGTGATGTGAAATGTCCACACTATTTTGACGTGCAGATAAGCAGGGAAAATGGATTATGTACAGCTCGTTAATTTTCTTTTTTTTTTTTCATCTCTTTTATATATATATATATATATATATATATATATATGTGGTTTGCTTTTGTTATGTTTTCGATTGGATGTGGAGGGGGTTGTAGTGTACATTTTGTGGTTTGATTTCTCCAAAAAAAAGTAGAAAGAAGAAGGATGATTACTTCTTTTCAGCAGCCTTGGGAGCAGCAGCAGCAGCAGCAGCAGCTTCCTTCTTTTCAGCGGGCTTGGGCGATTCCTTCTTCTCGGCGGCCTTGGGAGAAGCAGGTGCATCCTTCTTTTCGGCAGTCTTGGGAGCAGCAGCAGCAGCAGTAGCAGCAGGTGCAGCTTCCTTCTTTTCGGCAGTCTTGGGAGCAGCAGCAGTAGTAGTAGCAGGTGCAGCTTCCTTCTTTTCCGCAGTCTTGGGAGCAGCAGCAGTAGCAGCAGGTGCAACTTCCTTCTTTTCGACAGTCTTGGGAGCAGCAGCAGCAGCTTCCTTCTTTTCCACAGCGGCGGCAGGAGCAGGAGTGGCAGCATCCTTCTTTTCAGCTGGCTTGCTAGGTGCTGCTACCGCTTCCTTCTTTTCAGTCTTGGGCTCTTCCTTCTTTTCGGTCTTTGGAGTTTCGACAGCGGCAGCAGTAACAGTGCTTGTGGGAGCAGCAGCAGCAGCAGCAGCAGCAGCAGACTCATCTTGCTCCTTTGCTGGAGCAGCAGCAGGACGCTCAGACATGGCCACCTTCAAGTAGATAGCGCGGCCTTCCAATTCCACATCCTTGACCGTATCCAAGACGCGTTTCTGCTCATCTTCGGATTCAAGGTCAACGAAACCATAACCCTTGGAGCGACCACTAACAGAATGACATTTCAAACATAGGGTCAGTTGGCGCTTATCATGCAACAAAGGCTCTCTCTCTCTCTCCCTCTCCACATACACACGCACACACAGACTTTCCCCCCCCCACCGTCCTTTGGAACATCCCCCCCCCGGAAAGAACAACAACATTGATGCAACTTTACTTTTTCATACGAGCCACTTGCGCAGATTTAACCTTGTACTCCTTGAAAACGGCTAAAAGGGCCTCGTCGGTGGTCGCATAGGGAATGTTGGCAACAAACACAGTGGTCTTGGAAGGCTCGGCAGGTGGACGCTCGGCCTTTTCAGCAGCGGCCTTGCGACGGCGCACACGACGGCTCTTTTTCTTTTGGCTTTCGTCTTGCTTTGCCTCTTCACCCTTGGCATCAGCAGTGGCGGCAACCTTGTTGGCCTCACTGCCTTCGACTGCTGCAGAATCATCATCAGCAGAGGAGGTGTTGGCAGCAGCAGCAGCAGCAGCCTTCTTTCTGGCAGCACGGGACTTGCGAGCCGAGCGACGACGCTACAAAGCAGACACAAAGAAAAAAAATAAAAGTCAGGAGATTGTTGATTACGTTTCATAGATGGGATTTTTAAACGACTCGGCCAGACGCGCGTATATGGCATACACGTAGAATAAGGGATTGTGGCAAGAGAGAGAGAAAAGAGAAAGAGGAGGGAGGGAGGTGGTGGGAAGGACACTTACAGCCTTGCGAGGACGAGGTTGTTTCTCGCCTTCATCCTCAGACGAGGTCGTTGTCTGCTCTTGCTTCTTCTCGACATGGGCCTTGGGCTTGGCGACTTCGACGTTCACCTCACGGCCCTCGAGTTCCTTCTTGTTCAGCTCCTTTCTTGCCTTTTCAGCCTCTGCAGCAGTCTCAAAGGCTACAAAGCCATAGCCAAGCGAACGGCGACCATGCATGATAATGGTAGCTTCCGTGCTATTTGTTTTGGTGAAAAGAAAAAAAAAAAAAGGAAGCCTTGTCATTATCTCTCTTTCTCCACTTTTCCAAAAGATTCTGTTCGTTTCCAATGTATTCAAATAAAAGAAATAGTTACACTTTGCCGGCACTTTCAAAAAACTTGGTCAGAGCCTCTTGACTGGTCTTGAACGGCAAGTTTCCGACAAAAACCTTATAGATGACCAAAAAAAAAAAAAAAAAAAGAGGTGACAAAATGAGTTTAGCGAGTGTGTTGCCATGGTGACGAGCAAAAAAAGATGATGACAACTTAAAAGTCCAAGGAATGAAAGAATTTACCTTGTTATCTTCAACCAGCTCAGTTGTAGCAGCAGCACTACTCACACCATTCGTGGTGGGCTTGTTGGTTGTGTTCTCAGGAGCGGTTGGGGCAGCGTCGACAATCGGCTGCTGCTTTTGTTCAGTCGTGGCGGCCATGACGAACAGTGGACAATGGAATCAAATAACTTAAAGATAGAATAAAAACGGAAAAGAAAGAAACTCTTTTTGTCGAGCAAAAAGTTGAATGATTTTTTGGGGAATGAACAAGAGAGGAAAAGTTAATGTCACAGAACAAAGATGTTGAGGAAAAAAAGAAAATCGAATACCCGAGGGTGGGGGGGTTGATGGTTCTTACTGCTTTGGCTACTGCAAGTTTCGAAGAGCGCGCGTACTATTATAAACTTCTTACTGTTTGGGCGCTACGTTACGCGTATAGTACACACATCGCGCAAGGAATTTTGATTGGGTAGCAGGCTCTGTTTGGCCTCGAACAAGTTCAACACGGTGTTACAAAAAAAAAATACGCTTCTCACTGCTGCGCAACTTGAGTAGCCCTTGCTTTTTGTTCCGAGGCCCCCACCCCCCTTGTTTAACTATGGAAAATTTTTGACAGGTCTCTGTAGAATCACCATAGCAACCAGCTTCCTCCTAAAAGAGATGGTCTACTGTGCGGCTCATCTCGAGTCATCTTTCATAAGCAACAGGAATGCTACTGGCAATCCGGCATCCCTATTTTTGGAATAACACATGTCTTGCTACCTGGCGGGGGGAGTTTTTATTCTTTCCATCGGAAAACCCGTGCCGACGTTTTTGCGGATTCATGCCTTTTCGATTTTAGCCAACCCATGCGAATTCATGCACGTTTTTTCTGTTCCTGAAATACCCACGTTTAGATTTACAACAGTATCAAAGATGAGGGGAGTCACGCGTCAAGCTTTAAATCTATATGATGCTACCACGTTGGCCTTACACATTTCGTTTTTATTTTCGTGATGGAGGAAGAAGCACTTCGACGGGGAATGATGGTGCGTAACAGTGATCTTGGCAAACCAAGTTTAGTGCAACTTGAAAGACAACATCCTACATGGATACCGGAGCTGAGTTCCGGCTGCTGTAAAGTCAAAAGTGGACATCATGTCGGATATATGGAAATAACCATCCAAACAATGAAGACTGTATGGCGGTTGTATTAGTGCTACGTACGCATCATTGGCATATCGAATCCAACCCCAAAAGAACAAGTGTCAAATCGCTCTCGGAAATAGATTACCTAGTACCTCTTTCGATCTTTTTTGTATTAACCGCAACATACCTGAACAGTTACTCTCAAGCGAGTGTGGGGGACAAACAATGACCTTACTACGAGGCCCAGAGGGTTTTATTAAGTTTAATAATTGAGAGACTTTCTCTGTAGTGTTGATTGATCTTACCTAGCATAAAACCATCGCTCTCTCTCTCTCTCTCTCTCTATATTACTCGAACCTGAGACTGTGGTCACATCTAACAATATTGCCTTTCGATTCCGCTACCACAGTATCCTCAACTTCCCAACAGACTTGGATAGAGTACTTATTATACAATCTACATGCCAATGTAGTTCGCACAGGGTTTCTGTCATCATTGCCTCTCTTCTGTCCTATAACTGCAGCTTACTTTATATGTATCAGTTACAGGCAATCGCTTACGTAGCTCGGAATGATATCCAGTGCAATCTGTTAATTTAAGAGAGAGAACACGCTAACGTATGATGCTACTACGTAACAATACGCGATAGAATTTTCTTTCGCGTATGCATGATACTTTGTGATCAATGCAGGTTAAGCAAAGACCAACAGCAAAATCATCATCATTGCGTAAATGACAGTTAATACTATTTTCATTGTTCAGGTTTTCGCAAAAGTAGAAGCTGTCAAAGTCTCCGAGTTCATAGCTATAGCAACAAAGGTTCGAGTGGCTGGTTTCGCGCAATACCATTGGTGGTAGATTCGCTCTTTAAATTTGCCTCTGAAAATAAAAAACCTTGCGAGAAAAAAAATTTTGGACCACGTATCTTTTTTTTTTCTCAAAGGTAAAGATTTTTTTTTTTTGCGCTTTTAGACATGAAAACGCTGTATTGGGGAAATAAAACGAGAGAGAGCAAAAGGATGAACTTATTAGTTATATTGGAGCTGTCAGAAACACCTTGGTGAAGCAACTATACCGCAACAACTGAAACTCTCTCTGTTTTGTTTTTTCCTTCTTACTACACGTTGTCTGAGGGAAAAGAAGAAAAAAAACGCGTAGAAGTGAAGCAAGCTAACTTTATCATTGTTTCGTCTAGTAGGTGAAAGAAGGAAGAAAATCTGACTCTGTGGGACATCCTATGGATGTTTCCAGTTTAAATTAGAAGAGAAAAGAAAGTCTTTTATAAATAAAATGAAAGCTCTATTTTACTGTATTCACATCTTCCTTTGCCTTAGAGCATCCCCAGCGGTTGTGCCAAATCCCAAATTTGAAATTTAGAATAGAATTTTTTTATTCCCAGCGGTCATTCTATTTCCAAATGCCAATTCTCAAATTTGGGGATCAGCATTGGAAAAATATATAGCAAATTTGAAACGCGCGTTTCAAAATTGAAATCAGGGCGTGCATATTATTAAAGTCTTCTTCAAACAAAATCTCGAACAAGATGTCTGACATTAACACCACCAATCCCACCACCAACTCCACTCGAGGCTTTGGTTGGACTGTTGAAGAGGATACGTTGCTGTGCAAGGCTTGGGTTGATAAGACTGTGAACAGTGCACAAGGCACGGATCAGCGTAGCGGTCTCAAGCCCAATGAGTCGGGTTTTTGGAAGGACGTACATGATGAGTTCATTTCGAAAGGAGGCGATATAACCCGCCGAAGTACCCCTGGCTCTATGTTGAGCAGATGGGTTAACATCCAAAGAGAAGTGGCTCGGTTGTGTGGCTGTTTAGTGTAGGTCACAGCACGACAAGGAAGTGGTCAGAATGATATGTCATTGGTAAATAAACATTTATCCTAACAGCACTACCACAATTACAAATATTTACATTGATTGTCATCGTGTAGCTCGACCTTGCAAAAGACTTGTTCAGGCAAACATCGCCAACGAAGAAGGCTCGCTTCAAGCTTGACCATTGCTACAAGCTCCTCCATAACCAGCCAAAGTTCTTGGTCCGTTACGTGGAGAAGACAACTGGCAATAGTGTCCCTGCCGAAGGAGGTGAAGCTCGTCCAGTTGGTCGCAAGCAAGCCAAGAAGCAAGAGCAAGAGGCTTCTCACAAGCGTAAACGTGACGAACACAACGCCGAAGCCTTGGCTCTGCAACGAAAGCAGTATTCTCTCGACAGAGAAAGATTCGACATGGAACGAGAGCTTGCTGACAACAACATGATGAGCATGAGTTTGGAAGGCATGGATGAGCTCTCTCGTGCCTATTTCTTGAAACGCAAGAGACAGGCTCTCAAGAGACTGGAAGAAGCTGAAGCTCGAGCTGAAGCTGAAGCCGAAGCCGAAGTTGAAGTTGAAGACCATGCTTGTGTCTCACAAGAGGGACAAGATGGATCTGAAAACGAAACAGAAGCAGAAGCAGAAGCGGAAGCGGAAGCGTAAGCTACTTATTAATAAATGTTTATACAAAAGAACTCATTTGCTTAAAGTCAAAGTACTGTTTGTTCATACTGTTATTTACATGGAAAGAATATATTTTTCAGGCACTGTTGCCATGATGAGCCCATAAATGTTCAATGAGATCTTTTTTCAGTTGATTGTGAACAGCTTCATCTCTGATCTCACTGTAGCGTTGGAAAAATTCCCTCATCGTGTTAGGGTTTCTCTCAATTACCAAAGATGGTACAGGCCCTTCACATCTCACTTCCTCGCGTTCTTCAACTTCATCCCGGTCTTCGCGGTCACTCTCAATTATCATATTATGCATGATAATGCATGCCTTCATGATAATGGCCAGCTTGTTGAGATCCCAAAGCTTTGCTGGAAGTCGGATCACGGCAAATCTTGCTTGCAGGATTCCAAACGCACGTTCAACATCCTTACGCCAAGCTTCTTGCATTCTAGCAAAAAGCTGTATATAAGATGAGTAAAGGGCTCATTGAGTTTTATGGTATCATTCTTACCTTCTTCTTTTGCTCGACCGGGTATGAAATTGTGTTGACGAACATTGCCCATGGTGGGTAAATGCCATCAACCAAATAATACCCTTTATCATATTCATGACCATTCACAGTGAACTTGATCGCGGGCGTAAGATCAGAGGCAGTGTTGCTGAACAATGGGGATCGGTGGAGGACATTGATGTCGTTTAAGGACCCCGGAAGGCCAAAATGCGCATGCCATATCCATGTTTCGTAATCGGCCACGGCTTCCAAAATGATCGTAGCGACCTTCACTGTTCTTGAGGATACGGTCGAGGTCTTCCTTCGTTGGACTTCGAAGGTATTCCTCACCGTGGTTCTCGATCACGCCCTCACAAAAGTACTCCAGGCATTGTAGAGCAGTACTTTCACCGCAGCGTACATACTCGTCCACTGTGTCAGCCGAGACCCCGTAAGCGAGCTGTCGGATTGCAGCAGTTGCCTTTTGCAAGGGCGTCAATCCAGGTTTCAAAGCGGCATCGTACTTTTGAGGGAAGTACCAATGCTTTTCTATTAGCCCCTTGAGTATCTTGTCAAATACGTTCCTGGACATGCGGAAACGACGTCTGAACAGACTCTCAGGATACACTGGATCATCCGAGAAGTAGTCAGCATAAAGTCTATCATGACCTTCGACGCGACTACGGTTGATAGTTTTGCGACCAGCGACAGAACCTCCTCTACGTTTTGGTTGCTCTTCGTCTTCGGAATCTTCTTCGAGTGTTTCAATGAAACGTGCCAATGAGCGACGGCGAATGCGTCGTTTGGCATCTTCTTAGAGCATTCTCTTAAGTTGGTTTTCCATGTTTTTCTGAAGAATCAAATAAAATAAGTGGGAGAGACAAAAAGGAGTTTTACAGCAAAGTTTAATTTTGGAACACGAAATTGGCACAACCGCTGGGAAAATATGTGAATTCTATGGTCCCCCTATGATAACTGACTCCAAATTCAAATCGTTCACCCAAATCGTTCACTCAGACCGTTCACTCAAATCGTTCACTCAAACCGTTCACTCAAACCGTTCACTCAAATCGTTCACTCAAACCGTTCACTCAAATCGTTCACTCAAATCGTTCACTCAAACCGTTCACTCAAACCGTTCACTCAAATCGCTCACTCAGACCGTTCACCCACACCGTTCACTCAAACCGTTCTAATTTTCACCGCAGAAGCAGACATTTTGCGTGATGAAGGTGAAGACTATGCTCGTCGATTGACCAATGCTGGAGTACCTAATGCCACTGTTCGGGTCATTGGCGCAAGTACGTATTATACTCTATGTTGAAGCATGCTTCTTCTCTTTGTTACCTTACTACTACAGTGGTGGATTGTGATTACTCATGGTTCCTTCTTGTATGTGCTTAAAAACAGTTCATGGATATGCTACTGTTCCTGTTGATACACCGGCGTATAAACAAACCATGGCCATGATTACCAATCAACTGAGTGAAGCTTTTGAGAAAAAGTGAAGTACTATTATGCGAATATTTCTCTGAGCAATGTAATCGTCGGTGATACTGTGTAACATATTATAATAAAATTTCCCATGCAGCAGCAGCATAACCTTTTATGCATTTTTACTGTTGAATCGTTTGTTGTCCCATACATTTATACAGTGGTTCCCCTAAAATTTCACTCTTCAAATTCATGGAAATCAGGGATTGTGAAAGTTAACGAAAGCTAGGTCAAACTGCCATGTACAGATTCTTTATCCAAACAGATCTTGATGTTACATGGATTAACCAACACTCAAGAAAATTGTCACTCTAACGGTCATGTACTTTATGTAGCCTATTGTCCGATACATATACCTGGCCGTATCGACATATTCTACACTACTTGATTCTGATGTTGAATCACATAATTCACATTGTACATTGCCTGCTGTCAAATACATTTACCGGGCCGGATTAACCTTTTCTTCACATACATAATAGATAAAGATACACCAAATGAAGAGACGATGGACGACCCTAACAAGGCTAGCGCAAAACTGCGAAAGAATTTCCACACCATTTCGGGAAGCCTTTCTGAGCATGCTCAAACGGTCGTAGGTTCGACCTCTCACTGCTGTCTGGTAAAAACTTCTTGCCTATGAAATACAATGATCTCGCAGAATCCCCAGTGACAAATTGGATCGCTTATGATAGATTTACCCATAGAAGCACACCGATGTGCCCTAGTTTTTCAACCAGGTTTCAGATTGTGTGTTTAACGTAATTGTCAGTTTTGATATTGTACATATACTAATAAAAAAAGGCTTGTATTGTGGTAAAGTTATTCTTGGTAGTTAAAGGTTACAGAGTGAGAGAATCCCTTACAAACAGACTCATTGTTTCTCACACAATCTTGCAGTTGACATGCACTTGGAAGAGCTTTATCCGAAGGCTGGATCATACACGGGCACTTGAATTAGTGTTACGGGCATGCGTCATAAAGTGAGCCGGAAACGACGACAAAACAAGACAAGCCAAAGACAGAGGAGAGATGAATCTAGGTCAAGGCAAGAAGAATATCGGAAGGTCAAGGAGACCAGATGATGAGAAAGGAACAAGGGACAAGTCGAGTGATTACATTTATATTTATGAAGGTTGATAAGTTGGGTGATGATTGACGATAAAGATGTTGAGGGATTGAGTAGAGGTCAACGAATAGTCATGACAGGAAGGGCCTCTATTGGGGTTAAAGCGATGCAAGCGAAATTTGAAAAGTGACCCACAAGTCGCTTCAATAGCGGACGTTGCCCATAAATTGTGCCATTCGCTGCGAAAAAAAATTTCTCAACGAATTGGATGCGGTGAATAAAGCCAGCAGTGGTATTCCAGCTGCGTCGGGGGCCTTCGAGCTATCGCCGGGTTGACATCGTGCTTCTACTTTTCGAAGTAGGAGTGGGGAGCTGAAAGTTCTTTTAAGAATGATCAGTTTCTTTTCCCATTCGTTCCCCACTTTTTACACAAAAAAAAGAAAATGACAATAATATAGCATCTGGAGCAAGTCCAGCTTACTCGCTAAATTTTCCCCAATTATTTTTTTTTGGGCGAGTCCAACTTTTGCAAGCGGACCAGCTTTTGCTAGCGGACTCACATATAATCTTAGCGAGTCTATCAGAGTCTGTCAACTTTGACAAACAATTGTCAGCAGTGCCAGCAACATCTATCACTCAAACCGTTCACTCAAATCGTTCACCCGTTCACTCAAACCGTTCACTCAAATCGTTCACTCAAATCGTTCACCCAAATCGTTCACTCAAACCGTTCACCCAAATCGTTCACTCAAACCGTTCACTCAAATCGTTCACTCAAACCGTTCACTCAAACCGTTCACTCAAACCGTTCACTCAAATCGTTCACTCAAACCGTTCACTCAAACCGTTCACTCAAACCGTTCACTCAAACCGTTCACTCAAATCGTTCACTCAAATCGTTCACTCAGACCGTTCACCCACACCGTGGGATTTGGCACAACCGCTGGGGATGCTCTTACACGATCTCAAGTAACAATGTTGAAGATGATCGCAGAACACCCTTTTTGGGCCTTATTAGCCAATGAAATCAAAGATCTGACGCGACACAGAGGGATGATGCTACCTTGGGCTGGTCTTTGCACACGAAATGACACAATACCTGAGAAAGATGGTGCATAGCATGGTATCTCGGCACGCAATAACACGCTCCCTCTACCTTGCTGTTGTACATAATGTCGGTTATCAAAGACGAATGGCGCAATACGTCGTAACGTCTTGTGCATACATAACGACGATGGTGTATATATATATAAAGTCGCCAATATATTCACACTTGGCCCACTATATCTTCTCTAAACCACACAAACATACATATGGCCCAAATTTCAGCGCCATCCATACACGAGGTCACGAAAACCCAAAAGGACTTTTGCCATTCTGACACGTCGTCTACTCTCGACTCTAGTGTTGAAGAAGCTGTCAACAGAGAAGGCTACGATAAGGATCTGCAATGGACGGAGGAGGAAGAAAAACAGGTACGATGGATCATTGATCTTCGTCTGTTCCCTTTGATCCTTTTGGGCTCGTTTGTGCTGAACATGGATCGCACCAACCTCTGTAAGTGAAACGGTATCGTCAATCCCATGATCTTTACATACAAACAACTCACCATCACCCCTATTATCATTCTTCTCCATGATCCTATAGCGAATGCCATTTCCGATAACCTCGCCCAAGATCTTGGATTCACCAACGACGATGTAAACACCACCATCATGGTTTACGCCATTTTGTTCACTATCTTTGCCCTTCCTTCCAATTTTGTTTCGAAACGTATCGGCGCTCATCTTTGGATCCCCATTCTTATGAACTCCTGGGGAGTCATTACCTGGGCTCATGCACTTGTGCACGTATGTATCCCCCCCTCCTCCTTCTCTCTTAAACGCATCCAATTTTCTTTTTAACATTTCGTTTTTTGTGAAATTCCCCTTTTAGGACTTGGGAGGCTTTTTTGCTATTCGGGTGCTCATTGCCATCACGGAAGCTGGATTTATTCCTGCCTGTATCTATTACCTTTCGTCATGGTACAAGACCAAGGAGCTTGCGACACGGCTGGCGTGGTTCTGGGGAATCCAATCATTAGCCTCTGCGTTTTCTGGTCTTATCTCATTTGGCGTTTTCCGCATGCGTGGCATTGGCGGTCTGGAAGGTTGGAAATGGTTGTTCCTTCTCGATGGCATTTTTACACATATTGTCGGCGTTTTCTGCTTGTAAGTTGGTTTGTAGCCATCCCATTTGACGGGAACCTATTGGAAAAAGTGCCTAATGTTTTTTGTAGCTTCTACTTGCCCGGGCGTCCATCACGAACTCAAGGTCTGCTTCGTGGCAAGAAGGGATGGTTCAACGAACGTCAAATGAGAATCGCTGTTACTCGACTCATCCGCGATGATCTGAGCAAGACCGAACAGCACAACTCGCGTATTACATTGGAGGATATCAAGTCGACAGTACTGGATACCAAAGTGTGGACACATTTGATTACAACTTTTATTGGGTACGGCAACTTTTTTGGTATCTTGTTTAAGACATATTCATCGAGCATATGTGCTTATATCATTGTTTATTCTTTTGTCTCAATGTGTTCTCTTTTGTACTTAGTTTCGTACCCATTACACCTATTACCACTTATCTACCCAGTATGATCCGTGACGGTGGCTTCGAAACAACCACGGCTAACTTGCTTACAGTGCCGTCCTATATCATCAATGGTATTTTCTCAATCCTGATTGCATGGAGCTCTGATCGACATGGCGAAGTATCACTCCATTGTATGATTGGTGTCATTTGGTCCCTTGCCTGCTTCGCTGCACTTCGAGCTTTACCCGCCGACACCGATCGATGGAATACATTCGGAGCAGCCATGATGGCAGCAGCTTCACCCAGGTAGTAGAGATAAATATCTTTTGTTATAGCGCTGATGCTTTTTTCAATGTATTTTTGCGACTAACAAGTCATTTCTTCTTCTTCTTCTTCTCTTTTTACAATAGCTGGCACGGAATGCATATAGCTTTTATGAGTTCCAATGTGGCGCCGGTTGGAAAGCGCGTTCTATGCTATAGTGCAATTATTGCTTCAGCCAACATTTGCGCTGTGCCTGGTGCAGTGATCTATCGTAAGTTAATATCTCATTCATTGTCGCATTATAGCAAGAAGAAAAAATGTATGACTGACTAATTGCTTTTTTTTTTCTTTTGCAGAGACCTGGGACGCACCACGGTACTACTATGGTAATACGATCAACATCATTCTAATAGCTATCCTCGGCTTGCTTTTCATGGCCCAACGATTGCGATACGATCTTACCAACCGATGGCGCGCTCGCAAGTGGGGCAAAATGTCCGAAGAAGAGAGACAACATTATCGCGACACTACCAAAGACACTGGAAGCAATCGACTTGACTTTCGATTCTACCTTTGAAAAAAGACCACCAACATTTCTTCGTCACCACATCTGCATATACATACTTTGCCATCACCCTTTTACCCATATATACACTACTGCTCTATATCACACTACTGTTTTCTCTTTCGTACTTCTCTCCTTGTTCATTTTCGTCGCACATGTAGCATGTACATCTTATATATATTATTTCCCTTTAACTATTTATAATATAATGTACAGTTCGATAACAGAAAAACATATCTTTTCCCCTTGTCGCATAGGATCGATTCTACTGTTTGCTAATTGGCTTCAATTGAGAGGCACCACCGCCAGGTGCGTTAACAATTTCTGGCTCCTTCAATCCGGGTTGAATCTCGTTATCTGCAATCATATATAAAGCAACACAGCCCAAATGAGTCAGTTTGTTTTTTGTGTCGTACAACAGCAACATATACCCGGGGGAATTTGTGTTGAATCACTGATGGACTTACCCTTTTTCGTTTTCTTTTCCGCACCCATACCAATGAAATAGTACAATGTACCGACACCTACGATGGCTGCAGAAATGGCAGCATAATTTGGACCAGAACGCATTTGCTCATTGGCTTCTACAAGTGCGAACGAGCGCGATGTTAGCGAAAATTAAAGAAAAAAATGAATCGGCTTTTAAAGGTGGAAAGAGGTTCACTTGCCTCGGCCATCAGCTCGACGAAGAGCAGCAGTGTTTGTTCGGAATAATCGACGGGCAACGAAGGACATGATGTATTATGATATGTGTTTAATGCGTTACCAGAACAGAAACGAAAGAAACGGTGGCCCCAAACATTGAAGAATAATGCAGGCGTATTATATAACAAGACAGCAGGTTTATGCAAGGGTTGCATCATCATTACGAAAACCGCGGAATTTTTTTGGTTTCAGCCCTGCCCACTAAAACCGGAAAGTAGCCTTCAGCTAATGGGCTGATCATTCTACACCAAGTGGATCTGTATATTATATGTAACCGCGAAAAAGCGAAAACAACAATAGCGGAGAAAGAATACGCACGCGTTATATGATCACTACAAAGTCCATAATCTTTCAGATAAGAGCAATCGAAGTTGTAGTTGCCTATTGGTATTCGAGTTTATATTCCAATGAGATAAGGGAAAAGCCAAGTCGTTGCTCATAACTATGGATCGTATGAAACGTGGTTATGGGTTACTGCTTCTGCCAAATGACAGACTGTTTGTCGATACGTCAGCAGCATTATGTCGAACAGATTATTATCATCTTTCTATGATATAACAATAAATCGACGGAACGAAACGCATGCACACAACAAAGCTTAACGACCCAATCCATTATCGAGAGTGAAAGACTATCAGGTGCGTATAGTCCAGCTTTCTGACACTGAACGATTCTATCAGCAGAAACACATACCATATGGCCACCTGCATTCTACATCAAAGCAGGTTTTCATGTTTTTATTTTTTATTAAATGCTGATTTATATATACAAATAAAAAACAGTAAACAAGTGTTCAAGAACAAATAAATAAAAAAAGTATGTCCATTGTATGAGGCAGCAGTGAGGGCCCACTCGACGTTAGTTGGACTTTACTTGAGGTAATCCACTGTCGCTAATAGTTTCTGCTTGTGATTGCTGTGGACCGATTACTCCAGGCTGAGAGGCATCTGTAATTTTTTTTAAAGTTATTAGTAAATTATTTGTAATATAAGGAGTTTCCTTTTTGTTTTGCTTACTGTGCCGATGATGCGGGTCTCCATGTTGACAATGATGGCAATAATGAGGGTGACATCCCCATCCATAATATCCCTTGTATTCACCACTAGTAGCTTGCATGGCACCTCGGTGTTTTCCAGCATGATACGTGGCTGTAAGTACTACGATACCGAAGATCAATCCTCCCAACCTTGGTCCGTTATGCATCATCATCCTTCCAGAGTGGTGGGCAAAGGCTACATTGCAAACAGAGGTTTTATTTAAACACAAATATACTGTATAAAGTATGTAGGCGGTACCAAATCGTATTATAATTGAGAGAATCGAGGATGGTTCTACATACTTTGAGGATCAGCACGGTGTAAGAAAAAGGAACGAGTTGCATTGGATCGGAAAAATTGGTTACGAGCAGCAGAAAACATGGTAATAAAGTATTATAGTAGGTGATATTCGAGATATGCGTAGTAGAATTGTAAGTAGACAAAAAGGCATGATATTTATATCCTTCTGTCGCATACCGGTGCAAGCACGTCTTTGATTTTTTGACTCATGCATACGGACGTACTCCTGTAGTAGACGTGGTCGGGGTTGAGATCACCCGGAAGCCGTAGCCTCGAGCTGGAGCAGAAATGAGTCAAATTCTCCAAAAGCGATCGGATCACAGCTAAACCCATGATGTAACACAAAATGTAAAAGAGCCGAACGCACATATAATTCTCTCTTTCCCACAAAATCATGTCTGTCGTTGTACCATATCACGTTCAACCCATTGCCGCTACTGCAAATGGAATTTTCGCTGGCCTTGGCTTGACTCTTAACGGTGTCACAATACCTGCATTGCGTGTAGGTGGTTATCCCGTCGCCAGCTGGGCTGTCACTTACAAGAATGGTTCCAAGATCGGTATTGCCACCATCTTTATTTCGTCAGCTGCACACTTTTACACGTACTACCTGACCAAGAATCGACGCGCTCTTTATTGTGGTATCGCATCACTGATCAGCTTTCCATACACGTTGATCTTTATGAAGCCCACCAATGACCGTCTACATGAGCTCAACGCAAACCCTGCACATGACCAAAAGGAGGTCGTCGGGCTCGTTGAAAAATGGGATAAACTGCAGATGTTCCGAACCGGTGCTGGCCTTGCTGCATTATGGTTGACTCTCTTTTAGAGTATTATAATAATTTAAAGAAATAGCAAAGTATACATATAATACACTTTTAGCATTTGTATCATGAACGAGATTTATTGAGGTTTCATCAATTCTATGTGTCGGTTGTGTGTATGTAGTAGATATTCTAGTGCTTAAGGTGCATAGACAGGAAAGTCAGTGTATCCCTGAGCGCCTCCGCCATATAGAGTGGATCTATCGTATTTATTCAAAGGCCATCCATTTCGCAAGCGTTCCACGAGATCAGGGTTGGAGGTGAAGCTACGACCGAAGGCGATCAAATTGCCTGTGGCATCAGCGACGTCTTCTGCAAGCTTTGGCGCATAAGTGTAACCACCCGCAGATATAAAGACGCCGTGTTGCCATTTTCCGCGGAAGGGATCTAGTGAATCGCTGGTCTCTGCGTTCTCCTCACCTAAAAGATTGAGGCGTGGCTCAACCATGTGCACATAGGATATGTTTGGATGCTTGCTATAGAGTTGCTCAAGGATGTATGACCAAGTTTGATAAGGGGAATCGTCGTTCATATCCTTTTAACAATCCAAAAAGAAGAAGTTAGTTATACTTGATCGAGTATGTGTCACATATGAAAGATTACTGCTACTGCTACTAGGTTTGGAGCACTAGATTATACAAATAATTATAATTACCTGGAAACCACCAAAAGGCGAGAAACGAATGGCAGTTTTTTCAGATCCAATGGTTGCCGCAACAGCATCGACGACCTCCAAGGCAAAGCGAGCACGATTCTCCATCGATCCACCATATTTATCCGTGCGAACATTACTAGAACTGTTGATGAACTGATCGATCAAGTATCCATTGGCACCATGGATCTCAACGCCATCGAAACCGGCCTTGATAGCATTCTTGGCAGCCACGGCGTATTCTTCGATAACTTGAGGGATCTCATCCAATTCCAATGCGCGCGGGACTTCGTGATCGGAACCTGTTGCCATGTTTGCTCCTTTAATAGCAATGGCTGAGGCAGAGACAGGCTTGACGTTGTTTGGCATCAAGGCAGATGAAGTAGCTCGACCAATGTGCCATAACTGGCTATAAATGACACCTCCCTTGACATGGACAGCATCGGTAACGGGTTTCCAGCCTTCAACTTGTTCGGGAGTGTAAATACCAGGTGCAAGAGGTGTCCCACCAGCAAAGGGAGAAATCAACGTTGCTTCTGTGATGAGAAGTCCACCATCGGTGGCACGCTGCTCGTAGTGCTCGCGGATCAAATCAGTGGGGACATGATCTGCGGTGGCTCGAAGACGGGTCATGGGTGCTAGAACAATACGGTGCTTTAACTGGGCACTACCGAGCTTGATCGGTTGAAAGAGTTTGGATGATGCGGTCATGATAGAAAAAAAGAATGTAGAGATGAAATAATGAATTTTCAAACAGCTCAACTTGAACAGCCTTTATATACCATAGACATGTCAAACTCGCTCGACGAAGCAAATTGCTTGGTTTGAACCGGAAGCAAAAGGACCCGCCTTCCGTCTCTCACCCAACAACCATAAAAGTAAATCACACGTAAACATGACGGTAGCCTCCTTGAAGTTCGTTCGGACTGATTACAAATGCTGCATAAGCTGACTAACAAATTATTCATATAAAATCTTCGATTGCCGTTTGGCCTTTGAGACGGGCCGTTTTAGTTTTAGGTGTCCGAAAAACTACAAACGGCAACTAACTACAATTTGTATCTTTTGAATGGCTTGTCATCATAGAAAATGTTGAATCACTTGACTTAAAACGAATGACAAATTGATGAATCAACCACTTAATCTTCTTGCAATTATCAGAAGGCTGTGTCGCTGACTATCTCTTTCAAGTTTCAGAAATCAGAGCGATTCTTCTATTAAATCACGTTTGATTGTAATCAAGCAAGTAAGCCGTACACCTTTTATTTCTTAAATTCTTACAATGAGGCATTCCAAGAAATAGTGAACTTGCCACGTACTGCCAATATTTGAATAGGATTACAGGAACAACTATACTCTTTGAACTCTTACAAGATACAAGATCTGTTGTGCTTTTGTAGCTCATATACCCACTGATCCACCACCCGAAGAACGACAACATACAAAGGTTAAAAGATACTACCGAAAGCGTGACAAAACCTACATTTCTAAAGCTGCAATGACAAATATCCATAGCAAAGAGATACAGTATTCGGGGGCGTTTGATCCATTCTCAATACGCGTGAATATCATGTTTTTAACCTGCTGCCAACAGTATTTTTTTTCGCCAAAACGCTCAGAATCGATCCACCAGAGTTGGAACATTATAATAGTTGATTTCTTTTTTGTAATACTGGCATGCCTATCGGATTGTACTGCGAATTGATAATTCACTATCATTTTGAAACCAAAAAATGTTTAAAATTTGAGGAGTCTATATAAAGTGGACAACCTGATACGCCTAGAGGAAATCATATGATGCCAATGTAAAAAGCTTCATTATGGAACATACTTGTTATCTAAGCTTTGTTGTAGTGTATTGGGCAACATGTCCGCTAAGGCGCAATTGTATAAACTTACACTACCGTAGAAAACAATCCTCAAACGTTATAAAACGATACAAGGCATTGAAATGGATTTCGTTGCAAAAGAAGATTATTGGAATATCCCACATTGGAGAAGATTAAAATGCGAAACTAGGTCGACTCACATTCAACTACAAAGCTCATTTGCCATCGTGGTGATCTTTGCGTTACTTTGATTATCAAGAACAAAAGTAAAAGATCCAAGCAAGACCGTGATCCGACAAACGATCAGGATCTAAGCAATTCTTCCAACCACGGCAATCTGCATTGTATATGTGTATATGTGTATAGCATGATGTGCCACATAAATTATTCATGGAGGTTACGCGACATAGATAATGCAAGGATGCTAACTAAATTAATAAAAGGGTCTTTCTTCGCCTGTAAGCGCGAGGGAGAAGTAACGCAAGCTCAAACGCCATTGACAAGGTGGAATCCGTTTACGAAAGACGAATGGTCAAGAGAAAAGTGGTACTTTTTGAAACCGGAGAATAGCGGGAAAAAAGGCATCCTACTTGCAATACCAGCGCGTTATAAAATATCGTATAAGCCTTTTTAAACCAAGCTTTGACAACGCGATTCCGCAGCAGTCAGTCAGGTCAAGCTTGAAGTCAAGCGTGTCTCAATTACTGCCGTTGATGGTCATTTAATTCAAACGGATCTTGCATCACAGAAAAGAAAAACACAGACGCAACCTCGTTTTTTTACTTTTAAGAACAATGGCAGGGTCCGTGCGTAGAGAGCACGGTGTCAAAGAGTTGCCACCGCTTTATATGCACTTGAAAGAGATCTTAAATCTCAATCAGTACATTCACAAACAAAGTACAAAAGTACTTCACAAGGTCGATCAATACGCGAGAGATCTTTCTTTGTGATTTGGGATGGCATTTCCCAACGATAGATTAAGTTTCCGTTATAATAATAGTCAAACATAGAAAGCTTCTCTTGTTGATTATTATCTTTTTGTCATTTTCTTATTGTATTTTAAAGAGAAACCCTATTTTCTAGGAAGTTCCAATAGAAAAAGAGGGGAAAAACTCCTGCTGTCTCTTTTTTCCAAGGAAGACAACAAAGCCTGATCGAAGACGCAGGTAGTGAATGGTCGCTACGCAATGAGAGACCTTCGCCATTCACTAGTGGCGCCCGTGCCGTGTGTGCCCACAACGTCAACTAAGCACAAAGATACTTCAAGGTTGTTGTACTACGTTGATGCAGCCTAGGGCATGTTTCCAACAACCTTGCTACCATTGAAGCATCTTTCGGGTAGAATATATCCACCTCAACCTGGCTAATAGCTTTCCAAGTCAAGGATTCACACAACACTTTGCGGATCATAAAGTTTGTGTAAATGGAACTGAAGAAGAAAGAAAAAGGGGTTTTTGGTATTCTTATTCAGACAATTTTATGCCGTCACGCTCGGGTCTTCAATGAAATCCATCATGTAGATTGGCTCTCATTTGTAAGGCTCCGGTTGGCTCGTTTTATGGACCGCTTATTTCATATGACGCAACTTGGCCCAAAAGCAAAGGGAAGGCGAAGGAGATGTGTAAGTGATAGTCGTCGTGAAGAAGTCAAATACTATACAGCAGCAGTGATCGACATGCTATGTATGTTTCACCATGCCAATGTACCCTCCGATACTGTCGCCGCTTATTTTGGTAAGAAGTGTCAGTGCACGCACCCGGCCTCCGCGTCAAATACAGGTACGTTTCGAATGCCAACTTGTTCAATGAGTACAGAAAAAAAAAAGATGCGACTGAACAACTCAATAAGAAATAACAAGGAAGAAAGACAGAATGTCAAAGCTCTTTTATACAAGTATATACCACAGTAATCAGCGATTGCAATGATGGATGTGGGCAGCTTTAGATAAATTGTGAAGAGCAGCATGGCTGTTTTCAGCATAGTATGCGCGTCATCCTAGAGCTACTATTATCCATACAGGCTGCTTCTTCAGGTTGATACTGTTGTTTGGTTTGCTCGTTTTAACATCCTTCTCTATGAGGCTTGCTTTATAACCACGCTGCATAAGAAAGCTGCTTATTGCCATGGCATTCAGTAGTCATGACAATCCATGTTCCTGAAAGCCGCTTGTTGCCAGGACAAGCATGTCAAAACACATTTTATTTTATTCGCGTCACCCATTTTGACCAATTCCGAGCGAAATGGCGGCTGCTCTTGCGAAGCGATTCGCAGCGCTTTTTTCACACAACCGCAACCAGCGCAATGGGCAGACTCGTAGCAACACGCACATACTCAACCCTTGTTTTTTCGAGGCTCTGAGGCCAAGTTACGATGTTTTTTGCGCAGGGTCTCCATTGTACTTTGCTGTCATGCTCGGCTTCTTCATGCGCAGACCTTCCGTGCTGGCCGTGAATAAAGTTGGGGGCGGGGGGTTGGATGGGGGGATGGAACCAAAGTTGGGGGACGTCACTCGTCCAGGCGAAAACACTACACTGTATACGCTTATGGAGGTGTGGTTTTAGACTGCTTGTCGTCTTTAGTCTCGCATTGAGCTCGCTCGGTGGTCAGCTTAACGAACGATAATCGTAAGCTGGCAAGCGTGGTGGATGCAGAGAAAGGGATTCTTTTCAAGAAAAACAGCGTCGATCGTATATCCTATCTGTCTGCTTTTCCCAGGGTGCGCGTGAAGTATGATACATGCGAAAAAAGCAGACCAGATTGGCTCGGAACGTATCATCCGAACTAACTTTTTTTCCTTTCCATTTTTCTCGCGAACTGAACTACGCGAACACAGAAAGTAAAAAAAAAAAGATAAAAAACAGTGCCAAAGTGTGATAATGCGCGTTGTGATCGTGTTACTGTCGTCTGTCATTGTTGTGCGCTTTGTTGAGCACGGAGCTTATCTTTGCCTATTTTAGTTTTTTGTACGCAAAAAAAAAGATACAGGAAAGGAAAAAAAGCAAGCGTCCCTTCAGAATCTCATTGGGCCCAGACCAGCGTTCTTTTTGGAAATGAACTTTGCCCATAAAAAGACACCCATTTTCCACAGCGTGTTGCTTCCTCGCTTTTTCTTTCACTTTTCACTTTTCACTTTTTCACGATCACATATGGTAAGTTCCTTTCTTTTTTTCTCTCTTTTTTCTGTGGATGTGTGGGAAGGGAGGGGGGGCTAACGCGGGTTTTTGTGGGTCATGGGTGGGTGGGTGGGTGGGTGGGTGGGTGGTGTTTGTTTTGTAGGCACGGGCGACGAGGGCGTAAAGGTAGGTGGTTGAAGGTAAGTGAGTGGGTGTGTGGGTGGGTGGTGGTGCTTGTTTTGTAGGCACGGGCGACGAGGGCGTAAAGGTAGGTGGTTGAAGGTAAGTGAGTGGGTGGGTGGGTGGGTGGTGGTGCTTGTTTTGTAGGCACGTCGCGATTGGTGAGACCGGACTGGGCATCTCAATACCAATCGACCTTCAGTGATCCACAAAGCGACCAAGACAAGACCCTAGCTTTGTGGTGAGAGGGTAACGGGAGCAGATGTCGATGCACCTTCCAGTGGTTGCTCCTGTCAGTACCTGCTCAAGAGCAGGGAAGCTAAGACATCGACACCCTATTATTGATTAGTAGTATCATGTATCAAATAAAAAATGCTTCTCGTTCGCTGAACTTATTTGTGCGTGAACTTATTTGTGCGTGTTTTATACAGTATTGTTGTAAGACTTCTTCATATATGCGAGCGAGACTCGTCATTCTCGTTCCTAATTGCACAATAAAGACATTTGCATTGAGCAACATAGTTGCCATTCGAGATCGTTGCTAAAGTGACATTTGATTTTGTCAATAACAATGCTGTGATTCGGGAATAAAGGAGTCGACATTCAGAATGAGGCAGCCAACACCGGCCCAGGTCTGTTTGTTAAAGGCTATTATCAAATAGAAGGGCTGTAAACCAGATCCTCCTTCTCCTACCGTTACCGAGCTTCACCACTTTGTCCTTGGCAATTTGTTTCGTACACTTTGCTTTGGCGCACGTGTACTGCACGGTCATCTATTTTTGCGTCCTTACTTTTTGGTGTATATGGCTTCTATTTAAGTGAGCTTCTTGTTACAATAGCTGAGACCCTGTAAACCCTGTCTGTGCGCCTTGTGGCCCGACGGGTGCACGTATCTTCCTATTTAGAAACAGGCGGCGACATCGTCGGGGCACGGCCTGCATGATACCGGTGAAACATATTTCGTAGGACAATCGATACACGCGGACCACATACGCCTTCTTCTTGACCGCTTGACCGTTTGATCATGTCTCTTCTGCACATGTTTTTTTCTTCCCTACCCTTTGCTTTCTCACATTGTTTTTTAACCCGGGGGTTGAAAATACGCCCACATTTTTCAGGCCATTTCCTTTTTTCTCTTTCCCTTGGCCCTTCCCTTGGCTCTGGCTCTTCCCCTGGCTCTGGCTCTTCCCTTGGCTCTTCCCTTGGTCCTGGTCTTGCCTCTGTCGGTCCTGGTCTCAGCCTTTCTCCCGTGGACCCTGGCTGCCTACAACCGCTCCCTGCTTCGGGCTGTCCAGTCTGGCGTTCAACAGTATTGGTCACCACCGGTCTTCAGGCGAGATCAGAGGACGGAGAAATCCTTCTCTGTTTTTCGCCATAGAAATATGGTAGCGTCTTTTCGTATGGATGCCTTATCTGCCGGCCTGGTTTGCCATGGTGGGGTTTGCAATGAGGAGCCAGGTGCCACTGTAGATCGCGTTCGACTCTCAGGACTCAACTCTCGGCAATCGACTGTCTGGCATTCGACTCTCGGCAATCAACGCTCGGCAATCAGCTCCCAGCTTCAGTGTTCGGCTCCCAACATCCGAGTATCCAGTAAGCAGCTCCTCCAGCATTCGACAACAGCAGCAAATGGCCGTCCTTTTGGGTGTTTCGAGAGTCAATTCCTTCCCCTACCCCTACCCCTTCCCTTTCCTCTTCCCTTCCTTCCTCCCGTCCTTCCCTTCCGTCTACCCTTCCGTGATTGACTCAAAGCCAAATGATTGGGAGACCGGGTCAGCCAGGCCGAGGCAATTGGTGGTTTTCCCTTCCTCCCCCTATTACACACTTCTTCTGTTTCTTCTTGCTTTCTTCATGCTTTTTGTATAGCCTACGGGGTGTGCGGACTGCTTGTTGAGGTCACTTTGTAAAATCGCGTTCTTATTCTTTGACTTTTGTATTTATTTAATAAAATGTGTGCTCTTCGGCAAATAATATTCATAATGATAACCTTCAATGTTTCATTACTCTTTTATTACAATGAATAAAAACCTGCTCAAACTCGTTTCCTTGGAAAAGTGTTTACGTGTTGCTTGATCTTGCAATAACCATTTTCTTTCTGACTGTGTTCAATCGTCTTCGCCGCTTCATTTGACAGCTAGGAAAGAGCTCATGTTTTGGCGTGCTATGTCCCTGTTCTTATACAATGCTGACAATGTCATATGGCTTACATTAGATTCGTAATTACTTTTACTTTGCAATGACTTGATCGATTCTAAACATAATATCTAGGCAACTGTCTGACGCAAGCATAATGCACAGACCATGTAATGCAATGTCAAATTTTTTGTGAAACCCGTTGCGTAGCAATATCAGTACTGGGCACATCAGAAAATTTCTTGCAACAGCAGGATCTCTCTTGGACTTGGAACAAGTTGATCGAGCTTTGTGTGCTTGAACTGTCGTTTCTCATGCACTCTACAGCAAAGATCAAACCTTTTGATACCGATTACTGCAATGCTCATACTCATTAGTAGGATTGTTTTACAAACGTTTTAAATGGCTTTCTATCAAAGCCTAAATCCACGTGGATGTGCCCATCTGTTTGGGAGATCGCCTGGAATTGAGCTGCCTTTGGAGCGCCATATATGTATTCAGGTGGAGGCAGTTAGACACATGTACAGCAACGCTTTTCTTTATTACTTTTTCTCCGTGATCCTGCTTGTCCATACAGTTACGATAAAAATGGCTGCCGTGGTATACCTTTCACTTGTCGCCCGCATATGGCATGGAACACAATAGTGACTGTAATTAGTTGGCCCACGAAAGCTTGGGACAGCACGATTTGATGGCTCTCAAGCTTCGGACCGCCTTCCGATGTTTTGCCGTATTAGGCTACTACATATACCTATACAAATCTTTAATATCAATGACTATGTTTCTTCAAAAGAATTAGAAAGCCCTTTTGCTTTGTTTCAGTTCGAATTGAATTTGTACAGCATCTTACCGTCGCCATTTGTATTGCACTTTTCCTTAATTACAAGAACATTGGCTACCCAGGCCAGTATTGATTGAGCGGTCTGTATACTTCAAAAGTACGATACATGATTCCCTTGATGGATAATGAGGGGTAACAAATTGATTCTTTTGTCAATCTTCTAAAAGACGGCCGTCAACTGCTAGCGCCGGGGGAGCTCACCCAGCGGACAAGCCTCAGTGGACATGGCCATGTCTTTTCCTCGTGTACCAGTGATATCGAATGGAAAATGTCGCGAAACCGCCATTGGGACGATATCGTGAGAGTTCAATTCCAACGCTGTGAAACGGGTAAAGAGCTCGGATCATCCAACTTTGGTAAGCCATCCTGCCTATAGCAAGAGACGTAAATCTGTTTCTGTTTCTTACAGGGGAATTTATATACAGACTTACAACCAAAAAAACAAGCTTATATCATACACCACGGCCTTGTTATCGGTTATAACGACTTAAATATATCAGTCTCGCCAGTTGGTCTTCTACACTCTCCCATGCCTTTTCACTCCACGTGGTCATCGACACCTGTGTTTGTCTCGAGACCTATAAGCATTCTCTGATCCCAATATGTCAAGCGCAGAAACATATCCGATGCAACACATTCAAAGCACATAATTCAAGGCAACAACTCACTGAAAGTTACACATACAGCACATTGTACATATATATATATATATATGACTTGGTAGATATAGCCACTATGATACTTCACGAAATAAGAAATTGAGAAGTAATTGATCAACACCACGCCCATGCGGTGGACAGCTTTTGATGCTGTTCAGAATGAATAAAATGCTTTTCGGAAATTAGAGCGAGGCAGACTATGACCACGTTTAGGATATTTTAAACGTGTTTGGAGAAGTAGGCTACCGGTCATGGTCCCACCATTGGCAGCGACTCACGAAAGCAAGCAAGACAGCTTTTGAAATGCTATGAAAAAGCTCAGTGTATGCACTTGAGATTCGCAAACGCTTGTTCCTTTAGCAAAAAGCATTATACCAGCTGGATAAGCAAAAAAAGCCATGCAGTATTTTACAGTTACTGTTGTCAATCCAAGCCATAAAACAGGAGGGTTTTGTTATACCGCTAACCGTGAGTACGTCATTTACTGAAGCATATCAATGCATCTATATCGTGTCTTGTTTTTCCATTTCTGCATGCACTGCATGCGAAAATTGACTTGTAATGCAAGTTTATAACTTTCAAAGAGCAGTGCCCTTTCATTGTCAGTTTATTCAGTCGCTTTGCATTATAATCGCTGCTATTTTTGTAAGTCGGATTTATAACGCGGTGGAGTCCGATTCTTACTACAGGTGCGGAGTAAGGCAGTAAGCAATGAGGCCAGTGACTCACATTCATAACCTTGACACGAAAATTGACACGCAGAAAACAAAGACTACTTTTTGCTTTTTTCTCTTTTCTTGTAACTTTAAAATTTCACAATGAGCGGTGGTGCAAAGAAACTTTGGGGAGGACGATTCACTGGTGCAGTTGACCCTCTTATGGATGCCTTCAACGCTTCCATTCATTTCGACAAGCGCATGTACGCTGCTGATTTGACTGGCTCTATGGCATACAGCAAGGCATTGGCCAAGAACAACATTATCACCCAAGAGGAATGCGAACAGCTCGTCTCGGGTCTCACCAAGGTCATGGAAGAATGGGAGGCTGGCAAGTTTGAAATCAAGGAAGGTGACGAGGATATTCACACTGCCAACGAACGTCGTCTTGGTGAGATTGTTGGCTCGGTTGCTGGCAAGCTTCACACCGGCCGTAGCCGTAACGACCAGGTTGCTACGGATATGCGTCTCTGGCTTCGTGACGAAGCTAGCAAAATCTTGGCTCACTTGAAGGAACTTATCTCCATCACTGTGGCTCGCGCTGAGAAGGAGGTTGATGTTTTGATCCCCGGTTATACTCATTTGCAGGTAAAAAAAAAAGATATAAAAGTGTGTGTTCGATCCGATCGTGCATTTAATCAAATTGTGTGTATGTAGCGCGCTCAACCTATTCGCTGGTCGCACTTTTTGTTGTCGTATGCTTGGTTGTGGCAAGCTGATGCCGAACGTTTGGCCCAACTTATCGATCGTTTGAACGTACTTCCTCTTGGATCCGGTGCTTTGGCCGGCCACGCTTTCAACATTGACCGTGAGTTCCTTGCCAAGGAGCTCGGTTTCCGTGGATTGATCAACAACTCGCTCTATGCCGTCAGCGACCGTGATTTCGTTGCCGAATTCTTGTTCTGGGCCAGCTTGACCATGGTCCATATCTCCCGCATAGCTGAAGATCTCATTATTTATTCCAGCAGTGAATTCGGCTTTGTCAAGTTGGCTGATGCTTATAGCACTGGTTCCAGCTTGATGCCCCAAAAGAAGAACCCCGACAGTTTGGAATTGTTGCGTGGCAAGAGCGGTCGTGTCTTTGGTGGTGTAAGTTTATGGTCACCATGTAGAACGGTGGAGGGATGCTTTTTCCAAGTAACTGAACGGGGTTTTCTAACGACGAAATAATCAATCCAGATGTCTGGCTTCATGATGTCGTACAAGGGTATTCCAAGCACATACAACAAGGATCTTCAAGAAGACAAGGAGCCCATGTTCGATGCTGCTGATACTTTGTCAGGCTCGCTCCAAATCACTGCTGGTGTTTTGAGCACCATGAACGTGAGTCAGAGTAATAAAGAATGGATTATGGAACTATGGCTATGGTAAGACTAACATATAATATATATTGCTGGTCACAAATCAGATCTTCCCTGAAAAGATGCGTGGAGCCCTTAGCGCTGACATGCTTGCCACCGATTTGGCCGAATACCTTGTCCGCAAGGGCGTGCCATTCCGTGAGACCCACCATATCTCGGGTGCTGCTGTCAAGATGGCCGAAGACCGCGACTGCCAACTGCATGATTTGAGCGTCGAAGACCTCAAGACGCTCCACCCTTCATTCACTGACGATGTCGCCAATGTCTGGAGCTACGAGACCAGCATTGACAACCGAACTGCGCCCGGTGGTACTAGCAAGCCTGCTGTTCAAGACCAGATCAAGAAGCTCCAGAGCTGGCTCGCCGAGTCCCGTCCCAAGCACTAGAACGCTACACGTAAATAATCATAATAAAAAAACTAGTCCATGCTGTTGTACATACTACATACACATCTTTGCTTGAGGGGAATTAGAAGACATTTTGACGGGGGTTGGTGGGACCCATTTGCATGTAGTGCGGCGAAGACCAATGCGGGAAGACAAAAAAAAATTATATGAAAGGAAAGGGGTATTCCTCCTCCTCCCCCCCCCTTGTCAACAGATGGGTTCTTTGTCTAGGGTAGGGTAGCCGCAGACTACTTTTGGTGTGGGTTCTCTTTTTTCGCGTTCATTTCTCTTGAAAAAATCACGTATCATGACATTGTTACCGTTGCTATTACTGCTGCTCACTACTGTCATTGGAGCATTTGCCAAATGGGGACAGCCGTCTGCTGGAGTCATCCTGCGCGGCGACGATAGCAAAACCCGATCAGGTTTACTGAGCCGTGATCATCGTTGCACACAGTTTCCAAACGAGTTTCCGGCCCACACGGCACAAAACGTGGGTGCCACGCACTGTGGCCTCTGGACCAACGAAGATTGTACGGGAACCCTTTATGTGGTACCAGCACATTACGCCATCAATATGCCAAACGCCCAGTTCTCATCCATCATTTGTTAATATAAAACCCTCATATGCACATGCACTGACCAAACAATCAATCTTTGACACATGAAAAAGAAGTTCTTTCCAAAGAAGAAGAAAGCGAATAAAGAATCACGAAAAACAAAAAAGTACACAGTACAAAAGAAAGATGCCGTATGTTTTCTTTTGTTGTGATGGTGGTGGTGGTTGGATAGGTGTATGTTGAATGTGTATAAGTTATGTTCTTTTTTTGTAGTAAACTGTCTAAGCTCGTTGCAGCCGCATACGCCGTCCCAACGTAGCCATTCTTTTAACAAATGTATTCCCGCCATTATTACTATCTACTACTTGTTGTCCTTCGACGAGGTTGGCAGTGTCGATGACTAATGTGGCGGGTCTGGTATTGTTGTTGTTGTTGTTGGCCAACGTGGAGCGTCTATAAAGTTCTTTTGATCGGCGTTCTTGTCTTCGTTTCCGCGACTTGAATCCACTGCCAATCTTGACAAAGGCAGATTTCGACCGCTTTAAACCATCGGGACCATTGGCGGTTGCGGCGGCTGCCACATTGCTGCCTTGCTGCAAGCTGGCTCGCTTGGAAGCAGTCTTTTCCATCAAAAGTGACGAGCGGCGCTTGTTGCGGTTAGCGGGGTATCGGTGTCCTAGCGACCGTGCTCTGCGAAGATCTTGTGCTTCGACAACAACCGGGCGTGCGACTGTGTAACTGCGGCGCTTGACAGCGTCCTGACCATTATTGGCGTTATTATCGTTGTTGTTACTGATGATGGTATTATTATGATTATTATTGTTGTTGTTATTTGCTGCGGTGTTTGTTGGATCGTCGGTGTTGTGTCGCTGTGTCCTCCTCATGAGCGATGCTTTGCGTACAATCATGACTTCAGAGGTTGACGACCAGGACGAGGAGGATGATAGGGTAGAGCTGATGGATTTTCGTTGGTCATCCTGTTGTTGTGGCTGTGGTACGGTCAGGCTGTTACTGCTGCCATTGTTGGTAACAGGTGAGGTAGGAGCGTTGGTGGTGGTTGCGGTTGTGACAATAGTAGAGGTGGAGTTGTTGATGGTGTTGAGGTCTTTCTTGGTGGTGGATGCACGTTTCTTGTTGCCTTTTACAAAGGATGCTAATTTGCGGATGGATTTCTTTTTGGACATCGACTCAGAGTCAATTCCGATGGCTTGGTCACTCGGTGACTTGTCATGGTGATGGTTGTTGTTGTTGCCTAGTGCATTTGCCAACGTTGCTAAAAATTCCGTGCTCTTGGACTTGATCCCTCCTTTCTTGAGATCCTCGACAGAGCCCGAAGGTGTCATCCCTGCCACCTGTCGTTGTTCCCGGTATTTTAATGATGAAGATCGTTGTGGTGGTTTTGGCACGTTGCCGTCGAGTGGAGGAAAGCTGGATGATCGACGTTTACTCGAAAGCCGCGCGCCGAACGGTGGAGGGGCGGATGGTGGCGGTGGGAATGTCATCATTTGCTGTGTCCATGATTGAGAGAGTCGGCTTCTTCTATTTGGTGTCTGTGCTGCTTGAAAATATGGGTCATCGTCTATTGTGAATGTTTCGAAAGTGGGAATAAGGCCCATCAGCGAGTCGATCGAGTATCGTTGTGATTTGCGAAGGTCGTCTTTGGGGAAGGGTAGTTCAGGGAGCTTTGGCGCGGTATTGAGCTTAATATCGACCGAGAACTCCATATCAAACAAGTTCATTAACTCGCTTGCCATATTTTGAACATGCATGTTTGGACCTGTTGGTGCTATGCCCGTATCGCTAGTCCAGCTAAGTCGGTTTTTACTGCGCAGTGATGGTGTGAGACTTTTTCGGCGAGCTGTGGTGGTGGTGGTGGCTGCTGCTGCTGCTGCTGCTACCACTGCTGCCGCGGCTGTGGGAAGATCATCGGGTAGTGGTGGGCCTTTGGGTAACGGTTTCTCGACCAGCGAAGCGGGGGATGGTGGAAGGGAATGAGGTTGAGGAGGAACTGGTCTGCTTATGGTGTCGGATGAAATGGTAGCATGTGGTTGAGAGAATATTGAGGGTTCAGACATGGATGAGCCACTCGTATTGATCGGGTCTTCGACTTCTTCGTGGTCGCTCAACCACATTTCATGGTCGTCGACGTCGTCTCCGTCTTCATAGTCGATGTCCAGCGGTTGAAATGCCTCAATGGTTTGGGCATACTGTGCAAACATTTCCTCCAATGATTCTTGTGTCATATCGCCTAGCGATCTAATTAAAAAACAAGATAATAAATCATCATCATATTCATTTAATAACTCGTTGCTTCAATCTCATTGATTTGGGGTGTGCGTTTCTTCCTTACTCGGGAGTAAAAAACGACCAGCGTGTCATTTGGTCCAGCCATTCTGGAGGAGTATCATCGTATAATACATCGAGCATATTCTTTATTAGCGCGGTTTTTCGCATGGAGTGTAGGTCGGGAGCTGCGAACGTGAGCTGCGCAAGTTTATAGTTGGAGATGGCAGCCAGTTGGATTGGGTTGTGCATGGCAATCATCTGATTGAGAGGTGAATTGCTGGTCAGACGGGTGGACGATTTAGGTGGTGTCGGTTGACTGACACTCGAAAGATCGTCGTCGCCGCCCATGGCGAAGGAAAGAGGACAGATATATTAGCGACGGTGCGCAAGGTTTGATACAAACGAGGGGAAAGGGGAAAGAGCAAAAGGAAAAGAAAAACTCTTTTTTCTTCACTTTGTCAATCAATTAATGGTTGGGGGGGGAATAAAAGGTGTGTGTGTGTGTGTGTGTTCTGTGTATGCGGATAAGAGAGAGAGAGAGAGAGAGAAAGAGAGAGAGAAAAGTGAGAAGTGTATGGAGATTGAGAGTATCGTTCTGAGGGTCATTGGTGCAACACGAACGATTAATTGCTTTTAGCTACAGTTTCTAATCCCGAGATCGTCTTTGGCAATCCAGACCAGGTGTATATCCGCTTTCCAAACAGAAAAAATCCACTTTACTCTATTTGGGAATCATGAGCAGACTTATTCGTCTTTTTATTATAAAGGCCTATTCAAGGTAGTACCAATGTTGGTGCTTTCTCCAAGTTTCGCCAAATGCTGCATATACAAGTACACTCGAGAAAACAAACCCGTCTTAAGCTTCCCATGCACAGTACATTCCATCTCACTTTGTGAGAACGGACCTTGTTTTTGTGCGACAACAATGTTGTCAGTTGGTTTAGCGCTGCCTTATTAAGTGGCGTCATTTTTGTTAATGACATAGTCTTTTTATTCCATATACATTGTGAGCAGCATTATGCCTGTATAAAACCATCCAGGGCACCCTCCCCTCTCCCCTACTTCTCCGTGTTTTCTTTAGTATATACGTTTTAGATCATGAAAGTGGCCTGTCCGCCTTTACGAAATAGGTTTAATTTGCGCTTGTAGCCTAACAACATCAAGGAAGACTACTGGCTGCCTTAAAATTTGTTACATGTACCCTCGTTTGCACTACCACAGGTAAACTTTGCACTCATTCTCACCCTTCCAGTGCAACGTCGCAATTGTTTTGGTATTACATTCGTATATACCTTACTTGGTAGGAGTCGAACGGTGTAGCTTCGGTTATATACTACGATCAAAGCATTTTGCTGTTGTTAATAACATTCAAAGCTACTATGTACATAGATCTCGGATTATACTCATGTAGTATAAAAGAATACAGTAGTAAATATACTGTACAACTACTTGTTCAGCACCATTCGACTTACAGCTACATGCGCCATGTGCTGCTACTGTGGAATTCTTATTAATTATGCATGTAGAAGGGACAAAACCGGTTTATGAACTATATTAATGGGGATCAGAGTATTTTCAACACACGATTTAACGATGTACAGTAGATAGTGGCGGTCATAGGCGCATGGAACGTAGATTTTGATCACAATAAGACATCAAGGACCGATTTGCATTGGTTTTCATATCTGTATCTATTTGGGAATTCAAACAACAATGTGACTGAACATGACTTGAATAAAGCTGGACAACTCAATCCTAAGTTAAACCATCAGTATATCTTCACTCCCATAATCCTTTGTCCATTGACTGCAGTATATACGTATGCTGACGTTGAGTGTATATAAACTGTACTGATGATGCTCAAAAAGAATTTGAAGTGGGAAAAGTGCAATTGGATGAAAGAAAAATGAACTCTGTACAGATAGATGTATATATACGATTGCGTGTGTATGTGGAGTGAGGGGTGGGGGATGGGTGTTTGTGCGTGCATGACTATATGTATATTACAATGTTTGGCCGTCAGTATACCCCAGCGATCGCATTACTTCATCAAGCTGTTCTTCAACAGTTGGTTTTTCACGAGGTAACTCTTCATCGGCAGGATCTGAAATCATTTGCAGTAAGTTTGGCAGAGTAGCACCATGAGCATAGTAGATATCGATTGTGGAAGAGTCTCTTCTATTGGAATATGAAGAGATATGCGTTGCCTCACTACGATGATGATGATGCTGTTGTTGTTGTTGTTGTACGCGATGAGGAGATCGTTTTGGGATTGGTGGAGGTGGTAATTTGTCATTGTTGGCAGGATAGTTTTTGAGCAAGTCTGGTCGCAATCCCATCAAGGCCAAGACACGTTCTTCAATTTGGTCTTCGTCCTCCTCTTCTTCCTTGTGGTGTAGCGCTTGTGGATCATCGATTTCAAACTTGCTTTCGTAGACATTGTCTGACGCAGCAAAAAAGCTTTTGCGCTTGCCCTGTTTCTTGACGACACCCCATACAACTGAGCCATCACTCATCTCGCGCACTTCAACACCTTCGAGCTCTTGCTGCGCCGTCGGTCGTTGCTGTTGTTCTTCTTGCTGCTTTTCTTTTTGTTCATTAGCATCATTGTTGCTGGTATTATTACGTCGCTTCGAGATCTGTCGTTTTACTGATGTTTGGCGAGTGATCATGGTAGCTGTCTGTCGAGATGCGACATCTTCATCACTATCAGGTGTCGATGATCGTGTCCGCTGACGCTGTTCTTGTTGTTGTTGCACTTCATTTGGCCCTGAAGGGATCGATGGCACTGGGGGTGGTGCATTTTCGATGTTTTTCAAGAAATTCTCCGAGTCAGGTTTGACATAAATTATAGTGCGTCGTACAATCTGTGCTCGTGTTGGTGCGGCGTCTTCTTCCATGTTGACTTTTTTTGGTACTTGACGACGTGATATCCGAGCAGTACTTAGTAGTTGTGACAGCATGCGCTTTCCTTTGCTTTGGTTGTGGTTTTCAGCCGTGGGCGTTGCTATCTGTAACTTGTCACCTTGATCGCTTGCAGCAGCAGCGCCAGCCTTTTTACTCTCTGCGTTGTGTTTGAGAACTGCAATGGCAGCAGGTGATAACGCGCTATGTGATCGTTTCTTTTTTACTTGTTGCTGCTGCTCTTCTTGTAACTGTTGACTCAGCTGTGGTTGCGTATTACTGCGCTGGGGAATCACACTAACTGTGCTCAAATTGCGCATTAGGCCCTTGATGGATGGCGTTGATTGCGATCGAGCACGATTGCGGAGAGTGCCAAACAGATTGAGCGACTTGGACCGACTTGTTCCTGTGGGTTGATTACTGCTGGACTCCTGGTGTTTCTGGTGCTGCTTTTGTTGCTTTTGATTGCTACTAGGAGCATTCTGGTTGTTGTTGTTGCTGAGTGTTAGTGCTGGTTCCTTGGCAACAAGGTCCGTAGCAACCTGGCCTACATCAAAATCCGTCAATTCCTTGAACCGGGAGCTTCGGCTAGCACTGGACGACTTGCGACTGCCACTACTCTCGCTACCGCTGTGATGACTCTTTTGTTCTTGTCCTTCATCCTCAGCTTCCACAGCTTTTTTATCGGCATTCAGCCCGGTATTATCTTCTTCCTCTTCAACCAAGATCTTGTCCGAGTCATTGTATACCGTCGATTGCTTGACTTGCTGCTGCTGCTGCTGGTGGTTCGCTGCCGCTGCTGCTTCAGTTGTTGTTGTTGCTGTTGTATTGGATGATGACGCCGACGACAAGAAGGATGAAGCAGATGTTGAGGATATGTTGCTTTTTACGGAATTGTCAGACAAGCGTGAGAGTTTCTTCTTGGGTAGCCAGGAGGCGCTATTTTCGATTGGATTCCGCAACTTTTGCAGAGAAAAGCCCCTTGATCGAGTAGGTTTGGGAGACACAGGTGTGCTAGGTACGGTTGTAGGAGAAGAAGAGGAAGAGAAACGAGGAGCTGTGGCTTGAGATGATTCTATCAATGTTGCACCATCGTCTATACAGTCATGCGGGTGCACGGTCACCGTCGATTGTCAGTTCAGATTTCACAAGATCAACTTTTGTGCAACGTAAGCTTACCATGATTCGTACTAGTATTAGTGGCAGTAGTACTAGCAGCGATGATCAGATTGGAAGGAAATGCTTGTTCTTGATCCTTGCGTAAGAAATCAATCGGTTCATTCCATTCGATCTTCTCACATGCGTATTCTTCCTCAGCCATGATGGTTGCTGACCCCTCTTCCTCTGTTTCCGCTTTCTGCTGCTGATTTTCATGCTGTTCTTGCCGTTGTTGATGCCGTGCTGCTGCCAGACTTTTCCGTCGAATCTCCATCAGTTTGGCAAACTCGAGCTCGTCTTGTTCAGTCAGCACCAGTTTACTTTCCCGTGAGTGAACAACAGAAAGCCGGTTTTCGTACAGCTGGTGAGCAAATGCAGTTAAATCAAAAGGGTTTGTTGTTCCTGCTGCTGTTGAAATTGACTGCTCTTGTTGTTTTTGGCGTTTATTGTTATTGCTATTATTGTCCTCTTTACCGCAATCACCACAAGACACTGATGATGATGATGATAATGGGACGGTGATTCTGTTGCTGTTTGTTGTTGTTGACTGTTCCAATTCGTTGTTCTTGCTAATAATATTGTCGTTGTCTGCATCAAAATCACGATAAAAATAGTTGATGCTTTCTTTGTCGTGATCTAGCTGTTCCTGGTCAACGGCCCTAATCTGTGAATTGGGTTGTGATTGGTTAGGTGTCAAACGCTTTATAGTGACCTGAGAAAATAGAAGAGATCGGCTTTCGTTTTGTACCTTGTAGCTCCCTACGATTGACTCCGACGGTTGTTGATCGCCTTGATGATGCTTGTGGTGATGTTGATGATGGGGTCGAAGGTGTTCCTCATAGCGAAATATTCCAGAGTCAGTATCTTCTTCTTCATCGTCATCGTCGTCCTCATCACGATTTAAGCCTTTGTCGGGACAAATGCCAAGCTTGGGCGATGAGGGAGGCGAAAGCGCAGGAGTGTTCATGATATCATCATTCGCGACGGTGGTGCTGTTGATGTTGCTGCCGTTACTACAGCCATTGGCAGGTGAGTCATCGTCGCCAACAGGCTCATCTTTGAAACTATGGCGGGGTATCGCTTCACACGTCCGAAGCGAACTTTGTCCTTGCTGATACTGCTCAATTGTTTGAAGGAAGGAGGAATCCTCTTCGGTTTCGGGCATTGTGAGGAGAGTTGTTGTTGATCTAAATCTAGTACAGGTTTTTTTTATTCTCGAGCACAAATAGGGGAGAGTAAATAGAAGGGCGAGGCAGGATGAAAAAGAGGTTAATAATATTGAAATGGCATGAGACGAGAAGGAAAAGAAGAAGAGAAAGAAAGAAAAGAGAAAAGAGGGAAATGAAATAGCGTGAGGAACACCAAGCGTTAATAATTTTTGAGCTTAAACACTATGTACCCCCGATTTAAAAAGTTCTGTAAATGGGAACGTCGCTTAATTGCCCAGGTTACACCAACAACATCTTATGTGCTGTAATATATCAATCTACTACAGTACAGTATATGCGTTCTCGCGAAAGAACCAGAGAGAGGTAATATGTAATATGTAGCAATAACATGTAAATAATAAACAACAGATGGGCCACACAGACAAATAAAGGCAGAGAAAGAGAGGGCCAAGTTCACAGCCTCTTCTTGTTCTTATTTTGTTTAATTATAGTATCGACGAGCATTCACAAAAGTGAATGGTGAGGGCCATTGCTCGGATCCTCCCTGTTTCAATAGCTTCTTGTCATCGGAGACCAGCATTTCTACGGGCACCTCCTTTTCTACACCTTGCTGCTTGGCGATCACCTTGAGCCGCGGGAGCCGAACCTTGCCTGCCAACAGTGGGTAGCAAGTATAGTTGTACGACGTATGGGAGAGTGGCAGCACACGGTCCTTCAGGATCTTCAATCCAGAATACACAAATGCGTCACTGAGTTCCACAGACGCTGTGTATTCTGCCAAATGAACCGTTGGGTTGTAGACGGTGTATGTCAACCTGAAAGGTTCGCCTACGTGGATATCGTCCGGAGCATCTTTTTGTGTACAAAGAAGAAGTTAGCAGCTATAAATAAAACATTCTGTTCATATTCTTCTACTTTACCTGCAACAACACTAAGACTTTGTCGCCTAAACTCGAGGGTGGGCATTGGCATAGCTGTTTGTGAATAGGGGGAATCTTGGCCACTCCTAAAAATCATCAACATCAGCATTAATGGTACACCCTCAACTCCTCAACCCTCGAATAGCTATGTAAGTCTACATTGATTTGATCTCGTTACCTTCGCCAATGTATGATAATAGATCCCACAGGTATGGTTGGCTGAGGCTCCGTCATGTCTTTGGTTGCCATTCGGAACAGGTAATTTGTATCACAAACATGTCCTGCCGTCCATGCTGACGCGGTGAAAAAGTGAAAGAAGCGCGTTAGTTACCATCTCTGTAACATGAGCTAAGCGTACTTTTACTAGAACGTGCACATCTTACTTTGACTACTTTTAATGACTTCGTCCGATGTCGAAATCAGGGTCAGAGACGTATAAGGATGCTCAAATGTCTATATCAGGTATATACATTTGGATTAGAAGGTAAAACATGAGTTCTCTCCGTTTTCGGCATAGTCGGATAGTTCTCTCTTTCCTCTTCCTCTACCCCCCCCCTTGACTCCCTGGACTCCTCTATCTCACAGGCTCGCAGTAGTAGTTGGCATACCTCTTGCTTAAGCTCCAATCTTTCGATCTCAAGGTCGCTTACTGAGCAGCAACGAATAGATGTATTGATTAGCCACTTTTCGGTTTTGCCAAGGTCAGGTGAGGATGTTGTAAAAGACAATTTGTCACTGTGTGCATACAGTTTAAAGTTGCTTTCGAACGGGGATCTAAAGGGAATGCGCAGAAGTTCTCGCTTCTCGATGAATTGAGACTCTGACTGCTCTTGCTGTTGGTCTTTGCCATCCGCTGAGCGATAACGAGCCTAAATGCAATAGGTTTAACTCTTAGTAACACAAAAAAGGTGGTGAACGGAAAATAAGCATGAAAAAAACAAATCTGCACATAAAATTACCGTTAATGATACCACGCGGATGCCGGGCATATCCCCTGCATGAATGTATACTGGCTTGGTTGCTGACTGCCCAGACTCAATACGATCAAAAGCAACCTCTGCAACAGATTCTCGGGTATCCTTGTTGTTACTATCTCTTGATAAAGTGATATAATCTGTGACGTGTAAATCTTAGTCATCCATCGATTCATTTCTCTTGAATATCTGTGAGTGCGTTCATTATACCTTGTCCTGCTGTATCCTTTAGCTCGACTAGTAATTTGGCATCAATCGCATCTTGTTCTTGGTTTTGGATCGTGACGTTAAATTCAAAGTGTTCATCAAGTAATGCTTGAGCATCATGGCCAGCAATTAACTTGACACGCGGGTGTCTCTGAGATATCCTACACATGGTTAGTCTACATTTCTGTGCTGATAGACATGCATAATTTAGAAGCATACTTTATAATATTAAATTCGCCACTTCCATCCAAAAATGTAAACTTTGGTGAGGCGCCATCTGTAGCAAAAACCGGTCAGCTGGAATCTTTGATATTAACTTTGCAGCAATTTTTCCTTACCTTTGGATGCCTCGAGCCACTTTCTCCTGGATAAGTTCTTATTGACCTCGATCGGGTGGTCCATATCGTAATTTAAGCTAACATGCCATTGTGGAGATTTGATATCCAGACATACACCCACAATCTGAAACACGTTTTTTCCATACAAACATTAATCTCACTAACAAAACATACGTTTACATACTTGAAGGAAATAAGGAACATACCTTGAGTTCGCCAGATTCCTTTGGCTTAATGCATCCTTCAAAAGCTTTGGTTTGATTTTTGGTGACTCGAAGATCAGCCTCTTTGCTTAACCAACCAGCATATTCGCCTTCTGTCTGTGGTTTCAGATCATGACAGCAATCAACACGTACTGCACTCGCCAACCCACAGTCATCGTCGCTGTTGCTGTCCATCAATAGCATATTGTATTGTGAATCATTGAATAGAATCCGCATGCTATTCAATCGAAACGGTGCTGGTGGGCTCGTTTTTCCTGTTTTCAAAGCGACTTGGTAATAAACAGGTGTATTTACAAAACTGGCTCTGGTTTTAAACTGAATGTGGCAGGATAACATAGGATTGATCTGGTCCATTTGAATCGCTAGTGCCCTAGGTATCGTTGGGGTTTCCTCGTTTTCTTGTTGCTGTCGATGAAGCACATCAAACAATTCAGTCTGAATATCCTGACGCTTTTGTTCAGACATTGGCAAGTCGCTCGACATGAGCTCCACCAAACATTCGAGTGCACGCTCCCAAGACTTGAGTTCCTTGGCACACCGCAGCGACCACCGAAGAATTGAGGTCAAGATCATGTTCCAGTTTTCTTTACGATACGTCTTGCCGATAGGTTCAAAAAACTTGAGAGCCATTTCGAACTTGCCAGCTTCGTAATACGTTCCGGCGATTTCAGCTGCCAAGTATAGCGTCATGCGACCATTTCTGTACTTTTTAAACTGTTCGTAGCTCTTGGTCAACAACTCGATTGTCAATCCAGAGTGATCGATTTGTCGTTCGTTTGCGAGCAGCGTTTCCCATGCTGTCGCTTGAGGTTCATTGCTATCGCCTCCTGTCGCGCTGTCCGCTTCCAGAAATCGACGTCTTCGTTCTGCACAGCACATGGCGGCCAAGTGATAGTAGAAACCAGGATGCTGCAGAATTGAACCTGGGTTGCAACCAGCGATGGAGCTTGCTCCTCCGCCGCTCATCAGTGGATGAGATGCATTGGGTGATCCAGGAGCAGCCATGTATGCTGTTGGAATAGGTATCTTGAATCCATGTTGTGCGGCAGTTTCAATAAGATCGCCAAAGATACGGTATTGCTTCGATAGCCATGCCCAATACTCAAAGGATTGTTCGCCCGTTCCCCATACAGATGCATAAGACTGAATCATATGTAAATGTCCGTTTAATTGTGACAAAGCACCAGAAGGATCATTCATATAAAGATAGAAACTACAAATCTAAAAGGAACGTTTAGCATGTCCAATTCAAAACTCGATGTATTCTCTTTCGCAATGATAACTAACCTTGATACTGATACAATCAACAAGCATCCGTGCCTCCTCCCATCGCTTACTACGTATCGGCAAACCAGTCTGTCCGGGGGTAATGGATGATTTTGGTGCAAGCATATCGCCCACTAGCGTGTACGCGCTCTCGTATGATCTTTAAAACAACCACTCATATATCAATGAGTGAATATGTCCTTCTTTGAATTTTTTCATCCTCTTTCTCTCTCTCACTCTCACACACACAAACAGCTAGATTTCAGCACCACTTACTTTATTGCTCCTTCGATGTCATGTCGAATTTCTTGAAATAATCCAGTTTTATAATCATAACGCAGCATCCATCCTTGTATAGAGAGCGGCTGTGGTTCATTTGTATCTGGAATGCGAGGGGACATGGACGGTGATGGCAGTTTAGATCGTTTCTTTCGTGCTTTTTTGATCCGATTGCTGTAATAATGAACTGCTGGCTCATGCAAGGCGCGATAAAGGCTACACGACAGGAAGCATTCATTTCAATTACACTAGGTACGATATTTCTTTCCTCACTTACTAATAACCATCAACACAATGAGAAATCTATCTATACCTATTCACAAATTCCTGCACGTCATGCTGTGTACCGGGACCGATTACAAAGAATGAGTGTCGATTATCCATACCCGATTGTTTTCGGATCCACACCAACCGCTCTTCGACAGCAGGATCATCTACGTACGTTGTTTTTTCTTACATGTCAGTCAGGCAAATCTTACTCCAATACTTCCGCCTTTGTATTATTCCATGCTTTGAGTTTTTAAGTTATCAATTACCCGTCTGTTGGCGTTTTAATATCATCGTGGCAGCAAACTTGATTCCCTTATCCTGGAAATACTTTCTACATAAATTTTCAAGCATTTAGCATCCCTTTCTATGAGTTTCTTTCCCGTTTGCAAGATCCACAACTAGTAAATTTTACCTGCGATCATTGATTTCATGTGCCAACGTAGTATCCTTTTCACGCTCTGTTGGATCAATCAATACATGCGACGCCAAAGGTCCTGTCTCTCGTTTTGGTCGAGGTTGGCTTCCTGGTTCCTGACTCCAATCCCATAAATCGTAAAACCCGACAACGACACTAGGTGTTTCCAGCTGTTTTTTAACCCACAATGGTGTCATGAAACCATCTGGATGAAGGGGCGATTCGTGCGATAACGGTGAAAGGTTCGAATGAGGTGGAGGTAGGTTAGGACCGATCGGCGTTCGTTCTGGAAGTGTAAAGTCCTACAAACCACAATATAAATAAGTGAATCGTTAGCCTCTACACAGACCAGCACTCACATACAAGAAAAAGAAGAAAAAGGCGCGCTTATGAAAACTAGAATCTCGAAATTGTAAAGTTTTGCTTACCTTGTCAACGAAAATGGTTTTAAACGGTGGTGTAGGATTAGTAGTGCCAGGGCCAGCTGCTGTTGGTCGTGGTGTATCATAGAGTGAGAACTGTTGCTTATTACTGAACACAGTTTGAAGCATAGAACCTAAGGCTGCACGAGACGACGGTGCGTGACGTCCAGCATTTGAACTTGCTGGAGTTGTTGCTGACGATCGTTGACCTTCTGATGGTGGTGGTGAAGAAGTACTAGTAGTGTCACTATCGCCTGGTGCTGGCGCTGCAGCTGACGACGATGAGTCGGTGGTGGCGTTCGCGCCAAGACCGTAAACTGCGAGCACAGGGACAGTGTGGAGCAAATACTCGGCAGGGTACGTGTTCATGAGGATGGAATCGACTCTCTACGTGATTTCGAGGTAGTGAACTTGACGATTCTGCTGATTAAAATACGTGTGTATGCTTTTTTTTTTGGCAAGGAAACAAGAAAAGTTACAATGTGCTGACTCTGTCATCCTTAAAATTCCCTTTCAGCGCGTATCCAAGCGTCATCCGACGTTTCACAAGTTTGCCTTTGCTGATAAGTCAGCCAACCCAGCTTATGCCTTCGTACAAGGATATAAGATTGTATTCAACATTTTTGTGTCTATTCCACGTAATGGATATACATTCTAAACTTACTAATAGCTTAAGTGTATGCAGTAAAGCTTACAATGTAGTAAAGATGCTGATAAAATGATGGAGCCATTCTAAAATAAGCAATGGATTACAGTTTACTATTCTGTTATCGTTGCAGTATTCTAGCAATAAAATTTCAACAAGGTTTGTAAACATGTCTGATATGGCTCCATGATAGCAACTGAAGATCATGGTATTTATGAAGAGTAATACAGGTGTTGTTGATTCGCTACGATTAGCAGCAATCCACGGAAAGGGTTCCCTAGCACTCCCTTTCTTTTTTTTCGAATAAGGAACTTGATGTAATCGCACTGAGATATGCTGAAAACATTGGGCTCTAACAAGTATTACTATGTAAGCATACATGTATATATACTACTTCTTCCATAATAGTGCGAAATATGTAGGGCTAAGGGCTATAATTGAGAACGAGAAGGATGGGAGACTTTATTCTTCTCGAAGCGGCGAAGCACTCAAATATGACTGCTTGTCTGCAATCCCGTTCAAGCAATAGTTTGATCTGTAACACACATTAGTCTTTAGTGTAAGAAAGTTATAATCCAACTGTTGTGGAGTAAAGCATGTTGTCTGTGGAGTTCCATTTAATTTTGCAGTCGAGAAACAATAACGATATACAAGTGAGTCTGCATGATTGTGCGCAAACTCTCACGACGTCGTGGTGGCCTCCTGAAAATTTTAATGCCTCGCACGGCTATGAAATGTACGTAAATTAATTTTTTTTACTCCGGATTAAAGCTGTCATCATAGGTTTTTAGGTTATAGCAAGGTACTCTGGAAACACGTGAAGCAAAATGGTGTGCTCGAATCGAGTTCTGAATCAATATCACCTTGATTTGCTTTAATTTTAGACCTTGTCTTCATAGCGTCTTGTACAGCTTAATAAAGATAACATATTGTCAAGCAGCAATGCCTTTGCTTCTGTCGATCAAGCTGACCGCACTCGATCCTTGCCAAAGAAGTTGCAGCTCGACCATCATTTGGCGCGCAGTCTATTGTAAATTTCCAACGCTTGATTGGCTTGTGTTTCAGGTCTCCGCTGTCATATTCACATTGCTGTGCTTTTAATATTTCTCTTTCGTCTCTCATCTTGGCTGCCGGTATTCATATCGGTATGTAGCCCACCATAATTCGTGCAATTCAAGGCGCTCTGTTTCATATTGGACAGGTGCGTTGTCCATTGTACGCACCAGCACCTAAAATACATATATATTACACCAGTGAACGGCTTGTGTACATACACTTGATGTATTAAAAGAATGCCAGTCATTCTATAATGTATGCGAAGAACGTTCGTGTCTGATTCGCGCCACTGTGTCCACTAACAGCAGGGGTGAAATCCAGGAGCTCTTATTGGAGTACCTGCTTAATAACATGTGCAATGCTGGTTGATGGGATATACGACATTGTCACATACGCTGCTGCGCTAAAATAAAGGATTTAGACTATAATTTATCCCGCATGTACATAGAGGACAGGTGATGTATGGACTTAGCATGGTGCTAGTAGAGAGCGAAAAAGAAAAGAGGGGTAACCATCGTCAGTTGACGAACAATGTAGGGTATAGAATAGCAGTAATAAAAACCATATACATCATCATACGAATCTTATTATGTTGAAGATTATTTTGGCCCTCTTTTTATATATAATCTCTCTAATCCAGCAACATTTGTACCAGGAGACTACAATTTTGTCCCTTCTGCATTTGCTTCAATGTATCGAGAAGGCAGCGTCAATGCTACCGATTTACGATGGAGAAGACGCCATACATATAGCTGCAGGTATATGTGTCATGGCGTATTTATTGCTGCTATCGTTTTTAACTGTAGAAAATAAACACTTTCTGTTGTAGTTACTCCAGAATAACTAGAATGTTGTTTAAACAACGAATAAATGAGAAACCTATAGAAACAACGGAAAGGAAGCATTTTCTAAAGAAGGAAATAGTGATTAAGCAAGCGATTATAGACACAATGAGGCTGCTCCTAGTGTTGTTCTTGCTGTTATTGTTGTCTTTTTCTCGAGAAAGAGAAAATATTCACTGACGCTATATGGAAAGAAAAAAGAAAATTAAGGGGTTTTTCTAATGGGGCTGATGACGACTGGCCGGGTAATGGAAAAACAGGATGATTGGATATGCGTAGCCCGTCAGGAATACATAGAGTTTATATCAATTACAAGCCGTATAGGGGAAAAACGCCATGCGCATATATACATATATAGTATGTGAGCAAATTTTTCCGCTCAACCCACAGAGCCTCATACATTTTTTTCAAGTACATACACAGACTATGTAGCTTTTGCAAAGCTGGAACGTCTACAAAATTAGTATGTTATATATCGCATATTATTAGTGTGTGTTTCAATTTTGTTATTTAGCAATCATGATAAAAGATGTATGGTGCTATTATTAAGGCGCTCATTATCGCCATCCATGCAGGAGAGGAGACTCGGCATTATGGACTTCGCCTCTCAATGGAAGCACACTATGTCTCTCGCGTACATATGAAATGAGCGGACGGTGCAAAGAAAAAAATGGCTAAAAGAAACCTGGGAGGGCCGATTGGGGCGAATCCATTTTCAAGATGTTTTAGGTACATCATAAACAACATTGATGTCTCTAAATATAATTTCCACACGAATGCTGTATGCGCTTTGCATCATCGTCATCATCATCATCACCTAGTCAGCAGACCGCGCTGATCGCTGTTTGTTTGTTGGACAAACGAGCTCAGCACTAGCAGCAGCCTCAACAACAACAACATATTAGCAGCAACAATATATGTACTTGCTACATACATAGTACATACACGCGGCAAAAATGTATGTGTATGGTACATGCTTTGAAACTTTCTTTCTTCTTTCCCAATCTACCCAATTCTTTCGAATCGCCCCCCTCTCAATCTCCTCCACACAAATTCAATAATTTCATCCCTGTCTTTATTTCACCAAACACAAGGAAAACCGAACAGTTTTCCTTTAACTTTTCTACCCCATATTATTATAATCAAATGGCGGTCCTTTTTTGTATGATGCAACTCATTGTTGTTGTTGTTGTTGGATGTATTTCAATTCCAAAAATAAGAGAAATGGGTAGCAAACATACCATAAGCAATCATTAAAATAGGATCGCGACATCCCTGGACATGATCTATTGACTCCTTTTTGGATCAGGTACACAGACTGGATACTGTCCTCTGTAGAGTATCGTGTATCTCGTCCTCCTCTCTACTTGATGTTCCTCCTCGCTTGATATATGCCCTCTTTTTCACAGCCTGATTTTGGTCTTTTTCCGACGAATGTAGCACATAGTAGTAGTAACAAGTAGTCTGGAGTGCTGCTCTTCGTAGTTTTCGTATTGGCGACGAGAGGAATAAAAAAGGTTCTTGCTGCCCTATATATAAACGACGGTACATCCGATTTGTTAGCTACTCCTTTCCTTATTACTCCTCTCGCTTGTTTTCCCCTGGCTTCTTGCACATTTTCCTTTGCCGCTGCCATTATCTTAACAGGCCCCCTTTTTTTCTCCATTGCTGTTTACTCTTGCCTTCTCGTCTCTGGTTCTCATTTTCTCTCTTCCTTTTCCCAATATCTTACTGTCCTTTCTCTTTTTGCTCTAGTGTCTCTTCTTTTCTTGTTTGCCTCGCTTTCTCTCTCTGTTTCTTCTTTTTCTTACCTTCCTAGCAATTCTAATCACTCTACTACCTACTACTACTATTATTATTTACCTCTTGTCGACTCCAAAACTAATACATCATTAGTCGGATAGAGCAAAAAAAAAAAACCTAACGACCGACATTGATATAAACGTCCATGAAATACGGCCTTGAATTACAAGAAAATATATTTGCGCCATGGCGACTATCATATATTGCCTACGACGTCTTGAAACAAGAGCTAAAGTCGCGACAACTGGACCATGGTTGGACAGAGCAAGACGAGACCGACTTTGTACACTTATTAGACAATGAGTTGGCCAAAGTATATGATTTTGTCAATGCCAAACTGTCCGAGATTGATGCCCGTATACTCTACTGCGAACGAACCATACAGACGTTGCAAAAGAACCGAAACATGGCGTCGGACGCAAACTACAGCATGATGGACGAAGCACTGACCGAAATCCTGTTTGACGTCAACGACCTGTCTCGATTCACGCGTGTTAACTTTACGGCGATCCAAAAAATTTTGAAGAAGCATGACAAATGGACGCACTTGAACTTGAAGCAAGAGTATGTAAAGAAACTGCGACACAAGCCGTTGGATAAGCAGCGATTCGACGTTGCCATCATTTACATTTCTGCACTGCACGATATCTGTCGGAACCGAGGCAAGCAGAACATGGGCAACTCTGCTGCAGGCGGGGATCAGAATGCATTTGAACGCGCCACGGCCAAGTACTGGATCCATCCAGATAACATCACAGAGGTCAAGGCTATCATCATGCTGCACCTGCCCGTCTTGATTTTCAACAAGGATAAAAAATACGAGCCCTCCGATGCTGCCATCTCCAGTGTTTATTTCGATAACTCCAATTTTGATTTGTACACTGGCCGTCTCCAGCGTGATGAAGGTGCAGAAGCCATCCGGTTCCGATGGTAATTGCTGGATTTCTTTTGCTTTTGCAGCTTGGCAACAAATAAGAGAGCAACAACGAACGATCGCACAGCTAATCCAAAAACTCTCTACGACCCCACGAAACCCCTACATTGACCCCCTCCTTATTTTTTGCCTTCATTTTTTCTATAGGTATGGACCAGTGGAGAACAAAAGCATTTTCATTGAACGAAAAACCCATCATGCTGCTTGGCTCGAGGGCGCCTCAGTCAAGGACCGGTTTCGTCTAGACGAAAAGGATGTAAATGCTTTTGCAGAAGGGCGCTATACTGCCGACATGATCGCCAACGATCTGCGTCAAAAAAACCTAGATCAAGCAACGATCGATAACGTCCATTTCATTGCCAACGGCGTTCAAGAGTCCTTCCGCGAAAAGCACCTTGAGCCCATGCTGCGCGTGTTTTACAACCGCACTGCTTTCCAGCTGCCCGGTGACCAACGACTACGTATTTCGCTCGACACGGATCTGACGTTTATCCGTGAAGACCATTTGGATAGCAAGCTGCGACGACAGCCACCCAACAACTGGCGACGCAACGATTTAGGTATCGACTATCCATTCAATTACGTTGATCCAACTGACATTCTGCGCTTCCCCTACGCGGTCCTTGAAACAAAGCTGCAGACACATTTAGGCCAGGAGCCACCAGACTGGCTCTCTTCGCTTATCGAGAGTCATTTGGTTCATGAAGTCCCGCGCTTTTCTAAATACCTTCATGGAGGTTAGTTGACCCTTCCATTTCTTTCTATTTTTTCTTCCCCGCCCCCGCACCCCCACTGAGTGCATAATACTAATGTAAACAACGCCGGGTTTATAGCATGTCACTTTTATCGCGAACGACTTCCTCTCCTGCCCTGGTGGCTAAGTGAAATGAACGTTGATATCCGGAAACCGAGAGCTGAAAACATTGGCCTAACACGATCAAGAAGTTTCAAACCTCTTATCGATGGTCGCTATCGACGTGCCATGATTGAACAAAAAGAACGTATCAACCAACGGGCAGTGGTTGATGGCGCTTCTCCCCCTTCACCTCGAAGGCAACGAACGAATTCGACGCAAGATACGAACGGTGCATGGCTCCCAATCTCTCGAAACACCGACTATGCAGTGTCCATGGCAGATGGCGCAGCAACCAGAAGCGATGCTGCAACAACCACAGCAGCAGGCGATAATTCACCGCCACCTCCACCGCCACCGGAGAAATCGAAAAGCTATTATGCAAACATTAACAGCAGCAGTCGACTTTTGGCTCCAACATACAATACCGACACCAATATCAGCAGCAACATTGGCGGCGAGTCTCGTGCTACGAAATGGATCAATCGCATGTGGGGCGATAACCGTGAAAACGGTTTTGGTAGATCTGTTGATGACGACACAGGCAGTGACCCATACCGACGCCAGAAGGTCAAAGTACGAGTGGAGCCTAAGGTGTTCTTTGCCAACGAACGTACTTTTATTTCGTGGCTCCAGTTTTGTGCTTTGTTACTCACAGTTGCATTGAACTTGCTCAACTTTGGTGACGGTACCTCGCGCGCAGTTGGTGGCGTGTTTATTTGTATTTCTGCAAGCGTTGCAGTCTACGCTTTATATCGATTCGAGAAGCGAGCATGGTAATGTGTTTACATATAAGATGTTTCTAGCAGCAGCAGGACGCAATCTTTGTACATTTGACTGACAAATCATCCTTTACTATCTTCGTTTGACTCTTAGGATGATTAATCGTCGTATCGACGGCCGTTACGACGATCTTTGGGGTCCTGCAGTTCTGTGTACTCTTCTCGTTATTGCCCTTATCGTAAGTTTCTTCCTATAATCGAGGAGGCGGGGGGTGGAGGAAGGGAAAGGAAAAATGAACCACTATTATTGTAACTGGCAATTACCGACGCTTACTTGTATACGTACTCCTTGAATAGGTCAACTTTTACCTTCGGTTCAAATAAGCCGACATTACTCCCTCCTGACGGCGCGGGCAGCATATTGTATCAAAGAGCTAAAAAAAAAAAAATTAAAAATATACTTTCAGCAACAGCAAGAACAACAACAACAACAGCAGCAGCAACTATTCAATTACTATTACCCACTTTCCCAAATGTTTATTTCTCCTTCACATTTCTGATCCACACTTGCTACATCGGCGCACAGTAGCAGCAGCAGCAGCAGCAGGATCAACCATTTCCCTTCCTATTGTCATGTGTTATTAACCGTATATCTGTGCGCTTCTCTTCTCTTTTTTCAGTTTTGTGATGATGGTCATTCTATAGCAGAAGTAACCACTATAACAAACTCATTTTTTTTTCAGGGGACTCCAAGGAGTGATTTGGGATAATGATAATACCCGAGATGTTGTTGTGCAACACCACCATCATCTCTACTCATCTTCCCTCCATGCACTCCTTGAATTCCGAGTTCTCTACACTTGTCAACCCGACCCATCTACTTCTCCAAATCTGATAGTCTTTTATATCATTCAATGCACATGCACTATTACTACCACTACTACTACTACTACCACTACTACAACCACCATCATCACAATTTGCATTCATGCAACAATGCTATTCATATTCTTTCTTTTGCTGGAGCAATCACTTTTGTATTTTACTCCCACTTCTCTTCTTCCCCTTTACCTTTGACACACATCCCTTTTTTTTCTTGGTTGAGTTACTTCTTTTTCTTCTTTCGTTTTCCTTTTTTCCTATATTTGATACACATCGAAGATGCTTATCACGGATTACAGTTTATCCAATAAAAACTTTGATATCTTGATCCTCCTCCTATATGTCTTGGGTCAAAGCCACGACAGCATGCGTGTTCACAAAAGTATGATAGACTAATTGACTCGCATCGCTATTGTTTAGATTTCATGATAAAGAGAACTCGATTTAACTTTATATACATTCTCAAAGATGATTGTATCAAACATATGCTGATAAAACAGCCAAATGGAGGACTTCTTCACCAGTAGAATGCTTTGCTTCGAGCGCATATGTGAAAAACTGAAAGGGCTGAGAGAACAGCAGCAGAGTTTGCTGATCTTTTATAACATACTTGGACAACATATCCTCTAGCGTGCCTTGTTTTACTTTTGGAGGCTAAAAAAAGAATATTCGTGATCCTCGACTATTAGACTGCTCATAGCTAGTGAGACTCGTTCATTGATACACGCATATTAGAGAAACCGGAGCTTCGAGAGACTCAAGAGATCTTTTCCTTTTACCCAAGAACGATACACAAATATGCAGCGACCTTCAACCGAAGATCTAACTAGCGTAGAATGGCGTGATACCAATTGGTTAGAGGTATATATACGATATTTTGTTCTCTTTTTGACCACGATGGACAGAAAAGAAAGTAATTCATGGAATGCGTGGTAGCGCGTTGGAGGATTTCAAAATCAACAAATGGTCCTCGATTACTTTGCAATGTCTCCGTTCTGGGATCGTCAGTGCAACAACCAAGTACTTTCTATGCAAACACAATATAACGATTTACGACAACCTTATGAAGCAACTGTTGAAGCATTAAGGCAAGCGTGATTTTCCTCGTTATCTATTTGTTTCGTATAGATTAAAAATGACTGAACGGACGAAACAAACGAACGAACGACAACCGCATTCATTACACACATACACGCGCGTGCGCATGCCCGACTCGAAGAAAGAAGAGGACAAAAGCTAAACAATTAAGGACACCATTACTCTTCAATTTATTCAGAAAGATGACCGGTATTGAGTTCGCGGTGGTGCACGAACAACCTCCTGTATGGATGATCCAAAAACGGTATAGACGAGGGCCTGAACCGAACGATGGTAAAAGAGCAGCTTTGTTATTAAAAAAAGTATTGTGCAAATACTTTGATCTAACATGTGTGGTTATATATGACCATAGTGAATCCAATTGCTACGTACTATATCATGGGCGCAAATGTATACCAATCTCCTACAATCTATTCTGTGATTGCTAACCGTTTAGTAAGTATCATAAATGACAATGGTAGAAGAGAAGGCTAATTATTTAGGGATTCTAGTTAACGAGTCTGTTCCATGTCAACAGCGCTTTCAAAGAAACACAAAAGTGGATGGATTTCCATCCTGCGAAAGGATACAGCTGGAAATCCTCTAAACCAGCATCAACAGACAAATCCAAAGGTATATTTACATATTTCCTGGTGTTGTTGGTATGGTTTAATAAAAAAACAAATTGGCGAACTCTTTTCTAGGTCAACAAGGAGGAACACTTCGTGCACGAGAAAACCAAGAGTTTCGGCATTGGATGGATCGTGCCATTGAAGCTTCAGCTTTACGAATAGCACAAAATCGGTTTGTTCCAGAGCAGACAGTGGTAACCAATACACCTGAAGTTAGCAGCCTGGCATCCGTTGGGACGGTAGGCTTTTTTGTTCTCAATTTCCATTGCCAGTTTGCTAAAAAAAAAATTGTTGGGCATGTTTGCGACAACTCATCATTTGGTACTCTTTTTTAAAATCTAGTCGTCACAGCATGGCAACAGAGGTAAGTTATTGTGGAGTAGTATATCACTGATGAGGCATGCTAACGAGGTACACTTGTGCAGAAGAAGCGGGCGGAAAGCGGCAGCGTAAAAAGACGGACGAAGGCAACATCAGCAAGCGTAAAAAGAAATCCACTGGCAAATAACCCGTATTATTTTATATATTATAATTATTGTACATAAAAGAAAGATTACTGCTGCAATCTGGTATGAAAATTATCCCCGTTCTTTTTTTTTTTGTGATATTTAAGTGTAATATAAGGTGCGTTTGTTGGTGTCGTTGAATAATGTCAAAATACTCTTGGGAACTTCTCTTTTTCTATCGATCCCATTTTTATTGTTTCTTTTTACTTTTTTTTACTCGGCCTTCATTGCCTTCTCTGCACGCTTGATGGAAGCCTTGTCGGTCTTTGGCTGCTTGCCTTGGGGCATAAAACCGAACGGCGAATCAGCCCGGAATGGACGGCGCAAAGGACCGGACGACGTACTCTCGCCCCAAATATGAATACGCGCTTCCTTGCTGGTAAAGAATGTCTTGAACACCATGATCGACTGGATAATCAAGGGCTGCACAAACTTGAATTGAAGATGCAAGAATCCAATCATGGCAATACCCGTAAAAGATTGCTTCATCACCTTTTTGATTTCGGCCACATCATAGTCTAGATACGACGAGTACACGAAAAGCATCCATTTCAATCAACGATATTTCGTTCAGTTATAATCCTCCCTCAAACACAATAGCTTCTCTGTCTTTCGCCATAACACCCATCACTCTTTCTCTCCAAGATCTCTTCTCTGTTTCCCTTACCTTTATTTGTGGTGCTGACAAGCTTTTCCTCTGACTGTGTACCATCCCACTGCTGTTGAGCAGGTTCGACGTAACGTAAGGACGTTGTATCTAGACACGATCCCAAAACCCATGTCAGCAAGAGTCCACCCGAGATGTCCATACTACCAATCACACGCAATCTTGGGTAGACCCGGACGAGCAATATATAACAAGCAAAAAAATCTTTTCTTACCATTCTTTTTGTTTACTTGCCAAATCAACCAATAGTTCATGCCAATGGCAATGAACTGGCATGTCAAATACAATATACGGAGCGACCACAAGTACGAAGGCTCTTCCAGCGGCAATCGCTTGGTGACTTGCCGAATGCCCATGAAGAAGGCAAAGTTGAAAAGGGGATGGTTAACTACGCGTGATAAGGATAACATGGTACTTGTATGTGATGGGAAGAAAGTGATGAGTGTGAGAGAAAGAAGAGAGTGTTGTGTGGAAGCGGGTATCCAACGCGGATGTTTCTATCGCGAACACTAAGCTAGGAAATAACCAATGGCAACAACGCCTGGGGAAGCTGCTGGCAAACCTTAAATCAAGATAATTCGATAATGGTCAATTTAAGCTCTCTTTGCTGTGTAACATACGAGGGTTTCCCAATCAATCTTTCTCTCAAAAAGAAGAGCCCTTGATCGAGATGCTGATTCAGAGGTAAAGTATATGCACAGAATAATCAAGGAGCAACATGACCCTCCGCTATGCACATACAGAAAACCCGACCGATATAACCACATTATTATTGCTATTCTTTCTTTTTTCTTCAGTTTATTCAATTAATGGAACGGCATAGATTATGAAGGTTGGTATGGTACAGATATTAATGGAAGAAAAGAGCAACAGAGATAAGAAATGTCTAAATTGATTGTGTGTGATTGTGATGGAATGAAATGGTGGAATGGTGGGATTGGTTTTATAAGCTGAACAAAAAAAAAAAGGAGGGGGGAGGAAAGAAAAAGTCGGGATGGTATGTCTAGAAATAACCTCCTCCTCTTTCAGCATAGCGATTTGAAGAAGAAAACTGGTTTGGTATATCACGTGGACCGCGCACACGGTCTCGAGGTGGCGAGCCGTATCGGTTGCCGTAATAATCTGATGAAGTAGATGGTGATATGTCGTCATTATATCGGCCGGGGGATCGTGCTCGAGCGGATGATGGTGGTGGCCCGGCACGTCGATCGCTTAGATAATTCCTAGATGTTGCTGAACTGTAATCGTCATGATCATAACCATGATGCGCTGGTCTAGTAGTAGTAGTAGTAGTAGGTGGTGGTGGTGCTCTCTCCACATGGCCATAACGCCCACCGCCACTTGCTGCTGCTGTCGTATTACTTCTAGATGACATTTTCCAACCCTCGTTTTCCTGTCGTTCTGGACGACGGTAAGTGGCACTTCTTGCAGTAGGAGCGCGGTCGTCATATGCATCGTGATCCACATGGCCACCGCCACGTCGGTACGAAGAACGTTCGTCGTAAGCACTACTTGTATCCATAGCAGGAGGAGGAGGAGGAGGAGGATGGGCAGCACGCCTGGATTGACGGTCATCAGCAGCAGCATAACCGTTGTTGTTATCAGCAAGGGGAGCTCGTCGCTGCTGACGCAGTTCCTCTCGCTCTCGTTCTCGTTGTGACATTTGTGGTTCTGGATTGGCCTCCCATAACTTTTGCTTACGCCCGGATGCTCGTGCTTGTCTGGGATGGTCGAGCGGTGGCAGCATGCTGTCGTCATCTTCGTAGCTACGACGGTTGCTTTGTGGCTGTTGTCGAGGTGCGCGTTCATCGTAAAGCCATCGAGGTAAGGGCTCGTGCTTTTTCTCGTAGTATTCTCGAAGTACTCGTGATACATGCGATTCACCCTCCCAATCAGACTCATCCGACTCTATATTTCCCGCGTGAGCACACACACACATAAACTCTTTTTTTTTCTCACTCTCTCGATTGTTTCAAGTGGAGAAAAAGAAGCCATACCAGGGCCACGATCATCACGCGAGGGTATCTTGTCCGCCATGTTTTGCGTTGCTTGCACCAGCTTTCCCCATAACTTTGCACTTTGTTTGGGCTTCTCGTCTAATACAACCAATTCCAATCCAGTCCAGTCAATGAGAAATAAAGTTCTGGTGCCTGAAATGATAGACAGGAGAAAGAAAGAGAGGAGGTGTGGGATGGTATCATCCCACCATCCACAACTACACACGCAAACTGTACTTACATTTCTCGTTCAGCTGCTTCCACTTTTCATTCTGTCGTACTTTTCCCCATAACTTTTTGCCAGACTGCTGTGGCGAGGAAGAATCGCTCGAGGTTTCGGGAAGATGAGCAGCAAAGTTATTGTAATAAAACGAATCGTCATCATTGTCGCCTTGGCCACTATTGCCATTCTTCATGTTATTGTTACTTGGTGACCGAACAAATCGGGACCATTTGCTGCCGGTAGAAGTTGCCGAGGAAGTGTCAGAGGGGGCATGCTGGTTGAATGTACTGCTCGAGGTGGATGAAGCAGCGGATGTAGGTCTGGATCGACTTTCACTGTCGTATGAAGGTACGGGTTTTCGAGGCACTCGTAAGTTATCGTCGTGGCTACTCGTAGTGGCACTAAACTTTGTTGGTAATGGTGGCAATGGTGGACGAACGACATCTTGACACTTGTGCCGAGCAGGATAGAGGCCAACATCTTGACCACAGTCTTTACAACAGACTACGACCCTTGAAACACGGTAATCTACCGCTTGAGCACCCATATTCTGTTTTTTGTTGTTCTTTTCGCGGGTTCGCAAGTCAGGTTACGTTGAAACAAAGAAATAAGTAGAAAAGAGAGCTTTTTGACAAAGAGTTTGAGTGAACAAGTGAAAGAAAGAAGAAGAAAAAGCAAAAAGGGAGGCTCGCAAAAAAAAAAAGGGAAAAGGAGTTTAGTGTATTTCCTGGAAAAGAAGATTGCCTTGTTGCAACTCCACGCATTTGGCTGCTCTTTGAGTGCCTCCACACACACACAGAGATACGCTTCTTAAAGCCTCCATGTCACTTGGCCTTGGTTGCACATCCGTCATTACATCACTAGTGCAATATGTACGTACAGGAACATGCGACCATTACATGCATTGCCACGCTCATTGTAACCAGGTCTATCCTGTTACAGCACAAACACTAATGATAAACAGCTGGTGATGTTTACGGGCATTGCAACCGAAAGGGTTCATGTTACACAAGTAAGACCCTCGTGCTTCAAATGACTGTGCGTGCTTCGCTTCCTCCTTACTTGGGTACTGATAAATTGCAATGATGTGTTGTGAGAAACGGGTGATGTTACTTGCAGAGAAAGGGATAATGCTGTTAAGGTCCCAGGGGGTCGAGTGTCTTCCCTTTTCTTTGCAGGCTTCTACATTGGCTTCGTACACAATGACCTCTTGACAACAGCAACAGCAATAATGCTGCTATTCATGTCATATTGCCACGTTTTAATCAAAATGACAAATTGGCTGGAGCCAAGTAACTGGTATGGATCGCCGCGCAAAGTCTGCATACTGGCTTCAAGTCCATGGCATTCATTTGCTCGAGTATAGAGTAACAGTCACTTATTCTAGAAGAGTTATCCGCGTGCGCCAAGGAGGTTCTTGGCGGCGGATGTCGTTACAGCACACAGCAAGTGAAAGTGTCAAACGACGCTAATACTGTTTCACTTTTATGAATTCATGCAGTATGGCGTCAATAAAAATAAACACAAAGCAATCTCAGCAAACCATCGAGCAAAAGGACTATTTTTATAAATTTTGGTTTTTGGGTGAAGAACAGTGATAGGAGGAGTAGCTGTGTAATACATGACTTTAAAACAGAAAAAACTATGCTAAAAGGTAAAAGAAGAATGCATGCGAATAAGTACAATTTAAAATGAATATACAAGAATTATGTGGTTTATGTTAGATGGGCCAAGAACGAAAGAATACTAGAGTCATAATGTGGTACGTATGACTTCACATTATCGTTCTTTTCGCCGTAGTGGCCACCATAATGTATTGCTTATGGTATCTCGTGGACCCCTTGGCGCTTCTCCGGATCATTGAGTATGGATTGTCTACTAACTAGCGGGAACGGACAATTTGGTAATGTCAGGAATGTTGAAGCTGGGAGATCAAACGGCGTTACAAATTGTCCGTTATTCTCATCACTGTTGATTTCTTCTTCTTGTTTATCTGATGATGTTAAAGGAGGAAACGAATGGGTATAACCCGACGACGACGACGAAGGATAGAATAAGCGTTCTAGATTGTAGGATGAGGTCATCGCAGTATCGCTCATTGATGCTTTTTCTTCTGGTCTTTGAATGGTCGTTGAACTTGTTGCAAAACCATATCGAGATCGTGCTGGATAGTGTAATAGTTTCCGATTGACTAGGGATAGTGCGTATTTATCATCTTTGTCAAGAATACTTATTTGTTTCTGTGGTTCTTGTTGATGTTGCTGCTGCTCTCGTTCCGAGGTGCTTGATGGTCGAGATCGAATTGTAGACTCAGCTATAGAATCAGTCGTTGACTGGTGATGACTGTTTACGCTTGGTACTAATGCTATGGGGTTTGGTCGTGTTGTAGTAATGAATTGTTGCTGTTGTCTGGTGTTTGTCGTCGTTGAACTGTCTTCGACACTGTAGCTGGATAAATTACGGATGGACATGCTGTCGCTACTACCGGTATCCGAGCTCCAGGCCGTTTCATGCTCGCCCAAATTATTATTCGTCTGGGTAATTACATCGTTTGCTGTGTCGTCATGTAAAGCTGAGGAACCGTTGGGCGCTGTCGCTGCGAATATTGCACTGTATGTCGATGAAGGAAACTTTGAAATAGATTGATGTATATCGTGCTGATGCTGATCCCAATCGTCGAAAAATGTAGCGCTTACAATCATTGGTTCTCCTGGTGGTAGTGAAGTCAGCTTGGGATCTTTACGCGTGTCGTTGTCGCACAACTTTTTGTCGTCTCCTCCCGTTGTCGAGGTTCGTCGCTGTGTATGCCATACAAGGATACCTACGGCAATAACTGCTACCAGACCGGCACCACTAGCACCAACAATGCCAGCAATGACATTTTTGTTGAGTTCTTGTTGCTCTTGTGGTTCTTCTGCTGCATTATTTTGTATATCATCATCGGGGAATTTTGGTAATTGTTGCTGTTGATTTCCTTCATCGTCTATTAGTTTTGTTGATGGTGATTTTGGATGATGAGGCTGTGCAGCTACCAAGTTTGTTTCTACTACACGAGCAGCACGGAGCTCTTCGTCTTGTTCGCTGGCAGTTGGCACGATTAAAAAGTCGGATGCCCGATATGATGCTGATATGCTTTCAATGGAATTTGCAGTAGCAGTGTGATTGGCGGCTAACGTACATTAATTCTCTCTCAGTATCCTTCATTTTAAAAAAATTATGGTTTTATTTATTGTTAATCAGAAACTCACAAGTTAACATACTACTAGTTTCTTCCAGCGGTATCGCAGGTGCTAATAAGGGCGATAGTAGTAGCGCGCATATTGTATAGTAGAATAGCTTCATTAAGGGTGGCCGATAAGAAGGATAGTTGGTTGTAAAGGAAGGGAAGGGAGGAGAGATACTATACTCTTGTCAAATCTTGAAAAAGAAGGTTGGAAAAATTACCGGTGCAGTCTGTCAGCAGATAAGCAAGAGCACAACAGTAGTAAAGACGTCGGTGGCGAGTTTTGAAATTTGTCCGTTTAATGTTATTTTTATTGTTGGAAGGGACGCAGACAAATAAGAATAGAGCTTCTTATAAAATTGCATGCCTTCTACTTTGTCGCTCACCGATATGTATTTGCTGCCATGTAAACTCCTGGCGCGCACGTTGAACATCGATCTTTTGGCATTATCTCAATATGTATTCGATCCTTATCCATTATTACAGTATAAATGAGTAAAAGCTAAAGATGCATGATGCCATGCGTAGTGATGTTCTTGAAGACCACACAAGCAGCTGCTGCGTAATCTCTTGTTTTTTATGACACAATTCACTTTCTTGTTTGTATGCGATTAGCGTACGATGTTTTAAGAAAAAAACAAATATTGCAAACTTCAGAAAGACCAAACTATTTTGCATAGATTATCAAAAGCTTTATCACGCCTGTAGCCATGTCTTTAGATATATATAGTTCTAAAAATCACTGCAACGAATTTACTTCACTGAAAAAAAGAGACGGATGATATAATCAGTACTTGCTCTTCTACTTTGTGGGTGTTTCTCTGGTAATTTAAGTGGAACATCTGCTTCCTATTTTTCAAAAGTAAAAAGAAGATGAAACATGGTAAGTGATGGTCGTGCTTACGCGTATTCTACAAGCATTCCGGTCGTCTTAAAGGAATACCGGGCTTTATTAGTATGTTTAGGGTGTATGTATGTATTGGGAATACAATAAAGTCGTACTGGAAAAATTAGTAGTAGCGGTAGCAATAATGATGGTCAGCATTATAAAATTACAGTATCATGTAAAGAAGAGTGTAAGAGTTTCCAAAAGTAAAAGCACTTACGTCCATCTGTCACGTACGTTGCATTCTTACCAGAAGTGATGTAAGAGCGTTAAGACACCGAGCTATTGATGACTTTATAATCTTTCTCACTCCTCGAATACCCTAAAAGCGTTCGATCGATCGATCTTCATGTTGCTCAATGTTGGCAGGTCTTCGAAGTTCTTGTAGACGTGTCTAGGATGACCATTTATGAACATATATGATATTTCGATGCTTCGAATGACGAGGGCAGCGCTTTCATAATTGTCGGACAACCTGTAGAGACTATAAGTATGTATAAATGGATCAGGTAAGGACACTTCATTGCCAGCGATGAATAAGGCTTGACTGTACAGTACGTTTCACACTTACGACTAGTCGACCTTACGCTTCTATGTTATCATACTGCATTGTTTTGAGGACCAGATACGGCCAGCTAGAGAAGCATTTCTTGCTAATGTGATTACCAGTAAAAGGGGAAGAAAGGTATGACCATTGAAATGAAAGATATATCTCTAGGTTGAGCATCTGGCCGCGCTGTAGATGCAGGCGGCAAAAAGTTGTCATTCTGATCTACCAATGTTGATTTCACCCACGGAGTCCTTGAGCTGCCGTAGTCCTTCGTCTCTCCATTGCTTTGTAATGCACAGTGTTTATCATTTTTATATCTTTAGAAAGCTATACACTATGTATTGTTCGCTCTTATGCTGCCTTTCTCTCATATCATCGGCTTATAGACGTAGGAGGTAGATTTTTTACAATAGAAGAACAACCTGAATTATTTATCAACGTAACGACGCCAAAATATTACATAGTCCTGTTTCGTATTGCTGAAATCGATTACGACGTAGAAGAGAGCAGAGATACACTGTTATATAGTCGAAGACATTTCATCTTCTAGGGTGCCGTAATATGCAGTATTATGCAATTGATCCCTCAGTACCATTACTGTAGTCTTTTCGTAAGCGAACAAAATTTCTTCAGAGCTATGGAGGGGTGGCTTCAAATTAGAAAATCAGAGTGAGGTAAAAAGGTAGGTGAAAAAGGTGCTCGAAAGTTGCCATATGTTCAGTTTTCATATCTTTCAATGACAAAATGGTGACAGCAACCACCTCGTCTTCAGGCCAAAGATGCTGCTGCTATAATCCGAAAAGCCATCGTGCACGCCAGATGCAGGAAAGGTTGTAGGTGCATATAATGAAAAGACTCCACTATCACTATCTTGATCTCATTGGCTCTGTTTCTCGTTTCACGGTTATTTCAAATAAAGGATCTGGACAACATCTCCCCGGCGCCCGGCTCATGACTTTGTACGTCCGCCGGATTACGGCGAGACTAATAGCTAGCCAATCACATAGCTTCAATTTTTTTTTTCCTAAGGTTAAAGTTGGGACAAGAGCTGCGGCCAATACCAACCATTTTTACTTTCATACCATTCAACATGATGGAGGCTTCTAAAGATGCCGCAAGCAGCAATAGCTTGCTTCAACGCTGCAACGATCTACAAAATCTATGCGAGACAGTGAGAACGGAACGAAATTACTCCAAACGAAGCTTTGATCTTGTCAGCTCGTCAGATGCACTCATCCCGTAAACTTCTTTTCTTTTCTGATTTCGTGTAAAACACAAGTGAATTTTATAGCTAATCTTTTTTCTTCGTTCTAGATTAACAAAACGAGCACGATCCGAAGCCACAGAAATACTAACTACTACTATCACTGCCACAACTTCGTCATCCTCAGAAGAAGAATCAGCGTTGCCAGTAGCCATGAGGCCATCATTGGACCGTGAAGCTTTTTACAAACGACTTGAAACTTTTTCAGCACCCTTTGTTTCAAAAAGACGACCTGTGAATGCTGTTCAGTGTGCCATGCATGGCTTTGTTGATACACACGTTGTGGGTGGTCCAAAGCAAAATATTTGTAAACTCTTGTGCCCATCCTGCCAGTGTACAAACTTTGTTATTGACATTAGCTGTTTCAAAACAAGCGTACCCAAAGGTAACTTATACAAACTCTTTATGCAGTGCATTCTGTATATCTGATCGCAATGGCTTACTTATCCCATATTCTTTTTCTTCTTGTAGTCCAAGAAATTATGCAAACTTACCTAGCGGATTTGAGCAAACTTCACCGGCCTGGATGTTTCTGGAAACTTGATAAATGTTCCGGTAAGTGTTGATTGTTGATTGGTTCTTAATCAACCGTTGAATAATCATGTGACTGTTTGTAACTAACTGCATTTCATATAGATGACATTTACGCGTTTCCCCTTCGCACTTCAACTGAAGCACTTGACTTAATTAGCACAGAAGGTGCCCGTTTACTCACCTGTGGTGATTCATTACCTACTGTTGAACATCCTTTGGTAAGGATTTTTTGTTAGTTTTTTTTAGCATATGTTTCTTTTCACTGACCTCTTCTTCCCTCTATATAGACTCCTGATCAGCTTGAAAAGTTGGACGTTGTTATTCGAGCTTCTGAAGAATATCCGGATTACTACGATACCCCTGCTTTGCCGGATTTTAAGAGAATCCCTTACATCATTGCTCTCTTTGGTTGGAGACTGTACCTCCACGGCGGTGTGCATTCCTTGAAATGTCATCACTGCTTCCGAACAATGAGGCTGAATCAAACCCGTACTCCACAGACATTTAATGTCCTTGATCATATGGAGTACTGTCCTTGGGTGAATCGTGCGCAGGCCATGGTATACAAGCCATCACAGCAACCGCAGCCATTTATCACTGCTAATGAAGATGGCGAGGGTGAAAATGGTGAAGATGGCAGTAGAAAAAAGAGTCAGTATGTTTGTGGTCATGAGTGGATGACTGCCATCATTGATCTCGAGTACAACTTTTTGTTTTACATGCGGGAAACTTCGATTGCTTATCAGGAGTCCCGGCTCCAGTGGTTCAAGGATGCCAAGCGTCGCATGGCAAAGTCTCGTGCTGATTTGGCTATGGAGTTTCCTGATTCTCCCGACTACATTCCTGACAAGGTCGTTGAAGTAACTGAAAACACTGATGCTCCGATGGATGATCGAGTAGAAAAGGAGAATGCATCTGTCGAGGGCGAAGGTTCTGTTATAGCCAAGGACACTGTCACTGCTACTTCTCCTGCTGAGGAAGCGACTGTTGAAGAAGAGACTGAAGTAGCGCTTGACGAAAGCAATACACTTCTCGCCGAATCGCAGGAAAAACAAAAGGAGCCAGAACTCGTTGAGCAGCCTGAGTCGGCTACCGTCACTCCACCTACTGCCGCCAAAGAGGCAGAAGAATCCGAGACTGCTCACGAGATTGAAGATGAGTTGATCGATTATATGGAATCTGAACCAGAGGACGAGGACGAAGCTGAGCCTGTTGCTGTATCTGCTGTCGATGCTGAAGCCACAGAAAAGGATGGCCATCTTGACGAAGCTACAGCTACAGCAGCAGCAGCAGATGTTGAAATTGACGTTTCTTTGTTGGACGATGTGCAGACGTCAACGGCGATATCGACAACAGTTTCGACACCTGTGCCAGATCAGCTACAGCAAGCCAATGAAGACGATATCAACGCTGCTATTACACGACAGAGTCCTCCTTCGTCCGAACAAGAACAAGATACAGATGTCTTCAGGTCCGATCTTGAATTGAATGAAAAAGAAACTATGGCCTCTCATCCTGGTGATGAGCAACAACTTGAAGTCCAAGACCAAGAGCAAGGTTCCACCGCCGACGATGTGTTCACGTCATCCGGTGTTCAAATTGAAGAAATCGATGGTTTGGTGGAAGACATGGATGGTGTAGAGTTCGTCTGGCCTCAAGATGGCGAAAAAGTATCTTCTTCAGATCAAGAAAAGGAGGTTGGCCCTATCAGTATGGAAGAGGATGGACAAGTTGCTTCCACAGTGCCGGTTGTGGGTGACCAAGATAGCAAGGTGTTTGAGCGAGATGCTGTGGACGACAATGATGTCGAACGAGTAGTTGAAGATGCGGACATGGCCATTGAGAGTCAACAAGCTATTGTTGATGTTAATGAGCCTGAACCGCAACAAGAAGAAGAAGAGGCGGAACAAGAAACAGAGCAAACCCCTCCTGTGGCCACGGAAGATTCGCCGGAGGCACTTGTGGCTGGTCCGGCTGAACAGCATCAGGTTGGCGATGATTTTGTTACCAAGGAAGGCTCGGATCTCCCCCTTACCGACAACAAGGAAAATGACGAGATGCAGGAGATACAAGGTACGGTCTCCGTGTCATCACCCAAGCCTGAGCAAGACGACGATCCCTCCGCCAAGGATAACGGCGACAATGATGATGTAGAAGCCCTCCAAAAGGAGCCATCACCAGTGGTTGAAGGGCTGGACGCGCTAGATGATGACAATACGAAGCAGCAGCCCGAACAGCAACAACAACAACAAAACGACGACGAGGCTACTGCAGCTCAAGTTGAAACCACGGCCGTTATAGATGAACAAGGCGAAAAAGACGTTATCGAAACGACACAACAGGCTAGTAATGATGATGATGGTAATGAAAGCGCGATAGCAACTCAAGTAAATACAGCTCGACTCGGACAAGCCAACGACAAGACTCTCACAGAGACAGCGATGTCAGCTGACAACGAAGTCGCTCGACCTGAAGACAACATTCAAGTTGAAGAAATCGAAACAGTAACTGAAATCGAACAAGCTAAAGTGACAACAGCAACGGCAACTGATGATGTACAATCTGAGAGTGTCGTAGTAACTGCTGGAGCAGAGGAAGAAAAAGGGACTACTGCAGCATCATCGCCATTAGTAACAGAAGCTGACGTTCTTGGAACACCAACGGAAGACGCTTCTGAAGAGCAGCAACAGTCTTTGACGGAGAATATTGATACATCAGTCTCGACGCCTCAGCTACTGCAGTCAATGGAGGACGCGCTAGGTCAATCACCCAGCCATCCCGTTACTGAAGATACCCGAGTTGCTGAACAAGTCGCCGAGACCCTTGCATCGGAAGAAGTAACTCCAGTAGCAGCAACAGCAGCAGAAGTAGATGCTATTCACAATGGCAACACCGCTACTACCACTACCATGTTGACTTTTAAGGATCCCGAAGTTGATACAATGGTGGAGGATGAAGTCGACAGCAGTGTAGCTGCAGGTGCTGATGAAAATATTGAAGAGGGTAAAGATGTTGAACAAGTACAAGGAGGCAGTGCAGGAATGGTTGGTACCAAAGGTGAAAAAATGGAAGAGGACATGGTGGATCGAGACGGTGATGTGGGCATGCAAGAAGTAGTGGATGAGGAGATGGATAATGCAGAAGAAGAGCAAGAAGATGGGACCATGGATGAAGAAAACGCACAACCTGCTGCTGCTGCTGCTTCCGAGAATACACAACTGTGATAAACTTTCACTACTGAAGTGTAAGTGTGCCATTTCTGTAATTTGCTCTAATCTTTCTTATTTCCTTGTTTCTGATTGCTAATGTATCTTTTTTTTTTTCTTGACAGTATTGATTTCCAAATAACTTTGCGAAACCGCTTCTTAGTTTTAAGAATACCTGTCACATTCTTTTTTTATCGTTGCACATATCTCCCCTTATTGTAGTTATCACCTATATGCATTGTTTATATACCTCTCTGTACATACATAGCTTTTCTCTATCAATGCATCTTCATTAAAAAGTTTACTTTTTTCTTAAAACACTGTCGCGGAAATCAAAACGCGAAGTTGCGAGAAAGGAAATTTTTTTACGTGGTTACGCGTTTTTCCTTATTTCGATTTTTCTGTATTCCTTTTTTTACAAAGCACTTGTGCAATGCACCCATTCTATGCAAGTGCTGGGCAATCGTTCAAAGCAACCACTGAAGCAGCACAACAAGTAATACCACAGCAGCAGCAGGAGCAGCAACAACAACAACAACAAGGCGAATCGAGCAACAACGACGATACCGACATTAATTTTCAAGAATCTTCAACCACTCATCTTGTACATGGTGGAGGAAGATTCAACAAGGGAAAACGACCACGAGTTGACGATAGTAGTAGCGACGAAGAGGACGATGACGACGATAACGACAAGGCAACAATTTGCCAAATTTGTTTTAAAGGCATGACCAACCAAGGCGGTCACTGCATAGTCGCCACCAAGTGTGGACATACGTTCGGAGAGTCGTATGTAGTATACACTAAGAACAGACAGAGCTTTCAAACAATGAATAAGAGAATTTAACCACGAAGTGTATAAAAATAGATGTATAACGAGATGGATCAGTGCAAAACAAAAGGATAGAGCGCAAGCACGTTGTCCCAACTGCCGGTAGCGTGGTTTATATTATATGAAGAAATGATGTACAACGCAAGAGAACTGACACAAGTGATTGATTATTGGTGATTTGTTAGGCAAAACGGACCAGTTCTCAAAAAAACCGATTTACGACGGATCATTGTCACAAAGTTAGTTGCGTATGATACCAGCGACTTTGAACGAGTTCGAAAAGAGCTCGAGGAATCCAAAAGAATTATCGATGAAAAGACCAAGGAGATCATGAGCTTAAAAGGAAAAATCAAGTTACTGAACCAAAGTCAAAGTGCGAAAGACCTCCAAGAATTACAAGAAAAGTAAGTTGGCAGTAGTATAGAAGAACGGGAAATTCGGTAAATGGTTAAAAATTCATTGATATATTAAATTTTATTATTATTATGTGGTGTTAGAATAGTAGCATTGAGCTCGGCACAAGGAGCAACATCATCATCATCATCATCATCATCGGCATCATATACATCAGCAGCAGCAGTTGATGAGCCAGAAAGTAAACAGAAATTGCGAGAATTCTATTCGTATCCGCTCGAATACCAGGTATACATGTTTGAGACTACGAAAAAAGAAGCATGATTGAAAACACTCAGAGTTATTGACAAGAGTTATGCATAATTGAAATATTAGCAACAGGGCAGGTCCCTAGCGATTAGCTCGATGGATGAAATGGCGATTGTATCGGTTGGAAACGAAAGCCGTGGTTACGGGTTGCAAAGAATCAGTCTGCGAGATATCAACAGCGTCGACTTTGTGCCGAATCACAAAAAGGTGGTTCGCGATATCAAGTGCTCACCCTTTCAACAATCACTGGTGCTGTCAACTGGTCTGGATAATAGGCTCGCATTAACGTGCGTGCGAAACAAGCATGTAATTCAGGCATTCTCGCTCGAAAAAGCTGGCTGGTCCTGTGAATTTGATGAAACAGACTCCAATCTATTCTACTGTGGACTCGCCAACAATACCGTTCTCGTATATGATATCCGTAATACCAAAAGTCACCTCCATCATCTGCGGCCCAACACATCGTCCAACAACTTTCCAATACACTCGCTTGCCTCGACCAAACGAGAGAATGGCAATAGGATCATTCTCTGTTCGAACAACATGGGATCGTACCTGTGGGAACTGGATTCTTCCAATCAGGAGCCAGTATTTCACTCGCTACCATCCACAGACAACCCAGGTAAGATAAAGATGATCAATTAAAAAAGAAAAATAACAAACATCTCTAATAATTCTACACTACTTCTTTCCATATAACAGGCTATAAACCCTATTCACTTTCATACGACACCAAAACGCGAACAATCCTAATTTCATCGCGTAAACCACCTCAATCCAACGGTGGCACAGTACATTCTTTATACCAGCTTAGTCACGAAGAGCAAGTAAAAAAGCCAGAAGAGGACCCGATCGAGCGGATATGGTCATTTGAAAGCTCGTACCCGCAAGTTCAAATGGCACGCACATTCCATTTTCCTCGTAAAAGAAACAGGGACGATATAGTAGCATGTTTTGCACATGAGCGTGTCGTATCTTTACGCAACGAGAACGAAACGATCGACTCATTTCCTGTCAAGGATCCGGTGATGGATATCAAGGCAAAGCAAGTGGGCCAAGACCTGGTTGTTGGCGCCCTCACGGACAAGACACTGCATTTGTATAAATTCCAATGAGAAAAGCCGTGTGAGATCAGCTCTTGACTGGGCCACACACTATTAAATCTCTTGTACAGAATATATAATAAACCGGTAATGTATGGGGGTGGTGTGGCTAGTATATATGTAGGAGGGATAGGATCTCCATCTTGAACCCACCCCCCAACTCTTTTTCTGTCATCAATATCGTACGATTTAATTGAATGTAACACAAACGATTTTGCACTCGCCACAAATGAGATTTTTCCGCACACTGAAAATAAGGAAAAGAGTTATGAAGATCAGAGAGAAATAGAGCGGTTAGAGAGATGGACAGATGGGTGTGTATTACAATGAAGCGAAGAGTTTAGAGAATCTGTTTATTGGGGAGGGTAGTACATGGCTCATACCATTGCTCTCCCTCTCCTCCCCCAATCACTCATTCTATTAATAAACATAAAGCTTTCTCGGTTCTCACCATCGTCATCGCCACCATTGGAGATATTTTAACAATTTTGTGTGGGGATGTCAGCCTCATTATACCAACTTCTGACGTGACCATGACGATGATCTTCCCTTGTCGTGTATGTCGGACGATCATCCATCTCTTTCTAGATGATACTCTACTTATTATCACTTATACTACATGGAGCATCTCTGAGTCTCCTGATGAAATCGTTGCAACGTCTAACGGTGGAAAAAGACTCTTTTGTGTGATAATCAGATATAATTGAAAGCGCTGCCCAAAAAAAAGTGAACCCTTGAGAGAGAGCATTTCTGATTACCAAAAGTGATCACATCTCCGAGTATGGTTATTAAGCGAAGGGAGAGATAGGGCTTGTTGCTTAACAACACATACAAATTTTGTGTTGGCTAGGCGATTCCAGAGGTTGTATGTCAGCTGGTCGTTGTTGCGTAGCAACAGCGGTCTTGCTTGGTTACAAAATGCGAGTCTAATTTTAGTCAATTGTGTTTCATTATTATTAAAAAAAAAAAACCAAGTTCCGGTCTGTCCGACTGTCCGCCCGGTTATTAATATTATCGTTCGTTGAGCAGCAGGGTCTACTACAACATATTCATCGAAACCGCGGAATCATGAACACTGATGATTGCCTCACCATCGGTATCAGCATCAGCATTATCGCAGAATGATAGGACTACAATCATAATTAATAGCTAGCCAATAACTTTTCTAAGCATTTGGAGCTAGCGGACTTGGGTAGATCAAGTGCACCTTCTGTACACGGAGGAGGGTTAAGAAATTGCCTTGCTCAACGATAATGGACGACAATAGTCTGTTGAGAAAGCAGGCAGACTCGTCTTGTAGTAAACGGATGGAAGTGACCTGCTGTTGTTGCTAAACTTAGAAAAGGTGGCGGCAAATAATCTGCTGTGGCTCGTGTCAGAAAACGCCGCAACCCACCGTCGTCTCACAACTCAACGCACTGTTAAGAATGCTGCTGCTGGAATAGCCTTTTTTGAGGTGCAAGTTGCGCGCGTTACCCGTTTTGCATTTCTCGAGGCACACCTTTTTTTAGCCCGTCTGATTTCCTATATTTTTCGTCTCTTTTTTCCTCTCGCTCACACACCTCTTTCCTTCCTCGTTTTTACAGATCGACACACCAGGTCATGCTGCCCATCGTCCTCGTCACTTTATACTACTACTAGACTATATTAGCCACTTCCTTTATTTCTCGCGAGTCCTGTTCGCTTTCTTTCTTTACCCCTTCTTCCTGACCCCGCTTTTTATTAGTATTGTACATTATTATATTACTGCAGTTTCGTATATTCTTTTTTTAACTCCACGCACGCATACACATCAGGTACATACGCGCTTGATATAAAACTTTCGATCCGTTTCGCGGCGTACAACAGTCCTATCTGTTTTCTTACACTTTTTTTTGTTTTCTGCCTTGCTAGAGCTATGGCTTGGCATTCCACCGCAACACCAACCATAAGTACTGCTGCCATAACCACCAAAACGACCTTTATATTTTATTTACTATACTACTTGATATCAGCACCACCAAGCTCACTGGTGAATGGCCAGCTCGAGTCGGACGGCTGTCTCAAACTCACCTCATCCGAGGCATGTCCCGCATTCAGCCAATACTACGTCGGTCTCAGCGATGACTTGAAATCAGCCTATTCATTCTTGACCAACGTCAACGACGTGGCATCATTCGACGATGCTTTGTATAACCATGTTGGCTCGTCTTCTTTCTTGCAGCAATTCGGTTGCAGTAAAAACAACAATACCCAAAATAACGACGACGACGAAACTACTTACTACCCACGCTATTCCCTCAGTCGGTTATGTGCCAGTTTTGTGCACGATGCCACTGGTTCCTTATCCTGCAATTACGGCCGAGGTATTACACCCGAACCTCTGTGTCAGTCTACCTGCAACGACTGGGTCGACAGTTTGGAAAATATCACTACCACGAGTGGTAGCAGCAGTAGCTCGGATGCATCATCATTTACTTGTCCCAGCTCTATTTACGGATCATTTACACTCGAGTGCTCATCATGGCCTGCGTACACTGGTACCAACGGAAGCTGCGTCCTTGGCTCGGAAAACGAACCAGATAACTGTGGTAAATATCAGTCCTTCACACATATTGTGTTGTGTGTCGTGTACATTTTTTGATCTTGGTGAGACAAGCGGGGAGTTTGGATAGTAGTAGTAATAGTAATTTTTCGATTTAAATAAGGATTCTATGACAACCAAACGCACGCGTGTGAATATTGCGAGTCTCATGGTGACGACAGCTGCTGTCAAAATGTGTCATGCAGCAACTCGCTTTCGGCAGGTGCTATAGCCGGCATTGTCGTTGGATCCCTTGCAGGCGCCGCCATTATCCTGTTTGCCCTCTTTTACTTCTTTTGCTGGCGACGGAGGGATAATACGCGCTTTTTACCCATTTCCACCGTTGCGAACAACACCATGGCTAATGGTCACCATAGAGACGATGACGAAGCGCGCGAGCATCTGGTCACCAACTATGCGAACGGTGCAGCATCGATCGGGGTGTCGACTACAGCAGCGGGAACCATTTCTACAGCGGTTGAGATGGATGAAAAGACACAACTGCCGTCACCCAATCCTGTCGAGATGGCCGAGCTGTTTTGTGAGGCGGTGCACAGCTATCCACCTCAGGTACAAGACGAACTAGATATCCGTGAAGGCGATATTGTGTACCTGATCTTCCAGCTGGACGATGGATGGGGCTATGGGTTGAATGTATCGACTTCACAAACAGGCGTATTCCCCTTGGTGTGTGTGGCACGAGCACGAGAAGAGTTGCTGGAACAATTGCTTCTCATGCCCAATGACCAAGAACAGTTTGCTAATGACAAGACTTTGGCGGAAGAAGAGCAGCAGGAAATATTACCGTCTTCTGCGGGTGCATCGGTATTAGTACCGCCACGACAACGATCACCGTCACCTTTGCCAGCACATTTAGAAAAGTCGCCTACAAGTGCAAGTAGTCATAGTCTGCTACAATGGCGGATGCAGCAGATCCGGGACGACGTGCGACGGTCTATCAGTGTCAATTCATTGAAACGGATCAGTCGACTGCCACGACCAGCACCACCTCCAGTCAATGTCCATCATCATAACACCGTGCCTACCAAGCGCGTCACTGACGCATTGTCGCCACAACAACAGTTATTCTCGGCGCCTATCGCATCTTCTGGACGAATGGCACCACCACCGCCCGTACCACATCATATGAATGAAGAACACGAGATGCATCATCCAAACCCACCTTCACTGCAATGATCATAACTTACTACACGCACAAACAACAAACACACTCAATTACCAACTCACTCAATCAATCAATAGCACACTCACTCAAACTCACACTCACATCCTATATGTATATTATACTAAAATTTTCTTCCTAATTAAAAAAACTTACAATACTTTTCACTAACTTTGGGGTGGTGAAAGGCGCAACTTGCTGGAATTTCCTTGCATTGAATCAACACACTGACTTCTTGCGATTGTGTATACTTATATGTTATTATTATAGCTGGTGAACTGTTCTTACTGATGATACATTGCTGCGTGCAGGGGAAGTCAGTTTTCGTTTTGCTCTCAGAAATGATTGTTTAGTACATACAGTATATCAATGCATAGCTTAACAGACTCGGAAGTTCAATTCTACACAACACACACACCGCTCAGTATATATGATACAATCAGGTAATTTCTTTCTCATTCATTTGTACACGACATCATTGATTAAGTGATAGCCATCAACTATCATAGCGAGTTTTCTTGCTCCTATCATCTCCCAAGTAGTGTAACTTTCCTATTTGTCCCTTCCATTTATTGCAAATATTATTCGAGAATTCTTCTATAACAGAATGCTCGAACTTTTCCTTGTCGCTCATCTACTTATCAGCATATTTTTCATGGTTGAGCTTCTACTTTTTCTCATGCTCAAGAGCACGGTGCTTCAAGTAGTAAGCCTCAATCATACGTTTTATAAGAAGAACATTGCTGTCGAATTTCAAGCCCTATGATAATAGAATCACTATCTGATAGATGCTAGCTTACATCAAGAGCATTCTATCGGGCTTGAAGTAATGTGTTTTCAGACCACAGCAGTACTTTTTAGGCCGAAAAATCATGAATGATGCGTCTGGCAGAAAGCATCTCGGCAAGGCCGTCCAGACGTATCCACGATAAGTCGAACCATGCTTATGCCTACTTTTGTATTATATGCCCAATTTATTTTGCAGCAAACAGCAGTAATTTGGAGCAAAGAGAAAAAGAAGCACTATACTGTCTACCACATTGATTCAGCATTGGCTCGATTGGATACAAGTATGTGGATATCGTAAATACGATACCTTGGGTCGCAATCGTCGGCAACGTCTGTAAAAAACGCAGAACCGAATTTGATATTCGAGTAGAAAGCAGTAGAGCAAGTAACCAAGTTCATACGACAATTCGATGCGCTGAAGGCTTGGGAGCTAATTGTAGGCTGGGAGAGCCGACATATATCGGAAGAAGATTCTGTCAATGTATGTATAGGACACGAATATGTGTTGCCTAGGCGAGAACATCGGAAAACGTTCTGACATCATTATTTCCGATAGTGGACGTAAATGTATGCTCTCGTAATGTGCGGGAAATTGACTGCACCACCCGAATTGCTCTTGCAGCGACTTCATACAATATAAAAACATAGATATCATCTCATAAGACGTTGCCGAAAATATAAAGTGACAAATCAAAGAACCATAGCGACAATAGTTAAAGTATACTTATACCTGCTGGCCGGCGCCACAAGCAATCCACGGCCGTCGACTTCTTCTAGATATCCTTGCTTTTCTCTAATACTCTTATTATGTCTGCTGCTTGTTCAACTGTAAGCATTATAAATGGATACGTTTGAACGGGTTGTAGTACATGGCACCGTCAGATCGTATCCATTAAAATGGTTCTCGAAGCGGAAAAAGCTTGTCCGAAAGGGTTTCATAAATCAAAACAGGAGCTCATCGATACATAAGACGGGATGCTCGCCGACAATAACTCTCTTGCTGATGTTGGCGAGAAATTTATATACGAGCGTGTGCAACAGAAGCAGCATGCTGTCCAGAATGTCAGAAAAACAGGCGTTGTAATACCGACTTTCGTAAGTGACGTACTTACGGTTAACGGTATAGCAGAACACTCCTGTTTTTATGGATTTGGTTGGCAACAGAAACTGTAAAATACTGCATGTCATTTTTTGCTGTCCACCGCATGGGCGTGGTGTTGATCAACTATTTCTCAATTTCTTATTAAGTGAAGTAGTGGCTATTCTTACCCAAATCATATATATATCCAATGTGCTGTATGTATACTTTGTAGCGAGTTCTTCCATAAATTGTATGCTTTGAATGTATTCCATCGTATATGTTTCTGCGCTTGACATAAATTGGGATCAGAGGATGCTTATAGGTCTCGAGACAAGTAAAGGTGTCGATGACCACGTGGAGTCTAAAGCCTTGTGAATGCGTATACGACCATTTAGCGAGACTGAGATATGTAATTCGTTATAACCGATAACAAGACCGTGGTGTATAAGCTTGTTTTTTGTAAGCCTGTATATTACAGGTTTACGTCTCTTGCCATAGGCAGGCAATGGCTTACCAAAGTTGGATGATCCGAGCTCTTTACCCATTTCACAGCGTTGAAATTGAACTCTAGCGATATCGTCTCAATGGCGGTTTCGCGACATTTTCCATTCGATATCATATCACTGGTACACGAGGAAAAGACATGGCCATGTCCACTGAGGCTAGTCCGCTGGGTGAGCTCCCCCTCCCCCACGCTAGTAGTTGACGACCGTCTTTTAGAGGAAGGACAAAAGGATCAATCTGTTACCCACCCATTATTCATCAAGGGAATGATGTATCGTACTATTGAAGTATACAGACCGCTCAATCAATTCTGGTCTGGGTAGCCAATGTTCTTGTAAATAAGAAAAAGTGCAATATCATACCACAGGCGACGGTAAGATGCTGTACAAACTCAATTTGAACTGATACAAAGCAAAAGGGCTTTCTAATTTCCTTGTAGAAACTTAATCATTGTTATCAAAAGTTGTATTGGTATGTATATGTAGTAGCCTTACACGACAGAACATCGGAAGGTGGTCCGAAGCTTGAGAGTCATCACATCGTACTGTCCCTTCGTGGGCCAACTAGTTACAGTCACTATTGTGTTCCATGCCATATGCGGGCGACAAGTGAAAGGTATGCCACGGCAGCCATTTTTATCGTAACTGTATGGACAAGCAGGATCACGGAGAAAAGTAACAAAGAAAAGCGTTGCTGTACATGTGTCGAACTGCCTCCACCTGAAAACATATATGGCGCTCCAAAGGCAGCTCAATCTCAGGCGATCTCCCAAACAGATGGGTACATCCACGTGGATTTAGGCTTTGATAGAACGCCATATGAAACCTTTGTAAAACAATTCTATTAATGAGTATGAGCATTGCAGTAATCGGTATCAAAAGGTTTGATCTTTGCTGTAGAGTGCATGAGAAACGACAGTTTAAGCAAACAAAGCTCGATCAACTTGTTCCAAGTCCAAAAGAGTCCCTGCTGTTGCAAGGAACTTTTTGATGTGCCCAGTACTGATATTGCTATGCAACGGGTTTCACAACAATTTGACATTGTATTAAATGGTCTGTGGATTATGCTTGTGTCAAACGGTTGCCTAGATATTATGTTTAGAATCGATCGAGTCAATGCAAAGTAAAAGTAATTACGAATCTAATGTGAGCCATTTGACATTGTCAGCATTGTATAAGAACAAGGACACAGCACGCCAAAACATGAGTTCTTTCCTAACTGTCAAATGAAGCGGCGAAGACGATTGAACACAGTCAGAAAGAAAATGGATATTGCAAGGTGAAGCGACACGCAAATATCTTCACAAGGAAAGAAATTGTAAATGAGTTTAAGCAGGACATAGCAAGTAAAAGAGCAGGTTTTTATTCATTGTAATATTAGAGTAAAGAAACATTTTATAAAAGACAAAAGTTATCGTTATGAATATCAATAGTCGAAGGGTACAAATTTTATTAAAAGAACACAATCAGTGGACAATAAAGACAAATAATAAGAACGCGATTTTACAAAGTGACCTCAACAAGCAGTTCGCACAACCCGTAGGCTATACAAAAAGCATGAAGAAAGCAAGAAGAAACAGAAGAAGTATGTAAAAGGGGGAGGAAAAGAAAGCCACCAATGCCTCGGCCTGGGAGTCCCAGTCTCCCACACATTTGGCTGGGTCAATCAACCACAAACCCAGCCATCATGGTACAAACGAGTGGGAACCATGACGTACACTACGTTTCGAGAGTCAAGTGCAAGCAATCGGTTGTGGATTGCCTGTGAGTGGGGAAGGGGGAAGGGAAGGACGGAAGGGAAGAGGAAAGGGAAGGGGTGGGGGAAGAGGAAAGGGAAGAGGAAAGGGAAGGGGTGGGGGTAGGGGAAGGAATTGACTCTCGAAACACCCAAAAAAGAAAAAAAAAATTTGCTGCTGTTGTCGAATGCTGGAGGAGCTGCTTACTGGATACTCGGATGCTGGGAGCCGAACACTGAAGCTGGGAGCCGATTGCCGAGTGTCGATTGCCGAGAGTCGAATGCCAGAGAGTTGATTACCGAGAGTCGATTGCCGAGGGTCGAATGCCGAGAGTCGAATACCAGAGAGTCGAATACCAGACAGTCAACTGCCAGACAGTCGATTGCCGAGAGTCGAGTCCTAGGAGTCGAACGCGATCTACAGTGGCACCTGGCTCCTCATTGCGAACCCCACCATGGCAGACCAGACCAGACCAGCAGACAAGGCATCCAACCGAAAGGACACTACCATATTTCTATGGCGAAAAACCGAAAAGGATTTCTCCGTCCTCTGATCTCGCCCGAAGACCGGTTGTGACCAACACCGTTGAACGCCAGACTGGACAGCCCGAAGCAGGGACCGGTTGTAGGCAGCCAGGGTCCACGGGAAAAAGGCTGAGACCAGGACCGACAGAGGCAAGACCAGGACCAGAGGAAGAGCCAGAGCCAAGGGAAGAGCCAGAGCCAGGGGAAGACCAGAGCCAGGGGAAGACCAGAGCCAGGGGAAAACCAGAACCAAGGGAAGAGCCAAGAGAAAGACCAGGAGGACCAAGGGAGTGAAGGAAAAAGAAAAATGAAGGAAAGAAAGAGTGAAGAGAAAAAACGAAATGGCCTGAAAAATGTGGGCGTATTTATGCTTTTTGGATTGACCCGCCGCTTAAAAAAAACACGTCACGTGACTTGTGATTCGTCATTATATTGGCATGTGGGAAAGTAAAATGGCAGGGAAGAAACCATGTGAAGAAGAGGTGTTGAAGAGAGACGGTCAAGCGGTCAAGAAGAAGGCGTATGTGGTCTGCGTGTATTGATTGTCCTACGAAATATGTTTCACTGGTATCATGCAGGGCGTGCCCCGACGGTGTCGCCGCCTGTTTTTGAATAGGAAGGTACGTGCACCCGTCAGGCCACAAGGCGCACAGACAGGGTTTACAGGGTCTCAGCAACAAGATCCCAGAAAAAAAGTAAATGGCAGGTGCCAGGAATGGTTGACATTGTAAAAAATAAAAATTACTGATATTGTAACAAGTAGCTCACATAAATAGAAGCCATATTACTTTTGCGTCGAACCAAAAAGAACGTCGCCTGTTTCGTGTTCGAGAAGAAGCGTTCAAAAAGGAGTTTAGTTGCTTTGATACGATGACTTTCAGATGCAGAGTATACACGTTGTTACCTTCCCCTTCTTCATTAATAGTGTTGTCCCTGAAGTTTTGCAGCAGTTGTACCCTTACCAACGTATATGCTGTACGTATGTGCTTAGTATGTATTATAACTCTTGTAAGGTTGAACATGGTGCTGTGTTCTCCACCTTGTCCTGGAAAGCGTTGCCAAACGGTTTCTTTACAACAACTAGACAATGCAAGCCGATACAAGAAGATGAAGCAACTACGTATATTGAACCGTCATAAACGTTGAGGGAACTGCCAGCACACGCGAAAAGGCACGGCGACCACTCGAGTACCTTACCTGCTGCGCCATTTTACATGATACGATGGATCTACCGTCCACACCTGTAGCAATACACTCCGTCAAATCTCAGAGAGGACGTCAACTGTGACAGCGGAGACGACAGCGACAACAATGCCAGGTTTCGAGGAGTTGTTGTACGCGTTTTCCTCGCGTCGTCTTTCTAGCAAAGCAAAATAGACGAGCAGAAATAGATCTTTTGTCGCATACTGAACTGTAATTTGAATCTTGGCATGTCAGTCAAGACGTTTCAATGGGCTACTACAAAAACAGGTAAAGCTTATGCAAGGCTACAGCTATAGCAGTTTAAAAAAGGTATCCTGGCGACCACCACAACAGCCGCACAGTGAGAAATATCTCAACGAGAATATACATGCAAAAGGAAGCAATACACAACATCTCATATCGCATGAGCGCAAACATATATGATAACATATCTGGTAGACATTTGCAGTCACTGTCCCTGTTAAGAGTGGATCGCTGCCGACACCATCTCCAAATCACGGGGAATTGGCAGTATTAGAACCAGGCATACGAACCGGCTCCACCATGGTACAGACGCACATATTCCAGCCTAGCCTCGTCAAAAAGACAACTATTAAACAAGAAAATAATACAGATCTATCATGATGTCTAAAGGCTGGTACGATCGTTGGGAAGATGGCAATGATCTTTATGCCACAAAATACAAAGGAATGACAACCGTATGTAACATAACAAGATAATGACAAGAAGCTCAAATCCAAAGTTACGCTTGATATTCAGTTTCGTTGTCATCCTCTGCCTTGGATGAGCACCGTTTAAAAAGTTCTATTTGATATATCGATGTCTCTGCTCTTAAGTACGGCACGGACGAGCGAAGATACTGTATAGTGCGCCCTTGCCAAGCTCAACGGTAAAATCATTATTAGCTGACTTTTTAATTTAAAACACCTGAAGACGGATCAGCATCTACAAAATAAAACCAGCAAGACGTATTGACATCCCAAATTTTGCTACAACTTCCGACGTGGTTATGGCTCGTATGCTGTGCGAATCCGTGGCGTAGCCCTTCATTTCAAGATCAAGTTTTACAAGGTCACGGACGATACTGCATTGATTCTTCACAGTAGCTATGAAAAAACTGTTGGATTCCCTAGTAGTTGCTTTGTGTAGAGCAACAGGAAGAAGTAAAAAAAGAATCGGCGTTTTTTAATTGTCGCCATTTATATCAGACTTTATACAGTGAATTAAGCATCAGGAACCTACATCGGCACATCAGAGCAAAATGACATAGCATGCTTGAGACAATGTAATGCTGTTATAGAAGCTGAACTCAAGATAATATATAATGCGTTGCGTATACACTGACTTTTGTGATTTAAACGATTTGGTAGTACAGCAATAAACCCATGCCATCCCCGCTTCGAGTGACACCAAAACCGCCTACTATCCGAGCGAAGTAAATACAGCGCATCGTTAAACGAACGCGTTACTGAAGGTAATATGTCTGTAAAATTCTTTGACCATTTAAAAAATCCTTCACACTTTTACTGGGAGGTTTGAAGTAGAACTCGACTCTGAAGGAGCGTGACTAAAAAAACGCAGTAGGAGGCGGTGTTCAAACATGGCAATAGCGGGGTGATCCAGGAAATCGTAAAGCCGAAACACACGTAGCATAAAAAAACTGCTTCTTTCCCAAAGTGTGCAATACTTTTGAAAATGTCAGCGTTTTCGTGGGAGTTGGTCAAAGACGCATTCCTGCTCAATGTCAACGATATATTCGAGAATCTCAAGAACTACTCCTTGGACCAACTCAAGGCCGACGTGCAGAATCCTGAACGTTTGCTTGAATTCTACAAATCTACTGATGCTCTCGTTTTGGCGATAGCTGCAATGATTACTCTAGTGTTGATTCACTGTGCCATGGGCGAATTGACGAGAGACTATAGTCAAGTTGGTAAAGCTAAACTATAAAACACTTTATTTTGCTAGTGGCGTGTACAAGTTATTAACTACTGCTTTTTTTCTGGGTGGGCACTATTGTATGCTTTCTACAACAATAATAGATCGTGCCTGGTCGATTCTGCCGGCCGCTTACGCGTGGCATTTTGCTTTCCACGATTATCTCAATCGAACGAGCTTTCATCCGCGTTTATTGCTTGCAGCTGTATTGATCTCGATCTGGGGAACTCGGTTGACCTATAATTTTGCGAGGTAATCATGAGACCTCGATGTGTGTGTGTGTGTGTGTGTGTGTGTATAATACGAAATGATCTATTTGTGTGTAACGCTTGCATACTGTTATGTGCATAAATTATGGTGCATATGTTTATAGGAAAGGTGGCTATGGATGGCAGGGTCGCGATTATCGCTTCGTGTATATCCAAGAAAAGATTGGCAATGTCGGCATGGCTTTGCTCAACTTTGTCTTCATTGGACCTTTCCAAGATACCCTTTTGCTTCTCATGTGCACGCCATTGTATCTGAACACCCTGGAACCATTATCGTCACAAGGTGCCTTGAATCGCGTGGATGTCTTGGCATCTGGTCTTTTTCTCAGCCTGTTGCTTTTCGAGGTTATTGCTGATGACCAGCAATTCATGTTCCAGACGCGCAAGCATGCATTACTCGACTACCTGGGCCATGGTAACAAGGACAAGCTAAAGGGCGACTACAAGCGTGGATTTATCTGCAGCAGTGGTTTATGGCAGTATAGCCGTCATCCAAACTTTTTTGCCGAGATATCCATGTGGTGGAGTGTCTACCTGTTTTCGGTGGCTGCTCACGCACAAGCAACATTGAAGGACAATCATGGCGTGGTAGATTGGATGGATCCCAAACTTTACTTGAACTGGACTGTAGTTGGCGCATTTATCCTGACGATGCTTTTCCAGGGCAGTACATGGCTGACCGAGGTGAGTCCCTCATTGATAAATTAAGACGGAGTAATAGGCTAACGATGCTTGGTGTACTCTTAGTATATTTCCGCAGAAAAGTACCCTGAATATAAGAACTATCAAAAGTCGGTGAATCGGTTCATCCCATGGTTCCCTCAAAGACAGAAGTCCAAGACGTCCTGATCGTTGTTTTGCTTTCTGAGCTGACGTGCACGCGATTGCCAATTGCTTTTTTTAGCCCCATTAGCCGACGCCATTTCTTTCTTTGAAACTCGTGAACACTATCAAACTTTATATATCTCCTCCTTTTGATAATAAATTTTCGACATTATCTGTATAAATATACAACAAGAATACCACTGATATAAACAAGGTTTTGAGACAACGCAGAATAAAGAAGACGACGAATGGGTGGATAGAAATGAGTCAATGCAATCCATCAAACCATATAAGTAACATGGTGGTTGCACAGACTCCATGCCAAATCCAAATACAATTATATTATCGGATACATTTGGACCCTTCGGCTCCGCCCCTCTTCCTCCTCTCTTCAACTCTCTCACTTTTTTTTCCTTACCTTTGTTACTCGAGGACACAAGAACTCAATGACCCAAAGCAATAGTAGCGCCTTCCTGTCCCCACATCGTAATGCTCCGAATTACCGAAACAGATCCCCGTCCGTGTCGTCCATTTCCAGCTTTACAAGCGCAAGCAGTAGTACGAGTAGCACAACGACCAGCAGCCAAAGTCGGCTTTATCCTCGACCCAACATGAGCACAATGACAGCGTCGCGGTCGACTCGGACTATAACCACCTTGACTCCGTCAACGTCAAGTTATCACCCGCGCAGGAAAAGTAGCACAAGCAGCACGACCAGCGTGAAGAGTGCCATAGTTTCGGGTACGCAACAGCGACCCGCAGGCGGTGAAAATGTTCAAGTGGTTGTAAGGAGTCGGCCCATGCGACACGATGAATTTTTGAATATGGCAGAAGGATGCTGGGAGGTGGATCAAAATGTTTCAAGGATACGGTTGTCAGAGGTCGGATTACAGCGTCGTCGTGAAGCAAGCAAGGGACGCCAAATTGAACACTACTACGGTAATTTGAGACAGCATATACAATCTTTAGAATTGTGCTCTTGTATGTTTCGCAGTACTGATCCGAGATTTTGTATCGACTGTCGTGTCCAATTCAGACCATGTCTATAGTGGAAGCGACAACAGTAGCTTGTATCAGACAAGTATTCACAAGTTGGTTGAGTAAGTTTTGAAGCCCGGATGGATTGAGATTATAGCGGAGGGATAAAACTAGTTGTCAAGTTTGTTAAATATGGTTGGATTTGTTACTACTAGGCAAGCGATGGATGGATACAATGGTCCGTTAGAGGAAAAGAACGATATTCGCAGCATAAGGAAGTTATCAACTAACTAGCTCGAATATTTTTGTATATAGCTACCGTGTTTGCCTATGGCCAAACCGCTTCCGGTAAAACTTATGTAAGTACCATGACCACAACATGCATAACATACTTTACTGATCATTTTTCTGTAACGTTATAGACAATGGTAAGAGTGGTTTCAGGATGCGGCTTTGCTAGTGTTTCAGAACGCATTCTTCTAACAAGTGTATTCTTTGTTTCTGCATCCACAAAAAAATCAGATGGGTATGTTGCTTTAGGGAGCAAGGAGAATAAAGAAAAGAAAAGATACTAATAAAGCATTTTCCCCGTCTCTAGGTACTGAATCGGAACCCGGCATTATTCCTCAAAGCGTAGAAAACGTTTTCCGATGTATCGAACAGGTAGGCGCTAATCTTTTGTTTTCGACCAAGTTCAAGTCATGATTCCTTCTTTTTACCCTTTCGTTTAGGCATCAACCAAAGAGTTTGTACTCCGTGTCTCGTACCTTGAGATCTACAATGAAACAATTCGGGATTTGCTGGCTCCTGCCAACGATAACCTAAAGATCCACGAGGATAAACGGGTATGCCTCACTTTTTTTCAACTTTTGATGTGCGAATCTAGGGACTTTTTTTTTGGCTCTAGGCTTATCATGACGGAACGGATTATAGAGGGGTATTTATGTGAGTCCACTTACGGAAGAGGTGGTTACCTCTCCATTAGACGTCATAAGCATTATCGAAAGGGGTGAAGGTATGTATGAGGCTCCCTGCTTCACAAGCAAAGACATCATCTTTATTGTTCTATATCGCTGATTCAGATTTCTGTTGCCATATAGCCAATCGTCATATTAGCACTACCGACTATAATCTCCATAGCAGTCGAAGCCATACTATTTTCCAAATGGTAAAAGAAACGTCTTCAGAAGAAAAGCAGCCAAAAGATGCTTCTCAGCAATTGTAACTAACACCCTCTTCGTCGTCGTCCACAGGTTATAGAAAGCCGAGAGCGTACAAGCACTAGCAGCACACTGCTAGCGCCGTTATCGCAGCGACGTCATATACCCTCTTCTCACAAACATGCGATGAAAATATCACAATTGGTAAGTAGCTGACAGCATGTGGCTTCTTCAGCGGGAGAAAGCCGGGGCTTACAACAATGGGACATACGCTGAACTCTTCTTCACTCATCATATCATCTAGAATCTGATTGATTTAGCAGGATCAGAGAAAGCAGCTTCCAACCAAGAACGAAGGAAAGAAGGATCCTATATCAACAAGAGGTTTGTTTGTTTTGTGCCCTTCTGAATATATTACCAAGGCGTATATCCAACAGCATTTTCATTCGGCTAAAATTCTTCATTCACTACCAAGTTTGTTGACCCTCGGCACTGTCATTGCGAAGCTTACTGAAACCAGAAAGTATGTAATACGTTTATCAGCAAAGGGCTTTCGATTGAACAAAAAGACTAAAAAAAAACTAATGAAAATCATACATCCGTTGCTTATTGTAGCATACCCGGACACGTTCCTTTCCGTGATTCCAAGCTGACTAGAATATTGCAACCGGCATTATCCGGCCATGCTAAAGTAGTGGTTATATGTACTATCAGCCCAACAACTACGTCGTTAGAGGAGTCGGCGAATACCTTGAAGTTTGCATCACGCGTCAAGAGAATCGTCATTACTGCCACCAATGATGAAGTATATAAAATGTCCCTTTCTTGCATAACAATGAAACAACTAGACAGTTTGGTAGATATTAACGTCAAGTCTTCAGGTACTAAACGAACGAGCATTACTGCAAAGATACCGTGGTGAAATTTCCGAGCTGAAGAGTAAATTACAAGCGGCCGGTGATGTGCTTGTGCAAGAAAAGGAAAATACTCAGTCTATGCTAACTGCCGAACGGCAGCAGGTAATATCTTTTGAAAACGGAATCATTGGGAGAGAAAATGATTCGGATATCTGACAAAATATGTTGCTATATATTATAGCATGAGCAACAGTTGAGACAAATGCGTCTTGTCAGATCAGCACTAAAGGAACGGTAAGTATTCTTTTTTTCTAAAGTTAAACATGGCATCCACTCAAATACATGTTGAGGAGATACTTAAAAACAGAACTCATTGAACGTCTTTGCACTGTAGTATCGATCATTTGACCCGTCTCATTCTGACCTCTTCTTCTGTCACATCCCCTCCCTTGGAGAACATGGAATCACCACAAAGTGAAAATTTTAGTCTAGATGTCAAACAAGATGTACGTATTGCTGTGTAACTACTCTTTTCTGACAGCGCTTGAATATTGCATGATAAGCTAATGCATGTCGCGTTTCTAATGTTAGATGAATATACAGAATGGCGGAGATCCATGGCGAATCGTCAGTGAACTACGTAGAGAGCTTGCACAGGTTAAAGCAAGTAAAGCAAGTACAGAAAAGCTATTGAGCGATAGCCAGCATAGGGTTCGTGAATTGAAGAAGGCAGCAGATGAAAACAAGAACTTGGTGGAACAAGTGGCACATTTGGAAGCAGAGCTGAGTATCACTCGAGCCGAATTGCAGGTGACAACAGTGCTGGTGCAGGAAGGTGGCGGTGGTAACAATGGTGGACTTCAAACGCCAATCGACACACCCACACACCTCTTTAAAGACCTTACCCTTAGCTGAATAATCGACATGTTTAGACTGACATATAGATATATATCCATCCTCCACTTTGTTGTTTTCGCCATCTTTTGTTACCCACTATATATAGTATGTACATTTCTTTCATTAAGCATACAGTACATATCAATACATACCCGGTCACTGTTTTCTTCTTTGCTCAATGTGGAGTTTTCACGCATTTTCAAGTAGTAATAGTTATCTATCAGACTACTGGTACATAGTGTTTTCTCATTGCAAGTATTTGGAGTGGTCACGTTTCTGTTCCAGAACCACTCCAAGCTGTAGAACCCGTGACAATCCGTATTTCGTCATACAAGAGGCACTTTTTTCTCACCCTCTCTCTCAAGTAAAAGCAACATAATCAGTGATTTGATTCAGCATACTTGACACACTTCATCATATCAGCATTGTTAACAACTTACCGACTTGGCTGAACAAAGAAAAGCAGTCTGGTGTATGACATTAGAAATCCGAGAAAACCAGTATAATGTAATTGATCAGCCTCTTTGCCTCTCTTTACCCTCCCCCCTGAAATCCTTTTGGAGCAGGTATGATAGCAGTAAGTGGTATTATACGAGGGAAATGTACATTATTAAAACTTCTCCGCCAGCTTTGCTGCGGTTAGCCAAAAAAACCCACCACTCTTCTCCCGTTTCTGCACAATGTTGACACAACCATGCCAATGTGCTACTGATTTGGCACTTCAACAACATGGCAAAGAAATCCGCATTATTGACGCCCAAAAGCAAATTTCAGACAAATCCAACAGCTCTACCTACATAGTCTACACCATTCGTTTCCAGGTAACATACAGAGAGAAAATAAAAAGAACCCGGTGGCGGCGGACAACAACTTTTGAGTGGGAAAAGTCAAACGGCATAAAACTTGAAAAAAAGCATAATTTAACCTGCATGTTCTTTAATGATACAATTCACCGGTCTTTCTCCTTCCCTGAATGAAGGACAAGGTGGCGAAAAGACGTTATAGTGATTTCGATTCGTTTCGGAATTGCTTGGCAAGACTATACCCTGACGTCCTAGTTCCGCCCATACCTGAGAAGCACTCGCTGAGTATGGATTTTTTTTATGCTTCTTTTTGTTGGGCTGCATAATAAAAAAGAAATGAACACTGTTTTCTTTAGCTGACTATGCCCACGTACATACGACGAATCGAAACAAAGATAACCAAGCCATGGTTGACAAGCGTAGACGTATGCTACAACGGTTTCTTGTGCGCTTGGCGTCCCATCCTCGACTCTGCCATGAACACGTGGTTCATCGGTTCCTAGATGGCGGAGTGCCTTGGGTAAAGAAAAACCGGGAATAACAGAACACACAAAAGGAGGGGTTGACTGACGCATTGACATGCCACAATTTGCATCAAAAACACATAGTCAGAAATACTTACCTCACCACCGTTATCGACACTGGACAATGATGACAGCAATACTTTTTTGTTCCCGTCATCATCGACCTCGCATGATTTAAAAAATCCGGATCCAAAGTTCACAGAGTCGGAGAGGGTAGCTAAAGAGCATGCCGAATTTGCTAGTTCGCCACTGGATCGGTCACAACGGCGACTCTTGAGACGTCTTGGAGGTAATTAGCTGTAAAATTCACTGCGTGGAATAGTGGCTGGCGGTGCATAATATCTACACGATCCGATATTCAGAAATTTATACATCTTCCATAGACTTGTCGAATGATTACGCAGAGCTTGGTGCAGCATACAATATGCTGGGTCTCAATGAGAGCGAGCAAGTGGCCCCGAAGATTGAAAAGATAGGACTGGCAGCTGATACAACATGTAGCAAGACACAACACCTGGTAATGACGGGTTTCTTCTAGCATCGAGGATCAGGAAAAACTTGGATTGGTTGTTCGCTCACATACACGTTTTTGGATTGATCTCACCTCTCTTGTTAGGTACATGAGCTCGAGGTTGATTTCGCCGAGCATATGCAGGAATATGCACAGTACACACGCATTGCGAAACAGGTGCTCCGCCAGCGTCATCTAAAGCATGCCCAACTAGAACTGATCGGCACATCGTTACAGGCAAAACGTACCTCACTGCGTAATCTACTGGAAACAGAAGACAAGGCGTTGCGGCTAGAAGCTGACATGAGCCATCCTGAACCACCGTTACCTCAGGCAACAGTAACACAAGAACAACAACAGCAGCAGCAACAACATCGACAGTCATCAGCGAACAATGAAGAGGAGGAAGACGACTTTGATACACGATCAATCGAGGATGGATTTGCTGCTATTGATACCACGCATATACCCAAAGACTCTACGAGCGACGAAGGGTCAACCGAATCAATGGCCTATCCAAGCAACGCAAGCGCTTCGGCCATTCGAGCCTCCCGCGATCGATACCGAAAATGGTCATCACCTCGGAAACTGCTGAATGCAATGAGCTATACGATCCAAGGTATGATGGATGTGGATCCTGAAGCAACGCGGCGGAACCAAATTGCAAAACTGAGAGAAAACGTCAAACAGGTACGGCTTCACCTTTTGTTCCCCCGCATAACTTTCCAGAAGGGAACTGATTTGATATATTTGGATATTAGTTGGAAAGTGCACAGACTCAAGTACGAGAGGAGCTTAAGAATATGTCAGAGAACATACAACGAGAGCTTGACATGTTTCAGAAGCAGCGAACAAACGAATTACGAGCCATGATGGTTGCTTATGCAAGAATACACATGAAATACTGCGAGGAGGTATGTTCGTTTTTTTTAATCTCAGAAATCTATAAAAGGAAACAAAACTGATTTTTAGCATATTGAACATTTCAGAGCGTTTTGGCATGGACCAAGGTACGCGATTGCTTCTAAAAGATGTTCCACTGCAAAATATATAAAGGCATAAGCGCCTGGTGTTGTCAATAAAAAATAAAGCGAATGAATGTCGATAGCCAGCTTATGTATGAATATACTACCTGATAAATATGCTTAAGAACGCCATCAATTTGCCGACCAACTTCAACAGCAACCACTGCCCCCACCCCCCTCGCATGAATGATATATAAATTGCGTCATGGAGATATGCTCGGTGACACATTGTCTCGACACGCTTACTTAACAGTGATCAATAAACTGGTTTCTTTCTCCTACTTTTTTTTTTCCCGTTTATCTTTGCTAATTCAACCATGATTGCTGAAGCTGCCAAAAAACTACCATTCCAAGTATTCCCATTCAAGCCAAAGACCACCGCCAAGATCCCCGGCAGTGCTATTATTGTAAAGTCCTTCTTCCATGATAACTTTTTGTTTTTCTTTTCTTGTGAGAACGCGTTTAATAACATTTAGCACGTCCCCTTGTAGGTCTTGCAAGAGTGGTGGGGTGTTGATAACCAAATCAAGGCCCACGCGCAACACCTAGCTGATAGCACAGGAGCTTTTACAGTCGTTCCGGATCTATACAAAGGCAAACTTGGTTTGACAGCCGAGGTACAGTATAATTTCATTTGATAAGGTACCCATCGTCTTTCATATGGCAAAGTAAACGTTGTCTTCATACTGAGTTGTGGAACATGCTAGGAAGCAAGCCATCTCATGTCCAACTTGGATTGGCGCACTGCTATCGGCGAGTTAGCAGAATTGACCGACCAGCTCTATGCAGCAAAATACAGGTAAAACATATAGAAATGTTGAGGAGTCTGTTTTCTCATACAACGGGGTGTGTGTTATAGAGATATTGGCTCTATTGGCTTTTGTATGGGTGGTGGCCTCTCGTTGGCCTTGGCAAGTCGTATGGCCGATACAAAGAACCCTCTGAAAGCTGCGGTAACTTGCTACGGTACACCACCAGCAGACATATTTGACGTTCGCAACATCACAACCCTAACTGCAGTTCAAGGTACGCATAAGTTACTGCAGTCCCTCTGCACCATAATGCTTTAGTGCTTACGAAAAACGTTTATTGTGTAGGTCATTTTGGAGGCCGTGATACGATGGCTGGTTTCTCAGATCCTACTACTGGTACGTTGACGGTATCGCTCTTTCTAGGAGAACAACAGATAATTATTTTACTTACGCCTTGCTATAAAACGTAGCTGATGCATTGGAGTTCAATTTGAAAACCCACAATTTAAAGGACGTTGAGATTTTCCGCTATCCGGAACAAGGCCATGCCTTTTTGAATGACCTGGATTGGAATGTCGAGAAGCGCAAAGAACTAGGTTTTGTAAGCAAGGATATTGATCCAAAGACTGCTGAATCGGATGTGCGACGACTTGCTTGGACCAGAATCAGTAACTTTTTCATCCAAAATCTCGGAGGCAATGCCAGAATGGATTAAAAAAAAAGACCCAAGTAGTGTGGATTGTTTGTGTATATACATTAAGGTGTAAATGCAGTAATATAAAATACTTTAAATGGATGCTCGTAATGCCTGTTTTGTTTATTTTTTCACTGTTAATGCGGGAAGCTATCAAATTCTGTCCTGATACGCTTTTCGTAATGCTGTTGTGTTTGGGTTCTATCTTCATTGCGTGATCGTCTTAATCCAAGCCGTGATGTTTGGACAATGTAATCCATTTCAGGATGCTGTTCTATCCGCTTCCATAGCCATCGAACAAGGAGTGGGATGTTATATCCTGTTTGGATAACGCGTGTCATTTTGTCCTCGTCAAAGATGTCTGGCTGCCAGGCTAATCGGTGCATTGGATCACGTTCACCAGCAGAAGGAGGATCCAGCCGTACCACAGGTTTTGCTGGTGTATCTTTAGGAACTTCAATAGAGACTGACAGCAAGGCAAGACGGTCAGAGTGGGCAGAAGGTGGCAATGATAGGGTGAGATGTATCATTCCCGGAGCATCCACGCTCGCGACTTCAACATATAGCTTGTCGTCCGATTGACTCTCTACATAAGAACATCAGGTATGCAAAGTTTAGCGTATTGTTCTTGTAAAACTAAGATCCAAGTGAGCTTTTTTTACCTTCCAAAATCTGGTCAAGCGCAAGAACACGGTTTTTTTCAGATCCCTGCTGTTTGGCTTCGCCATTGAAGATACTTTGAAATAGTGTGTTGAACATTTGCTGCTGTCTTAGATACTAAAATACAGCGATGTCAGATTATCAAATTGTTAAAGCACACATATGTTGCGCTATTTTTACCTGCAAAATGTTGTGTAGTTGACGTGGATGGTTGAATGGGACTCGTGTTAAGATTTTGCCAGAGGTTGGTGATGACCGCATATACTTGTATACTTGTGTTGATGCATTCTCAAATTCAACGGTCCAGGTAGTGTCTGCGTTCAGAGATGACGCATTATCTTTGACCTATTAATGTATTAATGATCAACGTTAAATATGCACACGCTTTTTCTTACAACTTACCAACAGATCCTCCAGACAAGGTATATCAGAAGACGGCGTGTTTTCCACAACTGCAAAAGCTATTATAGTATAGAAGTAGATGCGATTATGAATATCCACATGACTGATTATGTTCGTTTCCCCACAACAACAAAAGAAGTAAACTTACAGTCATTGACCAGATCTGTAGCAATCATCAATTTTCGCACGATAGCATCAGCAGCGGGTATTGGCGGATCAAGCTTGGCAACAAATCGTACAGGGACCGGTGTCACGTTGGGATAGGTAGGCTTCATTTTGACGAATCGCATCGGCTGCATAAATTTTGGCCACGTTCGTTCCTTGACAATATCAAGATGCTCGCTATACATAGGGTCAATTCTAGACCACCTTTTTGCCCCCCACTCTTCTTGTAATTCACGTTTTTTCTATTATTACCCATTTTCCGATTCTTTGATATTATCGATCGATTCTTCGAGATCCACCATAAAATGTTTACGTTGTGTAGGGATGAAATATTGTGGCTGTTGGGACTCTTCAAATGATATCAATACTTTTGCGGTGTTTGACAGCAGCGGATGGTTCTCGTCTATTAATAAAAAAAATATCATTAGAGCTCAAATCCCTTTCTCTCTCTCATATGTTTGTCAGTCCCTTTTACTGATTTCTACCTTTTTCGATAGCTTCACCGACTGCTTCCCAATCACTTCCAAGGAAGAGCTCTTTACTGATCCAATATGAAATAGAAAGGCCCGGGTAATCCAGATGTTTGTTTGGTACACCATGTCCTTCCATTAGCACGCTGGCAACATCCTTGGATAAGAGCTGCCTATATATACATTGCATCAGTAATCAGCTGACAACATTCGCAAACACAAACACATATTCTTAAGCGCTTCCTTACATTTCTTGACTGTAAATCATCTGTAAATCTGCTATTAATCCGCGTAAGATCAAGAAAAAGTCGGTGGGTGCATATTTGACATTCATTTGATCGAGTAGCGCCAGCGCTCCTACGTTTCGCGAAAATACATCAAAGGTCTGCGACTGCATATTCTTTGCTAACAATTGGTCGACCTAGTTCAACACACACACACGACTTGTTAACAAAAATGAGATTTCTTTGAGGTAGTAGAAAGGAAACCCACTCTATCGTTTTGATCGCTTTGCAGATTGTCGGGTACATAGGTCACTTTGGTGCGAAGAACATGCCCTGCCTCGTCCAGAAATATCTACTTGATGCAAAAGAAAAGAAAATATCAGACATGGTAAGTCTTGTGTTGCCAATACAGAACTATCTAGACTATGGTATCAGATCATACGTCAACAACAATAGATGTTCCTCCCAAAGTAAATGTGGTGGTTTGTGCCCCTGATTCATTCCTTTGTGAAGCTTCCACAAAAGGCATCAAACTATAGCATTCGGTATGTGTCAATAAAATCCACCCGACGTAATGCACACGTCCCACAAACACGTCTGCGGGTTCAATACACCCTTCTTTCTCTTATCCCTCCCTTATTTTCGTTCCTGAACGCATACCCCAGCGAATGTGCCAGTCTTTCGAGTTTACGTGTTTGCACTGATAACTTGGATTCTTCGCGATCGTTCAACGATTGTTCCAATTGATCTTTGGTGTCTTTTAAAGTTTCTTTTACGCGCATTACTGTGTTTTCGAGCTGTGCTTGCTCTTTCAAGTGCGTCAAGTGTTTGCGAAATGCCGGATCGGCACCGGCACCCATCTTTTTTACGTCGCTGAGTACTTCTGTTTCAAACTGTGTACATATAGATCGAATGGAATCGATACAGGACGTAAATTGATGTCGTACGTTATCCAGATTGGCAGGCCCCAAAGCATGTACTTCTACTCGCAAACATTATTGAATCATTGTTTCTATTAGCCAATAACTTTGATTTATTGATTATCACGAACAATTGAAAAAAGAAGAAACCCTACAAAGGGGGTCTAGTGATTCTTTTCGTGATTACCATTAGCTACTGAAGGCGGTTGAGGCGTCTTTTTTAAAGCAGACCATTGCTTTTCCAGATCGGAAAAAAGATGTTGAATGCCATAGACCGATGAGCTGATTGAGTTTTTTAAATCAGTCGCTTTTTGCATTATAGGACTTGATTCAAGAGAAGGAGCAAAAAGAAGAGCAAAGCAAAAGCGCGTCGTCGTTGTCTCGAACGACTTTGGCAGTATCTCCGAAGGGTGCAAGAGCGATGAGCACTCCCATCAATAAAATAGTTACAAAGAAAACCAGTCTTGACTATCTATCAACGTTTAGCGCAAAGATAATTTTAAATGTTTCTTAACCGTAGCCTACATATTACATTATGTGATATTAAATACGATACATCATTTACTTTCTGTCAAATAATCAACACAATGTACAACTTCAGTTCGCAGCACAATAACTCTGTAGAAGGTCTGAAAAGCTCAAGGTAAGCTTTTTTCAACCTGTTCTCTGCATTCTGATGCTCGCACTCGAAGTCAGGGTTATTGTCCTGCTCCTGCTACGTTCTCTTCAATGGTGATTTCTACCTTCGCAAAAAGACGATGATATCCAGAAGCCGACTTACTATATGACTAAAAAAACTGGTCTAACTACAAGTGGAAGCGGATTTACTGGAAGCATTGCTAGCGGATAGGGATTGTGTGAAAGCAATGAAAGACCGTATGTTTCTGTAGTAGAAGGCAAAAAAATAGGTAACGGCGCTAAATAATTGGCATGAATAGTGGATAAACAGGAATATACAAGGGAAGCAAAAATACACATTACCATTCAAAGCCGCTTCCCTCTCGAGAATCATGTTCTCCTCTTTCCTGTTGTCCACGTCAAAGTACCTTTTAACCGTTACACATTCTTCCTATTTCTTTTGCTGATTGAACATGAAAAACGATACAACGGTAGTATGGGCAGTACCCTACTTAAGGCTGCCATTACTAAAAGCACTGTCAAGTAAAGTTTCATAACAATGCGCAATATGATGGGTAAACAAGCCAATTAATTGCTTTGACAGCATATAACTAATTTTAAACCGGGCGTAGCGTGGCAACTTTTTATGCGCTGTGTCAATGCCAAAGGCCGTGTGTCACGCTGGTACTTTAAGATATGCAATTCCCGACTTAATTCATAAAGACACAGGCGGTGCCCTAAAATCGCTATTTCTGTACCTCTTTGAAAGGGTTGATGAGCACAGTAGCATAAATGGCGTACGGAAGTAGCAGTAACGGTGATGAATTACCACAACGAAATGGCAGTTACACTTCTTCGTACATGATTTCAACCGACAATGGCAACAGTTTCGACGAACCATACTCTGACAACGTTGACGAACGAATCCACAGCCTGCGCAAATCGATTCGAGAGCAAACCATTCTACTTTCAGTTCTAGACAGCAATGCCAGGGTCGATGACCGTGGTGGCGACACCATTGACGACCTGAAAACAAAAATACGTAGAGTTTGTAAAGAATTCAAAACGGCTCGGTCGTCTAGTAATCAGCAACAAGCGTGGATTCGATACGAGCTCAATATGCGACGACTGCAAGACCTGACTGATGAAGGGCGCGCGCTGAAAAAGGAAATCGATTATTTGGTTGACACAGGCTTACAAAACGTACAAGCCGAGCTCGTTGTTGAAACTGATCGTCTCGCGAGACTGGAACTTGAACTGGCCCGGATCAGGAACTCGGATGGTGACCCTGTCCGTGCAAAGGCACATGCCATGATTGCTTCCAAACTGAATGCGCCCCTGGCAAACGATGTGAATAACGCACAATTGGAAGGCAACGCTCAGGAACGCAGGCAGCATATAGATAATATCACCCATGGCATTGAACGACTACAGCAAGATGCACGACAAGTACTACAACTCGATTTGCCAGTCATGGATACGTACCTGGACCTAAACCGGAAGCAGAACCGCGACCGTCAAATGTTTGAAAAGGGGTTGTTCGTTTCTGAACAACTCGCTCGATTTATTGATACGGTCGAAAGCGATACCAGCAATAACACCAATAGTGATTCAGCTATGTTAGCAACATCACCACTCAGCTATCACCAACCGAAACCTAAATCTGCGCCTACAATTGTCGGTGTGGACGAAGATTACATTTCGTACAACCCTTCAGCACATCCTCCCCCGGTCCCAACAACTCAACGGCCAGGGTCGCCCCGCTCAGCCGTCGATATCAAGGCAGAGGCTCAACGACGGATAGAGCAACGACGACTCTTGTTTGTCAACAAATACAACCAGCAACGATCAAGCGAAAATCTGAGACGCTCTTCGACAAAGTCTGACGATTCCAATATCAGCCAAGACGAAAAGGCGGCTCAAGAACGATTACGTAAAGCTGAAACAGAGGCGAGGGAACGGTTGCAGAATGCACGAGAGCAGCGTGCCAAAGCACGGCAAGAGATAGAAGAAAAGCGAAAACAGGAAGCCGCTGCACGAGAAAGCAGACAGCGCGAGCAAGAGCAACAACGTCAATGGGAAGAAGAGCAGATGCGAAAAGAGCAAGAGGCCCGGGCGAAAAAACGGAGGAAAGAAGAGGCAGAGGCTTTGGAACGCCGAAGAAAAGAAATCGAGGAACATGAAAGGCGCGAACGCGAAGTAGCGCTCAAGCGAGAAGAGGAAGAAAAGGCAGCTGAAGAAGCACGTTTGCAAAGGATAAGGCAGGCAGCAGAACGTGCGGCTAGAGAAAAACGGCTTCGTCAAGAAGAGGTTGAACGAAAGGAACGTGAACGAGAAGCCGCTAGGACTGAGGCTGAAAATCGTCGTCGTGAATGGCTCGAAACTGAAGAGAACCGCCGAAAACAAAAAGAAGCTGCCAAACGAGAACAAGAAGAGCGAGAACAAAAGGAAAAAGAGGAGGAAGAGCGACGGAAGCAACAAGTAGTTGAGGAGCAGCGTCGTAAACAGCAAGAAGAAGAGGCTATAGCGGCAGCGGCTGCACAGGCAGAGGCAGAGGCAAAAGCTAAAGCAGAGGCAGAAGCAGCAATGCAAATTGAACCACCACAAGTTACTGCGCAACAAACTGCAGGAACCAGTGGATATGGCGTGGACATTGAAGACGAAGTCGATTTCAGCACCAGTACGTATGCTGCATGGATGATTTGCCTTGAGCATAGAATTTGGAGTCTTACAAAGCAAAAAAAAAAGTTTACAGGGTCAAATCATTGTATGAGTATCGCGGTGCTCGTAGTGACGATTTGTCGTTCGGTGAAGATGAAATTATCAAGGCTCATCCACACAAGGAAAGTCAAAGCGATTGGTGGTATGGAACGTCCCTGTCAACCAAGCAGGTTGGCTTTTTCCCCAGGGCTTATGTGGAAATCGTTGAAGAAGGTACAATCCCACAACCAACTTTTCCTTGAAGCGAAGCGATAGCTAATGTTGATGGCTTAAAAAAAACTAGCTTTCCGTGTCCGTGCATTGTATGAGTTTGTAAAAACTCGAGAAGATGATCTGGCGTTTGCCGAAAATGAAATTATTGTGGTTCAGCCGTTCCAAGATGATGGTAGTGATTGGTGGTATGGAACAAGCGAGGATAGCGGTAATGCCGGCTACTTTCCAAAATCCTATGTTGATATTATCAATCCAGGTAAGATATTCGGCTTAGCATCAATGAAACCATATTAGAGCAACAGTTTTTTAAACATGTGTATATACAACTATAGGAGTACCATCCATACAGTTGTCTGAAGCAGCTGCTGTTACCAGCCCGGTAACTTCACAGCCAACTGATGTACAAGACGAACCACAGCGTGGCATGTCAGCGCCAAACACACCAATCATGAAGAAAGAAACATTGACTGTCAGTCGAACAGAGACTGGCAGACGACGAAGAGCTACCAGTAACGTTGGTATTCCTGGCAGTAACGATGTGCCTATTGGCAGAGCCCGTGCCATGTCTGTCCCAACGTCGCGACCCACGAGCCCCGGACTACTGACTTGGGCAAGCACAATGGAGAAAACGGAACTTGAAGCAATCCCAGCAGAAGAGCGCAAGCGTCAAGAGACGATATTCGAGCTAATAGCCACAGAAAAAACTTATCTACGAGATCTTCAACTTGTCGTCAGCGTAAGTAGCGCTGGACACGCTTCTACTGACCATCAAAGAACATTACTGATTTTTTGTCACAAAAACAGGTGTTTTATGCAGATTCAGGCAAATACTTGACGCGAGATGAGCAAGACGTGGTTTTCTCAAACATTGACGAGCTGTTACTATGCAACACGGCACTGTTAAGCGATCTAGAATCTAGGCAACAGGAATCTGCCGGCGTGATTTCTAATATTGGCGACGTTTTTCTTAAGCATGTATGTTTTTTTTTTATTTGGCAGACGAGAAATATTAGAAAAGAGTATTTACATTAGAGATGGTGTACTAGGCCGAAAATCTCAATTGTTATTCCACATATTGTCGAAACCAATCGTTTGCAAGCAGGTTCTTGCAGGATAAGAGGCAGCAGGATCAGTGGTTCGACGTGTTCCTAAAGGTATTTGTTTTGTTTGTTTTATTAAAGTGGCAATTTAACATTTAATAACATGCTCAATTATTATTGTACATAATAGACGGCACAATCTCGACCGGAATGTCGCTCCTTGGATTTATCCCATTTTCTTCTGGAGCCCATGCAACGTATAACCCGATACCCACTATTACTTCAAAATGTAAGGCAATCTTTTAATATACACACGCATACTACTCTTATAATAACTAATTATTATCTTCTCTACTACCCAGATCCTTCAAGCTACACCGAAAAGACACCCAGACTATGGTGTATTACGATCTGCGCTTTTCAAAGCCGAAGCGATCTTACAACATGTAAACGAGGAAACGAGGCGATATGAAAATTCGCAGAAGATGCGAGAGCTCAGTCGTTTACTTGACATGGAACACTATGGTGTAAGTTAAAAAAATTCTAGAAAGCATTTTACTCATGTCTGTATGCTAATTATGCATAAATTAGCGATTGGATGTTTCTTCGCGAGAATTTGTCATGGAAGGTGTTTTGTACAAGGCAAAGAGTGGTCGAAAGCTCCACGGATACTTATTCAATGATATCTTGATTCTCACCGAGCCGTTGAAAGCTCTTAGTTCAGAAGGGTACCTCTATCGACTCTACAAAGAGGTAAGTATATTTTTAACGATAGTATACACTGCATGTCTGAACTGATTTGGCTTTTTTTTAAACTTTAGCCGATGAGTGTTGACATGATTACCGTACGGCAGCAACACCAAAACCTGTCGTTAAAAGCCTCATTCACTAGTAGCACTAGTAGCAGCTCGACAGGTATATTATAACAACCCAATAGACGGATGATTTTTAATACTAACTTTGTAATATAGACGATAATGCGTTCCAAATCGTTTATGGATCGCATGTTATTGGCGTGAAAGCATCGTCCGCTAGCCAGAAACGACAATGGATAAGCCAAATCCAGCATTTCAGTGCTCTGCAATCAACAATACAACGACAACAAAGTACATTTTACTAGAAAATGTGTTTTAGATACCACAAACGTTGTTCATTAAACTTAATTATGCATTTGATAATTGTGTATGCGAGTCTATTCTTTATTTTTTGTGCATGGTGCCTGAAACAATGCGTTGCTCGAACTGGATGCCGGGCTACAAAATTTCTTTTGCAGGTGCCGCAAAGACCGAGAACTTTTTTCTAAGGCAAAAGCCTTTTGACAACAATGGCATTCAAGTTTAACTTTTCTGTAAATATCTCAGTACTATAACAATCGCCCATCCGTTAGCCATTCTAAACGATACATATTACTTCGTTAGAACGATGATTTAGATCTCGACGACGTAGATCAAAATTCCACCGAGCAGATCGATTCATCGTTGGGCGATCTGTCATTGGAAGAGAGTGCGACGCAGAAAGTACCCTGTAGCGAATACGATATCAAGGTTCTTGCATTATCAATATATGTTTGTGCTATACTTTCAAGTATAGCTTATATGCTTACATTTGAGTTGAATAGGCGTGTGTGTTACCCACTCTCCTCCAAGCCGATATCCTTGATATACCCAAGGTTGACACACCGTTATACAAGCGAACACTGGCCGACGTCAAATTCCAGATGGCCGAGCAGGATACGCTGTTGAATGGGGACGCCGATAATGAAGATGGGAAAGTGGTAGAAATGCTCAATCTCAACAGTAACAGCGATCTGGTCCGCGGTGTGTATGAGGGTGGATTCAAGACGTGGGAATGCTCGCTTGATTTGGTAGAGTACCTTTCACAGCTGCCAAAGGATCAGATTACTGGCAAGCGAGTTCTTGAGGTAAGGGTTGTAGTACATCCGTCATTCATAAAGGAAGATGACTAGAAAGCGCATTGGATAAATAACGAAAATTAATGCCTGTTCATGTTGCTGATAGCTCGGGTGTGGATCTGCTTTACCTTCACTGCTACTGCTTGCAAAAGATCCCAGCAATCACGTCGACGTTCAGGATTACAACGACCAAGTGATCCGATACATCACAATCCCCAACATTCTTTTGAACACAGTATTAACGGTTCAAGAATCAGCAGCGCCAGCAGAAGATGTAGAATCATCAGACGAAAATGAAGAGGAGGAAGAGGAAAGTGCATCATCTGATGATGATGAGGAAGAAGAAGGCGAAGATGGATTAAAAGACCAGATAATCGGCGAAAATGTCACCTGTGATGCGGAAGCGGAGCTTCCTGCTGATAAGGTCCCTGATATGTTGCAACGCATTACAGAACGCACAAGAGCATTCGTGGGCGATTGGAGCGGATTACCGGTATGTTTGCATAGGAATGATAACGCGAGGCTAGGATGCAACGTAACAGCTAATAATACATGGCTGTAGTCATTGGTACAAGATACAAAATACGACATGATTGTTACTTCTGAGACAATCTACTCCGAGGAAGCATTGCCTGCCTTGGTTGAAGCCGTTCAAAAGACGCTCAAAAAGCCGGATGGTGTATGGTAAGCAACAGAGTCATGCCGGGAAATGGAAAGAAAACGTTTAGAGCTAATAGTGGATTCATTATAGCTATGTTGCTGCCAAGACGATCTACTTTGGCGTCGGTGGCGGCATTCTACCATTCTGCGACTTGCTGGATAAGTCAAAAGATGCGGATGGCGATAAGTTTAAGGTTGACAAGGTGTTTGAAAGCGAAAGCACTGTCAAACGCGAGATATTACGATTGAAATGGGACCTGTAACAATAGAAAATGAAAGAAGAACTGCCATGCTAAAAAAAAACTTGGCTGGACACATGCCTGTATAATTAAAATTCCTACCTTACACACACGCACGCAGTAACACCTCCCTCTTTTCTCATTGAGCCCAACGCTCACTGACCACTGTTTCACTTTATCTTTCTTGGTCATTTTGTATATTCTTTCAAGTTAATGCAGCCCTGTTCCATCATTTCAACTGCTCATTGCACATTTTTGCTTCCCTTTCTTGCCCAGCACCGCTACAACGACTCTTGATTTGAATGTCATAAATGTACGAATCGCCACCACCACTCAAGTTCCCTTCGCTCGCCATTTTACGCAGATTGACTCGAAGCATTTTAAGCGAATTGTCGAGCGAAGAAATTGAAGTCCTGCACAGTAAACGAGGTAACCTCGTTTTCAAACAATTTGGCAGCGGTGCCGGCGGCGCCCCTAGTAAGCGAAAGCCAAAGGTCACGAACGCTTGCCAAAACTGCAAAAAGAGCAAAACCGGCTGCGACGGATATTTGCCTTGCGAAAATTGTAGTAAACGGTCAAAACTATGCGAGTATCCACCTGGCGTTACCCCTCAACCAAAACTGGTTTCTGCGATTGGCACGAGTGGCGCTGCTCCAGTTGACCCGATAACAAAGACAGCAACTACTAAAACTACAACACAACCCCTGCCAACGCCCACGGAACCATCCGAACTCAACCCCGTGTCGCACGACGATATGCTTCCACCACCACCTCCTCCTCCACAACCTGCTTTTGTCATCGGTCGCTTCAGCGCACAGCAACAACAGCAGCTACCACCGCCACCAACACAACAACACTACTTTCCGGTTCCAGAGGCCGTTACCTTGGTGACTGAGAACAATGTCAATAACGCCACAAGCCCGCCTTCATCATTACAGCGCCAAGCATGCACGGACCGCTACGGCCATTTCACAGGCGACACTACATTTTTCATCCCACAGCAATCCGCACGACTACCTGCTGGGCCGTCGTCGACCTTTCCACAACGTCCAGAAACACCTCAGTTTTTGTCGGCTGACATCCAGACATCGCTTATTGACACCTTTTATGCACACGCTAATCCGTTTTTCCCTGCCATTATGAACAAAGCCCAGATGTTGGCTGAGCTCAACTTGCTGCGCACAGACCAGCCTTCTCAATTGTCCCAGCTCTTTTTTCATGCTGTTTTCTCTCGGGCTGCAAGCTTGACATCCGGCGAAGATTTTGTGCAACAAGATACGCCCGAAAGGAAAACCTGGTCTTCTATCAGCGATGCATTAATTGCATCGGCGTTCGAAGCGCGTGATGATTACCTCGAATCGCCACATATCAGCACTCTATTGGCGCTTGTCATCATTGCCAATCATTATGAACACAACAAACTCGCCAAAAACCTGCGTAGAGCCTGGATGCTGATTGGCGACGCTGGACGACTGGCGATCGACATGGGCTTACATCGAGCATCACGGTTACTACTGCATCCGGATGGCGAGGGCGATGTCTCGACACAGATGTGTATCCGAGCCTTTTGGGCTGTATGTGTTTCAGAGCGAACAATGAGTATCACATACGGTCGGCCATCCATGTTTGATGATAAAGACATGTATGCTATTTTTATTTATTTTTTTCTCAAAGATCCTGCACTTTTATTTGAAGAATGGAATGTTAATTCGCATTTATTAAATAGCGATGTTCCACCACCGAAATGCCTGCCCGAGGATGACGAACAAACCCAAAACTGGGTTGAAAGCTTACGACAGCTAGTTACGATGAGCAACATTGCCTGTCGGATTATGAGGTTCAATTATTCGGCACAGACACAGTTCTCCGGTGCTTTCAGGGTAATACATCAATGCTACGTCTCGAATAGGAAAAAGTAGTAAATATTAAATTTATCTTGAGTTTAGGTGAATGCTGCTGTATCAACAATAGATTGCTGGATGTGCTCAGAAAGTGATGATGATTTGGAAGATCGACTATTGCTAGGGATTGAGACCAGCGATCCACGTAAAAGGTTGAACGATTTGGAGGCGCTCTATTTCTATTCAAATCTGATCCAGCTCCACAAGCCGTTCATGCGTCAGGATGCGAGTACCAAAGGCAATGATTCGACAAGGCCATCCTTTGTAATTTGTCACTTGGCCGCTGTTGCGATCAGTCACATTGCTCATACAACTCCCGTCACTGAGCTAGCCGATATCTGCAAATCACCACCGACATTATACGCTATTGTCAAGGCCCTGCAGATTCACCTGGATAATGCATCGCATTTTGAGTCGGACAGAACGATTGCTTTTAGCGAAATATCATTTGAACGAACTCTATCGCAATTGCGGAAATTGCCAGTCATTATTCGTCACGGGGACGACTCGTCATTGCTCACCGAAACGCTCAATCATTTAGAACAAAGGTACTATCAGCGACCTAATGCCATCGTTGCTGGCTATTTGATCTCACGGCGTGCGGATTCACCCGTACTCACACTGTGCTCAAACGGAACATCAGCAACATCGGTCTCATCTGTCGAGGGAGCAACAACGTCTGCATCAAGCAATAATAGCTACCACCAAAATCCAATACTATCTTCGTCTTTGTCATCATCACCAGGAATGTATAAACAGCAGCGTCAGCAACAAGCAAATGATTGGGGTAGGGCATCCATCACTTTTGTCAACGTCGACCCTGCTATGAAAAATTCAACACTGAGAAAACGGCGGTTTCGAGAAACGAATATCAAAAAAGCTACTACATCATCCTCACTATCATCATCTTCATCCGTATCATCATCTAAATCATCTAATCAGAAAGTCCAGTCAACAGAGAAACACCAACAGCATCAGCGCCAGCGTACCGAACCTACAATATCATCACTAACACCAGCAAGCAACACCATCGACATTCACTCTCATCAGTATCACCAACAACAGCCAACACCTCCACAACCACAGGCCGGAACACCGCTTTATATCAATGACTTCGTCCCTACGAATACCTACACCATCTCTTACAACAATAGCCAACAGCAGCAACTATTTGCTCAGAATGCTGTAGCGGTATCTACTGTTATTAACAATACACCCAACTTTGATACCCATCCAACCCTCTATTCTGAATCACATATGATACCCCCACGGCTGGAACAAGACCCGGATTTACCTAGTGCAATATTACGCGAAGATTCCTGGAGCACAACTAATGGCTACTATTGATTATAAATATAAAGAAAGCTTTCTTAACATGTGACATTAGCTTAATAGAAAAATGATAGTGCCGCCTACTATGATGGAAGCTGCAATACAGCTATCACATCAAGTATGAAATTACTTAAATTGCTATCATACGCAACATGAATCGAGTACAAACATTGGCAAAGAGTAGTTTGCTAAACTCCTGTTATACACAAGTCATTCATTTGAAAATATTACTCAACAAATCTATTTGATATTGCTGTTTCATGTGCATTATCTAGCGAGACTAAGCTCCTCCACTTCGGGTTCCGTTCAATATCCCGCCTTTGATAAACGTGAAATATTAAAGAAGATAGTACTTTATAATTATCTAAAGCGACCTGGAATGACTGGGAGGCTGGAAGAGAGGCCGCCGTCTACAGCAAAAGCCTATTATCACACAGAAAACAACGACACATAGTCTTCATCAGTAAAAACAGGCACGCTATCACATAGTGTAAACAGTGTGCTGATACGTACCTGTCCATTGATATAAGATGCCTCCTCACTGGCTAAGAAAGCAACGAGTGTAGCAACCTAATATCATATACGCGTAAAATAGAGTCAATTGATGTCTCTAGATAATGAGCGTTATATCAGGACTCTTTTATGAGCCATAAACTACTATCGTACCTCCGCAGGAACAGCGTAACGCTTCAGAGGATTAAGTTGACCAAGTTTATGCGTAGTGCCTCTTGATTTAGCGAAATCCATGAGCGGTGATGTCATTCCGGTCTCGGTGAAACCCTGAAAGTATTTTGATTTGTTAGCGAGAAAATGCGTGAAAACCCCACATATTTACTACTCTCTATAATAGATAGTGCACATACTGGAAGGATGGCATTGGTGCGCACATTCGTTCCAGCATACTGGTATGCACTGGTTTGGCACAAGTTAATGACTCTAATGTTTTCACCACTCTATTAGTACACGTGTATTTTCTCGACTCGTAAATAACTACAGGTTGTATGAGGTTTGAAAGCTGATGAAACGATGCTTACGCTGCTTTCGATGCAGAATATTCTGGTGGAGCACCTGAGCGAAGACCAGCGACTGTAATATATATGTATAGATATATAATAGGTAGTAAATGGACTGTTAAAGAAGGAATCTTTCTAGGAAAACTGAATGCACATACCCGAAGCTGTACAAATAATCGATCCTCCTGAAAACTCTTTACCACCTTTTCCAGTTTCTTGCATGGCCGTGCCAGCAAATTTAAGAGCCAAAAACGCGCTCAAGGAGTTCACACGCAAGATTTTCATAAAGGATGCTTCGGTTTCATCTTGTAGTCGCGCATAAGGGGTGGATATACCTGCATTGGCGAAAAACACGTCGAGCCGCCCAAACTTCTCCATTGCTTCATTGATTACTCCAGTAACTCCAGCAGTAGATGCTGCATCTACCGTGCGAGCAATACAAATAACCCCCGGGTTCTGTTTTTCAATGTCTCGAGCAAGTTCTTTGAGATTCTCGTCTTGTAGATCCGTGGCGAAAATCGCTTTGGGGCCACGTTTAGCTAGAGCGTATACAGAAGCACGACTAATGATTATTGGTGGAAAGCGACATCGTTAGACATAATACCACGAAGCTCCTAGGAAGTGCAAATGTGTTCCTTTTCGTCATGTAGTGAACGGATGATAGACTTTTTGTTAACTTACCCAATGCCCCGAATTGAGTTAGCGCCTGTGACAATGCATACTTTGTCCTTAAGCGAAGGGCCCACCTTGGCCAAGTGCGCTGCAATCTGGCCGACGCGCTCGTTTGCAGTATCAAAAGAAGACATGGCTTAAGAAGTAGTAGAGAGAAGAAAGGATTATGCAGATTTAAAATACACACAGAATTACCAGGTCTTTTTGAAAACCTTCCCATTTTAGTCAGGAAAAGCTAGATATTTCACAACCTGGGAAAATTAGCGTTAAAGCTTCCCAGCTCCCACACGCACACTCCAAATAAGGAATCGCTAATTCATAAGTTTCGTTGTTACGTTGTACATATTTTTAGCAAGCCCGCATTATAAAATACTCGAATACGCATCATACGAGCTCTCGAGTCTTACGGTAACAAAGAGGTGCTACATTGTTGGCGATGTAGCAAGCTTACAAGTCTTCAGGTCTAGTTTAACCAATCCAGTAAGAGAAAATCAGAGCTTACTCATGTTGAGCCGATCGCTAAGACGACATAAAAGTTCTTTAATCGAGAGGTATAAAATCGGGAACAATCTGAGGCTGTCAAATGGCAGAATATTTGATAAGAGCGTATGGTAGGGGTAGCTCAAAGACGATCTTCTTCCTCTTCCTTCGTATGATAACAAGTAGCAGTAAGTCTGAGAAGGATCCTTCAGTTTACCTTTTTGAATGGTTATTATCGTGATGCATCTAATTGGCTTGAGAAGGATACCACCTGTAAGTATTTGATCGTTTATCGCATAGCACGACCGGGAATGATATAGTGTAACAGAACTTCTTCTACAATAAAATACGTTGTAAGAAGTCTATTCGAGATTGAGATAAAACCACTTTCGTTTAATGATTTAGGCGAAAAAGCATTGACAGCAACAGAGAAAAATTATCTAACCGCTGTTATTATACACTTCATTACTTACTGACATTCTACCGATGGATGGTACTTGATTTGCACAGGCAAAATGAGCCTACCAAAAATTTGGCGGTTTGAGCGGTGGATTATTCCTTAAGACTCGCTCGAGCTGTCAAAGTTCAAATCGTAAAAAGTCGCCCCGTTCCACCTTGTTTTTTTTCGGATTACCGATATTCTCTTTTTCCTGCACTTTCTACAAGATGTCTTCGACCGAAAAAAGCTACGATGACATGACACCTGAAGAACGCGAGGTGCACGATAAGGCACAAAAGGAGCGTGAAGAGGCAGAGCAAGCCGAATTACCGTACAAGTACGTGCTTGATGTACCATTTCTTTATAATGTTTTACCAGTTCGTTCCCCCTCCTCCCTTTGCCCTAATGAACAAGTTCTTTTGACAACGCACATTTGGCCGCCCTTTTTAATTTTTGTTTGTTTTCCCCCATTTATTTAAAATCAAAGGTGGCGACAGACTTTGCAAGATGTCGATGTGACGATTCCAGTTCCCAAAGGAACACGTGGACGCGATCTTCAAGTGGAATTAAAAAAGAAGCATATCAAGGTGGCGCTAAAGGGCCAGCCTGCTATCATGGAGGTAAAGCTTATTTGGCTGAAGGGATTGAAAAGTACGTAAAAGATGTAATATATGGGCTAAACAATTCTTTCTGCTGTGATAGGGCGAATTATGTAAAGAGATCAAGGTGGATGACAGCACTTGGACTATCGGTAAAGAAGCACATCTTGCCCCCCTCGGAAATAGAGCTCAGGAACTCTCTAACAGGGTTATATATATATTCGCTATTTAGATAACCAAGAGGAAGTACTTGTACATTTGGAAAAAGTTAACCAGATGACTTGGTGGGAGAACGTGGTCACTTCGGCTCCCAAGATTGATACCAAAAAGATTCAACCTGAAAACTCGAAATTGGATGAATTGGATGGTGAAACCCGTGCTATGGTGGAGAAAATGATGGTAATTGCCGCCAAAGGATATATGAATTTTCAGAATGCAGTGTTTGTGTATTATGCAAATTATCTAACAATAAATGTGGATGTTTTTTTTTGTAGTTTGATCAGCGTCAGAAGGCCATGAATCAGCCAGATAGTGATACGCTTCGAAAGCAGCAGGTGTTTGAATCGTTTAAGAACCAGCACCCAGAAATGGATGTAAGTCTTTTTTTTTTGATTTGGTAGAGCGAGATGTACCAGGAATACGAATACTCTACCACTTGATAACTATATTTCCGTGATCTCATTGAGGCTAACTAAATCTCTGTTAAATCTTACAGTTTAGCAAAGCACAGTTCCAGTAAAGGCCTACGTATTGTGTGGGATATGATGTGATTGTAGTGATCCTGTTTTAAGTTTCCTTTACAGATTTTCTCAATAAAAGATAAGTAAAAGAGTAATAGGACGAATGTTATAAAATTACGTAAAAAAAGAACATTCTTCGCCACAATTATTATATTTAAAAAAACTGGTACAGAAGGTGAGAAAGAGAGTATTTTGAAAATGTATATGTAATATATATATATATAGAGAGAGAGAAAAAGATTGTGGATTTACAAAAAGAAAAACAAAATGTAGAGCGAGTGGAGTGAGAGGAGTATCTGTGTAAACAATGCGAGGAGTTCTTTTTTTGGTTCGTGGAGGAGTGAGGAAAACGCTAGGAGAAAAGTGAGCTTCAGAAGGATAAATAGAGAGAGAGAGAGGAAGATGGAAAAAAGTGTAAATAGTAAAGGGAGGAAAAGAGTTATTAGAATTATTAACTTATTGGTTCCGGAAGTATGGATGTTCCAGTAAGCTAGATGCATTGCCTCGCTTGGTAGGATCACGAGAAAGCAGCATCTTGATCAACTGTCTTGTCCGAGAATCCGGAATCTTACGCTCCAAGTTGGGGATATACAGCTCCTTGTGCTCGTTCCATCGGAGACCGTTGTTTAGGATAGGCGTCGAAGGGGATGGATGTGATACGAAATGCAAAATCGTTTCATCCTTGATGCTGCTTGCAAAAAGTGCGTGCTTGGTTTCCAATTCCTATATATCATACATTTTCTAGTTAGCACTTGCCTGGTAATAGATTTACCCCCCCCTACTGCCTTTTCACCTAATTTTCAAAGAAGGTCTGAACTTACGTAGATGACACAGCCAAGGGCCCAAAGATCCACACTTGGCGTAGCTACCACACCATTTGCACCTTCAAGGCCATAAGTGGTTGCACGAGCGACTTCGGGAGGACAGTAGCGTGGCGTTATGACACCTACACATTCCTCGCCTATCGTACGGCTTGCTTCAAAATCAATCAATTTCCACGGTCCGCCGGCGAGATGCATAATGTTACTTGGTTTCAAATCACAAAATGCAACGTCGCGCGAATGACACCATGCCAAACATTCGACAACATTGCTTGCAATAGCACGTGTCTGTTCACGCGTCCAACTATGCTTCTCAGATCGTGCGCGTCGAATAGCAGAACCCAGCGTCTCGTCCAATCGCTCAAGCACAGTCGCGTACTTGATCTTGTCGTCATCATCGTTGCGTGGCTCGTCGGGTAAGGTGCTCAAGTCATAATCGTCGTCATTCGAATTATCATGATCGTCATTGTTGGATCGTCGTGGCAACGGTGTCCGGCTTTCGTCTTGGATGGTCAGTACTTCGAGTAGTTCAGCGACGTGGGATGATTTAAGTTTGATGAGCGTTCGGCATTCACGTTCCCAAGCTTCGCGTCGACCAAAGGATTTAATGACAACGTTCTTGTGCGTGTCGTCCTTGTCAGCCTTGTCGACAAACAAGACACTGTTCATTGGACCGATAATGGGTGGTGTAGATTTGTCGATCTGGTAACGTCGTGGAAGCATGCTGATGAGCGGGTTCAGCGCGTTGAATCGATTTTGCTGTTCTGTGGTCAAGTCGTCGTTACTGTTGTTGTTGTTAAGAGGCGATGAAGATGAGCGCGGTCGATCACTGGAGTCATGATTCGTATCTTCGGTCGAATTAGTGCTGCTGTGTGTAGGTGTACCGGTCGTTGCACGTGGTGCTGTTGAAGTTGCAGCCTCGCTCGACGTAGCAGCACTGCGTTGTTCGTCTGCGTTTTCATAATTATTATTGTTACTATTGTTACTATTACTGTTGGCGTTGTTGTTGCTATTGTCGATGTGACCGAGAGCAGCAAGCATTTCGAGTGGACTAACGGACTCGTAAATGTTCTCCTGGCCTTCACCACCGACTGGCTGAAATCGTTGAACGGATCCACGGTTGTTTTGGTCTTCTGGATCTGGCGTGACGGGTCGTGCTACGGGCACACTGCTCATGTTGGACGACGGGTACTGATGATGTGTAAGCGGAACATTACGGCCATCATTATTGCCGTGGGTTGCGGCGCTTGCTGTTGTTGTCGTGGCTAAGCTGAACTGTTGACTTGCTGGTGGAATATAGCGAATGGGTCCTGTTGGACCATGGGCTTGAAAGGATACAGATTCACCATTATCGTCTTCCTGACTCTTGCGCACATTATCTTCACCGTGTGTCGCGTGCGTTACGACCACTCGACCATCGTTCGTTGACTCGTCGCCGTTCACTGCACTCGTTGTATTGTTCGTCTGGATGCTGCGTAATACTTCCATGCTGCTGCTCAAGGGAGCACCGGCGCCTACGGTCGCAGTAACCGACGTAGGACTTTGCGGATTGTAGTGTTCAATAGTAATACCGTTTCCTTTGGACGCCATTCGTGAAGCAGGCACAGAAAACTCGTTGGGTTTCTGTGAAACCACTTCGTTGGGTGTCTGTGCGCTACGCAGTTCGTTGGAAGGAATCAGCAATTGCTTACTGGCGTGGGCTGAGTCGCGGAAGCTGCGTGTGCCATTGGAATAGGTGGCATGATCACTTGCGCTGTCGGTAGGTGACGCGAGTTCTTCCAGTACACCTGTCATGACCCGATCTGTGTCACCGAGCTCCGATCGGACGCCCATGAATGAATCATGATAACTGAGTGAGCCGGTCATGGCTTTTGAGACGCGCTTACGACTGGGGTATCCTCCTGCTGCTGCTGCTAATGCTGCACCGTCCATCATGTCGTAGGACGATCGTGGATAGTCATTAACATCAGTGCTATGACAATCGTTTGTCCAATAGTGGGGATGGCCGTTGTAATACTGCACATCGTCAGTTTTCTCCGAACGATTGTCGTCGTCTTTTTCACGTTGCTGTTTCCGTTTGCGTCGCCATAAGAAGAACAAGATGGCTGCAAGTAAAAGAACGCCGCCAACGGAACCCACGACAGCGCCAACTATAGTTGCAATATCGCTGTTGTCAGAAGGATCGCCGTCGTCTCCATTAATTTGACCGCCGAAGCCAGTGGTGGGGATACGCGTCCAGCTCCACGCTTGCAGGTCGAGTGCGTACATGTTGGAATCGTTGGTGGCACTGCCACCCCATCCACCATAGATGTAGATTTTTTGATTGGTGCTATCAAGAACTGCCGTGTGACCTACAAAATTTGCAATCGCCCCCTTGTCAATTAATCAACTATAAATGGAGTGTCGACACTTTTCTGCGGTAACAAGCATTTTACCCATTCGGGTGCTGGGTCCTTGATCTTGGTTGGCCATTTCCTTCCGTTGCCAAGTAAAGGTGGGGTAATTGGAAGCGTCGAGGACCCACACGTTGGAGTCAAAAGGGTCGGCAGTACCGCCACCGTAAACGATCATCTTGTCCTGCATGCAGTTGGCAGTATGCAGTCGGCGTGCTCCTATGGGGCCACCGTCTGATGATGTGACAGTTACCTGCAAGTTCCATGCTCGGGTGCCTAGATCGTATATAACAACATTCTATAATACATACATAAGCGCTTATGTGAGTCGAGCAGTCCAGTGTGATATCCTACCCACCTCGAGTGTGCGGAAGGTAAGGAGAGAAGGATGGATAGCCACATGATTTATTATTTATATCTTTTGGTCCAATTGTAACGTACCGCAGTTGCAGCATTCCCGCTACCAGTCGACGTGCCGCCAAATACGACGAGACAGTTGCACGACTGGATATAGCATGTCGAATGACCAGTAATGGCTTGTCCGTTAGAGCCAGACGTCCATGCAAACGAATTGGCGTCGAGTGTGTATAGACTGTTTTGAACGGCATTGTCTTGCGGATAGCCGTTGGTGTCGACTGAAGTGCCGCCATAAGTATATACGGTGTTGTTGACAGTAGTGATTGCAAACTGTGCAGCACGTCCCGGTGATTCAGTGTCTGCATTGTAAAGAATAATTAAATGTTATTTTTAGCGGCATATCCCAGTTTTCATAAGACACGTTTAGCAAGGGGTGGCGGTATGTGTCTTTCTTTTTTGGAGCGAGGTGTACTTGTGTGTGTGTGCTTTGTTAGGGGATGATATCAGAAAAAGAGAGAGAGAAAGAGCAGCTAGAAAGGGGGCTTGTGTGTGAGAGAAACAGAGAGAGAGAGCGCGGCTTACTCGAAGAAGGATAGCTCCAAGACCAGCTGTTGATATCAAATTTTTGAAGCATCCCGGCAGATCCGCCCTGAGTTGTGTTTCCCGCAACGACGATCATTTGGCCAGAACTGGGCAGTTCAGTTGCTCCGATATAGACTTGAGGAAGCATATCCTGTTGATGGGCGAAATTGTACCAACTTCCATTACGAGAATCCCATATCCACACACTGTTCGATCCCTCTACTTGGCTATTGTAATTTTTACTCGTGTCTTCAGACCCGCCATAAAGAATCACATAAGGATCCAGGAATGCTGTAGTAGTAGTAGTAGTAATAGTAGTAAAAGTGGTCATGAACTTGTTCTCCTTCAATCTATCGCTTTCGTCATTGGGTTTATTTGCGTTTATTCTTTTCGTTTTTCTTACCAGCCGCATGGCCAGCTCTCCATGGCACGTCAGTTTGAACATTTCCCAGTTGCGCGTTGACAATGCTAGTTCTAGTTGTAGTTAGGAGAGCCAGAAACGTCCACCACAGTACGACCGGGTGCTGACGAAACATGTAGGCTATTGAAAGTATTGGAGTATTGGATAAATAGTGGTTGTGAAAAAAGAGAGAGCAAGAGGAAAAGTGGGAAAAGAGAGGAAAAGAAGCAAGAGAGAAAGAGGAGAAGCTAAAGAACAATGGCTGCTGTTGCTGGCAGGGGCATCTGTACTTACCAGCCAAGTCTGCGTGTGTGAGTGCTATTTCTCTACTCTGCTGGAAAGCCTTCAATGGTGGAAGACGGTAATGTGGGGCGGAGTTGCTTGCTTTTTTTTTTTTTCGCCAGTGTGTAACGATCGAGATGAGTTGCCATTGGCAAAAATTGAAGTCGTCTCAGTTGCACCAAAGAGAAGCGCGTGTTACCTGGAACACACAAGAAAACTGTAGCAATCTCTCTCTCTCTCTCTCTCTCTCTCTTTTTGATCGAAAAAGGCCATGCAACCGGTGCACATGCAGATGGATGCGTTGCACATTACATAAGTGATCTCTTGAGAGAAGAATACAGGAGAGGGGCCTATTGTGATCCAACAATATCTATATATAATCCATTATCCCACCCTCCCCAAACCCTCTTTCTCTCTTTGTTCTCCTAGAGCAATGCCCTCCAATAGCGCCCGCCTTCCATGCATTCTTTCTCTCCCTGAATTTGGGTATTCACTCGCTTGCTTTTGTGGTTAAAGCAATTGCTGGTTTTTTTTTCGCACCCGCCATCTCTTCAGTTTACCGAAACGAATGCATTTTCTTTCTTGTCACACCCTAATGATATCAATGTTCCGATAATATATCTCTTCTTTTTCTCTATTAACGCTTTGTACCAGACGGTGTCTATGTATATATGCTAACCCTGTTGTTGCCATTGCTTGTTTGCTCCATCATCTATCCTGAACGATGCTATGCTACCTTTATTTTCCCAATGTTGTCATCGTCATTTTATAAGCCAAGATATATTAGCTGGTAATCGTTTAAGACAAGAAAATTTAAACTAAAATGACATACAAGCAGTAAGATTCGCGTGGCGACTAAAAAATTGTATTAGCATGACAATTAAAATATGCAATGCAAAGATTAAACATGAAAAAACAAAAACAAATGACACCATAACAAAAACATGGATGTACAACGCGTGAATGTTTATCCACAGCACTAAGTATCTCTATTTGTTTTCGCACTCGTGACAATTAGTAGAAGAGTCCTGATTGGGAAAACGGGAGAGAAGAGTGGAGGGCAAATTGCTTTTCTTTGGCTTCTCGATTGCTCGTGCTCTCACGCGCAAGCGCACACACGCACGAACGCGCTCATATCTTGCTGAGTATACAGTATGTATATGGATAAGAAACAAATTTTCTGTCATTTTGGGTTTCGCTCTATTAAATTGATGGTGCAACGATCACCTGTAGAGAAACACAAAAAAGAAATTTGTGTGTCCGTGTGTCTGTAAAGATATGCCTCTTTTTAAATCAACCTCATCGTATTCTAAACAAGGCAGTTGTAAGTTTAGATAAAGTGAATGTACTTACAGAAAGATTTCACGGTTCCTTCGTAAACAAAGTACAGCATCGTTGTTTTAATCCAACGTATTTTCTGGCAACTTAACCAGGGAAATATGCTATTGCGTGTCTGATCACTCTCCTTTTAATATTCGTACACTTTTTACTCTATGATATTGAGGAGTTCCTTGGATATAGCTTGACTGTTTGTATATATGTGTATGTAGAAACTCATACATGAAACAAGAATAGCTCAACAAAATGGTATATCACGACGTATATGGGATGTATAGCAGCAATGGATGAAATCGAGTTTGTTAAAAAATATAAACAAAAGATGGATGGGTTATGATGAGATAAAAAGATACAGTTTTGACAGCGAAAAAAGAATACAATATCAGCGATGAAAAAAGGTACAAGATGAAAAGATGATACAATAATACTGATGATATAAACGAGGTACAAATGGTGGTAAAAAAAATGGTATAAAGATGAGAGCTTGGTAATGATGTTAATCTGCTCGTTGTCGTTTTCGTGATGCTGGTTGTGGTGATGGGAGGAAATTCGAAGGAAGACACCAATGATTTCTTCCAGTTGATAATGTTATTGGCCGCATGGTATTGTTGATCAAGTCAAGGGTCTGTTCCATCATTTCTTTACCGATGCACGCACGATTCAATAACGGGTATAATCTCGATACCAAATTGCTGTTGTTGCTGGGAAATTCAAGTGGGTCGGCTCTTCTGATTATTGTGATAAAACCCTTTGGAATACTGACATCCGATAAGGAGACGCAGCCACCTAAATGAAGACATTGGAAAAAATACTTTCGGTAACTCATAGCATTCTTCTTATGACATGTGGCGGGAGTAATACAAACCTGAAATACTGTATCCAATCACATGGGATTGATGCAGAAGGTTAGGGCTGAAAGTCGCCAACAATAACATATCGCGCAATACAATAGGCATCTTGAGAAAGCTATCGCGCATCTCCTTTGTTTAATCCTTTGCGGCACCTATTTCTGTGCAACCAAGCTCGATATGACCACAGTTGAAGAGCGTATCCACTCGCCTTCCCATCTTTTGGTTTGTTATTGGCATTATGGATGATAATTGTCAGTCTTGGTTCACCGAGCTGGCATTGGCTTCACTAGACTTCTCAGTTCTATAGAATACAACAAAAAAATCAGTTTCAGTGCTCATTTTTCTGTTCATGTTTATATTAGTGATTGACTTACCCCTTTGCCAAGATGGAACTTCCTTTAAAAACTGTAGCGAAAAAATCAAAACAACGGTACAACTGGTCCGATTCAATCAAACTACCAATATCAAATATCCCAGTTTCTAAAAAGAGACTTGCTATATTTTGTAGCTCGGTCGACAATCACACTTTCAATGTTTCTTTGGTAGGATCGGTGATTTCAATGCTTCTTGCATACTTGAACACCTCCGCACCAGTTTTCTATAACATATAATAGTATTAGTATTCTATCATCATATTCTTTGTTTCTTTATTTGTTTGCTTATATGTACATACCAATTCTTTAAGACTCTTGAAGCATTGTTCAAGTTCTTTCGGTACACCACAAGGCAAATCGCCACCAGCACCACGTATTTCGTCGAGGTCTTCTTCACTGAATACAGAACTCCAGTTTTTATCCCCCAAATCTAGGATCAAAGATTGGGAAGGACTGAGAAATGGCAAGATTAGCTGGTAAATCCAAAACCCAAAACTACGCATAATAGATTTTTTTGCTTACTGATAATACTCGCATCCCAACGCAAACGCCATAACCTTTTCTTCTACAGAAATTGGTTCAACATCATCAACTTCTGCTTGTCGCATTGTGGCATCTAAGACCCAGAAATCATCTTTATGAAGCTTTTTGAAATTTTGGAGCTTCTCAGTCAATGTGATTTTGTCTGCAGCAGTCAGTTTGCTTTTCAAGTCTGGAGGAGAAGTCGATGACTGTGGCAAAGAAGGTAATGATGACTCTTCTGCTTCATCACCTGCCAATTGTTGTTCAATACGTTTCCATGAAACATTTTCATCTCCCTAGAAGATATCAATGCATTAGTCCGTGTTTAATATGTATACCTGCGTAAAAAAAGAAAACAGATATAGTAGTTGACACTTACTATTGACATTTCTAACGAAGCCGCCGCTTCCTTTACTAATCAAACATATGTTCTTTTTGTCATTTCTGATAGAGCTAGAAACAATGTCATGTTCTAAATGGTCAATGACGTTTTGAAGTCTGACCGACTTCCCGCGGTTCTTGGCCTGTAATAAAAAAGCTTTTGTAGCTACCACATTGAAAGATTAATAAGCACTAAATATTACAATACAAAAAATTGAATTTGAAATTGTATCACTGGTAACTACCTGTGATGAAAGGGGATGTTCAGTTGCCATGGGAATCGCGACGGAAAAGAGAAAGTGGAAAGGAGAGTGAAAGGAAAAAATTCGGTTACAGCAGCTGTTTTGCAGGCTGTTTAATAGTTTATTAATTTTTAATTTATTTTATATATTTAGTTTTTAAGTTTTATTTTTAAACAATAAAGAATGATCAATATAGTTAGGGGTGGTCAGAGAATATCTTTGATTTTTGATGACGTTGGTAGCTGGTCATTGAGACGGTAGTCGAAACCCTAGAATAATGGTAGTTATTCTAAACACTTGTCTACAAGTGCCTCATGAACAGTGCTCTTTGGAGAAAAATTGTTTTGGCGTACATTTGTTCACACACACATGGATAAACATTGTCTCTTTCTCTCTCTATCATTTTTGCATATCTCTTGGCTTGGCTAAGTCAAGTCGTTTCTCACGTTTTGTCACATTCTATTGTTGCTCAAGTTACAAAACTAGGAATGCAAAATCTTATTGTATAAAACTAAAAAGTGTGACGTTTGCTGCACGCCAGAAGCTTGCTGCAATTTCGCATATCTCATCGGAAGTGGGCGTTTTACACTTTTGTCGTTGAGTATACAAAACCTAGAAGCCACTTTGTACTTGTATTGTTGCATTGTATATATTGGGGGTATTTGGGGAGATCTCTGGACCTCCTCTTATATAGGATTTTGCATTCGATCCCAGACAGGGCCAATTATTCTTTGCCTAAGGAATTATGTCTTGGCCAGATGGCCTTCAATTGTAAGTGGGAGGGGATTTTTTTGATTTTAGACAAGCAATTTTGAGTTGCGGGAATGGAAATCTCGCCCTTAGAGCTTTCGGCTACGGCTCGAGTAATTTCACAGATGGGCAGACTGAAATTCACTCATAGAACACTGTTCATGAGGCACTTGTAGGCAAGTGTTTAGAATAACTACCATTATTCTAGGGTTTCGACTACCGTCTCAATGACCAGCTACCAACGTCATCAAAGATCAAAGATATTCTCTGACCACCCCTAACTATATTGATCATTCTTTATTGTTTAAGAATAAAACTTAAAAACTAAATATATAAAATAAATTAAAAATTAATAAACTATTAAACAGCCTGCAAAACAGCTGCTGTAACCGAATTTTTTCCTTTCACTCTCCTTTCCACTTTCTCTTTTCTGTCGCAATTCCCATGGCAACTGAACATCCCCTTTCATCACAGGTAGTTACCAGTGATACAATTTCAAATTCAATTTTTTGTATTGTAATATTTAGTGCTTATTAATCTTTCAATGTGGTAGCTACAAAAGCTTTTTTATTACAGGCCAAGAACCGCGGGAAGTCGGTCAGACTTCAAAACGTCATTGACCATTTAGAACATGACATTGTTTCTAGCTCTATCAGAAATGACAAAAAGAACATATGTTTGATTAGTAAAGGAAGCGGCGGCTTCGTTACAAATGTCAATAGTAAGTGTCAACTACTATATCTGTTTTCTTTTTTTTACGCAGGTATACATATTAAACACGGACTAATGCATTGATATCTTCTAGGAAGATGAAAATGTTTCATGGAAACGAATCGAACAACGATTGGCGAGTGATCCAAACAACACAGCTTCCAGTTAAGTCTTAGCTGAGCCTAGTGAAGCCACAACATCTGAAGCAGAGGGGACATCATCATCATCATCATCATCGCCATCGTTGTCATCATCTTTGTCATCATCATCGACGTCTCTTGCTGCATTTAAAACCAAACTCACTGCCGCGGACAAAGTCACATTGACTGAGAAGCTCCAAAATTTTAATAAGCTTCATAAAGATTATTTCTGGGTCTTAGATGCCACAATGCGACAAGCAGAAGTTGATGATGTTGAGCCAATTTCTGTAGAAGAAAAGGTCATGGCGTTTGCATCACAATGCGAGTATTATCAGTAAGCGAAAAAATCTATTGTGCATAGTTTTTGGGTCTTGGATTTACCAGCTAATCTTGCCATTTCTCAGTCTGTCCCAATCTTTGATCTTAGATTTGGGGGATAAAAACTGGAGTTCTGTTTTCAATGAAGAACAGCTCGATGAAATACGTGGTGCTGGTGGCGATTTGCCTTGTGGTGTACCGAAAGAACTTGAACAATGCTTCGAGAGTCTTAAAGAATTGGTATGTACATATAAGCAAACAAATAAAGAAACAAAGAATATGACGATAGAATACTAATACTATTATATGTTATAGAAAACTGGTGCAGAGGTGTTTAAGTATGCAAGAAGCATTGAAATCACCGATCCCACCAAAGAAACATTAAAAGTGTGGTTGTCGACCGAGCTACAAAAGGTAGCAAGTCTCTTTCTGGAAACTGGGACATTCGACATCGGTAGTTTGATGGAATCGGACCAGTTGTACCGGTGTTTTGATTTTTTCGCTACAGTTTTTAAAGGAAGTTCCATCTTGGCAAAAGGGTAAGTCAATCACTAATATAAACATGAACAGAAAAATGAGCAGAAAGAATGCACTGAAACTGATTTCTTGTTGTATTCTATAGAACCGAAAAATCAAGTGAAGCCAATGCCACGTCAGTCAACCAAGATCGCACATTATCAGCTATAAAGCTGATAGCAAACCGAAAGATGGAAAGACGCGTGGATATGCTCTTCAACTGTGGTCATATCGAGTTTGGTTGCACAGAAATAGGTGCCACAAAGGACCAAACAAAGGAGATGCGCGATAGCTTTCTCAAGATGCCTATTGTATTGCGCGATATGTTGTTGTTGGCGACTTTTAGGCCTAACCTGCTGCATCAATCCCATGTGATTGGATATAGTATTTCAGGTTTGTATTACTCCCGCCACATGTTAGAAAAAGAATGCTATGAGTTACCGAAAGTATTTTTTCTAATGTCTTCATTCAGGTGGCTGCGTCTCCTTATTGGATGTCAGTATTCTTCAAAAGGGTTTTACCACAATAATCAGAAGAACCGACCCACTTCAGGAGGTTAACTTTAAATATTATAATTTACAAGAATTTAAATTTTTTAAAAAAAATTTAGATATAGGAAAATATTTTTATTAAAAAAATTAATTTCTCAGCTAAAAAGACTTGTCTTGGTTGAAATAATTAAATAGTAAATCTTAAATATTTAATAGGGGTGGGTGTAGTAGGACAAGAAAATCTTCGATTTTTGAAGTCCTAGCTGGTCTTTCTGAAAGAAACCTAATATGATGGTAATCGTATATTAGAGAGTTAATAATAACTAGTAAGTTATTAATTAGCTCTCTCAGTTTTCCAGCAACAACAGCAATTTGGTATCAAGATTATACCCGTTATTGAATCGTGCGTGCATTGGTAAAGAATTGATGGAACAGACCCTTGACTTGATCAACAATACCATGTGGCCAATAACATTATCAACTGGAAGAAATCATTGGTGTCTTCCTTCGAATTTCCTCCCATCTCCACAACCAGCATCACGAAAACGACAACAAGCAGATAAACATCATTACCAAGCTCTCATCTTTATACCATTTTTTTACCACCATTTGTACCTCGTTTTCATCATCAGTACCTTTTTTCATCGCCAATATTGTATTCTTTTTTTGCTGTCAATACTGTAACTTTTTTTGCTCATCATGAAACCCATTCATCATCCTGTTTACCATCCATTGCTGCTATACATCCCATATACGTCGTGATATACCAAAACGAATTATAACAATCTTTAAGTGGGATCACCCATATTGCTAATTAAGCTTTTATATTGAGGAGCTCCTTGGATATAGCTTGAGACTTTTTGTATATATGTGTATGTAGAAACTCACACATGAAACAAGAATAGCTCAACAAAATGGTTATTAGTATATCACAACGTATATGGGATGTATAGCAGCAATGGATGATAAATAGGATGATGAATGGGTTTCATGATGAGCAAAGAAAGTTACAGTTTTGACAGCAAAAAAAGAATACAATATCAGCGAGGAAAAAAGGTATTGATGATGAAAACGAGGTACAAATGGTGGTAAAAAAAATGGTATAAAGATGAGAGCTTGGTAATGATGTTAATCTGCTTGTTGTCGTTTTCGTGATGCTGGTTGTGGAGATGAAGTATAAATAATATCTATAATATTTGTTATAATAAATAACAATATTATAATATTTTATTATACTGTCAAGCGTTCAAATAAAAATCTAACTTTGTTGTTTTTAAATGAACTGGGCGTCGTCGTACCTCCTAGCCTGTTTTCCCTCAAACATAATAGTTAAGATTATCTCTAAGGGTTGAGAATATTATAGGGTTTGAGAAATTATTTTTTTAATTAAAAAAATTAATTTCATCACTTATTGTAAACACTTTAAAGCTATATTACTTATAGTTTTTTACATATTTATAATATCACTAAAAGCATAACACTAGGGGTTACCCTCCGATGGGAGGAAATTCGAAGGAAGACACCAATGATTTCTTCCAGTTGATAATGTTATTGGCCACATGGTATTGTTGATCAAGTCAAGGGTCTGTTCCATCAATTCTTTACCAATGCACGCACGATTCAATAACGGGTATAATCTTGATACCAAATTGCTGTTGTTGCTGGAAAACTGAGAGAGCTAATTAATAACTTACTAGTTATTATTAACTCTCTAATATACGATTACCATCATATTAGGTTTCTTTCAGAAAGACCAGCTAGGACTTCAAAAATCGAAGATTTTCTTGTCCTACTACACCCACCCCTATTAAATATTTAAGATTTACTATTTAATTATTTCAACCAAGACAAGTCTTTTTAGCTGAGAAATTAATTTTTTTAATAAAAATATTTTCCTATATCTAAATTTTTTTTTAAAAAATTTAAATTCTTGTAAATTATAATATTTAAAGTTAACCTCCTGAAGTGGGTCGGTTCTTCTGATTATTGTGGTAAAACCCTTTTGAAGAATACTGACATCCAATAAGGAGACGCAGCCACCTGAATGAAGACATTAGAAAAAATACTTTCGGTAACTCATAGCATTCTTTTTCTAACATGTGGCGGGAGTAATACAAACCTGAAATACTATATCCAATCACATGGGATTGATGCAGCAGGTTAGGCCTAAAAGTCGCCAACAACAACATATCGCGCAATACAATAGGCATCTTGAGAAAGCTATCGCGCATCTCCTTTGTTTGGTCCTTTGTGGCACCTATTTCTGTGCAACCAAACTCGATATGACCACAGTTGAAGAGCATATCCACGCGTCTTTCCATCTTTCGGTTTGCTATCAGCTTTATAGCTGATAATGTGCGATCTTGGTTGACTGACGTGGCATTGGCTTCACTTGATTTTTCGGTTCTATAGAATACAACAAGAAATCAGTTTCAGTGCATTCTTTCTGCTCATTTTTCTGTTCATGTTTATATTAGTGATTGACTTACCCCTTTGCCAAGATGGAACTTCCTTTAAAAACTGTAGCGAAAAAATCAAAACAACGGTACAACTGGTCCGATTCAATCAAACTACCAATATCAAATATCCCAGTTTCTAAAAAGAGACTTGCTATATTTTGTAGCTCGGTCGACAATCACACTTTCAATGTTTCTTTGGTAGGATCGGTGATTTCAATGCTTCTTGCATACTTGAACACCTCCGCACCAGTTTTCTATAACATATAATAGTATTAGTATTCTATCATCATATTCTTTGTTTCTTTATTTGTTTGCTTATATGTACATACCAATTCTTTAAGACTCTTGAAGCATTGTTCAAGTTCTTTCGGTACACCACAAGGCAAATCGCCACCAGCACCACGTATTTCGTCGAGGTCTTCTTCACTGAATACAGAACTCCAGTTTTTATCCCCCAAATCTAGGATCAAAGATTGGGAAGGACTGAGAAATGGCAAGATTAGCTGGTAAATCCAAAACCCAAAACTACGCATAATAGATTTTTTTGCTTACTGATAATACTCGCATCCCAACGCAAACGCCATAACCTTTTCTTCTACAGAAATTGGTTCAACATCATCAACTTCTGCTTGTCGCATTGTGGCATCTAAGACCCAGAAATCATCTTTATGAAGCTTTTTGAAATTTTGGAGCTTCTCAGTCAATGTGATTTTGTCTGCAGCAGTCAGTTTGCTTTTCAAGTCTGGAGGAGAAGTCGATGACTGTGGCAAAGAAGGTAATGATGACTCTTCTGCTTCATCACCTGCCAATTGTTGTTCAATACGTTTCCATGAAACATTTTCATCTCCCTAGAAGATATCAATGCATTAGTCCGTGTTTAATATGTATACCTGCGTAAAAAAAGAAAACAGATATAGTAGTTGACACTTACTATTGACATTTCTAACGAAGCCGCCGCTTCCTTTACTAATCAAACATATGTTCTTTTTGTCATTTCTGATAGAGCTAGAAACAATGTCATGTTCTAAATGGTCAATGACGTTTTGAAGTCTGACCGACTTCCCGCGGTTCTTGGCCTGTAATAAAAAAGCTTTTGTAGCTACCACATTGAAAGATTAATAAGCACTAAATATTACAATACAAAAAATTGAATTTGAAATTGTATCACTGGTAACTACCTGTGATGAAAGGGGATGTTCAGTTGCCATGGGAATCGCGACGGAAAAGAGAAAGTGGAAAGGAGAGTGAAAGGAAAAAATTCGGTTACAGCAGCTGTTTTGCAGGCTGTTTAATAGTTTATTAATTTTTAATTTATTTTATATATTTAGTTTTTAAGTTTTATTTTTAAACAATAAAGAATGATCAATATAGTTAGGGGTGGTCAGAGAATATCTTTGATCTTTGATGACGTTGGTAGCTGGTCATTGAGACGGTAGTCGAAACCCTAGAATAATGGTAGTTATTCTAAACACTTGTCTACAAGTGCCTCATGAACAGTGCTCTTTGGAGAAAAATTGTTTTGGCGTACATTTGTTCACACACACATGGATAAACATTGTCTCTTTCTCTCTCTATCATTTTTGCATATCTCTTGGCTTGGCTAAGTCAAGTCGTTTCTCACGTTTTGTCACATTCTATTGTTGCTCAAGTTACAAAACTAGGAATGCAAAATCTTATTGTATAAAACTAAAAAGTGTGACGTTTGCTGCACGCCAGAAGCTTGCTGCAATTTCGCATATCTCATCGGAAGTGGGCGTTTTACACTTTTGTCGTTGAGTATACAAAACCTAGAAGCCACTTTGTACTTGTATTGTTGCATTGTATATATTGGGGGTATTTGGGGAGATCTCTGGACCTCCTCTTATATAGGATTTTGCATTCGATCCCAGACAGGGCCAATTATTCTTTGCCTAAGGAATTATGTCTTGGCCAGATGGCCTTCAATTGTAAGTGGGAGGGGATTTTTTTGATTTTAGACAAGCAATTTTGAGTTGCGGGAATGGAAATCTCGCCCTTAGAGCTTTCGGCTACGGCTCGAGTAATTTCACAGATGGGCAGACTGAAATTCACTCATAGAACACTGTTCATGAGGCACTTGTAGGCAAGTGTTTAGAATAACTACCATTATTCTAGGGTTTCGACTACCGTCTCAATGACCAGCTACCAACGTCATCAAAGATCAAAGATATTCTCTGACCACCCCTAACTATATTGATCATTCTTTATTGTTTAAAAATAAAACTTAAAAACTAAATATATAAAATAAATTAAAAATTAATAAACTATTAAACAGCCTGCAAAACAGCTGCTGTAACCGAATTTTTTCCTTTCACTCTCCTTTCCACTTTCTCTTTTCCGTCGCGATTCCCATGGCAACTGAACATCCCCTTTCATCACAGGTAGTTACCAGTGATACAATTTCAAATTCAATTTTTTGTATTGTAATATTTAGTGCTTATTAATCTTTCAATGTGGTAGCTACAAAAGCTTTTTTATTACAGGCCAAGAACCGCGGGAAGTCGGTCAGACTTCAAAACGTCATTGACCATTTAGAACATGACATTGTTTCTAGCTCTATCAGAAATGACAAAAAGAACATATGTTTGATTAGTAAAGGAAGCGGCGGCTTCGTTAGAAATGTCAATAGTAAGTGTCAACTACTATATCTGTTTTCTTTTTTTACGCAGGTATACATATTAAACACGGACTAATGCATTGATATCTTCTAGGGAGATGAAAATGTTTCATGGAAACGTATTGAACAACAATTGGCAGGTGATGAAGCAGAAGAGTCATCATTACCTTCTTTGCCACAGTCATCGACTTCTCCTCCAGACTTGAAAAGCAAACTGACTGCTGCAGACAAAATCACATTGACTGAGAAGCTCCAAAATTTCAAAAAGCTTCATAAAGATGATTTCTGGGTCTTAGATGCCACAATGCGACAAGCAGAAGTTGATGATGTTGAACCAATTTCTGTAGAAGAAAAGGTTATGGCGTTTGCGTTGGGATGCGAGTATTATCAGTAAGCAAAAAAATCTATTATGCGTAGTTTTGGGTTTTGGATTTACCAGCTAATCTTGCCATTTCTCAGTCCTTCCCAATCTTTGATCCTAGATTTGGGGGATAAAAACTGGAGTTCTGTATTCAGTGAAGAAGACCTCGACGAAATACGTGGTGCTGGTGGCGATTTGCCTTGTGGTGTACCGAAAGAACTTGAACAATGCTTCAAGAGTCTTAAAGAATTGGTATGTACATATAAGCAAACAAATAAAGAAACAAAGAATATGATGATAGAATACTAATACTATTATATGTTATAGAAAACTGGTGCGGAGGTGTTCAAGTATGCAAGAAGCATTGAAATCACCGATCCTACCAAAGAAACATTGAAAGTGTGATTGTCGACCGAGCTACAAAATATAGCAAGTCTCTTTTTAGAAACTGGGATATTTGATATTGGTAGTTTGATTGAATCGGACCAGTTGTACCGTTGTTTTGATTTTTTCGCTACAGTTTTTAAAGGAAGTTCCATCTTGGCAAAGGGGTAAGTCAATCACTAATATAAACATGAACAGAAAAATGAGCAGAAAGAATGCACTGAAACTGATTTCTTGTTGTATTCTATAGAACCGAAAAATCAAGTGAAGCCAATGCCACGTCAGTCAACCAAGATCGCACATTATCAGCTATAAAGCTGATAGCAAACCGAAAGATGGAAAGACGCGTGGATATGCTCTTCAACTGTGGTCATATCGAGTTTGGTTGCACAGAAATAGGTGCCACAAAGGACCAAACAAAGGAGATGCGCGATAGCTTTCTCAAGATGCCTATTGTATTGCGCGATATGTTGTTGTTGGCGACTTTTAGGCCTAACCTGCTGCATCAATCCCATGTGATTGGATATAGTATTTCAGGTTTGTATTACTCCCGCCACATGTTAGAAAAAGAATGCTATGAGTTACCGAAAGTATTTTTTCTAATGTCTTCATTCAGGTGGCTGCGTCTCCTTATTGGATGTCAGTATTCTTCAAAAGGGTTTTACCACAATAATCAGAAGAACCGACCCACTTCAGGAGGTTAACTTTAAATATTATAATTTACAAGAATTTAAATTTTTTAAAAAAAAATTTAGATATAGGAAAATATTTTTATTAAAAAAATTAATTTCTCAGCTAAAAAGACTTGTCTTGGTTGAAATAATTAAATAGTAAATCTTAAATATTTAATAGGGGTGGGTGTAGTAGGACAAGAAAATCTTCGATTTTTGAAGTCCTAGCTGGTCTTTCTGAAAGAAACCTAATATGATGGTAATCGTATATTAGAGAGTTAATAATAACTAGTAAGTTATTAATTAGCTCTCTCAGTTTTCCAGCAACAACAGCAATTTGGTATCAAGATTATACCCGTTATTGAATCGTGCGTGCATTGGTAAAGAATTGATGGAACAGACCCTTGACTTGATCAACAATACCATGTGGCCAATAACATTATCAACTGGAAGAAATCATTGGTGTCTTCCTTCGAATTTCCTCCCATCGGAGGGTAACCCCTAGTGTTATGCTTTTAGTGATATTATAAATATGTAAAAAACTATAAGTAATATAGCTTTAAAGTGTTTACAATAAGTGATGAAATTAATTTTTTTAATTAAAAAAATAATTTCTCAAACCCTATAATATTCTCAACCCTTAGAGATAATCTTAACTATTATGTTTGAGGGAAAACAGGCTAGGAGGTACGACGACGCCCAGTTCATTTAAAAACAACAAAGTTAGATTTTTATTTGAACGCTTGACAGTATAATAAAATATTATAATATTGTTATTTATTATAACAAATATTATAGATATTATTTATACTTCATCTCCACAACCAGCATCACGAAAACGACAACAAGCAGATTAACATCATTACCAAGCTCTCATCTTTATACCATTTTTTTTACCACCATTTGTACCTCGTTTTCATCATCAATACCTTTTTTCCTCGCTGATATTGTATTCTTTTTTTGCTGTCAAAACTGTAACTTTCTTTGCTCATCATGAAACCCATTCATCATCCTATTTATCATCCATTGCTGCTATACATCCCATATACGTTGTGATATACTAATAACCATTTTGTTGAGCTATTCTTGTTTCATGTGTGAGTTTCTACATACACATATATACAAAAAGTCTCAAGCTATATCCAAGGAGCTCCTCAATATAAAAGCTTAATTAGCAATATGGGTGATCCCACTTAAAGATTGTTATAATTCGTTTTGGTATATCACGACGTATATGGGATGTATAGCAGCAATGGATGGTAAACAGGATGATGAATGGGTTTCATGATGAGCAAAAAAAGTTACAGTATTGACAGCAAAAAAAGAATACAATATTGGCGATGAAAAAAGGTACTGATGATGAAAACGAGGTACAAATGGTGGTAAAAAAATGGTATAAAGATGAGAGCTTGGTAATGATGTTTATCTGCTTGTTGTCGTTTTCGTGATGCTGGTTGTGGAGATGGGAGGAAATTCGAAGGAAGACACCAATGATTTCTTCCAGTTGATAATGTTATTGGCCACATGGTATTGTTGATCAAGTCAAGGGTCTGTTCCATCAATTCTTTACCAATGCACGCACGATTCAATAACGGGTATAATCTTGATACCAAATTGCTGTTGTTGCTGGAAAACTGAGAGAGCTAATTAATAACTTACTAGTTATTATTAACTCTCTAATATACGATTACCATCATATTAGGTTTCTTTCAGAAAGACCAGCTAGGACTTCAAAAATCGAAGATTTTCTTGTCCTACTACACCCACCCCTATTAAATATTTAAGATTTACTATTTAATTATTTCAACCAAGACAAGTCTTTTTAGCTGAGAAATTAATTTTTTTAATAAAAATATTTTCCTATATCTAAATTTTTTTTAAAAAATTTAAATTCTTGTAAATTATAATATTTAAAGTTAACCTCCTGAAGTGGGTCGGTTCTTCTGATTATTGTGGTAAAACCCTTTTGAAGAATACTGACATCCAATAAGGAGACGCAGCCACCTGAATGAAGACATTAGAAAAAATACTTTCGGTAACTCATAGCATTCTTTTTCTAACATGTGGCGGGAGTAATACAAACCTGAAATACTATATCCAATCACATGGGATTGATGCAGCAGGTTAGGCCTAAAAGTCGCCAACAACAACATATCGCGCAATACAATAGGCATCTTGAGAAAGCTATCGCGCATCTCCTTTGTTTGGTCCTTTGTGGCACCTATTTCTGTGCAACCAAACTCGATATGACCACAGTTGAAGAGCATATCCACGCGTCTTTCCATCTTTCGGTTTGCTATCAGCTTTATAGCTGATAATGTGCGATCTTGGTTGACTGACGTGGCATTGGCTTCACTTGATTTTTCGGTTCTATAGAATACAACAAGAAATCAGTTTCAGTGCATTCTTTCTGCTCATTTTTCTGTTCATGTTTATATTAGTGATTGACTTACCCCTTTGCCAAGATGGAACTTCCTTTAAAAACTGTAGCGAAAAAATCAAAACAACGGTACAACTGGTCCGATTCAATCAAACTACCAATATCAAATATCCCAGTTTCTAAAAAGAGACTTGCTATATTTTGTAGCTCGGTCGACAATCACACTTTCAATGTTTCTTTGGTAGGATCGGTGATTTCAATGCTTCTTGCATACTTGAACACCTCCGCACCAGTTTTCTATAACATATAATAGTATTAGTATTCTATCATCATATTCTTTGTTTCTTTATTTGTTTGCTTATATGTACATACCAATTCTTTAAGACTCTTGAAGCATTGTTCAAGTTCTTTCGGTACACCACAAGGCAAATCGCCACCAGCACCACGTATTTCGTCGAGGTCTTCTTCACTGAATACAGAACTCCAGTTTTTATCCCCCAAATCTAGGATCAAAGATTGGGAAGGACTGAGAAATGGCAAGATTAGCTGGTAAATCCAAAACCCAAAACTACGCATAATAGATTTTTTTGCTTACTGATAATACTCGCATCCCAACGCAAACGCCATAACCTTTTCTTCTACAGAAATTGGTTCAACATCATCAACTTCTGCTTGTCGCATTGTGGCATCTAAGACCCAGAAATCATCTTTATGAAGCTTTTTGAAATTTTGGAGCTTCTCAGTCAATGTGATTTTGTCTGCAGCAGTCAGTTTGCTTTTCAAGTCTGGAGGAGAAGTCGATGACTGTGGCAAAGAAGGTAATGATGACTCTTCTGCTTCATCACCTGCCAATTGTTGTTCAATACGTTTCCATGAAACATTTTCATCTCCCTAGAAGATATCAATGCATTAGTCCGTGTTTAATATGTATACCTGCGTAAAAAAAGAAAACAGATATAGTAGTTGACACTTACTATTGACATTTCTAACGAAGCCGCCGCTTCCTTTACTAATCAAACATATGTTCTTTTTGTCATTTCTGATAGAGCTAGAAACAATGTCATGTTCTAAATGGTCAATGACGTTTTGAAGTCTGACCGACTTCCCGCGGTTCTTGGCCTGTAATAAAAAAGCTTTTGTAGCTACCACATTGAAAGATTAATAAGCACTAAATATTACAATACAAAAAATTGAATTTGAAATTGTATCACTGGTAACTACCTGTGATGAAAGGGGATGTTCAGTTGCCATGGGAATCGCGACGGAAAAGAGAAAGTGGAAAGGAGAGTGAAAGGAAAAAATTCGGTTACAGCAGCTGTTTTGCAGGCTGTTTAATAGTTTATTAATTTTTAATTTATTTTATATATTTAGTTTTTAAGTTTTATTTTTAAACAATAAAGAATGATCAATATAGTTAGGGGTGGTCAGAGAATATCTTTGATCTTTGATGACGTTGGTAGCTGGTCATTGAGACGGTAGTCGAAACCCTAGAATAATGGTAGTTATTCTAAACACTTGTCTACAAGTGCCTCATGAACAGTGCTCTTTGGAGAAAAATTGTTTTGGCGTACATTTGTTCACACACACATGGATAAACATTGTCTCTTTCTCTCTCTATCATTTTTGCATATCTCTTGGCTTGGCTAAGTCAAGTCGTTTCTCACGTTTTGTCACATTCTATTGTTGCTCAAGTTACAAAACTAGGAATGCAAAATCTTATTGTATAAAACTAAAAAGTGTGACGTTTGCTGCACGCCAGAAGCTTGCTGCAATTTCGCATATCTCATCGGAAGTGGGCGTTTTACACTTTTGTCGTTGAGTATACAAAACCTAGAAGCCACTTTGTACTTGTATTGTTGCATTGTATATATTGGGGGTATTTGGGGAGATCTCTGGACCTCCTCTTATATAGGATTTTGCATTCGATCCCAGACAGGGCCAATTATTCTTTGCCTAAGGAATTATGTCTTGGCCAGATGGCCTTCAATTGTAAGTGGGAGGGGATTTTTTTGATTTTAGACAAGCAATTTTGAGTTGCGGGAATGGAAATCTCGCCCTTAGAGCTTTCGGCTACGGCTCGAGTAATTTCACAGATGGGCAGACTGAAATTCACTCATAGAACACTGTTCATGAGGCACTTGTAGGCAAGTGTTTAGAATAACTACCATTATTCTAGGGTTTCGACTACCGTCTCAATGACCAGCTACCAACGTCATCAAAGATCAAAGATATTCTCTGACCACCCCTAACTATATTGATCATTCTTTATTGTTTAAGAATAAAACTTAAAAACTAAATATATAAAATAAATTAAAAATTAATAAACTATTAAACAGCCTGCAAAACAGCTGCTGTAACCGAATTTTTTCCTTTCACTCTCCTTTCCACTTTCTCTTTTCTGTCGCAATTCCCATGGCAACTGAACATCCCCTTTCATCACAGGTAGTTACCAGTGATACAATTTCAAATTCAATTTTTTGTATTGTAATATTTAGTGCTTATTAATCTTTCAATGTGGTAGCTACAAAAGCTTTTTTATTACAGGCCAAGAACCGCGGGAAGTCGGTCAGACTTCAAAACGTCATTGACCATTTAGAACATGACATTGTTTCTAGCTCTATCAGAAATGACAAAAAGAACATATGTTTGATTAGTAAAGGAAGCGGCGGCTTCGTTACAAATGTCAATAGTAAGTGTCAACTACTATATCTGTTTTCTTTTTTTTACGCAGGTATACATATTAAACACGGACTAATGCATTGATATCTTCTAGGAAGATGAAAATGTTTCATGGAAACGAATCGAACAACGATTGGCGAGTGATCCAAACAACACAGCTTCCAGTTAAGTCTTAGCTGAGCCTAGTGAAGCCACAACATCTGAAGCAGAGGGGACATCATCATCATCATCATCATCGCCATCGTTGTCATCATCTTTGTCATCATCATCGACGTCTCTTGCTGCATTTAAAACCAAACTCACTGCCGCGGACAAAGTCACATTGACTGAGAAGCTCCAAAATTTTAATAAGCTTCATAAAGATTATTTCTGGGTCTTAGATGCCACAATGCGACAAGCAGAAGTTGATGATGTTGAGCCAATTTCTGTAGAAGAAAAGGTCATGGCGTTTGCATCACAATGCGAGTATTATCAGTAAGCGAAAAAATCTATTGTGCATAGTTTTTGGGTCTTGGATTTACCAGCTAATCTTGCCATTTCTCAGTCTGTCCCAATCTTTGATCTTAGATTTGGGGGATAAAAACTGGAGTTCTGTTTTCAATGAAGAACAGCTCGATGAAATACGTGGTGCTGGTGGCGATTTGCCTTGTGGTGTACCGAAAGAACTTGAACAATGCTTCGAGAGTCTTAAAGAATTGGTATGTACATATAAGCAAACAAATAAAGAAACAAAGAATATGACGATAGAATACTAATACTATTATATGTTATAGAAAACTGGTGCAGAGGTGTTTAAGTATGCAAGAAGCATTGAAATCACCGATCCCACCAAAGAAACATTAAAAGTGTGGTTGTCGACCGAGCTACAAAAGGTAGCAAGTCTCTTTCTGGAAACTGGGACATTCGACATCGGTAGTTTGATGGAATCGGACCAGTTGTACCGGTGTTTTGATTTTTTCGCTACAGTTTTTAAAGGAAGTTCCATCTTGGCAAAAGGGTAAGTCAATCACTAATATAAACATGAACAGAAAAATGAGCAGAAAGAATGCACTGAAACTGATTTCTTGTTGTATTCTATAGAACCGAAAAATCAAGTGAAGCCAATGCCACGTCAGTCAACCAAGATCGCACATTATCAGCTATAAAGCTGATAGCAAACCGAAAGATGGAAAGACGCGTGGATATGCTCTTCAACTGTGGTCATATCGAGTTTGGTTGCACAGAAATAGGTGCCACAAAGGACCAAACAAAGGAGATGCGCGATAGCTTTCTCAAGATGCCTATTGTATTGCGCGATATGTTGTTGTTGGCGACTTTTAGGCCTAACCTGCTGCATCAATCCCATGTGATTGGATATAGTATTTCAGGTTTGTATTACTCCCGCCACATGTTAGAAAAAGAATGCTATGAGTTACCGAAAGTATTTTTTCTAATGTCTTCATTCAGGTGGCTGCGTCTCCTTATTGGATGTCAGTATTCTTCAAAAGGGTTTTACCACAATAATCAGAAGAACCGACCCACTTCAGGAGGTTAACTTTAAATATTATAATTTACAAGAATTTAAATTTTTTAAAAAAAATTTAGATATAGGAAAATATTTTTATTAAAAAAATTAATTTCTCAGCTAAAAAGACTTGTCTTGGTTGAAATAATTAAATAGTAAATCTTAAATATTTAATAGGGGTGGGTGTAGTAGGACAAGAAAATCTTCGATTTTTGAAGTCCTAGCTGGTCTTTCTGAAAGAAACCTAATATGATGGTAATCGTATATTAGAGAGTTAATAATAACTAGTAAGTTATTAATTAGCTCTCTCAGTTTTCCAGCAACAACAGCAATTTGGTATCAAGATTATACCCGTTATTGAATCGTGCGTGCATTGGTAAAGAATTGATGGAACAGACCCTTGACTTGATCAACAATACCATGTGGCCAATAACATTATCAACTGGAAGAAATCATTGGTGTCTTCCTTCGAATTTCCTCCCATCTCCACAACCAGCATCACGAAAACGACAACAAGCAGATAAACATCATTACCAAGCTCTCATCTTTATACCATTTTTTTACCACCATTTGTACCTCGTTTTCATCATCAGTACCTTTTTTCATCGCCAATATTGTATTCTTTTTTTGCTGTCAATACTGTAACTTTTTTTGCTCATCATGAAACCCATTCATCATCCTGTTTACCATCCATTGCTGCTATACATCCCATATACGTCGTGATATACCAAAACGAATTATAACAATCTTTAAGTGGGATCACCCATATTGCTAATTAAGCTTTTATATTGAGGAGCTCCTTGGATATAGCTTGAGACTTTTTGTATATATGTGTATGTAGAAACTCACACATGAAACAAGAATAGCTCAACAAAATGGTTATTAGTATATCACAACGTATATGGGATGTATAGCAGCAATGGATGATAAATAGGATGATGAATGGGTTTCATGATGAGCAAAGAAAGTTACAGTTTTGACAGCAAAAAAAGAATACAATATCAGCGAGGAAAAAAGGTATTGATGATGAAAACGAGGTACAAATGGTGGTAAAAAAAATGGTATAAAGATGAGAGCTTGGTAATGATGTTAATCTGCTTGTTGTCGTTTTCGTGATGCTGGTTGTGGAGATGAAGTATAAATAATATCTATAATATTTGTTATAATAAATAACAATATTATAATATTTTATTATACTGTCAAGCGTTCAAATAAAAATCTAACTTTGTTGTTTTTAAATGAACTGGGCGTCGTCGTACCTCCTAGCCTGTTTTCCCTCAAACATAATAGTTAAGATTATCTCTAAGGGTTGAGAATATTATAGGGTTTGAGAAATTATTTTTTTAATTAAAAAAATTAATTTCATCACTTATTGTAAACACTTTAAAGCTATATTACTTATAGTTTTTTACATATTTATAATATCACTAAAAGCATAACACTAGGGGTTACCCTCCGATGGGAGGAAATTCGAAGGAAGACACCAATGATTTCTTCCAGTTGATAATGTTATTGGCCACATGGTATTGTTGATCAAGTCAAGGGTCTGTTCCATCAATTCTTTACCAATGCACGCACGATTCAATAACGGGTATAATCTTGATACCAAATTGCTGTTGTTGCTGGGAAATTGAAGTGGGTCGGTTCTTCTGATTATTGAGGTAAAACCCTATGGAATACTGGCATCTAATAAGAAGACGCAGCCACCTAAATGAAGACATTAGAAAAAATACTTTCAGTAACTCATAGCATTCTTCTTATAACATGTGGGGGGAGTAATACAAACCTGAAATACTGTATCCAATCACATGGGATTGATGCAGAAGGTTTGGGCTGAAAGTCGCCAACAACAACATATCGTGCAATACAATAGGCATCTTGAGAAAGCTATCGTGCATCTCCTTTGTTTGGTCCTTTGTGGCACCTATTTCTGTGCAACCAAGCTCGATATGACCACAGTTGAAGAGCATATCCACTCGCCTTCCCATCTTTTGGTTTGTTATTGGCATTATAGATGATAATTGTCGGTCTTGGCTCACCGAGCTGGCATTGGCTTCACTAGACTTCTCAGTTCTATAGAATACAACAAGAAATCAGTTTCAGTGCATTCTTTCTGCTCATTTTTCTGTTCATGTTTATATTAGTGATTGACTTACCCTTTTGCCAAGATAGAACTTCCTTTAGAAACTGTAGCGAAAAAATCAAAACACTGGTACAACTGGTCCGACAGTTGCTAACCATATACTAAATTACCTGAGAAACTGAAATGTCCATAAGCTAATTCAATAATTAAATCTTTAGAATAGGATCCAGTTAAGAATGGTAAAGCCATTAAACTTAAAGATCCAATTACCATCATAGAATATGTGAATGGTAATAAATTAGCTAAACCACCAAATTTTCTTAAATCTTATTCATCATTCATTGCATGAATTACAGAACCAGCAGATAAGAGTAATAAAGCTTTAAACCATGCATGGTTTACTAAATGGAATAATGCTACATTATATTGAGAAAGCACATTCAATTGAAAGATTAAAAAATTAAATTTGAGAAGATTATTATATTTAACTTTATAATCCAATTCTATAGTACATTGAAGGATGTAAATAATCTAAACTTAAATTTTGAAAATGTCTTAATTCCCTCTTAGAAATTACAATTCTATATTGATCTTTAGATTTTACACCATTAAGCTTTAAATAAGTCTCAATACCAAATTTATTAAATAAAATAACTTAGAGTTGTTCACACTCCTCTTTTGTAAAATTATCTGTATATAAAAAAATTCTATTCCTAGATTTATCAAATGTACCATCTCCTGCTACCCAATAAGCAATAGCTAAAGGTGTAAAAGTTCTATCAATATCTACAGAAATAACCTTAAAGGTTAATTTTCCCATTTTTTGATACCATTTATTATATAATTTAGTAAAATAAGGAAGTGTAACAGTCTGAAACACATATGATGTTTTAATTGTACCATATTTTTTATCTGTTCTAATCAATATTTTAACAGGGTTAATTAAAATACCAAATGTCCTAAAGATGTTTTACAAACTCTTCGTCTTTTTGTTGTACACTTAATAAAGCATGTTTTCCATTCATTCTTATGTTTCCATCCCCAAGCATCATTCCTGTAATAATTTCATTAAATGAAAAAGGAAGATCTTTAGATAATATTTCTTTATCTTCAGGAGAAACATAATGACGAGATGATACTATAGAAAAAGTCAAAGCATAACTTATATCTGGAAGATAAGTTAAATATTGAGTATTATAAATTAGCTTTCACTTAAATCTATTGATTTTATGAATCAGACTATTTCTTAATTTTTGTAAAATAACAAAAATCTATCATATATAGTCTCTGAGGTATATATAAATAGTACCTGCTAATTATCCGTCCAGAGATAGAGATTATTACTATTAAAGTACCCTATACCTTGAGATTTTTTAGCATTTAATGATGTTTTTAATTTGAAGCCTTTGACCACAAACTAGGAATAGAAGACCTAATTGAGAACAAGTAGAATAAGCAATTACTCGTTTTAAATCATTCTGTAATACATAAACCTGTAGTTGCAGCAAAGAATGCTGTTAAAGCACCTACCTATGTAATTAAAATAAAGCTGTAGATCCATATTCCAATACTGGGGAAGATCGTAGAAGTAAATATACCCCAGCTGTTACCATTGTAGCCGCATGAATTAATGCAGAAACTGGTGTGGGACCCTCCATGGCGTCTGGTAACCAAGTATGAAGACCAATTTGAGCAGATTTACCTATAGCAGCGATTAACATACAAATAGAAATTACGGTAATTAATTCTTCATTAATAAATAGTGCTAATGAGAAAACTGTAGTAAAGTCTCAATTATAAAAGTCCAGAAAAGAGTATACATTCCAATACTGAAAGCTAAATCTCCTACTCTGCTCATTACTAAAGCTTTAATAGCTGCTTTATTAGCTTGTAATTGAGTAAACCAGAAGTTGATTAATGGATAAGATGAAATACCTACACCTTCCTACAGGTGTTATTTATAAATGTGAGAAATTATAATTTATACATCATACTTGAATGCATATAAGGTTGAACAAGATTATATAATTTCTTTTTAACATCTTGTCTTACTTATATATATAAAATATATTGATCTTTAACCTTTTCCTCTAATCTAGAAGTTAAACTAAAGTTTGTCCAAATGGCTTTTTGAAGTAATCCGAATTCAAATTTAGTATAAGATCTTGTATGAATAATAGTTTGTTCGTAGTAAGATTTACCTCCATCATCCATAATTAAATATGCTAAACTTCTTGCTGTTAAAAGTTCATCAATATTAATAGGCCCCGGGGGGCGAACCCAGCCCCTGAGGCTAGGGTCCGCCTAGGCGGGCCCGGGTACAAATTTTTCTCATTTGGATAGAATAACTCATAATAATTTAAACAAGGTAAAAATAAAGATGAAAACCTAATACTATTGTATACTTTACCTGTTCTAATATCAGGTTTTCTATTCGTTACTTTAGGACTAGAAACAGTAAGAAGTTCAAATACTTCGTATAAATGAAGTAAATAATCTTTATGTAAACTTTTAGATTGATCAAATACTAATTTAGTATTGTGATTAGGTTTTGGTCTTCTTAAATATGCATCTCCTAATAAGACTCTACATAAATAAAGTTTCCTTTTAAATTTCTGATAATTATAAAAAAAATTTATACTATTTAGAATATCTAACTTTTTTATCAGAATTAGATACAATAGGAATCATATAAGATTTAGTAATTAAGAAATCAGATAAATTATTAAAATCAATTACTTCTCACATTTATAAATAATCAGACCTAATCATTATCCCCAACCTTGTTAGGGATATCTCACATAAAGTCTCTGAGGATAAATATCAAATTTTCCTGCTGATAACTCATTTTATATCTAGCGGGCCCTACGCCCGCCAGCCTCTTGGTTGCGGCCCAGAGGCTCTAAAATTATTACCATTAAGGTATTCAAAGCTTTAGTGTGTTCCAGCATATAGTGAGATTACACATATATCTTACGATTATAAGCAAGCCGAGAAGGTGTAACCAATAAACATTACTAGATAGTTATCCCCTGTTACAAGCATTAACATGAAGAATGTGAACATTGGAAGATATGAGAAGAATCTTTGATTATGAGGATCCTCACTCATATATCAATATGTACTAATGCAGATACAATAAGTACTGGTAGTAACATAGATACTGTTAAACCATCGTAAATAAATCCCCATGAAATTAATAAGAATTCTGAATCAAACCAGCTCATTAATTTAATACAAACTGGTGATTGACATAATCCTACTTCATAGAAAGCAACTAAAGCTAAAAGTGTAGTAAAAACTAGAGAACCATAAGTAATTAAATGACTACCCGTTCTACCAATTTTTCTTCCTAAAAATCCTGCTACTGTAGCTGATAATAGAGGTAATGCTATAATCACTAAATACATTATGCTTTAATAGCAATACTACCTCTTAATCTATAATATGCAACTAAAATACCTAGTCCAATAGCCGATTCTGCTCCTGCAATAGTAATAATATAAATACCATAAGTTTGACCTAAAATATCGTCAAAACTAAATGAACTTAAGATAATTAATAGTACTACTGCTAATAGCATAATTTCGATGGAGATTAACATTAGGATAATATTTTTTCGGTTAAGAATAAATCCTAAAATCCCAGTTAGAAATAAAACCATCGATCAATTCATTATGTTTATTTGTAGTTAACTATATAATCATAAAACCCTTTTCATTTATTTAATCTTTATTAAAAGCTTAAATATGTCAAAATTATAACAAAATTTTAAGTTCTTGCCCCAGCTTCGCCAGGTTAGAACCAGGGCCGCTTCATGGCCCGGGTCAAAGAAATAAGAGTTATATCACAAAAATACCATATTTTTAATAAATAAAATTTATTAATATTGATAATATGGTATTCTTTACTTTTATTTAAAATTAAAACCCCTTTATTTCTTACCTTTAGATAAATAAATAAATTCTTTTATTTATTTAATTTTGAACAATTAATATTACTAAAATATATAATCTTATTTATCCAAAATTATAAAACTTATTTAATTGTTTTGGGAAGGAATTAAGCCTCCTCAGTACGAACTTCAGTTGTATGCTCACCATTTAAGCTACCAAAACTTTTTATTTCTTTTAAGTTTTACTTATGAAAAATAAATTCCTAGACTCGCGGAGTGGGCCTTAGTCCTCAGGAGCTAATTCGCCTTCAAGTAATTTTATAAAATTATTTAGTATCAAGGTTTTACAGACTTATTCTCATATAATAAGTCTAAAGGTTATTCTTAATTTCAATAATTGAAATAAATAACCCATTTACTTAATCGTTTAATTAGGTATAGTAGGAATCGAACCCACATATGTTTTATTTCAAATAAAATGCTTTACCAGTCAGCCATATACCTTAATTAAATTTAATTTAAACCTAATACAATAATTTGTTTAATAAAATCTTATTATTGTAGATAAAAATTAGCTTCTATGGGTATAAATCCCAATATTCTTAATTAAATTTAATCTCTTTAAATATTAATTCAATAGTCTGGCAAGGGCTCGAAGCTCTAACTTATACGTCATCAACATATCACTCTACCGATTGAGTTACCAGACTTATTTGATATATTTATCAAAATAAATTATTCTTGGGCTTGCCCAAGTGAATATTAATTCTCAGAGGCCAGGTTTACTCTGAGGCCTAAATTTATTTCAGGGTTCTAATAGATTAATAATACTTATTTATTATATATAGTTATATTACTTATATTTAATTCTAAATACCTAAGACCTTTAAACCTTAAACCTTTAAAGGCTTTACAAAAATTGTAATTTATTTCCACTGGATAAAACTTTCTTTATAAAATAAAATTCTTTTATATTAGTAATAATCCAAAGGCTATTATATTATTTAGATTTGAATAACAGGAGAGGTAGGATTTGAACCCACTACCAGGATTTTGGAGATCCCTATTTTACCAATTAAACTACACTCCTAACTCTTCCTTATATCTATAATTAAAATAATAATAATAAACTATATTCATTAACATAATCATATTTTAAAAGTTCTTTATATGAATATTGCATTAATAACCATATTGAATACAAAGAGAAATCATATACCTTTGTAGGAAACAATCTTTCTAATAAAAAAACTACTTTATATCCTCATTATTTTAAATTTATGAAGAAAAATGGGTTAACTCCTATGAATATTAATGATTTTAGTAATTCATTAATTCAACATTAACCAATATTGAATGTCCCAGTTTCTAAAAAGAGACTTGCTATATTTTGTAGCTCGGTCGACAACCATACTTGTTTCTTTGGTAGGATCGGTGATTTCAATGCTTCTTGCATACTTGAACACCTCCGCACCAGTTTTCTATAACATATAATAGTATTAGTATTCTATCGTCATATTCTTTGTTTCTTTATTTGTTTGCTTATATGTACATACCAATTCTTTAAGACTCTCGAAGCATTGTTCAAGTTCTTTCGGTACACCACAAGGCAAATCGCCACCAGCACCACGTATTTCATCGAGCTCTTCTTCACTGAAAACAGAACTCCAGTTTTTATCCCCCAAATCTAGGATCAAAGATTGGGAAGGACTGAGAAATGGCAAGATTAGCTGGTAAATCCAAACCCAAAACTACGCATAATAGATTTTTTTGCTTACTGATAATACTCGCATCCCAACGCAAACGCCATAACCTTTTCTTCTACAGAAATTGGTTCAACATCATCAACTTCTGCTTGTCGCATTGTGGCATCTAAGACCTAGAAATCATCTTTATGAAGCTTTTTGGAATTTTGGAGCTTCTCAGTCAATGTGATTTTGTCTGCAGCAGTCAGTTTGCTTTTCAAGTCTGGAGGAGAAGTCGATGACTGTGGCAAAGATGGTAATGATGACTCTTCTGCTTCATCACCTGCCAATTGTTGTTCAATACGTTTCCATGAAACATTTTCATCTCCATAGAAGATATCAATGCATTAGTCCGTGTTTAATATGTATACCTGCGTAAAAAAAGAAAACAGATATAGTAGTTGACACTTACTATTGACATTTCTAACGAAGCCGCCGCTTCCTTTACGAATCGAACATATGTTCTTTTTGTGCAGCGTAGGTCATTTCTCATAGAGCTAGAAACAATGTCATGTTCTAAATGGTCAATGACGTTTTGAAGTCTGACCGACTCCCCGTGGTTCTTGGCCTGCAATAAAAAAGCTTTTGTAGCTACCGCATTGAAAGATTAATAAGCACTAAATATTACAATACAAAAAATTGAATTTGAAATTGTATCACTGGTAACTACCTGTGATGAAAGGGGTATGTTCAGTTGCCATGGGAATCGCGACGGAAAAGAGAAAGTGGAAAGGAGAGTGAAAGGAAAAAATCCGGTTACAGCAGTTGTTTTGTAGGCTGTTTAATAGTTTATTAATTTTTAATTTATTTTATATATTTAGTTTTTAAGTTTTATTTTTAAACAATAAAGAATGATCAATATAGTTAGGGGTGGTCAGAGAATATCTTTGATTTTTGATGACGTTAGTAGCTGGTCATTGAGACGGTAGTCGAAACTCTAGAATAATGGTAGTTATTCTAAACACTTGTCTACAAGTGCCTTATGAACAGTGTTCTTTGGAGAAAAATTGTTTTGGCGTACATTTGTTCACACACACATAGATAAACATTGCCTCTTTCTCTCTCTATCATTTTTGCATATCTCTTGGCTTGGCCATGTCAAGTCGTTTCTCACGTTTTGTCACATTCTATTGTTGCTCAAGTTACAAAACTAGGAATGCAAAATCTTATTGTATAAACTAAAAAGTGTGGCGTTTGCTGCACGCCAGAAGCTTGCTGCAATTTCGCATATCTCATCGGAAGTGGGTGTTTTACACTTTTGTCGTTGAGTATACAAAACCTGGAAGCAACTTTGTACTTGTATTGTTGCATTGTACATAGTGGGGGTATTTGGGGAGATCTCTGGACCTCCTCTTATACAGGATTTTGCATTCGATCCTAGACAGGGCCAATTATTCTTTGCCTAAGGAATTATGTCTTGGCCAGATGGAAATTTCGCCCTTAGAGCTTTCGGCTACAGCTCGAGTAATTTCACAGATGGGCAGACTGAAATTCACTCATAGAACACTGTTCATGAGGCACTTATAGGCAAGTGTTTAGAATAACTGCCATTATTCTAGGGTTTCGACTACCGTCTCAATGACCAGCTACCCACGTCATCGAAAATCAAAGATTTTCTCTGACCACCCCTAATTATATTGATCATTATATATTCTTTAAAGATAAAACTTAATAACTAAATATATAAAATAAATTAAAAATACAAAAATCAATAAAGTATTAAACAGCCTTCATAGCCCCTGAGTTCAAAGCTGGCCATTCTGTTTTAGAGCATGAACTCCAAGTTCGACATGGACTTTCTAATTTTCGCTTTCAGATTATAGTTCTCTCACAGTCTGGTAATTTCGTCATGAGCATTTGATTTCGCAATAGTGACGATGCTTTCGTCGTGGGCAATGTATTTTCACCATGAGCAATATGGTTTCGTCATAGGATACACAAGTCTGCCAAGGGGCAGCAACTTTGTCTTCGAGCCTGCTATTTTTGCATTGGTTCAAGTGTTTTTTGTGCTGGCGAATGATTTTTCATCATAAAAAAAGGGGTTATTCAAAGCTCCTTCCTACGATGACTATTTGATACAGGTATATCGTCCTTTTTACAAGGAGAGCTCATCTGTGCTCTGAGATTGACGTTGTACAAATTCTAGAAAAGATAGCATAAATATTCTCGAAGCTCAGGATGCGTATCTCATCTGTAATAGAACTTTAATGATGTTTACTCCACCTGATGATGATGATGTTGTGCCAGTGATTCTCGACGAAGACCAAGTTGTACCTGTGCTCGAAAAACATCAATAGAACAGGAATGCTACTTTCTACAAAGATACTTCAAGGATAAACACATACTCGACCTTGCTGCCTTTGATGCACATATGGCCTGAAACTGGACATCGTTTACTTCATTTTCAACTCTCTCGAGATAAAAAGGGTAAGAAGCAACGTAATAGACACAGAATATTAATAGTATTATGACATTGATAATATGCGATTTTAGAACGTAAGGAGGTAGACAGTCGCGGACATGTTGTTAGGCTTTTTATTCGACGTGCATAAATCTGTTACTATCATACTTCTGCTTTATCAAATGGGAGCATCATATCTGCAAAAAAATAAAAAGGAGATTCACTGTTTGTATGATGGTCCAAACCTTAAATATATACAAATTTTGAGTATATAGGACAGCCTTTTTCAATGCGCGCATACTGTATTTCTATCTCTCTTTTCTTCTATACTTTTTTGTGATGGGAATAGTAGAAAAAGGCCAGTCTAAAAAGCTTACACTCGTTAAAAAGAGTGTATCAAAGTGCGCAACAAGATAGTACAAGCACCTACAGCCGAGGAGCTAAAAGAATCACTAGAAGGGCTACACTCGTTGACAGAAGGTATCAAGAAATCCATATACCGAAATTTTGTCCCAAGTGAGCGTAAGTATTAGTCTCAAAGATGGACTGCCTAAGTCTAAAATCATCACAAGATCGAAGCATTGATTATACAGCTGAATAAACACTACCAAAAACAAAAGGAACATGTAGAATATATTTACGCGTAACTATAAATATGCAGATGATACAATGATGTGTTTATACTGAAGCAGTGAAGCATAGACGTATTACCACTCACTTGTTGTTGGAGTATTTTGCAAACATGCGTGTAATAAAAATCGTTACTTGGTTTTGTGATACTGTACTATTCGCGCCGAACTTCTTTATCAATATTGAGTGCATGCAGACCTGCTTGGAAAAATCCTTCTGAGCTTATACTACATACCATTATGCCTATACAAACACGTTCCCAAAACACGCCCCTAAACACACTCAAATCAAAGCATATCCCCTCGTTCAGAGAGCAACCGAAAAGTTTAAAGGCGACCTTCAAAAAAAGCTGAATTCCGTACTAGACAGCAAGTCAAACAATTGGCAAAGACTATTAAGGAATTGAAAATACGTAACTCCAAGGATTCTGGTACATAACTATAGTTTTTTTCATACCAAAATTATTGATCTTACAGTACCTCAGCGAGCCTAATAATAAAAAAGCTACCGACACTGATTCAGATGTCGATATGGACCCAATCGATTTCTTGCACGAAGAAAAGGTGGATGATGAGCCTGGAAAGTACCAGATTCATTACTTTCCAGTCGTTCACGTTCATCCAAGCTCAATTGACTCGTGCTTCGAGCAAGGACTAAAAGGCCATCGGTAGCAACCATCACTTCAGCTGATGGCGTGTTGCTAACGTAGGCGCGCTTAGTTGCATGCTGGTTCTCTGGATGGGAGTTATCATTGATGGATGAGGAATGGGAAAGAACGCGCTTGGCGGCGAAGTTTTCGTTGGAGATTACTGAGATGTCAAGGGATAAAAATTGGAGAGAAGGAAGAAAGCTTGAATATGTGGCTGCGTGTACTACAAATATATCGACAACAAGCACGAGCTCCTTTTGAACTCGTTTAAACCTGTCACACGAAGCCGCTTCACTCACTTTCTGCTTGCAGCTACTCTTTAAATTTCATGAATATACAATAAACTTCAAATAGCATGAATGAACAATCCTTTTTATGATGAAAAATCTTTCGCCAGCACAAAAAAACACTTGAACCAATGCAAAAATAGCAGGCTCGAAGACAAAGTTGCTGCCCTTTGGCAGACTTGTGTATCCTATGACGAAACCATATTGCTCATGGTGAAAATACATTGCCCACGACGAAAGCATCGTCACTATTGCGAAATCAAATGCTCATGACGAAATTACCAGACTGTGAGAGAACTATAATCTGAAAGCGAAAATTAGAAAGTCCATGTCGAACTTGGAGTTCATGCTCTAAAACAGAATGGCCAGCTTTGAACTCAGGGACTATGAGTGAATTTCAGTCTGCCCATCTGTGAAATTACTCGAGCTGTAGCCGAAAGCTCCAAGGGCGAAATTTCCATTCCCGCAACTCAAAATTGCTTGTCCAAAATCAATAGATCCCCTCCCACTTACAAATGAAGGCCATCTGGCCAAGGCATAATTCCTTAGGCAAAGAACAATTGGCCCTGTCCGGGATCGAATGCAAAATCCTGTATAAGAGGAGGTCCAGAGATCTCCCCAAATATCCCCACTATGTACAATGCAACAATACAAGTAGAAAGTGGCTTCCAGGTTTTGTATACTCAACGACAAAAGTGTAAAACGCCCACTACCGATGAGATACGCGAAATTGCAGCAAGCTTCTGGCGTGCAGCAAATGCCACACTTTTTAGTTTTATACAATAAGATTTTGTGTTAGCTAGGGAACAAATTTACCTGGTAATTTTGCGTTCCTAGTTTTGTAACTTGAGCAACAATAGTATGTGACAAAACTTGAGAAACGACTTGACTTGACCAAGCCAAGAGATATGCAAAAATGATAGAGAGAGAGCAATGTTTATTCATGTGTGTGTGAACAAATGTACATGAAATGGTTAAGCCTTTAAGGCGATCACTTGAACTTTGATTGTTCTCCGCTAAAACAGTTTTTCTACAGCTGCTGTAACCGAATTCTTTCCTCTTTTCCGTCGCGATTCCCATGGCAACTGAACATACCCCTTTCATCACAGGTAGTTACCAGTGATACAATTTCAAATTCAATTGTTTGTATTGTAATATTTAGTGCTTATTAATCTTTCAATGTGGTAGCTACAAAAGCTTTTTTATTGCAGGCCAAGAACCGCGGGGAGTCGGTCAGACTTCAAAACGTCATTGACCATTTAGAACATGACATTGTTTCTAGCTCTATCAGAAATGACCTACGCTGCACAAAAAGAACATATGTTTGATTAGTAAAGGAAGCGGCGGCTTCGTTAGAAATGTCAATAGTAAGTGTCAACTACTATATCTGTTTTCTTTTTTTACGCAGGTATACATATTAAACACGGACTAATGCATTGATATCTTCTAGGAAGATGAAAATGTTTCATGGAAACGAATCGAACAACGATTGGCGAGTGATCCAAACAACACGACTTCCAGTCAAGTCTTAGCTGAGCCCAGTGAAGCCACAATATCTGAAGCAGAGGGGTCATCATCATCATCATCATCATCATCACCATCGTTGTCATCATCTTTGTCTTCATCATCGACGTCTCTTGCTGCATTGAAAACCAAACTCACTGCCGCGGACAAAGTCACATTGACTGAGAAGCTCTAAAATTTTAATAAGCTTCATAAAGATTATTTCTGGGTCTTAGATGCCACAATGCGACAAGCAGAAGTTGATGATGTTGAGCCAATTTCTGTAGAAGAAAAGGTTATGGCGTTTGCGTTGGGATGCGAGTATTATCAGTAAGCAAAAAAATCTATTATGCGTAGTTTTGGGTTTTGGATCTACCAGCTAATCTTGCCATTTCTCAGTCCTTCCCAATCTTTGATCCTAGATTTGGGGGATAAAAACTGGAGTTCTGTTTTCAGTGAAGAAGAGCTGATGAAATACGTGGTGCTGGTGGCGATTTGCCTTGTGGTGTACCGAAAGAACTTGAACAATGCTTCGAGAGTCTTAAAGAATTGGTATATACATATAAGCAAACAAATAAAGAAACAAAGAATATGATGATAGAATACTAATACTATTAAATGTTATAGAAAACTGGTGCGGAGGTGTTCAAGTATGCAAGAAGCATTGAAATCACCGATCCTACCAAAGAAACATTGAAAGTGTGGTTGTCGACCGAGCTACAAAATATAGCAAGTCTCTTTTTAGAAACTGGGACATTCGATATTGGTAGTTTGATGGAATCGGACCAGTTGTACCGGTGTTTTGATTTTTTTGCTACAGTTTTTAAAGGAAGTTCCATCTTGGCAAAAGGGTAAGTCAATCACTAATATAAACATGAACAGAAAAATGAGTAGAAAGAATGCACTGAAACTGATTTCTTGTTGTATTCTATAGAAATGAGAAGTCTAGTGAAGCCAATGCCAGCTTGGTGAACCAAGACCGACAATTATCATCTATAATGCCAATAACAAACCAAAAGATGGGAAGGCGAGTGGATATGCTCTTCAACTGTGGTCATATCGAGCTTAGTTGCACAGAAATAGGTGCCACAAAGGACCAAACAAAGGAGATGCACGATAGCTTTCTCAAGATGCCTATTGTATTGCACAATATGTTGTTGTTGGCGACTTTCAGCCCAAACCTTCTGCATCAATCCCATGTGATTGGATACAGTATTTCAGGTTTGTATTACTCCCGCCACATGTTATAAGAAGAATGCTATGAGTTACTGAAAGTATTTTTTCTAATGTCTTCATTTAGGTGGCTGCGTCTCCTTATTGGATGCCAGTATTCCATAGGGTTTTACCTTAATAATCACAAGAACTGACCCACTTCAGTTTCCCAGCAACAACAGCAATTTGGTATCAAGATTATACCCGTTATTGAATCTTGCGTGCATCGGTAAAGAAATGATGGAACAGACCCTTGACTTGATCAACAATACCATGCAGCCAATAACATTATCAACTGGAAGAAATTATTGGTGTCTTCCTTCGAATTTCCTCCCATCGGAGGGTAACCCCTAGTATTATGCTTTTAGTGATATTATAAATATGTAAAAAACTATAAGTAATATAGCTTTAAAGTGTTTACAATAAGTGATGAAAATAATTTTTTTAATTAAAAAAGTAATTTCTCAAACCCTATAATATTCTCAACCCTTAGAGATAATCTCAACTATTATGTTTGAGGGAAAACAGGCTAGGAGGTACGACGACGCCCAGTTCATTTAAAAACAACGAAGTTAGATTTTTATTTGAACGCTTGACAGTATAATAAAATATTATAATATTGTTATTTATTATAACAAATATTATAGATATTGTTTATACTTCATCTCCACAACCAGCATCACGAAAACGACAACAAGCAGATTAACATCATTACCAAGCTCTCATCTTTATACCATTTTTTTTACCACCATTTGTACCTCGTTTTCATCATCAATACCTTTTTTCCTCGCTGATATTGTATTCTTTTTTTGCTGTCAAAACTGTAACTTTCTTTGCTCATCATGAAACCCATTCATCATCCTATTTATCATCCATTGCTGCTATACATCCCATATACGTTGTGATATACTAATAACCATTTTGTTGAGCTATTCTTGTTTCATGTGTGAGTTTCTACATACACATATATACAAACAGTCTCAAGCTATATCCAAGGAACTCCTCAATATAAAAGCTTAATTAGCAATATGGGTGATCCCACTTAAAGATTGTTATAATTCGTTTTGGTATATCACGACGTATATGGGATGTATAGCAGCAATGGATGGTAAACAGGATGATGAATGGGTTTCATGATGAGCAAAAAAAGTTACAGTATTGACAGCAAAAAAAGAATACAATATTGGCGATGAAAAAAGGTACTGATGATGAAAACGAGGTACAAATGGTAGTAAAAAAAATGGTATAAAGATGAGAGCTTGGTAATGATGTTAGTCTGCTTGTCGTCGTTTTCGTGATGCTGGTTGTGGAGATGGGAGGAAATTCGAAGGAAGACACCAATGATTTCTTCCAGTTGATAATGTTATTGGCTGCATGGTATTGTTGATCAAGTCAAGGGTCTGTTCCATCATTTCTTTACCGATGCACGCAAGATTCAATAACGGGTATAATCTTGATACCAAATTGCTGTTGTTGCTGGGAAACTGAAGTGGGTCAGTTCTTGTGATTATTAAGGTAAAACCCTATGGAATACTGGCATCCAATAAGGAGACGCAGCCACCTAAATGAAGACATTAGAAAAAATACTTTCAGTAACTCATAGCATTCTTCTTATAACATGTGGCGGGAGTAATACAAACCTGAAATACTGTATCCAATCACATGGGATTGATGCAGAAGGTTTGGGCTGAAAGTCGCCAACAACAACATATTGTGCAATACAATAGGCATCTTGAGAAAGCTATCGTGCATCTCCTTTGTTTGGTCCTTTGTGGCACCTATTTCTGTGCAACTAAGCTCGATATGACCACAGTTGAAGAGCATATCCACTCGCCTTCCCATCTTTTGGTTTGTTATTGGCATTATAGATGATAATTGTCGGTCTTGGTTCACCAAGCTGGCATTGGCTTCACTAGACTTCTCAGTTCTATAGAATACAACAAGAAATCAGTTTCAGTGCATTCTTTCTACTCATTTTTCTGTTCATGTTTATATTAGTGATTGACTTACCCTTTTGCCAAGATGGAACTTCCTTTAAAAACTGTAGCAAAAAAATCAAAACACCGGTACAACTGGTCCGATTCCATCAAACTACCAATATCGAATGTCCCAGTTTCTAAAAAGAGACTTGCTACAGTGGACCCCCTTTAATGTCAACCCTCAAGTACAGCTGAAAGTGTTGACGCTAACGGGGGTTGACGTTAAAGGGGGTGGACTATTTAGGAACAAAGTTTAACCGTATAATAAAAGTTTTGAACCAGCGCACCCCGACACACTGTAGTACCGTACTGTATATAAAGAATAACTTCTGGAAGATTGAAATGTTGTCAAAATGTCTAGCTCTAGTTCAACTACCACACTACGTGAGTACGTCTCCTTCACTAACGAGCAACGCGATCTGATTGTCGCTTACAAGAGCTCGAAGAAGGGCATTACACTGCAGATGGCGGCAGAGTATGCCAAAAAGGAGTTTCGCTTGAGTAAGGTCCCTAGCAAGAGCACTATCTCCAAAATTATCAAGCGAAAATCCACCAAAGCTCCTGGTGACGAAAGGGACGCCAAAAGGATGCGCAATAGAAAAGGACAATATCCTGTAAGTATGAGTATATAGTATATATATAGCAGTAGTAATATATATTTGATTGAACTGTACTGATAGCTATTGTTTCTCTTCGTCTATCTGAAATGATGTTCCATATATAGCAAGTTGAAGAAGCGGTGTTGCTTTGGATTAACTGTGCACAAAAAAATACAATCCAGATAACCTGGGACCTGATTCAAACGAAGGCCCGGAACTTTGCAGAATTGATTGGAATTCAAGCATTCAAGGCATCAAATGGCTGGGCGGACCGATTCTCAAGGAGATATGGGCTAAGTGCACATAGCATCCATGGAGAAGCGCAATCAGCAGACCTTGATGCCCTTGAAGCACAGAGGGATACTATCCGTGCCAAGCTTGAACGATACGAGAAACAAGATATCTATAATCTTGATGAAACCAGCTTGTTTTATCGCTTGGAGCCGAAGACAACAATTGGGACTCAAGGGTTCAGCGGCAGAAAACAAGACAAGACAAGACTCTCAGTCGCGCTTCTTTGCAATGCAGATGGTAGTGATAAATGGGTTGATCCCATTATCATTGGTCATGCTGTATGTCCAGACTCGTTCAAGGTTGATAAAAAACGCAAGGATGCTGCCTTTCATGGCTTCAAGCAATACTTCGTCAATCAGAAGGCTTGGATGACTAGAAAGTGTTTCCGAGAGATTCTGAGAAAATTCGATCGAGCCATGGGTGCCAGGAAGAGAAAAGTGATCTTGCTACTAGACAACTTTTCTGGACATTATGTCGATTATGAACCTGTCAACGTTGAGCTTTTGTTCTTGCCTCCCAACACGACATCCGTGATCCAACCTCTCGATGGGGGGATTATTCGGTCGTTTAAGGCACAGTACAAACGACGACAGCTGGAAAAGGCGTATCGTTCTATTGGAATGATCCAAAACGGGAATGGTCAAGTCGTGGGCCCCGCTGAAAAAGTTTTCATTGTCAATCAACTACAAGCGATGAGGTGGATTCAAGCGGCATGGACGGCAGTAACCGCCGAAACAATCCAAAACTGTTTCCAAGCTACGATCTTCAAGTATTTAGGAGAAGGAGATAGTCTTGCTGCTACTGAAGTTGCCCAAGCAGAGGAGACAGACAGATGGGAGTTGGAGGCTCAAGTTCAACAGCTTACCTCTACCGGAGCTGTCAACCGTGATCAATGTCCTGATGTCAACCTTGATCCTGAGTATGAGCGCGACATATACCTTGCATCACTTACAGAACAAGAAATCGTTGAGGAGGTGACAGCTGTTGCTGAAACAAGTGTAGAAGAGGTTGTTGTTGAAGAGGAGGAAGAAAAGGAATTGACGGCTAAAGAGAAATCTGAATGTATCAATACTTTTCTTGATATTTTGGATAGGGAGGAGGAACTCCATGACGCAGTAGTACATGCCATACCTCAAATCCAATTAATTCGAAATAGATATCAAAAGGCAATGTATGCTACGCAATCATCTCTGACAAAATATTTTCAACCAACGACAGAATAAATTTTTTTGATTGGATATGTTTGACCTCAATAAGAAGTCAACCCTGGCTAAGGTGTTGACATTGACCTTGTGTAGAAGTTGAAATTTATCTCTGCTAAAATTTGAGGTTCTCAGAAAAAGGTTGACCGTATCGGGGGTTGACATTAAAGGGGTTGACATTAAAGGGGGTCCACTGTATATTTTGTAGCTCGGTCGACAACCACACTTTCAATGTTTCTTTGGTAGGATCGGTGATTTCAATGCTTCTTGCATACTTGAACACCTCCGCACCAGTTTTCTATAACATTTAATAGTATTAGTATTCTATCATCATATTCTTTGTTTCTTTATTTGTTTGCTTATATGGTGCCTGCCACCTAGAAACGTAAATTTTTGGACCAATTTTCAATGTTTTATTTCAACTTTTTTCAATTATACAACCCACTTTTTTGGCTTCATAGAACGATAGAGAAAGGCTCAAAGAATAATTCTATGAAACGTTTTTGTATACATACGAGTAAAAAAAAATGAGAAATAAAGTGCTGAAGTTGGTGTCGATTTCAAAATTTAGCAGAGGATTTTGTCAGAATGTCCACCCTACTATACACTATAGTATATGACATTGAATCGGCGATTTCCATAGTAAGAAGGTAGTGTAACATTAGTGGTAAGCATTGGTGCAATATATACCTCAGCCTTCCAATCAACATTGACTGTAAACGTGCCAGGTAAATTATAAGTAGGAGGACAGTTTTATCATTCCTTCTTTTTCCAAAACATTCTATACAATGGGGAGACTCAACAAGTACCAGAAGAATCTTAAAATTGTGCAAGAGTCAAAGAACACAATTAAGTAAATTTCTTGTGCGTTCAAAGAGAACTGTCAGTTTCTAATAATCATGTAAGAAGAATCATGCGAGGGTAATTTGGTATTTAAGTCATCCTCTGAGAAAGGACTCACTGGATGAAAAGCGCAAATTCTCGATGAATAAATATCACTTAACCAAAAATGGGAAATCTATAAAGGCGGAATCTTAAATTTTTGAAATGTCCACTTGTTGTTTCTAGGTGGCGGGCACCATATGTACATATCAATTCTTTAAGACACTCAAAGCATTGTTCAAGTTCTTTCGGTACACCACAAGGCAAATCGCCACCAGCACCACGTATTTCGTCGAGGTCTTCTTCACTGAACACAGAACTCCAGTTTTTATCCCCCAAATCTAGGATCAAAGATTGGGAAGGACTGAGAAATGGCAAGATTAGCTGGTAAATCCAAAACCCAAAACTACGCATAATAGATTTTTTTGCTTACTGATAATACTCGCATCCCAACGCAAACGCCATAACCTTTTCTTCGACGGAGATCGGCTCAACATCATCTTCTGCTTGTCTCCTTGTTGCTGCCAAGACCCAGAAATCATCTTTATGAAGCTTTTTGAAATTTTGGAGCTTCTCAGTCAATGTGATTTTGTCTGCAGCAGTCAGTTTGCTTTTCAAGTCTGGAGGAGAAGTCGATGACTGTGGCAAAGATGGTAATGATGACTCTTCTGCTTCATCACCTGCCAATTGTTGTTCAATACGTTTCCATGAAACATTTTCATCTCCATAGAAGATATCAATGCATTAGTCCGTGTTTAATATGTATACCTGCGTAAAAAAAGAAAACAGATATAGTAGTTGACACTTACTATTGACATTTCTAACGAAGCCGCCGCTTCCTTTACGAATCGAACATATGTTCTTTTTGTGCAGCGTAGGTCATTTCTCATAGAGCTAGAAACAATGTCATGTTCTAAATGGTCAATGACGTTTTGAAGTCTGACCGACTCCCCGTGGTTCTTGGCCTGCAATAAAAAAGCTTTTGTAGCTACCGCATTGAAAGATTAATAAGCACTAAATATTACAATACAAACAATTGAATTGAAATTGTATCACTGGTAGCTACCTGTGATGAAAGGGGTATGTTCAGTTGCCATGGGAATCGCGACGGAAAAGAGAAAGTAGAAAGGAGAGTGAAAGGAAAAAATTCGGTTACAGCAGTTGTTTTGTAGGCTGTTTAATAGTTTATTAATTTTTAATTTATTTTATATATTTAGTTTTTAAGTTTTATTTTTAAAACAATAAAGAATGATCAATATAGTTAGGGGTGGTCAGAGAATATCTTTGATTTTTGATGACGTTGGTAGCTGGTCATTGAGACGGTAGTCGAAACTCTAGAATAATGGTAGTTATTCTAAACACTTGTCTACAAGTGCCTCATGAACAGTGTTCTTTGGAGAAAAATTGTTTTGGCGTACATTTGTTCACACACACATGGATAAACATTGCCTCTTTCTCTCTCTATAATTTTTGCATATCTCTTGGCTTGGCCATGTCAAGTCGTTTCTCACGTTTTGTCACATTCTATTGTTGCTCAAGTTACAAAACTAGGAATGCAAAATCTTATTGTATAAACTAAAAAGTGTGGTGTCTGCTGCACGCCAGAAGCTTGCTGCAATTTCGCATATCTCATCGGAAGTGGGCGTTTTACACTTTTGTGGTTGAGTATACAAAACCTGGAAGCCACTTTGTACTTGTATTGTTGCATTGTACATAGTGGGGGTATTTGGGGAGATCTCTGGACCTCCTCTTATACAGGATTTTGCATTCGATCCCAGACAGGGCCAATTATTCTTTGCCTAAGGAATTATGTCTTGGCCAGATGGAAATTTCGCCCTTAGAGCTTTCGGCTACAGCTCGAGTAATTTCACAGATGGGCAGACTGAAATTCACTCATAGAACACTGTTCATGAGGCACTTGTAGGCAAGTGTTTAGAATAACTACCATTATTCTAGGGTTTCGACTACCGTCTCAATGACCAGCTACCCACGTCATCGAAAATCAAAGATTTTCTCTGACCACCCCTAATTATATTGATCATTATATATTCTTTATAGATAAAACTTAATAACTAAATATATAAAATAAATTAAAAATACAAAAATCAATAAAGTATTAAACAGCCTTCATAGTCCCTGAGTTCAAAGCTGGCCATTCTGTTTTAGAGCATGAACTCCAAGTTCGACATGGACTTTCTAATTTTCGCTTTCAGATTATAGTTCTCTCACAGTCTGGTAATTTCGTCATGAGCATTTGATTTCGCAATAGTGACGATGCTTTCGTCGTGGGCAATGTATTTTCACCATGAGCAATATGATGGTTTCGTCATAGGATACACAAGTCTGCCAAGGGGCAGCAACTTTGTCTTCGAGCCTGCTATTTTTGCATTGGTTCAAGTGTTTTTTGTGCTGGCGAATGATTTTTCATCATAAAAAAAGGGGTTATTCAATGCTCCTTCCTACGATGACTATTTGATACAGGTATATCGTCCTTTTTACAAGGAGAGCTCATCTGTGCTCTGAGATTGACGTTGTACAAATTCTAGAAAAGATAGCATAAATATTCTCGAAGCTCAGGATGCGTATCTCATCTGTTATAGAACTTTAATGATGTTTACTCCACCTGATGATGATGATGTTGTGCCAGTGATTCTCGACGAAGACCAAGTTGTACCTGTGCTCGAAAAACATCAATAGAACAGGAATGCTACTTTCTACAAAGATACTTCAAGGATAAACACATACTCGACCTTGCTGCCTTTGATGCACATATGGCCCGAAACTGGACATCGTTTACTTCATTTTCAACTCTCTCGAGATAAAAAAAGGGTGTGGTGAACCACATTAATACACTGCTTAAGATATCAACAATAAGATATTCGGTTAAACATTATAGCACACACGTACGAACACTACGGCATTTCGGCTAAACACTATTGAATAAAATCTCTCACTCAGATGATCCACCTTACGTGAACAGGACAATGAACCTATCAACAGGTACCTCGGCCATTACATCAGCTAACGCCGGTTTCAAAGATGTGCCCGATTAACATAGCGACTTCAATAGAAGTTCTGATACGTCCTTGATCCATCCTCTATCACATAGTTTATCCATTAGTCGGATGAATTGATATCGCCGTCTTAATAGCTAGAATATAAAAGAGCTTTATCTTTTGTTGGAATAAAACATGATCTCAAAGATAATTAATCTTGTCCCTTATTATCTTTATTAAAGCTCTATCATCACATTTTTATCTTTGAAAACCTTGTTTTTTCCTTATATCCTACATCATGTCCTCCGATAACAACCAAGCTACAAACATTAACGAAACCGTTGGTCAAGCCAACGTGGTAACTCCAGGAACGGTCGAGGTCTCAAGCAACGATGTTGAAATGGTGGACTCAGAATCGGCGTCCAAAAATGGCACTGAAACTAGCACTGAAACTAGTACTGAAACCATGGCCAGGAACATTATTACACCGAGTACCTACCTGGAACAAAGGAAGCTGACACCGTCTAACATGGGGAGCTATCCTCAAGGCACGCTTAGCAAAAGCCACCGAAAAATATTTGCAGGCGCAAGATGCTTCACCAGATGACCTACTAAAGCTAAAACAGGCACACAAAGAAGCACTTGATGCATTCAACATCTACCAAGCTACTCAGCAAGCACTCAGCATGTCTGAACAGTTCGAAGATCGAAAGGCAAGCTGCGTGGTCCCAAAAAACCTACCGATACTACAAGTACAAGGAGGCCCTGTCCGAGATCCGAGGAAGCCAGTGCACAATTCCGTCTCTGCTTTCATTTCCGCCTTTGAAATCCAATTGCGCAGCCATAGCATTGACCTTGATGGCAATTGGGAACGTCTTTTCTGGTTATGTCTAGATGACAACCAAATGACTTGGTTTCGCCGAGACGTTGCTGACCGCCAGTTGAATTGGAAACAAGCCTGTACCGAAATCAAGAAGGAATACGGCAATCCATTCCACACGTATCTCAAATGCCATGAGCTTTTTGTCGCTCGTCCCCAAGCCAATGAAGCGATCCGTGTCTATGCCGAACGATGGATGTCATTAGCACACGAGGCAGGAAGAGCCAGCGGTCGTGACTTGACGTTCGATTTCATTTCGTCGTTGCCACCTTCGATCCGCGAAAAGATCTACCCAGTACTAGCAAGACAGTATGGTGTAGATTGGCCATCTGAAGTCACTGAGGTCGTGCAACTCATAATTTCTACATTGGGTGAATTCGTTGACAAGTTTCAAGACAACGGTAGTTATGCGAGCATCCATGCACCAGGAAAGAAACGTCGCATGGGTAATGAACACCTGTCTTCGTCCTCCTCATCGCCAGCACCAGCTTCTCGCCGTCCTCGTCATTACGGTGATTGTCCTGTCCATCCAAAAGGAAATCACTCGGCGACGGATTGCCACGTTCTCCAGCGCCAGCGGGAAGCAGTACAACAACAAGTCTGCAATAACCGGCAATCAACAGGTTCAGACAACCTATGTCGTTATTGTAAAAAAGTTCCATATGTCTTAGGCCATCGCTGCCAAAAATATTTTGATGCAAAAGGAAAAAAGAAGTCAGGAACGTCGACAACAATGGTGAGCAATCGCTCTGTACACATTTCCTCGTCTCCTTCCTCGTCTTCTTCTACTACACCATCAAAGCGGGATGAAGAAACACTTAATCACATTTCATTGGACGGAATGGATATTACAGGTAATTACATCAACCGCACAACACAAATAAATATTACACTGCAAGCAACAGATGACATTGACTCACTCATTGTTCCTATCACTGTACAGACTAAGCAAGTCTTCGGATTAGTCGACACAGGCGCCAACAAGTCTTTTATTACACCTACATGGTTACACAACATAGAGTCAACATCTGTACTTAAGATCAATAAAAACGCAGTAAAAAATATATCCATTACTTTAGCAGCAAAGGATGTAACAGCCTACCTTTTAGGTTTACTTGAAAATGTTGAACTACAGTACAATGGGAAAACATTCAAACATAATTTTTACATCATGGAATTATCCGGAACAACACCAGTCACCATTGGTCTGGATTTGATGTTTAAACTCGGAATTGGTATTACTGGTTTAGCCACATCATGGGAGCCACTGACACCAAACAATGAGAAACAAATTATTGATTTACCCGAACCTAATAATTCGCCATATGGCACAGAAGAACAAAGGAAACAGTTTTTACAAGCTATCCAACCTTCTCTTGATCGCAATGCACAAATTCCTAAACGCGCGTTATGTACAATGCCTGAAGCAGTGGTCCGTCTTGATGTTCCAGAAGGTATCGTCTGCCATCGACGTCAGTACCCATTACCAATTGCTTTCAAGGATTTAATTGACGATCAGATCAAAACCTGGTTAGATGAGGGCATTATTGAACCTGCACCTGCTGGCACAGCATGGAATAGTCCCATCACACTAGCACCAAAGAAAGATCCTGTTACAGTTGCATATGATACAAACAAGCGTAGAATCTGTATGGATGTCCGCTTAATCAACCAGCATTTATTACAATGCGAACAACATCCACTTCCATTATTAAGTGATGTTATTGCAGCCATCCAAGGCAATGACAACAGCGGTAATTCAAATCGCACCGTCGTTACTACCTGCCTCGATGTAAAATCTGCTTTCACTTCTTTACCTCTCTATGAACCACATCGAGAACGAACTGCTTTCACAATTGAAGGACACATCCAATACCAGTTCCGAGGAGCTTGCTATGCATTACGTCATCTTTCTTCGGTATTTACTCGTTGTTTAACAGTTCTTCTTAGCGAGATGCCCTTCGTTCGTGCGTTCATTGATGACGTCATTATCTTCTCAAACAGCATAGAAGAACATGCTATCCATGTCGCCGCAGTAATTGACAAATTAACTGAGGTAAATTTCCGCATCAATCATGACAAAGCCGTATATGCACAACGTTGTGTCTACTTACTTGGCCACTGTGTAACCACCGAAGGTGTATCACTGGATAAACGCAAAGTATGCAACATCCAAAATATCCCTACACCTACAACTGGCAAAGCTATAGCTGCCTTCTGT